AAGAGAGATGGAGAGCTTCTACAGGTACTGAGAGCCCTGTACGGACTGAAGGAATCACCACTGCTATGGTACAAGGACCTGAGAGAGACGCTGAAGTCTCTGGGCATGACGCCTATACCAGGGTTTCCATGCGTCTACGTCAACAGCTGGTTAATCATGTTCGTCTACGTTGACGATATTGTTATGGCTTTCCACCTATCAAACCAACATCTACACCAAGAGTTTGAGAAGAAGCTTAATAAGCATTATGGACTGAAATGCCTTAGAGAACTTAAGTGGTTCCTGGGCATACGCGTTGTTTGAGATCTCAGCGCACGCACGATTTACTTGGTTCAGGACGCTTACATTAACAAGGTTGCTGCCAAGTACAACATTATCTCTACTAGCCGCCCTTCAGAGGTGCCTATGCTAGTAAATTACCTAGAACAATCTCTTGAGGAACCAAACGAAGCTTGGAAGAAGACCTATCAAGAGCTTGTAGGCTACCTTGCCTACCTCACGCAGTATACCCGACCTGATCTGGCTCGCGCTCACGTTATCCACGCTTCACATTTGACCAACCCTGGCCAAGCACACGTCGAATCTATTCGAAGGGTGTGGCGTCACATTCTGGAGACAAAGTATCGAGCCCTGCAGGCTCAAGCCACTGACGAGGCAGAGATACAAGAGCACCTCACTTCGCCACAGGACTATCGCGATCCTATCTTCTTTGGAGCATCTGATGCCTCCTTTGCTGACGACGTTGAGACGCGCCGAAGCTCTCAAGGATACGTATTTCAGCTGTTTGGCATGACTGTTGACTGGAAGTCAACACTTCAACGCACTGTCACGAAATCAACAACAGAAGCAGAGCTGCTTGCTCTCTCACTTGCTGGATTAGAGATGGAGGAGTGGTGCCGCTTGTTCAAAGGACTGTCTTTGAAGCTCAACCAGACGCCTATTATTTGGTGCGACAACCAACAGACTGTGGGCATAGTCACAAAGGAGCAGGACAAGCTTAGTACTAAGCTTAAACACGTTGATATTCATCAGAACTGGATCCGCCAGGAGGTTGAGCAGAATCGACTCTACATCCACTGGAGGCCTATAAGCCAGATGCCTGCTGACGGCATGACGAAGATTCTTCCTTGTCAGAAGCACATTAAATTCATACAGCAACTACAGCTTATAGATATTCGCTCAAAGGTTTGTAAGATGGAGAACAATAGCTGAGGGGTTCATCCTTCCATCGCAAAGTGACTACAGGATGAGGGGGTGTGTAATGGTTGAGAGGAGAAGTGGATCACGTGTTGTTAGTAGTGGTCTGGTGTTACTTCCTCATGTTGTTGAGCACCTCTTACCTTGGCTGCGTTACAAAGACGTCATCAAAAAAAACCCCGCAGCGAGCCTTGGAGAACATAGACACAACGACAAGAACAACATAGAATACACTCATTATATGCATTTTGCTCTTCATACCGCAACACGTTATCATGTTGTTGCGTCTGATTCGTTGGCGCAGATGCTCAAACAGTTTGGCACCTAACGAGTTGCGGCTATGTATCGCAAGTATGGTGGCAACAAAGGACAAGGCTGCAATCAAGGTACTGATTGGGTTGACCATGGCTGCAAAATGGGCGAATTCGGCGTGATCTAGACCGAAGCCGATGATAACGTATGGTTGTTGCTTAACAGATGCGATGCGATAGCAACGAAAGGAGTCAGGCCACCCTTGGTGTAGAGAAGAAAACCCCCTCGGGAGTGGACAGTTTCAATGCTGTGAAGAGACTGGACAATTTCAATGTTGTGAAGATACTAGACAGCAATGGATGCTTGAGAAGGATGAAGGCATTTTCAGAAAGATGGCATGCAAAAGGCAAACGCAACGTTGCTTAAAGTGCTGTTCGGGTATTTGAGCAACTACAGGATCCGGCATATTCTCAATCCACGTAACTGAGGCTGAGCAGTACTTTGGTAGCAGGCATCTGCTAGCACTGCATATGGGGGCTTGGCGGAGGGGGAACTAAGAAGGATCTACGAATCACATGTCGTCATGCTCGAATCGAAAGGCCAAATCTGCGTGGCATCTTTGACGCCAGACTCTAGATCTAACAGAAGAATTCGTATTGCTCCTTGGCGGAAAGCAGAAACCACCAGCAGGCAAGCAATCACGCGTCATATCACAACGGTCAGTCAGCAATACCTGGGTAGCTCGGCGCAGGTGCAGCAGTGCAGACTGTACAGATCACAAGCAAGGGCCAGCACCAGCGTGGCCCTCGGTGGTTGACATGAACGACGGCTTCGAACAAAACACGAGCGGGCTTTCATACACGCAGGCGACGCGCCTCATCACCTTCCCAGCTCGAAAGGCTGAGACACTAGCACGTGACCGCTTGATATGGCCTTCCCTTCCAGCTTCGGGCATGAAGATGCGAGTACCACTCCAACATGCCGTCAGGCTTTAAACACGACTTCAGTTTCGTAGATGAGAGGAGGGTGTTTGGAATGGCACACCAGTAGATCGATGATTGCAGAGATGAATTGGTAAATAGCATAGTAGAAGTCCTACGACGCCTTACTGAAGCAGATGCAAGACAAAGTGTAGAGTATACGCAAGTGAAACGCGCAACACCAGCACCGTCCCTACAACAAAATAGAAGCACAGATAAAGAAGAGGAAACAAAACAAGTCAAATCAAACACCCTCCAGCAATAGTCTCGTCGTTCATATACATACATACCGTAATCATTCCTTCCGTACGCCATGCAGTGTCCACGCAAACACGTTGTATCTTCCTCACTGTCACTTACGTTTCCATCTCCATGAACAGCCATTGCTGGCTGGTAGTCTCGACCTCCATGTCTTCATCGGACACGAAGTCGTCGAGTGTCGCGAGCCCGAAGCCGATCCAGCCGAGGTCCTTCATGAGTGCCTTGGAGTCAGTAGACCGGTCGATAGCTACGACAAGTCGGTCGCATTCGAAGTACGGAAGTTCGCAGAGTTCAAGGAGGGCCATTAGGCTACAACTGGTTAGTACTAGATTCAGAAGTGAGTGCTCGCAGCGCTCGCAGGGGGAGAGTCGTACCCGGCCTTGAGATCTCCCGAGGACTGCATGACCGCCTGATCGAAGAAGACGAACATGGCCTTCTCGTCGTGCGTCTCCGTAATGAACCCGCGGAAGCGAATTCCGCCGACATAGTCCCACGTCTCGATGCACTCGGTTACGGTGCTCTTGTTACTAGAGCTGACTGCGACCTCCTGCACCGAGCCGGGCGTACCGTAGTCGGATGTTGCGTAGTCGGTGTTGTTAAGCATACCCGTCACCAGCGAGTCCTGCTGGCGCTGATTCCCCTCACCCAGGAAAACAGACCGCAGTGTCTCGCAGAAGAGTCTCTCACACTCAACTGTGATGGTGTATACTGCCCCCCCTCTGCGCGCCTTACTCTGCAGAGTGTTGCCGGCGACGAGGGGGGGACTCGAAGGGGGTGATGGAGTTCCCTGCTTCCAATCAGCAGTCGCTCTTGATACAGTTGTTCGACCACCACAGGCGGCCATCTGCGCGAAGAGAGACTCACCGAGCCGACCTCAGGCCCACCACTCGACCCCGGCGGCCCCCGTAGTGCTGTAGTGGAAGCCATTGACCGCCGCGTCGCGGAGGCTCACGGCGTAGCAGGAAGCGCGGGTCCCTCCGCTCGACGAGGCATTCGAGCGGACGCTACAATTACTACTACTACTGTCTCGTTTCGTGGTGATCGCCATTGCTACAGAAGTGCCACAGTTGCGCTGCTGGCGGAGAAGTCGCTGCGTGCGGTGAGGCTGCTGTTGACCGTGGGAGTCGAAGGTGCTGACTGGTCCGAAGACGGGCGATGTTGGACGGTGGCTGTGGAACGTTGGCGTTGAAGACTGCGTGTGGAGTGTGGTTGAAGGACGTCGGTGTGGTGACGGCCAAGTGAAATGAGGAGAAGTGCTTGGCGTCAGCGTTGCGCTAACGCCGCACTAAATCGAGAAGATTCGACAAGTGACGAATGCAGGCTTGGACACGCGCAAGACGTCGAGCTCGATTTGCATTTGTCATATTCGGAACATGGCTGCTCTCAAGATAGAAGATGCATTGAGGCAACTTTGTCAACGCACACAGAAGAGCAGCATTGATCGCAGCGATGGAAAACTTGACGCGACTGACACTGAAACGCTTCGTTCATGTGAAACATGCATATGAGCGACCGAGCCATGCGGGTGATCTTGGGAACAGAAAGGCATCACAATCGTAACGTTGAATATGCTTGATGGATTTGATCGACTACCCAACTACCGGAACTCCATTACTTTTCTAGTAGCTTCCTCAGCGTGTCTACGCCTCGCTAGATGATCAGACAGATAGGAAAGGGCATACACGTGCTCGTGCGAGAAATCCGTCCTCCTCGCACATCGACAACCAGTATGCAAGTCGGATATCTCATACATCGCTTATGCAGGAAAATTCAAACAAGGAAATGCACTCATGCACTCGAGTGGAGCGTAGCGGCATCGTACAGGAGGCGGGTGAGTCCTCGTGTCGCATTCAAAAGGTCAACCAATTTAGTTGACCGAAATGCACTTGATGTCGAAGATCAAGTCAGAGTTGGGGGGAATGTCCGGGGGAGCACCCTTCTTTCCGTAAGCCATGGCAGCGGGGATGGTAAGGCGACGCTCGCCACCAGCGGTCATGCCAGCGACACCGACGTCCCAGCCCTTGATGACCTGGCCGACACCGAGCTTGAACGCGAAAGGCTTGCCCTTCTTGTTGGCTGCAACTACATGAGCATCATTCAGGTGAGTTGAGGGTGGGAAGACTCACAGTCGAAAACCTTGCCGTTCTTCAGCTTTCCGATGTAGCGCATCTCGACGCGGTCGCCCTTCTTGGCGGCTTTGCCCTTACCCTCCTTCTTGTCTTCGACGGTGACACCGCTGACGTTGCGGGGTCCCTTGGCGGCGGGCTTTGCGGCTTCCTTCTTCTCGTCAACCCTGGGCGAGCCAGTGGGGCCCATCTCGAGGTTCTTGGAGAACTGTACCTTCTTCTTGTCGGAGCTGGGGGTCTCCACCTTTTCAGCCTTCTTGGGCTCAGCAGCAACAGCCTGGCCATCGTTCTTCTTGACCTTCTTAGCGGCCTTGGCCTCACCGTTGGTGGCAGCCTTGCTGATCAGGTCGTCAAGGCTGGCCTCCTCCTCGGCGGCGCGCTTGTTGTTCTTCTTGCCCTTCTTGGCGGCAACAAGCTTGGGGGCCTCCTCCTCAGAGTCGACCTCGGTAATGCGCGGGTTCTCGAGGCCATCGAGCTCGTCCTCGGACTCGTCCATCTCGTCGACATCAAGCTCGTCCTCGTCGGGAGAGAGATCGTATTCCTCGTCATAGTCATCCTCCTCATCTTCCTCATCGTCGTCGGGGAAGGCAATGTAGTTACCGGTGACGAAGACATCGTGTGTACCGTCAACCTGGAGGTAGACCTCTTCGCCCTCACGGACGGTGATGTCGAGAGGCTGCTGGTAGTTCTGCGTGCTGTTAGCTGACTACAATCTGGTCACGGCGATGCAAGGACACATACCCTCTCGGGGTCGAGAGTGCAGAGGACAAACTCCTCAATCTCCTCGGTCTCCTCGTCATCCTCGTCGCTGTCCTCGTCGGCAGAGATCTTGCCCTTGCCCTTTCCGTTGACGGCATCAATCTCCATCTCGTCCTCGGCCATCTCCTGGGCGATCTTCTTCATGAGGGCGGCCTCCTTGGCCGTCTTGGACTTGACCTTGTCGCTGGGGCCGCCGTTAGACTCGTCGTCGCTGTCGTCTTCGCTGTCCTCATCCTCCTCGGGGAGCGCAACACCGCCAGCGCGGAGCTTGGCAATGATGCTCTCGACGTCCTCGCCGTCGAAGTCCTCGTCATCTTCGTCATCCTCCTCCTCGTCATCAAGGTCCATGGGGATGCGGATGATCCTCAGAGTCGCGCGAGGAACCTTGTGGTTCTCGTCGATCTGGGGCTCGGCGCTAGGGTCGATAGCGGCCATGGTGATGCGGAACTGGGTGAGATTAGTGACCATGCTGCACATGGAAGGTTCTTGCACGTACAGCAGCAGAAGGGTCGACGGCAGCAGGGATGGGCAGACCGCCAACGGGAATGCGACGCCCGTAGACGCCTGCGGGAACGGAAGGCATCTTGAAGGGTGTGTGGTGTTTTCTTCTAAATTAAACTGGGTAGATGTTCGCAATTGAAGAGTATGCGAAAAGGGAATTTGGGGAGAATGCGCAGCCAGGGGATTGCTGGTTGCACGAGGTTGAGGTGGAAGAAGTTTCTCGTGTACCGGAGCAATAAAAAGTTCTAAGCTTCGCAGCCTTCTCACCGCCCGCGGGAAAATGTGGGCCGCTCGTGTATCGATTAGGAGCGACCCTCGAACTGCAGCCGAAAAGTAAGCAAGCCGAGGTCTTCACGCAGAGCATGTGTGTATGTGGGTGTATATGTAGGTGTGTGTAGTGGACAAAGTAGCACACAGCGTTTCAGGCTGTATCTCTGCTATGGCTTGCACAGTGGCACTTCCATCCTCTGCAGCCTCGAGTTCTCGGTGGCGCAAACGTGACCTCGCGCCAGCGCGTTTGGGCGGACGGCACGCGCGACGCCCTCTCATCCCGGCCCCACACCAGCGGGCAACACCAACACCAGCACACTCACACGTCGCCATGTACCCCGCATCATGACCCCGGCGCCCATGACGCACCAGCATCTGCCCGACTAGCACAGCGCAACCATGGGCTCGCGCCTGGAGAAGAACTCGGCCGCAGTCCGCAAGCACATCGCCGCCCACACGTTCGATGGCGAGGACGGCGCCGAGTACGGCGCGTCCGCGTTTGGCGGCTTCACCGACTACTTTCGACGCAAGAAGATCAAGCTGCAGAATCTCGACGCGGACCTGCGCGCCCAGGCAGGCGACAGGCCGCAGATGTTCCGCGGCATCGTCGCCCACGTCAACGGCTACACGCAGCCGTCGCTCAACGACCTGCACACCATCATTGTCCAGCACGGCGGCGGGTTCCTGCAATACCTTGACGGTAAGACGACGGTCACGCACATCATCGCCAGCAGCCTGACCCCGAAGAAGGTCGTCGAGTTTGGCCAGTATCGCATCGTGAAGCCGGCGTGGGTGGTCGACAGCATCGCCGCGGGCAGGCTGCTGCCGTGGAACGACTACCGCGTGGTAGACGAGGGCGAGAGGCAGAAAGTGCTCGCATTCAGCAAGGGCACCGTCGTCAGCACGACGAACCACAAGCAGAGGGGCTACCGCGACCAGACCGACAACAGCTGGTACACGAGCCAGCTGCGCCCAGGTCAGGCGGCACCGCCCTCCGCATCCCAGATCTCGAGCAGCTCGCGCTTCTCCCGCCAGAAGCTGCCCACGCCAGACGATGACGACATCGAGGACCTGCCGCCGTCACACCAGCCAGAAGATGTGTCGAGTGAAGACGCGCGCAACGCCAAGGAGAAGGGGAAGAACCTGGTGACGCCGCCCAAGACGAGTCCGACCATCGCTCCTGAGCCCTCGTCAGACGAGTTTGGAAACATCGAGGACATTGCCGACGAGCTGCACGACAGCCTGTACGCAGACCCCACACCAGCGAAACCACCATTGCGGAAGAGGAGGAGGCCCACGCCGCCACAGGATCGCATCCATGCCGCCGAAGTCGCCGGCAATCCTCGAAAGACCGAGCTCACTGCTGAAGAGCACAACGCTAACCTCTTGCGGGACCCTAAGATTCGCAAGTCCACAGTCGTCGATCCCAACTTTCTCGAACAGTACTACCGCGAGTCTCGACTGCACCACCTGTCGACCTGGAAGGCAGATCTGAAGTCCCAGCTACAGGCTATGGCGAGTGAGAAGACAGCGACACAGAAGGCTAAGCAAAAACGAGTGTCGGGCGCACGCCGCTATGTTCTGCACGTCGACTTCGACAGCTTCTTCGCTGCAGTCAGTCTGTTGAAAAATCCCGACTACAAAGACAAGCCAGCCGTCGTGGCACACGGCCAAGGCAGCGGGTCCGAGATTGCAAGTTGTAACTACCCTGCCAGGAAGTACGGCGTCAAGAATGGCATGTGGATGAAGCGTGCATTGGAGCTGTGTCCCACACTCAACATTCTACCCTACGACTTTCCCGCCTACGAAGAAGCAAGTCGGGCTTTCTACGACGCTGTCCTTGCAACTGGTGGCTTGGTGCAGAGTGTAAGCATCGATGAAGCTCTGATTGATGTCTCCAACCTGTGCACTGCGACTGATGGGAGTGATGGTCGACAATCGGATGAGGGAGCCGTGTATTGCGAACAGACCAAAGCTGACGAGATTGCAAAGTCTTTGCGAGAGCAAGTGAAGCTACGAACCCATTGCGATGTGTCTGTTGGCATTGGTGCGAACATTCTCCTCGCCAAGTTAGCACTGAGGAAGGCAAAGCCAGCCGGACAACACCAGATCAAACCTGAGGAGGTACTGGACTTCATCGGCCAGCTTGAAGTCCAAGATCTGCCAGGTGTCGCATGGTCAATAGGCGGGAAGCTTGAAGATATTGGAGTGAAGCTCGTCAAAGACGTGCGTGAGCTCACAAAGGAAAGACTGATTCAAGTCCTTGGTCCCAAGACTGGCCAGAAGCTACATGAACACTCGCGTGGCATCGACAGACAGGAGGTAGGCGAACAAGTGACCCGCAAGTCCGTCTCTGCAGAAGTCAACTGGGGTGTGCGCTTTGCAACCCAGGAGCAAGCTGAAGAATTCATCACAAGTCTCTGTAGCGAACTACAGAAGCGTCTGTTGAAAGAGAAGGTCAAGGGCAAGCAGTTCACCATGAAGATCATGCGCCGCGCAGCAGATGCACCTATCGAGCCACCGAAGCATCTTGGCCACGGGAAGTGCGACACTTTCAACAAGAGCTTGGTACTCGGTGTTGCGACCAACTCAAAAGATGTCTTGGCCAAGGAGGCCATTGGCATCCTTCGAGGCTTTGGCTTCTCCCCGGGCGAGCTCCGAGGCATTGGGATTCAAATGACGAAGCTGGAGCCGATGAAGAATGCTACTGATGGAAGTCTTGATGGGTCTCAGCGACGTCTCCAGTTCAAGATGCCCACAAAGCCGACGAGCGCCCGCAAAGAGGCAGTCAGCATCATCAAGACCCCTGTCAGTGCTCGGAAAGTACATGTAGACATTCATCATCAATCAGCCAACGTCCGCCAGCAGCCAGCCCTCATGCAACGCGATTCAATCGAAGAGGAACCCACAAGCATTTTTGATGAACTTCGAGAGGCTGCTAAAATCTATCCATTCAACTCTTCACTACCATTCGCGGCACCTAATCTACCCCCTCCTAGCATTCGCAAAGCAGTAGCCCCCGCCTTCGTCGATGTGGATCCCATCCAGGACGATCCTGAAACGCCACGCAAGCCAAAGACTCCTGCAGCTGGTGATGATCACGTTGCTTTCGGTGCGAAAGAGCTCAATCAGTCAACGCCATCTCGTAAGCCACTCAACATGCTGGGCACGCAGTTCATTATGCCTACACAAGTCGATCCCAAGGTCCTAGCCGAGCTCCCCTTAGACATACGTTCCAAGCTGCTACGGCAGAAACGTCAATCGTCGCCCACACCAGCAGCTCGCGAGTCCGGGTCACCGGTCTTTCGTGCGGACTCGCCTGGCATCGACTTCCCAGATAGTCCTTCGACCCCGTCTCGCCGTCTTCCCTTCGCTGCAACAGCTCTGCCCGCTCAATCTCAACTCGACCCCGAGATCCTCGCTGTCCTTCCAGACGATGTACGCGCAGAAATCCTAGCGCAGTATACCGCAGCAGGCCTGACACAATTCTCTCCCTCCCGCCGCCCTCGCGGCGTAGACCAGACCATCCTCCCGCAATCACCTCGTAAGAATCGCATTATAGGGATTCCTGCCCGCAAGCCAGCACAGATCAAGAGAGGTCGTGGCAGGCCACCAAGGAGCGCGATGCTGGCCGCTGCCGCGCAAGCAAAAGCTATGGACAAGGACGGCAAGACGCTGACACAAGCCAACTTCATTTCGCTCAAGAACCCCGCCCGACAGAAAGCGCAAGAAGCCATCGATGCACGCAAAAAAGACGACGCAGATCTCGATCTGGACTTCCTCGCCGCCCTGCCAGAGGATATGCGCAAGGAAGTCATCGCCGAGCACAAGGCCGCCAAGCTACGCGCCTTCCGTCTCGCGCTCCAGCGCCCGCGGCCTGGGTCGAGCAAAGCGGCCGCGCACCTTCCTGCTCTGTCGGGTCAACAGCAGCAGAGGGAGAGGGTCGTTACGGTGCCTCCCCCGCCCAGAGCGACGTTTACAAAGCGTAAGATCAGTCGCGAGAAAGATCTCCAGAGCGCGATGCGCGATTGGGTCCAGGAATTCGAGGACGAGGGACCGTATCCTGAGGATGTGGACGCGCTATCGGCGTACCTGGGTAGACTCGTGACGGAGGAAAGCGATGCGCGGAAGGCTGTGGGCGTGGTCAAGTGGCTTGTCTACATTGTCAGCGATCTCGAGAGCAACGGTGAGGGCAAGGAGACGTGGGTGGATGCTGTGGAGAGGATCAAGGCAGGGGTTACGAGGGCGGTGAGGCAGAGGGGGCTGGGGATCGTTAACTTTGAGTGAGCGATGGAAGGGTGGGGGCCAGGTTTGCATTGCTATGGCGTATTATGTAAGGTATACCACCGGACAATTGTATGGAGTTGTGATATGAGTACTATATAGCTATTATATGAAGATAAATAAACCATAGCGCCTGTGACCAGCGCCATCCAAAGTGCAGTCCTACCAGGGAGTGTCGGGGTATCGTGTATCGTCAAGTGTGTCGTAATATTGAGGGGTATCAGTATCCAGTCTTTGCATCAAAGCAGCAGGGGCTCCGTCCGCGTACCACATCCAGCGGCCCGAACTCACTACGGCCTGAAGTCCTTGTTCTTCCTCCTCTTCCGCGCGAGCTCCGGCGTCCAGATACCGCTGAACAGGTCTTCGCACTCTTCTTCGTCCTGCGAGTCAAACTGAACATCGTCCTCGCTGAAAATGTTGGTCGTCGAGTACTCTTCGTCCTCGTCCTGCCACTCATTCCCACTTTTACTAACCCTCTTCGTCTCCAGTATGAACTTCCCAATTTTGTACCGCTGTCCTTCCTCCTCGGCATGGACGTACTTCCACCCCAGCACACTCCCACAGCAGCTACAGCTTATGTCGCTCACTGTGTGGGCTCCCGTGACGAGCTGGCGTGCAACGGGCCTGTGTGTGAAGGTGTTGGGGAGGTCAGTGCGGCGCCATGACGCTGGGTCTTCGTCGCTGCTGCTCGCTGCGTTTGGTAGGTATAAGAGCGCACTGGGAGGAGGTGGAGCGACGAGGTAGGCACGCCCATGGCGGCCGGTGAAGCCCTTGGAGATGATGGAGGCGGTGGGGACTAGGTCTGCAAGGCATTTTGTGCAGCGGAGGTTTGTTGTTGGAGAGGAAGTGAGGAAGCTTGTCGGTGCTGGTGGTGATGAGCTTGGTGAGGTCGGTGAGGTGGATATCGTGGATGTTGATTGTGTGGAGCTGCGGCGCCGGAAGGGGATGCTAGGTAGTAGGTACAGCGGGAAGGGCGCTGTGGGGGCCATGGTGAGTGATGTGGAGCGAGTGTGAGATTGGGGGAGGAAGTGCTGCGCGTAGGCTGCAATCATGTGTCTTCGAACCCCAAGTCGAGAATACTGAGAGCCTTGTATGTCTAAATCCAAAGGCGGTGGAGGGTATTAAGTGTCGTTATGCGTAATTAGGATAGTAGTAAGCTGTAATTTGGGTTGTGGCACGCGGAATCGATCGCAGCTGATCAATGCTCCGGCTGCCAAAGGGGTATCAAAGAAGACTGTTCGTCGGAGAGACGTCACGACGCGCTACGGTACCATCGAAGGAGTCTCAAACGGTGCACCGCCCTGTAAGGTGCCCAAGCAGACCGAGAACGTGACGCAGACAGCTCACCGGGAGGACTGTGGAAGGTTTTTCAAGCGTACGGCTCAGACTCGGAGGTCGCAGCCTCGTTTCTGTTTCGCAAACGCGGTCGGTGGTGAGGTGAGCCCGTGGACGTGTGACGTGCTGGATGCTGCGCGATAGATAGGCGATAAGGAGCGCCACAAACGAAGAAAGCGGGGCTAGCTGACGGCTGCACCTCGACGTGCAACTTTTGTCCTGTTGCTGTCAAAGAAGAGTTGAAAACACAATGTTGGATGTCAGGAACGACCAAGGTGAGGGTGTCGAGCAGAAGAATGCACCTGAAACCCAATCAGCCCTCTAGCATCCGGTCACCGCCAAATCACGGGTGAGCACCTGGATCATGCGACGCCCAGGGACCAGCATGCACGTCACGAGGTGTGCTGGCAGATGCCGGTCCTGTCCGCCTCTTGCGCAAGAGCGCGCTATTCCCGCGTTGAGGCCGATTTGCTGCAAGGCTGCATGCTGATCGCCTTGTGCTATGTCACAGGAAGCATCTTGACAGTCCTCTGAGTGAACCAGTTGCTTGACGCGCCGCGACGCAATGGAGGCTTCAGTGAAAAACCCGAGCACGTTGTGTTCTTGGAAGACACGACTTGTAGCGACTACTTTCTTCGAAATCGAGCTTGCTCTCCCTCCAGTACTTCCTTCCTCACTTTGTCGCTTTCGTCCCTTCCAAGATCAATCACCTTCAGTCATGCCGTTTCTCACGCGAATCTGTCCATTCCCTTTGACATGCTCTGCGCATAGCTCAGTATCGGCCACCATAGCCGCATTGTTACCCAGTACTAACCCAGCAGTAATCACGATAAACCACGCATTATTCCTACCGCCAGGATGATGATGTCAATTGTCACGACGCGGAAGCGGAAGGGCGTTGACGAGACGAAGTCGAGCTCTAACGAGAAGAGCAAGGTCCGCCTCGTCGAGCACACTCCTGAGGACCTCCTTGACGGGACACTTGACGCGACGCCTAAGTCACCGCGCGGCGTGCGGAGATTGAGAGACCTGCGTCGAAAAGGCGTCCAGATCATGTCCATGTTCCGTACGAAAGGTAACCCTTCACTGCTCATATGTTTCCAGCACTGTCTTACCGTCTCACAGGCTCCGTTCTCGATACCACAGCTGCTGTAGTGGCCTGCAACACGTCCTCGAGTACGACAGATGGTACTCAACGCCCTGAAGCTTCTCAGTCCGAAGACCTACATGCCACTCGAAGCCCTAGCGTACCTAACATCCTTAATGCCGCCCCTAAATTGACCCTACACTATACCGGGTCCTCGCTTACCCAACTCACCAATGCTGCTGTCTACGACGGCGAGTCTGAACCTATCACAGAGACGAAAAGTTTCGCTCCCGCCGTCCTACATACGAGTCGATCCACGCCAGGTCTTTCCCAGCAGCTCACTCTCAAGCTCTCGAACGCACTTCTGCACAATCCCACAGTCATTCATCGACCAAAGCTCAGCTCCAGACCCACAGTGTTGACTAAGGAATCTCGACTTGAGAGCTCCATTGAGAAGACACCCTCACCGGACCGCATGAATAATACGTCTTCACTTCCTTCACAGTTCTCGAGTGGACCAGAAAGTAGCAATGGTCCTTTGAGCCAATCTACCGCCCCCACCTCCATTTTCTCGTCTGGCGGACCCGTATCTGCTGAGACTGCACAACGCGCACGCAACGACTCCCTACAAGCACCCAACACAGGCTCACACATGGATAATCCCATGCCAAACCAGAACGCGGTACATTGGCTAAGGTTTCCTCGTCAAGACGCACCACGTCTGATCAAGCCGTCTGTGGCTACAGTTGAGCAAGCTGCCGTGGCCAAGATCTTCTTCGAATCCCATTTCAATCAGCTCCTGAGCACGCAGGTCTCACCCAGGTCGCTGCGCCGCCGCCAACTTGAACGAAAAATCTTCGCAATGGCTCTACCAAATGAACAACGCCAATACAAAAGGCAGCGATGGTACGCCGCTGAAACTCATCATCTTCGCCAGACTCGCGTTATGAAGTCGAAGACTATCGCAAGACAAAACATAAAGGGCGTCCACATCTCGAACTATGATATTGTCCGTGTTCTTGGGAAAGGCAGCTTCGGTGTCGTCCGTTTGGTGCGTGAGAAGAGCGACAACATCAACAGCTCCAGTGGAAGCAGCTCTGACGCTGGGCACAACAACATGAACACTTCCTCTGGAATTGGAGTGAGACCGTCTCTGCCTGTTCGCAAGGCCAAGCAAGTCTATGCCATGAAAGTCATCCGCAAGTCAGACATGCTTCGAAATAGCCAGGAAGGACATCTTCGGGCCGAGCGAGACTTCCTCGTAGCATCGGAAAACTCGCGCTGGGTTGTGCCCTTGGTCGCCTCCTTCCAAGACAACACCAATCTCTATCTCGTTATGGAGTACATGATGGGCGGCGACTTTCTAGGTCTACTCTTACGCGAAGACATACTTGACGAGGGCGCGGCCAGGTTCTACATCGCTCAAATGATCCTCTGCATCGAAGAGGCACACAAGATGAATTGGATCCATCGTGACATCAAGCCTGATAATTTCTTGATAACGGCTTCCGGACATCTCAAGATCTCTGACTTTGGCCTGGCGTTTGATGGACACTGGATGCACAACCAAGGGTACTATCACGAGCAGCGCCACGGTCTCCTGCAAGATCTCGATCTGGAGGTTCAGGGCGATGAGCAGGATGTCGATGAGGAGAGGAAACGCCAAGCCGCGCTCAAAACGACTGACTCCGTCAATGGCCAGGCCGCTTTTCGTCAACGGTATGGACTTAAGCAGGATGCAGCAAATCGCCCCATACTGGACTGGCTCAACCGCACGCAACGACGGCAATTCGCCAAAAGCGTCGTGGGAACTAGCCAGTACATGGCGCCTGAAGTCATCAGAGGCGAAGATTATGACGGTCGATGCGACTGGTGGAGTGTTGGTATCATCTTGTTCGAGGTTCGTTTGTCTGGGTTTGTCTTACGAGCTGGACTGACTATGTGCAGTGTCTATATGGATACACGCCGTTCTTTCAAGACAACCGTCAAAAGACCAAGGAACGGATTCTTGTGAGCTGATCGCTTGTTCCGGCGCTTCGCATGCTGACTCTGCAGGAACACAAGCATCACCTACACTTTCCCACAGACTCGCGCTTTCAGCGCCCGACCAAAGACCGTGTTCGCCTGATGCCAGTTTCTCGAAATGCCATTGAACTGATCATGCGGCTGCTTGACGACAGACAGAATCGCTTATCGTGCAAGCGTTACCGTGAGAACGACTGGGTGCTTCGCGACAAAGCTATCGGGACGAGACGCTACCGCAGCCTCAGATCGACAGGACACATTGTTTACCCGAATGATGCTGAAGATATCAAGGCGCATCCATTCTTTCGCCACACACAGTGGTCGACGCTCCACCTGGCACGACCGCCCATTGTCCCTCGAGTCCACGGCAGCCAGCCAATTACTAAGTACTTCGATGATGAAGCCGAGATCATGAGCGCATCAGACCATCTCGATAGCTCGAGCTACGAGGTTGCCCAGATGGACGGCGCCACCGTGATCGACAGTGTGGAGCCGCTGGGCGAAGATCAGTCAACACCAACAGCGGATCCAACGGTTCAACAGACAAACGGATTTCCTCCTGTATACCAGCAGATATACCAGGGATTCCAAAAGATCAGAAATCGCAAGAAGGAGACGAAGAGGCCACGTGATAAGCTTTTGCGCGATCCTGAGGTGGGCAGAGTCGTGCTCGAGATTCGGAAGAAGGGCGCTTTCATCGGCTACACTTATCGCAGACCGCGTTTTTCATTACCTGAGCTCGAGGCTGAGGTGGTTCCTGCGAGACTGCCGTTTGCGAGAGCTAGTATGGCTGCTGTGAGTGCGTGATCGCGAAGGCAGACTCACGATGTGTAGACAGCAGAAGTGCTCGCAATCTTTCAATCCTCCAAAATGGCACTTCTACAAGGTTATGCATTCTCTTCCATGTCGAATCTGAGCCAATCAAGTGAACCCTCGTTGTACCGCGAAAAGCCATGTCCGAATACTGCTCATGGTGAATGAGCTCTATGGGTCAAGTTCTTCGTTCTGAAGGTGTATTGACATTGTTCAGAGGCAACTCGAAAGATTCTGGTGCAATCTCATAACAGCTTGGCTACATTCAAGTGGTTCTATAAATTCCAGCCGGAGCTACACACCTTTTAAGACAAGGTTAGACAATACCTGTATACTCATCTGGCCAGCGTTTTCAGCGGTAGGTAGTACTGTACGGTGTAGCATTTAGATACTAAAAAATAGTAGGTAATCTATACTATCAGCTAAAGTAGTAGCTGTAATACTGTAGTACTGTAGGAGTACGGCGGAAAGATTTCTATGTGTAGAGTTTTTTTCTAAGCTATCTTGCTTATCTTACTTCCTTATGCCTAACTACTATATCTTTGCCATAGTATAGCATTATGGGGTACTTCTTTACTACTCCACCACTGCTTGTACTACTAGAGACCAAAACAGGGACTTCTTGTATAGTACTGCAGTGTTTTGTAGCAGTAGCTACCAGTAGTACGTACCGCTAGGAATGCTGCACGGGCTGGCATGATTGTACCTGATCTTTTGAACACAAGTGGTAAGTTTGCAAAGTTTAGCTTACTTGAAAAATTGTTCGGAAGGGTGTAGGAGAGATTGGTGTGGCTTTGGATGTGAACGTGAGCCCTGATCTACACGCTGCCTCTGCATACGCTGTGCTGCTTTTCGAAAGAGCGATAGCTTGGGTGGCTGCGGTTCCGTCTCGTATGTCATTTCCCTTCCTGCGGCTGGCATCGACATCGGCGTTGTATCCCCCGCTTTGAACCCCTCTGTACCGGTAGACTTTGCCTGCTCAACCACAGTTCAGGTCTTTTTGCCGCCTTCTACCACTTTTGTCTTCATTACAACTCTTCATCTTGCCGCACCTATCCCTTCGTAACCTTTCTAGTTCGCGACAATAAGCTTGCCCGTCTCTTTGTCAGCATAGCAGCAGCTGTAGTGTGTGTGACCGAAAGCTCATAGTTTTACGGCCGAAGACCTCCAAGAAGGCTTTGATGACAAATCGGTTGCAAAATTGCTTGACATGGCGTCGCCTTGATGGACTGGGTCAGTCTAGGAGATTTCAGTTCTATCTGAGGTTCGAGATCTACCAAAGCGTAGTTTCGTCGAAGGACAACCTCGAGGAAGGTATGCTGATGGAATCGAGTCGTGTGAGTCCAACAGATTAATGCTCATCAGAACCGCTTGCCGCACATAAGTTTGGAACTTTTCTTCCTATGGAGTGCCATATGAAGGCGCGGTTCAGTCGGCGGCAGATGCATCGAAACCTGACTGCGCCAATGAATATTGAGTGTGGACACTTGCAAGACCAGCAACTAGACTGGCCGCGGTGAAAAGACCAAAGCAAATCTGCGGTCTCGTGTCCGATGATATGCTCATATTTGTGGTTGGTGCTGGCGATTTCGCGGCGACGATGCGATTTGTTGGTGTATCCTTCACCAGGACAGGCCGGCGAGCAACGGCGACGGGACGAACGTGGGCAGCGCGAGAACAACAACCGAATAGAATTTCGAGCGCTATGGTACCTCGCAATTTGGATCAAGGGATACGAATACTGGATGTGCAGAGGAGCACTCAATTGTAGAAGTATTGGTCAACTTCGATCTGAGATAAACGCACAGAAAGGAGAGTTCTGCAGAACAAGAACTTGAGAAGCCACAAGACTCTCTGCGCAGGCTCCGTGTCCATTTCCTGGAGACGTAGCCTGAGAGACCACCGCGGCTGACGACCCAATGTATGTGCAGCGCGGGATGACGTTGGGTTAATCGAATGGGCCTGTCCCACTTCACGTCTATGCACTACTGTGATCCTCGTAGCTCAGCTATGGGTATCCGGCAGAACAATGATGTACGGGAGTGCAATATTGAGATCAGGGATTATACCTTCATTGAGACGCCCTCTATAAAGGGCTTTTTGCTATAGACAAATACTCATAAAGATCAACTCTTTTCGTACCGCAAGATATCTCGCATCAAACGCTATCAGATCTTTTCTGCCAAAGTCACATCTACTGCCCACCCATCTTCTCATAAGTGTTCATCAAGCTACCGATGAAGGTAGTGATCAAGCGGCTCTGCACGGCAACAATATCCTCAGGCACTAACCAAATGGTCGCACCCATCTTTCGTGCAATCGAGATGGCAAGCTTGGCGTTCTGGTAGCTCTCTTCGTCGTTGCGACCCGGTGAGACGAGGTCGTAGTCCACGTACGCAGGCTTCATACCAGCAAGCACGTCGAGGAGGAATTTGGCGTTAGAGAGCGACGAGTCCTTGAAAGAGCGAATCTGGCTGCCCTGACCACCCTTGCGGGCCATGTCGTTCGACCACTTGATCATGTCGGAGTCCGAAATTTCGCGCTTGCCGAGCTTCTGAGCGAGACCCTTGAGCGTCGAGACAATGTCCTTGCGCATCAGCTGCCAGACAAGACCAAGGGTGAGTGTGCGCTGACCATCGGTGATGTCGGCGCCCTGAATGCCGGGGAGCGAGAATTGTACAGACTTTCCTAGTTCAACGGCGTAGTTGGTGTTTTCGAGAGCCTTGAAGCGCATCAATTCCTGACCTTCTCGGGGCTTGTTGACGTGTCGCCAGTTGACACTACCGGGAATGACCTTGTCGTACGCCTGGAGAAGAACGGTGCCGTCTTTGAGATCCTCGAAAAAGGACTGTACAACAGGTTTGACATCCAAGGAGTTCAGCCAGAGTGTGAAAACACGAGCTTCACGCTCGCCCTCCGCATCGAAGTCCTCGATCTCGGCTTTCTCTTCCTCGGTGATGGGGTCCAAGCAAGGATGTGTGTTGAACAGATTGGCAACGAAAGCAAGATTGAGCTTGGGGTTACCAGCAACGAGCGATGTCGGTGTCAAAAATTTGCGGCAGTCGAGAGCGTCCGCGTTCTGGAGGACCATCTCGGCGCGCTGAAGTAGGTCGTTCTGTTGAAGCGGCGAGCGAGAGCAGGTCTCTGGCGCTAATTGGTTAAGCAAAACGGTGTAGTTCTCGCCATCCTTCACGTCTGTGGAGAAGTTGGTCACGCTACTTGTGTTAGCAGATCGTTTCCTGACATTCGGACCTTCGCCACGACTTACGTTCTATGCCACTTTGCATTCTTCAGGTGATAGTTGAACCATCGTAGGAGGATCTGCTCCGGGGGAAGGCGCAGGAACTGCTCGAGTGTCTCATCGTCATCCAGCAGTCTGTACAGCTCGGGGTGTAACTTGATATCAATTTTGCCGAGCAAACCTCTCCTGATGACCTGCCAGATCAAGCCCAGGATGAGATGCTCGCGTACCTCGATAATGTCTCCACTGCCAATGTTAACAACGGAACACCCGATACCCTTTGCCGACTCAATAACAATGTTGTTGTTCTCAGTGAAGTGGAAGTTGTTCAGCGACTTGATCTTCTTGCCCGGCTTGTTCAGAACACGCTCGTCGATTGTGTCTGGTACACTGTCGTTGATCAGCTTAGACAGCACGAGACCATCCTTGCACTGGTCAAACATCTCGAAGGTGTCAGTGGGAAAGGGCAGGCGGTCGCCAATATCTGGGTCGCCGGCGAGGACAGCATTGATGTGGCGCGTGAACTCGGTTCGCTCGTCCTCGTTGATGGTGTGGGTGACATTTGCGGAGGAGCCCTGCACCTGAATCCTGCCGCCTCCGGTGCCGATACTAGGCTTCGAGGCGTGCTTGGGGGTTGAGGGCGCGCTGCCGGCAGCACCGGATACTGCGCGCGGGCGTGTAGGGCCGGTGCTCATGCGCTGCTGCGCCGGCGACGACTGACGCAGCTTGGAGATGAGGTCTACGTAGTCGTCCAGCTCTACTCGCCGCGAGCTGTCGAGCTCGACCTCTTTCAGGGCCTGACGCACTACATCGTACGGCTGGTGCTCTGTCTGCTGGGTGGCCTTGATGACTGTCGCCTCGTCGAGGTAGCCCTTGTCGTCGACGTCGAGCTTGCGGAAAGCGTCCTGCAGGCCGAAGATCTCGCCCTGTTCGAACTGGGGGTACTTTCTGCGCGCAATGGGCGTCAGTCGCTGTGGGATCTGGGCCATCTCCGTGGAAGCTTACCTCTGCAGCTTGATGATGTTCATGGCTGTGGTGGTGTGCAGGAGACTGCGGTACGTGAGAGGGCGGGTGTAAAGATAGTCGCAGAGGCAAAGGCTGCAAAGTCACTGCCTGGCTCAGCCTCGTTCTGCGTTGCGCGTTCGACGTTTGTGTTCTCCTCGTCCTGCTTAGTCTCTGCCCTGATGACGCGGTGGGGCACCTGCCAAGATGGGCACGGTTGGGCGGCGTCGAGGGGCAGGTGCGACTGAGTACGCCGGCGCTAACGTAATGCGCACATCTACACATGGACATGCATGTATGGCGATGCAGGCAGCTGTCAAGCAGTATACTGGCTCGAGACGGGCGCAAGCCGTGCATTGCATGTGCACGTATATGCTGCCTGCAGGGCTGCTTTCTTCTGTCCCTGGGAGACTATCATTTGACAGCAGGCGCGGGGCCGCTGCATGCGCAAACAAGACGCCGTCCGCTGGAGCTTGTCCACTGCTGCCAGCTCATACCGTGGATTTGCATGTAGGGATGAGAGGAGGTCGGGCGTTGATGGCTTCACTTTTGATATCGATGAATGGAGCTTCACTCACTCAACCACCTCCTCGAAGCTCAAACTCCACGTCACTGCATCGCAAGGAAGACATGTCAAGACGAGGACACATCACTCGAAAACAACAGAAGACCGGACTAAAAAGAAGAGCTTTTGATTCCCTCATTATCATAAGGTTCTCCGTCGTCCTAGGCTCGTCAGGGTTCATAAGAGTAAACACTAGCCCCTACACCATCGATTGTAAAGATACTGCCGTGAGCATCCGGCGACTGCTCGTGTGCATATAAGCAGAGCGCCTAGATCTCAGTCTCCGCAACTAAGAACAATAAGGCGATAGAGAATGCTGCAAGCATGCCTGCTCGCCGAAAGCACACATCATTTTGTCTTTGTATTCGTTATCGCTTGGTCTTCGTCACATGTAGGGTGAGACTCGTGGTATTGTGCGACACAAACGTGGGTGTATATGTTCGTTGAGAGCATTGAGTAACGCGCTGCCTGAGAGTGGGTCTGAAATTATCCATGGTCGAGACAGCTGTGAGATGAGTGGTAGGTTCCGACAGCGCGCTAAACAGTAGCAATGCTTTGCCCTAGTTAATCGTCGACAAGATCAGAGGTTGGGGAAAGAAAATACAACACCACCACCCGCAGCATGAAGCCAAAACGTCTAAATGAACGAGGGTTGGCTTGTGCCGTATGCAGGTCGTATATCGTAAGAATGAAAGTGCAGGATACTGCCAAACTGGTCGTTAAGGTCGTGAATGCCGAGGTGCGGAAATGTAGACATGACAGAAAATGAAAATGGTCAATCAACAGAAGGAAACGTCCTCGTTGACTATGATTGAAGGTTGGGGTTGGGTCGCTCCTTTCGAGTGGAGGCCAAAGTCGAGCCGCATCGCCTTCGACATCGCAGATGACGATCATCAGCTGCGGCGTCAACGGACGCAGCTGCTGCGCTACCTCTGCACACGCTGAGGTTGAGATTGCATTGTATGAGCACGCTGAATGCCGGGTGTAGGACCTTGGGCGTAGGGGCCAACTGCACCTCCTTCCATGGTCTTGCGCCTCTTGAGGCCACCCATGTCATCACCCTGGACGCTGTCGGGGCGGTAGGCTTCTTGTTCGTCGTCGTCGCGACTACGTTTTGCCGAACCCATGCCATTTGTAGCAGGGTAGCCTTGGCTTGCGTACTGTGTGGGACCTGGGTAGCCGTCGTGAGAGGCACTGGCGTTGGGAGCAGAGCGGGGATCACTGCTCATGACGCTGTAGAGGTTGCTCGAGGGAAGTCCCTGACGCTGAGGGGTGGGGTAGCCTGAGCTCCACGCTTGCCCTGTGGTTGCTGTGGTGCGTGGGGTTGCGCGACCTGAGCCATTTTGGTGTGGGGATCCGGTCATCTCCGGTGACAAGTGTGGATGGTCGGGGTGCATTGCTCCCTGAGCACCGTTGTGGTTATAGCCATAAGCACTCCTGTTACCATTGTAAGGAGCGTTGGAATGAGTGTACTCGTGATCCTGTTCGTGATCGCCTTCGCCCCCGTTGGGTGCGCTGCCTTGGTCGTTGGATTGCGACAACGATCCATCAGCAGGCTTGACCTCATTCTCATCCGGGACTTCGGTGATCCTAGACGGTGGCGCCATCTCAGTCTTGGGATACTGGCCATCATTGCGGTATCCCATCATGGACTGACCTTGAGTGTGGTACTGGCCAGGTTGAGAGGGAGGCGCAGAGTACATGGGCCTGGAGCCATCATAACTTTGCGCAGAAGGGTATGAGATGCCCTGCTGTACGGCGCCCGGAGGTGTGCTTGCCGGCGTTGTTGGCACGGAACGGGCGTTGCTCAGACCAGTGTCGATGGAAAGCGGCTGATTGCTTGGGGCGCCCTGCACATTGGCGCCATTCCACTCGTACGAGCTGCCTTGGTTACCCAGACCCATGATACTCGACGCACTTGTAGGCGGTGTGGGGAATGTGTGAGCACGGTCAAGGCCAGGTCGCCCGGCAGACGGGTGTGGCTGAATGGCATGCGGAGGCTGCGACATAGCCGTACCGATCGGGTTACTCATGGAGTGGTGGTGGTGAAGAGCAGGAGGCTGTGATGTGGTGGGCCCTGCTAGGTATCTTTGAGCAGTCTGCACACTGTCAGATCGAGGACGACCAACAGCGGCCATGGCGGCGCTTCCTACACTTTGCCTGTTCTGATTCGTAGGGTGGTAGAGTAGGGCTCCGATGTCGTGAACAAAGAGAGGGTACAATGATTCAGTAATCTTCTCCTTGTTCGCGAATTCGAGCGCACGTTCGAAAGGGATCCTGTAGCATATAAGCGATTGTATCTTGGAATGGCTGCCAAAACACTTACCAAACCCCCTTGAGATGCATAGGGCCGATCTTGACGACGTGCCTGGTCTTCTCGCTCTTCAAGATACCATCTCGGCGACCTCTTGTCATGCCCGCCACGTTGAGAAGCTTCGTGCCGTTGATCATGTGGTTGTCTTCGCGACGGGCAACACACACGCCCTTTGCCTCCACCTGGAAGCAGAGACTGCCCTCATCTTCCCAGAGCGTAGCGGTCACACGAGGCTTCATTCCTGGCGGTGCGACCTGTCCAGTATGGTCGAACGTGTGGGTCTGGTAGCTCTGTGGTGCAGGGGCTGGTGCGCCTGAGGACATTGCTGCATCTCGTCAGCAGGCAGATAAGATAAAATGAACACATGGGCTTACCAGGAAGCTGAATTGTGGAAGGCACCATGGAGCTGTTCATGGATGATGATGCTGGTAGCTGTGAAGGAACGCCGTTACCGTAACCATAGGAAGGGTAGCCTGGTGGCGCCGAACCATACTGAGGGCCAGGCTGCAACATTGATGGCTGTTGCGGGTAGGAGTAATGAGAAAGTCCTGCGGGCGGGCCAGAGGCGGGTGCATGTGCGGTGGCAGCAGACATGTGGGGCGGGTGTACGTCGGCGTACGATTGCATCTGGTTCATGCTGCTGTAGCCCGGTTGCGGGTAGCCGAAGCTGTTTTGAGTGCCGTACGGGGAGCTTTGCTGCGATTGCGCATGCAATGGCTGACCGTCGCGGTTCAATGACTGTGGCGTCTGCTCGGGGGAGGATGTCTTGAACCCTGCAGTCTGGCCGTGCACCGAGGCAGCGTACGAAGTGCTCGAGCTCGCGACTGAACCACCACTTATCGAATCACTTCGAGGCGACGAGTTTGTGGATGACCCACTGGAGAAGGTTGAGTAGGATTGGACCTGGGAAAGTGCTGGCAGACGCTCGGCTGATGCAGCAGTCTTAGGCGTGTACTGTGAGTTGTACCAAGTATCAACAGGGCCGCGGGCGTGGACCGACGAGATCGATGGCAGCTCCAGCTTTACGGTATTGACAGATGCTCGCTTGCGCGCGCGAGGTATCGATTTCGAAGAAGATTCTGGTAGGAATCCTCGAGTCTAGGCAAGAGATAGCCGAGCGCGTTGTCGTGCAGATGTAACGGCAAAGCTATGCAAAACTCGCTGAGACGATAGGCTTGCTGTGATATAACTGGATGCGCGACGAGGCGGACACCTTCACCGCAAGTCAGTTGTTTGTTTGAACCAAACAAGGTCATGGGTACACTGGTCAACATTTCCAGGGTCCGCTAGGGTCGCGTTCCGCACGCACAAACACTCTGGATCAAACGTCCACATTACATTCGTAAGGATCTGCTGGTTTTGGGGAAGGGTACGCGATCTGGACAGTGGTAGATTGGAATCACTCACCAAGTAGATCCCGAACAGCAGGAACAATGGAATGTTCAACGTACACGCTGACCTGTGCTCGAACGCTGCAAACAATGCTGTACAGTCAAAAAGCCAGTCGTAACGTCGTTGCAATCGTTAATCGAGAAATCGCAATGCTTTCGAAGTCGTTTCAAACACGCTCAATGACGAATTGACGAATGCCGGCCTAGAACAATAGCGATAAGTTCTGCAACAGCTGAGTTCATCTACTGTCAAGTTGTGTCGTCTCGAGTCGTCGTGAGGTCGTAATGTCGTGGCGCTCGTCAATCGCGGGCCGTGCAGTATCAATACCGATGGCTGCAGCTCCAGCAAAAAGAACACTACGCGACTCACACGTCAGTAGCTGCGAGGGGCAACAAAGGTGAACAAGAAAGCGACGAATGCCGACCTCCGCCAATCTATGAGTAGGAACAGGAGCCAACAGAACTGCGTGTAGCTGACTGCGTGGGAAGGCGGAGGTATTGAGGCGGAGGTGGTTGGGATGGACTTGGGAGCTAGTCCGAGCCCCCAACCAACGGACAACCAACCAAACCAGACAACGAGATAGGCGAGAGCACGGGAATCGCTGGTCTGGGTCCGGAACAAATGTGGTTGTCTTGTATTGAGGAGCAGAATCAGGAATGAACGTACCAATGCCTCAACGAACGGACGCAGAGAGTGTAATACTCACGGCGATGCTAGTTGTATGGCGAGTGTGGAGAAGAGAGGTCGTTCTCGTCGGCGGTGCTGCAGGATTCTCTGCAGGCTCGAGAGCAGGCAGGCCGCAGCTAAGAGGGCTGACCGAGACAGGCGAGCCACGCACGCCCCGCAATGCAGTCCGTCCGAGGATGGGCTCTTTTTCAGACGGCGTGTCCCTACAACGTCAGTGCGCTATCGACGCCCCGGGCAGCTCGATCCGCAGTGCGCGATGATGTCGCTGCTCGACGGGACGGCGCGAGTTTGCATCAACGGCGGCACCAGGACTGGTCTGCGATGGAGAATGCCTGCCACAGCGCTGGCCGTCAGATTCAGATGCGTCGAAAGCGCACGCTGTGCTGTAGCTGTGCCTAGAGACGGGTGGTGGAGATCTTCTGGGGACGCTCAGCAAAACGCACCCACGAGCCGCCGCTCGCACACAATCTAAATTCGCTTTGGGCTTGGTGGCGGCGGCCATCGGTGCAAGCCAGGATTGGGGTGGCCCGGCTTGCGCTCCCAGCCTGGGCCGAGAAGCAACAGTCCCGTGAGAAGACGACCGTTTCGCGCTCGAGAAGCACAGACGGCCGCCACGGTGCATGCTGACTGGGCTGATCGGCCGTCACAGACGCTGCATGGAGGACAGGCTGGCAAGGACAGGGTTACCAGGCCTATACCACGGCGACTATGCACGCAAGCGAGATGCTCTACGTCCAGCCACCTGACGGCAGAAGTCAGCATCCGCACGACAAGACAGAGGCACAGCAGATCGGCCGACGAGCCCTGCTTGCCGCGCCAGGACCGTCAGGGTGCAGAAACGGCGGAGCAATTGCTATTCTCGTGGCGCCCGCCAGCACCACGATCCATCCTCGACGGTTGACGACCTGGCTTTGTGCAGGGGTGCTGCGCCAGACTTAGCGGGCGCCTACTCTTTCAACAGAGAGCATCCCGCTTCCTGAAGCATCGGCTGGGCCCCCGATAGGGAGCTGATGGCTGGCTTTCTGATGGCCAGTCAGAACAACCGGAGATGATCGCTGTGGAGCTCCAGCAAAGTTACGGAGGTGATAAGAGACGTTTCTTAATAAGCCGCAGCCGGTGCTGTTGCGGATGCCAACATGCACAGACCGAGGGCCAGAAAGCACCATCCCAGCGAGCGATCGGGAAGCTGACCCTGTTGGAAAGCCTTCAGCACTTCCACGGGCGGGCAGCTGAGCGCGCTGAGTGGCCCGGCAGGCGCGTTGATATGCGCTGACGATGCAAGTCAAAGTAGCGGAAAGCCTCAACGCAGAGTCCGGAACTGAGCGTCGAGCTCCACAGAAGCAGACTTCCCGCTGTCGGTCCGCAGCGCTCACATTCTGAAACGCAGGCTTAACTGCCGCGGCACATGCTCGTCATTGTTTCCGCTTTCAAAACGGGCATCGATGCTTCGGGCAGGACAGTCTGCGAACTCGAGCAAGGTGGTCTGGGCATCTCGAGCTGACGCTCCCTCAGGCTAATTAAATGCCCGTGGGCGAGATCCAACGACTCTGTCGCAGGGATGGGCACGGGAGAGACGGACGGTAGGCCGTGCCAGCCATATCCTCGCTGCCCAGCCCAGGCAGGATTGAACAAGCCAGCTGTGGTTGGATGGATATCGCATTCCGACAACCTGGACAGTCTGAAGTCTGAAGCAGGCAGGAGAGAGTGTCTATCGATTGCCCACGCGAGGCCAACATTCAACAATGTCGACAAGATTCAGAGGCGCGAAGCGAGCGACTCCAGAGTGAGCATGTGCAACGTGGAGACTCGAGAGAGTGCGACGCTCATGTCATGCCAGCAGGGTGAGCAATGAGAGGACGTGAGAGGACGAGACGAGCCACACTCAGCGAAATGTGAGCGCCGCGGCACCGCTCGTCTCCACTTGTGCTCACAGCTCGACTCCCACCCAGAATGAATTCACTCGACAAACGTGCCGATTGTGCGACCAGGCGTGGTGTTAGATGTGGATGCCGTGCTGGATGATAGGGCGACGTCTACTTGCGGTGTGAGTGATGTGTTGTCCGCTAGCCCTCGTTGGGATGGGGCCAGCTCAGTCATGCCTTCTTGCCTCATCTCTCCAACAGCCACCCGTGCAAAGCTCCATGACCGTGTCTCCCTCGCTGTCGGATTCAGAATCCCAGCACCTTGGATGGTGCGAGACGCTGCTACACAAGTCGACAATTGCAGTAAGCTGAAACAATTGCTGCGCTACGATGCTCCTGCACCCTGCACATGCGCCGAACATTGCAAGCTCGTGTCTTGCCAGAAGTAGAACACATCGGATGCTGAACAAGTGGAATGTCACCGTCGCGGGGCCCGTAATACGGCGCAATGTGCGGGACAGGCCGGCTCGATTCATGCAACTTCCATGCGAACGGTTGGAGGGCGACTGGTTCAGATATCGTGCCAGCCACACCTGACAGATGGCATTGTGCCAGCCTGGCCGCATTGGACGCGCCAACCCAACTGTTCGCATCTCATTCGGTCTTAGATACCACATGGAAGATGTGCAATCCCCACTACAACGACGAACATCCTCGCTCTCATTCTCTAAACGTTAACAAGTAAACGTGGCAGTGATAACTGATGGCCAACAAGCTCTGATTTGCACTTGTATCACCAAATGACGATATCAGATGAGCAGCGTTCAGAGGAGCGCATCATCAACTGAGATCAATCAATACCAGGTCGAGACCGAGGATCCATGCCCTTGCAGCCTGGTGACACGGCGGCAAGCCTAAGGAAGCTTGTGGTACCACGAGAATCGTAAGCGATCCCGTACTGTGTCACCATGTGGTAGCTGAATTCTCCATCATCCCTTCAGCAAGGCTCGGTCATACCATCGTCGCGTGGGTCAATGTGTCTAGCAAATGCACAGGTCAATTTAAACGTGCAGTGCATCGCATCCGGCGCGAGGTGGGAGCGGATCGTGGAGAAGGCCCGCGCCCGTGTGTACATGACTTGGATTCAGCGGGCATGCTGACCACCACCACCACCAGAATGACACGCGGGTCTGAATCATCGTCAAACGTCGACCCCTCAGAAACAGGGGCGAGCTGATCATGCGCAAACTGTGTTCTACTTCTGGCAGCTAGAACTACCAATTGGTCCCCGGAAATGGTATCAGCCATCGCCTCGAGCACAACAATAATGTTCTCGTAAGTGGCCACGCAGTGGGGACTGTGCGTCTCTTGTTTGACACATGGAGGTCGACACACAGGGAGACCGCTCTAGATCTGGCAGGAACACATTTCAAACTCAGCCTGTTCGTGATCAGATGCGGTTGACAGTCAATGGATTGCCTGTAATGGTTACCGATGGGTAAATGTGTGCGCTGAGCATTCAATCCTGCTCATGGACAGCTCGAACAGCTCAAACAGCAGCTGCGATCTGTCGACAAGCGTTCCTGCAGCTGTGAGGCATTCCCGCAATACGGCTGCACTTGGGCGAGGAATGCACTTCAATAGGCTGGGTTTCGAATGCACCTACCCGCCTTTGCATATGCGTGTGATGAAGGGTATCCCTGTGGAGTGACCCCTCCTCATTCTGCCTGTCGAGCATGACCAGAGCGAACTGCTGCAACACCGTCTTGCGTGCAGTTGCACACGCTACACCTGTGTCTGTGACATTCTTGCTATGGATCTTGCAGATTGTGCCAGATTGATCCGTCCTCGAGAAGTCGAAGACTGCAGCTCCCCGAACTCGAAAGCGATGTCGATCAGTGCTCGAATCCATAACGAACCGATCAGATAGCGCATCCCGCCAATCATAGCAGGCCACGTTGAAAGCCAGCAGAAACGTTATCGGGGTCTGGACAGAGCAGAAAGCCACCGCCGCTCCTTGCATCCCGGACGAGTGTCGTGGGGTCCCAGATTGTCCTGTGATTGGTGGCATGGCCTAGCATGGCTGAGCTCACCGGTCGTGCGTGGAGACATTTTGCCCCACTGCTTGTCATCTCACCTCATGCTCTTGTGTCCGGCTCGCTTGCTGCAGCATTCTCTAGCGCCTTGTGTAAAAACTCCAGATGCTCATCGACGGCCTCAACAGACTTCAGCGGTCGAAGTGAGGGGGCAATTAACGCGGTTATCCGTCGAGCCGTGAACAAGCATCCTGGAGAACACAAACACCCACACCGCTAGTCTATTCTTGCCTTTCCCGATATCTCTCCTTCATGAAGGAACGTTGTTCGGCAACAGCAGGATCGTACTTCGTATAACGAGCTAGGGTTGTTTCATGGATGGATTTACCCCGCCGTGAATTACGTGCAAGTGCTCCCTTGCTTCAAGGGCTGAGGGGCCGGGCATTCGAACATGTGCCAGCAGTGACAATAATTGTCTCTGAATCGTAACAATACAGAGGGAGGCGCATTCTGAGACATACATAGCGATTGCCGCTGCAATGCAGCGTCCCATAGCGGCGGCAGGCAGGTTCCCATCTCGCAGCGAGCAGAGCCGCTTGCTATCACGGCGCATTCGCTTCCGCCTCCGCATACCGCGCACGACATACCTACGTGCGTTTGGCCGTTCTGTCCGGGGAGACACTGCAGTCTGCCATCTTGAAACGACCTGACACCTCAGATCATCTCCAAGATTTCTTTTTGTCTCAAAGCAATACATCGCTGAAAATCCCAATTCAGACAAATTTATTGATTGCAGCTCCGCGGTATCCGTAATAGATGCTGGGGTTTCCCATCTGTCACTTTGCCTATCATTCGGCCGAATGTCCAAGATCAGTGCTGTATGGATCTTTAACGACCCGCTTGCAACTGCGGAAGGCGGCTCTTTGCGGCCTGTCATGAAATTTGACGATGGTGGCGGGAATAAACGTTGGCAAAGGTTCTCCGTACCCGAAAGCGAGGTCCTTCGAACTCTTTTGGCAAACAATATTGAGTTCGGTGATTATCAGAGCTCGATGTCACCCTTAGCGCCTTTGATGAAGCTCAGAGGAATGTGCTCAGTGACTTCATACAGACAGCGCCGCTTGCATAAGTGATTTCACAAGAATGAATTGGAGATGTAATCCTGTCACAACGAGCCGCCAAATAGTTGTGATAGACCGATCGACTACTTGTAGATCCGTGGCTCGTAGCTCGCTGGTCCTACCGAAAGCGTCCTTCAGGAACTAACTTCCACCATCCACATAGCCGACGCTTGCATCAAGAAGAGCTGCAACGCAATGCAGTAGGTATCCCAGACAACCGAACAGCGCTTACTGCCACGCTCACAGCCTCACACGACTTCCCCGGCCCCAAATCCGTGCTCCGTACCAAACACTCAATTCGACCCGTGCACGCTAAAGCCTACGCGTCAACCATGGTCCACACTCCAACCACCGCTCTCCACTCTGAACTGCTGAGGTGCTAGGATCCACTCGAACAGATCAAGTCTATGGAACGTGCGAGCCCGGTCTCCAACGCGGCGCAGCGACCAACATGCAACGATACGGACGGACGGAGTCACTAGGTGTGCCATTAACGGGTGGAGTGGGGGCTGGGAAAGAGGTGGCATGGCTGGCATGGAGGGTTGGTCGTAACAGAGCTATGACCGTGGAGGTGTGAAAATCTCTGCAGCTGCGGGCCGAGAGAAGCCGTGTCCGGGCGTTGCAGATGGCAGCTGCGAACTACATGCGATGCGATGCAAAGCAATGGTTGCGGTTGCGGATCGACCATGTGATTGTATGTGCATGCACACGATTCTGATCGTGTTTGATGTGGTCCCCTTGGTCGGACTGTAATTGCTGCAAGTCTTCAGATCTTGTTTCTAGAACAATCTCGAGGCAAAACCCTGGTGCTTGCCGTTGGGATCTCCGACTTGACGGCTGGGCTACAATTATGTGTGAGCTCAAGGCATCGAGCAAAGATTGCACGGTCAATGGGATCGTTGGGTTCGAGACCTGCCTACGTCGCCACTCGTGACCATGAACGTTGGCGACTGGTGCATACGCCGCCGCCAGCATCGAAGTACCATGCCAGGTCTCAGCCAGGACGATAGGATTGAACCAGCCAGGCAAAGGCTCCCTGAATGCAACAGTCATGGCGCGCAAGAGATCTGGGCTGTACTCACATCCTGTATTATGGTTTCCCTCTGATATTGGGATGCTGACTTATAACACAAGTAACTACCGCTGTCCGGTGTTGCAGTAGCTACTCTTCGAGATCCAAGAAAAAATCGAACGCTTGCATGTCGGTCTTTGCCTCCTATCGAGGCATTAGTTGCAGTAGGATCTCTCTCAGGGATGCCGTAGTGGCCACGTATCGACTCAAGATCTGAGATGAAAGGTCTCTGATGTCCGTATCGCCTCCAGTAAGCCCCAAGACTTTCACAGCCCTAGAACGTCCAGTTTAATCCGCGTCGTCCTCCGCAACAACTGCTGCTTGAAAAACCACAGGATCTTTCCGGGGAGCCACAGGGAAAGTGTACGGTCCTCGGTGGCTACGATCCGTCGCAGCTGCTGGAAGTCAAAAGTCAAGCTCTGGAGTACAGTAGTCACGGACTCAGCCTGAGATCGCTGCTATTCGCCCGGCAACCCGAGAAACTTCGTGACTGATCTCACACAAGCACAAGGGTAAGCTTTCTCATGTCGGTGTCGGACCATGCTGTAAAGATCATCGTCGATAGTCAGCCGCTGAGCGTATTTACTCAAGGCCTGCGCCCGGTTTTTAGGTTCAAGTTACCCTTACTGCAGTCCTCAGTATGTGCGAGAAGACAAACTTGCGGAGATCTGGCGTGTGTGGCGGTAGTTGCTGGAGTACCGGAATTGGAAATCGGGCTTTGTCAGAGAGTTACAGAGTAGTGAGCTTATACCCCCTAGGCGGAGCAAGGCTCTTGGATTATGAAGCGTAATTTTGTTGGGCCTTGGGAAGTTATTGACAGCAATTTGAGATTGGAAAGGTCGGAAAATGACAACCATATGAGCAACGTGCTCATTGGACGTTATGTATGGGTGTGTGTGCATAGGTCACAAGTGATCATGAGACTCCTCAAACAATGAAGCGGGCCATATAGCAATGCTGAGCTAGTGTTAGGACCGCCTTTTACCAGCGATGGAAGCCGTTATCTCTCCATTAAGGGGCTGTTATTGAAAGTGTATGCAGCCGTGTGCATCAAGCAAGCATTATTGCGATGATAGCAATAATGTCATTGTGCGCAGGCTGGAAGCAGGTTCTCTTCAGTGAGACGTTCTCCACGGCGCTAAATCCGAATGAGACTCTCACGGGGCTTTTCGCTGCTACAAGCGGGCTCACTGTAGTCTCGAAGTTCCTCACTATACCAGCGTTTCGGGGCCTGTCCTCGAAGGTGCGAAGGGAACATGTGACTTTGAGTCTGCCGTTCACCGTGTGGTATCTCAAGCCCACTTGGATCCTCTGGTTCAGAACCGGCAGAGCGCTGTTATAAAGGCTGCGGCATGTGCTCACGAGGCTTTTGATGTCACTGGTCGAGAGATGAACAGCCACGAGGTCGACGATTTCGGTGGGAATTGAGAGGATGGACGCCACTGTAGTTGAAAAGCGAGAGAATTACGACATGTACATACGAAGAAAGGGGGAAGTGTGATGGTTGGGCCAAATGCTCCGTGGAGCTGTGAGTTGGAGTAAAAAGCACTTCCTCTAGCCGTCGCGCTACACGGCAATTTTGTCGCACACGGATAGTAACAGCCGTGTCGTCGCGAAACAGTAGACGTGAAGGACAGAATCATGCAGGTCGTCGCAATCTTATTGGCGGTCAAGCCCCCACGCCCCGCACTAATCCTAGCCGCAAGTGCGCCGCATCCATCCCAACTTCCTCACTTCAATCTTCGCACGACTACCCCTGCGAAATCAACGACACCGGCCCACGTCCGTGTTACAAGCAAACAACCGGTTCATAATGCCAGCTCCCAACGATATTCTCTCCGACGCGGATATCAGCAAGGCCTACGAGGATGTCAGGAGCGACAAATCAGAGACCACGTGGCTTGTCCTCAAGTATGAATCCGCAACAAAAGACAACCTAAAGCTATCTGGCAGCGGTACAGGTGACATTGCCGAGATGGTTGAAACTTTTGGTGACGACGAGGCGGCGTACGGATACGTGCGTATGAAGCTAGGAAACGACGAGTATTCGGAGCGGGTCAAATTCGTGTTCGTTGTCTGGGCTGGTAAGTAGATTTTGATGTCCATCTTATATGGCGCAGGTGATTCAAGCACTCCAGAAGCAATTTGTGGCTGTTTTAGCTGGATCCGAGGGTTCATTTTAGGCACAGAAGCTGATACGATATGCAGGTCCCAACACCAAGATCATGCGCAAAGCCAAGATGAGCTTCCAAAGCGGGCAGGTCAAGCAAGTTGTTCGCACATATGCTGTAGAAATTCAAACAAGCGACAGGAAGGAGCTAGAGGCGGATCAGGTCACCATGAAGCTGCGAAAAGCCATGGGCGCTAACTGTGCGACGCTCCTTTGTATGTCGGGAGTGAACGCTGACTCAATGCAGATGACCGTCAAACCACGACGTACTGAGTCAATATGGCTGATTCTGCATTACCTCTGTAGTTCACATGCCAAATACTAGATTGGAGAGAGCGAAGAATCAGCTTCTGACAGTGGTCGGAACCCAGACTTTCCGAATGAGGCGCACTCTCCGAGCACGTCCGAACGTTAGTCGAAGTCCACGATGTCCACGACCACACTGAGACGAAATCAAATTAAACGCTGATCAACATTGCACGGAAACCATCACGTCCTCGCGCAGAACTTATGAGCGGAGTGACCACTCCTCATTTGTTACTTTTGCGTATGCCGGTCTGATTATCAATAGTGAGACATGTGCAATTAACTATCCTAGTGCCTCTTCTTCTTACAGGCCGCGATCATTAACTTAAACACGCTCTGTAAACGAATCTTCCTCGCTATTAGCAGCCGACTCAGCATCCTCTTCGGCAACTCTGAGCTGCTTCAGCTGTTTTCGATGTTTCCTGCCCAGGGCGAACATGATTTTTGAGCTGGAGCCCTGACCAATCACGAAGAGAACATGGCTAATTGGCGTGGTCCATTGGGCGGCGGATGGCCACCCGGCAAAGTTGATGCCGTAGAGATACATCGCGACGATGGTCTCGTCAACAGTGCCCACGATGGCCAAAACCATCCCAGTATAGCAAAGCCACATGTTCAGACGATGCTTCTCGGGCCAGATCATCCGAGCCACCAGGCAAGGGCGAGGCCACAGGGCAGCCATAATGTCAAACATGCCTGGTTTCAGTGTTGATAATTGGTGAACAAGGAAGAAGTGGCATATCGTATGTCATGATCAGCACCGTATATGCTGAGCTGCTAGACTCAACACCCAACGCACGTTCCTGGTGAACATGAGTGAGACGATATTTACCGCACCAAGATGGTGGATAACACTGACCCAAGACACCCGAGCTGATATACACCAGTTCGTCCAGGTACATGGCAGTGAATATCGCCATCGCAACAAAGACGATATCACCAATGGTGGAGTTTGAGCCAGTGATGTGGGGGTCGCTGAAATCAGCGAGTTCGTTGACAATGAGCAGGTAGGGAAAAGGCAAGGCCAATCATGAGGCCTTTGGCGAGACTGGGACATGATGGTTGGTGAAGCCACGCTCCTTCTCTTCAGACAGCCGCTCCCAAGGCACTTCGTAGATCTTGGGGAAGAGGTAGTCATAGGATGCGCGCGTGGCGATGAAGAAGACGACGAGTGGCTCTATGAGTTAGCTTCGGGATTATCAAAGTGCGTTTGAGACTCACGATAGTCATGAGCAGCATTCCATGGTGAGAATAGCTGGACACCAATTGGCCGGTCAGCTTTTGGATGGCGTGGGCATTTATTAGCAGCGCGCTCTGGTTGCCATTCTATTCGATGTGGTGATAAAAAGCTAACCAGCTCTGATGTTGCTGCGATGCTTACCTCGCTGGAACCTTTTGATATCCTGGTGTGGAAGTTGAAAGGTGAAGATAATTTTGTGTTTAAAACATCAGATTGGGCTTCAAATTTGGCAACTTGCATGCCCATGACCTAGAGTTGTTTTAATTGGGGTTGCATTGCGCTTTCAGGGTCTATAAATCGTTCGACCTCAACACACCTCCCTCACTACTCCCGTTACAATATCGTTGTCGATATAATCTATATGTAAGCTATGAAGAATTGCACAAGAAAGGTACGTACCAGACATCAGTTGCTTGTGTTAAGAACAATCCAGAAGAAGCCCAGGGGCAAAGACCGAAATTGCCATGTTGAAAAGTGCTTGTGAAGGCTGCAACAATATTCCGACTCTACACAATAATTTTTGTGGGGGACGTAAAGTCTCTAGGACCTGGCATCTTCTACCCGACGCGCTCTTGCCTGCCTAATTCAGAGTTTCGCTCATGCCTTTTTTCTTTCACAATGAGCTCTGTGTCTGCACTCATATGCGATTTTCACCATTCTGTATCTACTACCTGCATTCAGAAAGTTTCGAAATAAGCAGATATGACCGCTTGTGTGTCGCAATTTCCAAAAAGGTCACCGAGGATCTCCAATGCTCCTGTCATGTGCACGCAGACTCCGATTCAAGACACTCCTGACTATCCCCAAAATTAGCAAATAACCATCAATGACTTGGATTTGCGTACAAGAAGAGTCTCTGACTCTGTCTTGTGCCTGAGCCAGCACAATATCACCGGAGGATATCAAAACCACTGACCTGATGACCTACCTCCCCTTACAAAAGTTCCAACCCCAGACCACCGCTGTCTTCTCGATAGAAACCTGACGTGTGTAAATTCATCTCACAGACTTGCATGTTTCCGAGCCTTCAATGACTGACGAAAGGCGATTCGACCAATTCCATGTCCCAAGTTCCTCCGTTGAATCATCAAAGCCAACATTCGCTCAGTTCATGAGGTTATCCCCGCACGAAGCCCACTTATGCTGACGAAAGTCTCTCAAAAGACACGGCATATGACAAACCGGTCAGGCTGCTCTGAAAATGTGTCTTCCGGGATGTACGACTGCGTTAAACGCTCTAAATTGAAAGAATATCTCGCGGAGCACAAAATTTCATCGCATGGCCGCTTGACTTCAAGATACAGGCAGATGTGTGACGTGTTCTCGCCGGAGTGTGCTGCATGGATGAGCGGTCATCGCGGCTGATGAATAATATGTCGGTCCACGGGAATACCTCATTCGAGCGCTGTGTTGCCGAAATATGCACAACGACACGACATGGCTGCGGCTGTCTTGACAGGATCCCAGCAAATGGGGTACAGTGTGGGCCAGGCAGGTACTATGATGAAACATGTGCAGCTCGCTTTCGTGTCTGCTAAAATGCACCGAGATTCCCTCAGGTCGTACGAAATTCGTGTCTTCGTTCATTCGTTCATCGTGGCTGTTATCACCGCATCGTTGCTACCCCAAATATGTAGAGCCCACACACAGGTGCCGAAAGATGAAAACGCCGCCCGGTGTACATCTTACTCCCACCACTCCTCTTCTCGCTGAAAAAGGAGGGAAATATCGCCCTGGCCTACAGATTGCTCTTATCCCCTTTCTTGTCGCTGGAGAGAAAGGGAAATATATGCCCCAGCCCAGCCCCTTTCTTCTCAACTGGCGCCAATGTCTTCGACTCTGGGTCGTCCGACGATGGAATATCTTTCTTATCGTGGTTATCCAGCCACTTCTTCTGGTCCTCACCCAGCTTAAGTGTCTTATCGATGTCTTTTGTGAGCTTGTCGACTTCGTCTTGTAGTTGCTCGTCTCTGCTCTTCTTGCCTTCTTCCTTATTTTCGGGCACGAATTGTCCTTCCCTCTTTGTACCCGCCCATAGCTCCTCGAGCTCGTCGTTCCACCCCAGTGCTGCTGCGAGTTCCTTTACGCCGGTGTCACAGTCCTTCAAGATGAGAACGTCGTCTGGCCGCGACCCAAGGGTGCCGACTTGTTCCATGTTGATGAGCAGTCGCGGTACGAACTCACCGACTTGTTGTGGGAGGCTGGCGAAGGGATGGACAGATAGGGATGTGCCGAGGACGATGCACAAGTCTGCGTTCTGGACGAGGTCGATGTTGTCGAAGAATTCTGCTGGTAGCTGTTCACCGAAGAAGACGATCTTGGGCTTGACGAGCCCGTTGCAATTTGCGTCGACGCAGTGGGGGACGGTCTTATTCTCGATGTGGGTGAGCATTTGGTCCTTGGGGTAGGACTTCTTGCACTCGATGCATGCTTGGCTGTGGCGCTGTTAGTGATGTCGCGCGGATTATACGTGAAGACTTGCTCTGCGAAACTGCCATGTGCTTCGATAATCTTATCGCCTGGTACGCCCGCTTCTCGCTCCAGACAGTCGATGTTCTGTGTGAAGAGCTTGAGTAAGAGCCCCTTTTCGTGTAACAGGTGGATGAAGGAGTGTGTTATTGTAGGTCGGTATCTGCCAGGGTACAGCTCTTGCGCGAGGGTGTAGAAAGGAAGAGGGTTTTCTCGGAAGAACGACAGCTCGAAGACGGCCTCGGGGTGTGGGAGATTCAAGCGCTCTAGGTTGGCGTACAGTCCGGTTTCTGGTGAGCGAAAGTCAGGAATGCCTGCAGATGTTGAGATGCCGGCGCCCGTCTGCACATGTCTTAGCTTTTCAGATCCTTCTCGAGTGGAGGATCTCCTTACCAGGACGACTATCTTCTTTGCCTTGCCATCCTTGATGTACTGCGCCAATGCCTCCGTCGTGCGCTGCTTCAACGTGAACGGCCTTGTGGACGGGTCCACCAATGTGCTCTCCTCGTTACCCATCTTGCGGACTCTACCTGCTCGCCCGCGACTCCTGTTCTTCGGTCGGCTCTTATCTGCCTTGTCTTTGCGCCGCGGCTTCTGCTCTTGAGCACGGTATTCTTGACGTTTGCGACCTATGGTGAAAGTGTGGTGGGACGAGGGGGGCTATATGAGTACGAGCTATGAGCCGAGTCACTTGCTCGACGTGGTCTTGCTGAGGTGGAACGTTGGACGGTGTATGCGTCTGCCTCATGAAATAATCTCCAGGCAGAGCTGATGGCGGGGCTGCGTCATTGGTGCACCTGAGCCAATAGGAGCTTCAGGAAATGGCAGCTCGCCATATTGAAAGTGCACTTGCATCGCAGTGGAAGAGGCCAAGTCAGCAATTGTGAGTCTTTGCAGAGGGCAGTGTCATTGTATGAGTCCATGATTCCTGACGGACTGTGATGAGAAGCTGTGCTCAACAGGGTACCTGGAAGCTGCAGGCAGTGATCAGAAATGCAACATCACCTGCAGAGCAGCCTGTGATGTGGAGTCTGCTCGCCCCACACATTATGCATTCGAGCTTTAGCCTGTGTGTACAATAGTTCAGAAGTATGCCAATCCTGCGTGCATGTGAGCAAGTCGCGTGCTCAGCGAAGTGGACTTGCTCAGCCAAGCAGGGCATGCAAGCAAGAACAATCTCGATACCTACGCTATTGTCAGGAATTAACGAGTAAGTTCGCGGATGTGAAAATCGCAATAATGTCGATCAACTTGACTCCTTGTCGCGTGTCGTGCCTGCGGCGGTGCAGTTCGCGCCAAGGCCGGCTAGCTCCGTTTACCCAAGTCTTTCGCTGCGCGCTGGTGACGACCGTCTCCTGGCCATCACCTCCACCCGGAGCACCCCACGACTTGTCTCAATCACCGCTTCTGTATCACTACACCCACATTCCGCCCTGACACCAGCGCCGTCATGTCTCGCGGAGGCGGTACTACGCTCTACGTCACCGGCTTCGGCCACGGCACCCGCGCCCGCGACCTCGCCTACGAGTTCGAACGGTACGTCCCATAACGACCTGCTCCCTCCCCGAACGCCGTCGATATCGTCGTCGCATCCTTCCCTCGGTTCTGTCTCCGCTATATTGCTTGCCATTCCTGTCCGCGCTTTCCCGTTGCGCGCGCCGCCAGCCTCGCTCCTTCCCGCCACGCTCGCGCGCCTGCCCCCAGCGCACCCTCCCTTCGCCGTCCTTTCCGCGCCGCACTCGACATCAGCCATCTCTAACACACGTCAAGGTACGGTCGCCTTGTTCGCTGCGACATCCCGGCCCCGCGCTCGGCTTCGTCTCGCCTGTGAGTATTTCCTTGCCTGCGCGCACCCGCGAGGCGCTAACAGCCCAGCAGCTTCGCCTTCGTCGAGTACGAGAGCCGCCGCGATGCCGATGATGCTTATCACGAGATGCACAACAAGCGCATCGGCCGCGATGACTTGCTGAAGATTGAGGTACGTTCGCACGTTTGGCTACTTGTAGCCTAGGCTAATGATGCGCAGTGGGCCCGCACTCCTCCTTCGGCATCATGGCGCTTCGACTCTGGCCGTGATCGCCCCCGTGGTGAGCGTGGTGAGCGCGGTAGCGACCGTGGCGACCGCAGCTCTCGCGGCGACGACCGTGGCGTCCCATCCGGCCGTGACCGTTCTCCCCGCCGTCGCAGCGTCTCTCCTCGCCGTGAGCGTGCCGGCTCTCCCCGCAAGGACCGTGAGCGCGACTACGACCGCCGCGACCGCGACAGGTCCAGGAGCCCCGTTGATGGTGACCGCGAGATGAAGGATGTCCGCGAGCGCGAGGACGAGCGTGGCGACCGCGAGCGTGGCGACCGTGAGCGCGACGAGAGGCGCGAGGGCGAGCCTCGTGCCGCTGAGCCCGAGCGCAAGGGTATGCTTTCCAACGCAGTGTATGACGAATTGAACTAATCAACAACGCAGCCGAATCTCCTCCTCCCCCTGCCGCACACGAAGACCTCGATGTTGCCGAGTAGAGCTAGCAGCTGTCATGCTTCGCGCGGGCAGTGCTCGTGCTGCTTGTCTGTCAGATCATCTGTATTGGCGTGTCTTTCACTTTCGAATTGCTACATGCGTGGGTTCTAGGTAGCGGAAAACGGCAAGGGCTCTGTGTTTCTTGGTGGTGGTCGTGTTGATGCCCGGCCATGCACTACATTAATCAATGCGCAGTCGAAAAGTCGGATCGGAATCTTTATTTGGCGAGTCGGTACCAGCGATATCCCACTCGATGCGGTTCGCTCTTGCGTCCTGTTCACCTTCAACGGTCGATCGGTCGATATCGAAGCGGTCGAACTCGGTAACTCGGTTTTCTGTACACTACACGGTCGAACTCGGTAGCACGAACCTTTCAATTCCCACCACACTCGATGCAACCCCGATACGCCCTCATCTCGTCCCCGTCCCCGTCCTCGATCCTTGACCAGCATCTCACCACTCCCGACGCGAATACACATCAAGGTTTGTATATCCCAACATGTTATATGTAGCTTCATCGACCTGTGTGATTATGACGACCATCTTTCTGGTCATGTGCAAGCCTCAATCTAATTCTGTTGAGCACGAACAGTAAATACACAGCATCTCAATTTATTCATTTCATAAAACGAAAGTCATGACATGAACAGCTCCATAGATTGAACAAGGTCCATTCCGTTCATCTGGTCTGTTTCATCAAGTCAACAGATATGCGTGCTATGTCAGCACTAAGTTGACATGATCTGATCGAACGCAGCATGACCGCCTCAGCTGCCAGTGACCCAGAACGACATAAACTGCCGAGGTCGATACACTGCGCTCCACGCAAACTTACTGACCATGTCTTCTGAACCTCAACCTAGAAACAAGGCTACCGCTACCATTGCTGCAAACCACATCTCACGCACCGCTAAGAAAGACGCTGCCATCCTTCTGCCTCACCTGAAGCCCGGCCTGCGCATGCTTGATGTCGGCTGTGGACCTGACAGCATCACTGTGGGCTTCGCGAGACATGTTCCCAGAGGCAGCGTCACGGGCGTGGATCTCTCGGATGATGTGCTGGTGCAGTCACGTAAGTGCCTTCACGTTCAGATAGCGAAAAGTGATGTGGGTGCGGAGGTGAGCTTCGAGGTTCTCACATGTCAGCGATGCAGGTGAGATCACTTATATGACCTAAAGAAGGCTATATATCGTAGCGACCGATTCTAGTCCTCTACATGTGCGAGGGTGTTGTCCAATGGCGTACAGAGTTACGAGAATGCTTGGTGTTGATACTAGCTTGTAGGAGATCCGGGAACGGGCCCTGGACTTGCCATCGCAGTCGAAATCTCGAGTATCTTTTTCTGGTCCATCAATGTACTGCAGTATACCAATTCCGTATTGTGCCCTTGGTTCAGACTGCATTGGCCTGGTAGTGCACAGAAGCGCTCCAAATACTCATGTTACCACTGATCGTTTGAGGACGCAGCAAGAATTTGGAGGTCTGATACAAGGGATGAAATCGCTTGCTGTTCGGGTGGTGCTTGCGGGGGCGTTAGCGGGCGCAAGGGCATTGCGTGGCTGTGCTGCGCCTGCCGCGTGCGTAGCGCGATATCGAACGGTTCACGTAGCATCCTTTCAAGAAGCTGTGTCGCATTCTGCCTCGATTTTACTCCTTCATTCACTCCACCTCGAGAGCGCGCTCCCAGCGACACCAACTCAAAAAAACCACTATTGCGGTTCATCTGCGAAGGAAACACCTGACCGACTTCGGAATCCGAGCACTTGCCCAGGTGCCGCGCCACGCCGTTCGAAAGTAACGAGAAGCGTCATCTTAGGCCAACACTCCTGCACCACCCTCGTCGCCGTCGGGAACACACCTCAGAAATGGACGCCAACAAGCAATACGTATGTCTCTGCTCCCACAATGCCATCACAGTGTTCGGCGCAACTCAGCGTATCTACCAACACCCCCCTGCGCCACATGTCTCGGCTGGCATCACAGGAGGCATCTTTTGAGAACACTTCATTGACTTCGATATAGGGCGCACCGCCACAGTACCCTCAGTCGCCGCCGCCGGTTCACCAAGATGCCGGCCCATACAACCAGGGCGGCATGCAGCCATACCAGCAGGGCCCGCCCAGCAGCAACGACTACCACGGCTCGCCCAACCCATACCAGCAAGGTCCCGGCTACGGGCCACCACAGGGCCAGTACGGACCCCCTGGAGGACAGTACGGACAGCCGCAGCAGCAGATGAACTACCAGCAGGGCCCGCCGCCACAGGGAGGCTACTACCAGGACGATAGGAGGCAGCAAGGAGGCGGAAGCGGCGGCCTGTTTGCCGGTCTGTGCGCTGGTCTAGCCTGTTGTTGCTGCTTGGACTGCCTGTTCTAAGCGCAGGCGGTGCTGCGACAGGTGGTGGAATGCGATGGGAATGCGATGAGCGCAGCTTGTGCGTGGGCAAGGCTGTGTTGAGGCAGCACATACTCAATACTTCGCGCCTGCTGGACGGGTTAATATTTAATCCTGGTCAGCAGAAGGGGTACCGAGATGAATGGTTATTTGGGTTTCCTTTGTTCTTGGTCAGGTCTTCCTTCTACACGTGATTCGGGGGATGAATCTAGTAGAATTTGGGTTACCATCTTCTTTCGCAACACCTTCAAAGTGACATGCTCTACTTGCCTGCCCTTGTTCACCAATACCGAACCCCCAGAATGTCACGGTGAACGATCTGTTCCGGCTTTCGAGCGTGCAAGTCTGCCCCGCCTCTCCACACCCCAACCTCGTCTTCGTCATCCATTTCCAGTCGATCATGATTGCTGACGCAGCTTTCTCGACAGCTACAGGCCCCTTCCTAACCTCATGACATCGCTGTCCCTGACTATCGCGCTCATCAATTCCTGAATCGCATGGTATGCCCCACTGACGGCGGGAACAACGCCGCAGCCGCACGGGCTCCACTTAGGGTTTACTCCGCTCCACTACGTTCCGCGCTCAACAACACACAAAACGCACTCACGAGTGACCCGCGTTGAGATCCACCAACTGGTGTTTCTATTTCTAGCTGTACGTTGTGACTAAAACCATTGAAGCGTATAAAGACGCAGCAGAAAGCTCACGAGACAAACAGTATCTCACCAGCCATCAATCCGCCACCACGAACACCAGTACCCATCAACAGTGTCCCTTCAGCCTCACAAACATCAACACGTTGCTAGTGGGATAAACATCCGGTTTCCCTACGACAGGCCCACGAACGAGACCCTCGTGCAACAGAACGCTCCGGAGAACGCAGCACCTGCTAGTTTTTCTTTGTCCTACGGCGCACCTACATCTGCTTTCGGAGACACCGTCGGAACTTCCAATCGCAAACGTACGTTAGTCTGCAGGGAAGCGGAGCTTCAGCTCGAAATAGACCAAGCTTGCGAAGGACATAAGCCTCTTGGTTCCCTGGACGATATTGGACCGTCAGCTATCGACCCATCGGCTCAATCCGCCACCACCCATCTCCACCTCATCAATCATTCCATCGACCATGAAGACCGTTACCTACTTCGCTGTCATAGTTGCCGCCATTCCGGCTGTTTGGTCTCTGCCTGCAGGCCTGATTTTGAGACAATTCCAGGTCCCTACATGTGGAGCAGAAACATGCTTGGCTTCGACAAACGGCACTTTTGTGGCTGCCAGCGCATCCAACAGCACCGACCCCTACGACCTTGGAAAGATCTGCTCTCTTCCCCAGGAGGACGTCACCCGCTATGTAGAGACTGTGCAGCCCTGCATTGACGGCGACGCTGGCAAGGCGAACTGCTCTGTAGGAGCTATCTATCGTAAGGCTTCATTGATGCAAGACGAGGAATTACAGTAAACTGACAATCTACAGAGTACAAAGATCTTCTGAAGACCGAATGTGCGAAGTCCAACAAGCAAGTCCAGTGGGCTTAACCACCTGTCCCTTTCCGTCCAGCGTTCCTGCATCTGCGATCTCGACTACGATACCACGTTCCTTCAGCATCATACCGGAGTTTGGGCATAGCATGTGCACATTGACGCACAAGACCATCACGCATGACGACGTGAACACGCACAACGCATCTACATAATCGATAGTGAATACACTCCTTTACGCTCTCATACGCTTCTTTCTTCCTTCGACGTGTTCTTCGCATAGTCTCTCTGAGATGGCGATCATGGGTAGGAGGTGGACTGTTTGCTGGCTGCCAGCGTAGTTCGGCTAGGTGGTCTGCTTTCTCTCGCCTCTGCTTCAGTCTGTTTGCTTATTGCGTGGACCCACTTGCAACACCCATCATACCTTCACTCACGCATGACGGACCCCGAGCGGTGCGCCGCGGGCTCCTATCTCCTCCATCACGCTCACAAATTCAGCACGTTCCCTACTTCTGTGCCATGGCGAGCACAGCAGATCAGCTACCGGGCTGCACTGTGAGTTGACGTATGCTCTGGTTGCGACACATCGCTAACTCCAACAAGATACCTGACAAATGCATGGTCCGCTCAGATCAAGGTCTTGATCACGATACATTTTGCGACAAAGACCTGAAGTGCATTTGCAAGGTTGACAATCACCTCGGAACTAACCAGCTGTTCTCGAGCGACTGCCTTTTGAAAGAGTGCACGGATAGACACGCGCGCAAGTGTAAGTCTTCATCAGACCATATAGTTGCAGCAGCTGATCGCCACAGTGTTTTTAAGGGACTGGCTGCAGTCTTGTCAACATGCGGGCAGGTCTGGGTGGGATGATATGCCCTGGGAATGGGAGCCATACTTACCCGACGAAGGAGAAGTAGTCATTCGACCACCAACGTTCCTGAACGCGCCGCAAGTGATCACGTCGGTCAGAGCGCCGCCACCGTCATCAGTGCTGGTCGTAACGACAACTGCGGCTGTCGCGACTTCGATTCCAGCGACTTCACTGTCGTCGTACTCCAGTCCAAAGACCACGCTCTCGACCTCCATTACGAGCACCTCCAACGTTACGAGTACGACGACTCTTACTACTTCGCCGGCCTCCAGCCCCTCCCCTCAAACAACCTTTACCCCGCCGGCGCCTATTCTTGTCACCTCCCGCAGCCTCAGCTCCACCGCCATCGCCGGTATAGTAGCCGGGATCCTCTCACTTGCCATCCTCTGCGCAGGTCTCGGCTACTTCTACTGGAAGTCGAACAAGAAAGCGAAAAGGAAGACAAAGGAAGTCGCTATCCTTAGCGACCGTGTGAGTGGATGCGGCTTCCAGAAGTACATCGACGATCTCCTGGCGGACAGCAACACGGAAAGTAATACAGACAGTAACAGCTCCACCGGTACGATCATTCGTCATCCTGCGCCCACCCTAGGTTTTCAAGAGATAGCTGCTGGCTCGATGAGTACGGTGGAAGGACTGAGGAGTCAGTCGAGCTCGGTGTACAGTATGGACATTGCAAGGGCGATATAAGAAGACCTCACCAATACACCGGCGGAAGAGGGAGATGATTTACAGATGCCGATTGGAAAAGTTTGGTTCTACGGCAACAAGGGAAGGCGACTTTAAATTCTTCTCGAGCAATGATAATGTATAACACTTCACATCTTTCCCTGCCTCTTCTATAACTTCATCGCACGTGCTTGCGCTATCCTTGCTATACCAGCACATGAAAAACCCAGACCCTGCACACGACGCATGACACCTGAGCATCGCAGCTTCACCTCGCCGTTCATCTACAAGGCTGCCGCGAGGCAGTGTTTGCTGCTGTCTGTCGGGACCTAGAACCGTGGCGCTCACAACACTCCTTCATTGGCCCAAGCACAGGGGAGGCGAGAGTGGAGGGGACGTCCTTCAGCCACGACTTCAAATGACTATGCTCATCGCACCAATAGAGGACGTAAGTGATGGGCTGCAGTTACTGCATGCAGAGGCTGTGCATGGACGAGACGGGTGTAATGAACCGCGTAGAGCACATGCGTCGTACAGAGTGCTGTGAGTGGCTGCGAGATGCGTGCTAGGCCTTGGCTTGTGACTCCGTGCGATGTGATGCTACATGCGTTCATTCAAGGTCGCCGTCTGTTCGCTGAGAAATAGATAGGCCACTGATGCAGGTTATGAGGTAGAACTGTCATTTCATCTGAGCTGGCTTGACTCCAGACATCTCCAGCTTTGGAGGCTCTAGCGTGTCCTGCTCAATCATCCCGAATTACAGGATACAGAACACGTCGTCACGATGGTGCCTCTCTTACTCTTATGCTGGGCTCTTTTCGGCCTGGCAATAGCGCAAACGGACTGCAAGAAGAGCTCGCCGGAGTTTAGCTTGCCCTCATGCATGGTACGCTGCCTACATCTGCTCTACATCATCTGTTAACATTCTTGCAGGAGAAATGCTTCCTCACCGGAGGATGTGGCGGCTGTCCATGCGCCAATAACCTCAAAGGGTGGTGCGAGATCAGCAGCGGAGAAGGACCAGACAGTTGGTTCGCCCGGTGGGGCCAGTGTGTACTCGGGGCGTGCCCGGATGACGGAGATATCACCAGTGAGTCGAGCGTCATCGATCAAAGCGAGGAAGCTGACAAGTGTAGACCTAATGCTGCTCTATGTGGCGCAGTGTGATGACACTGTTGGTGGGCCGCTGAACAACGACACCGTGCCGTATCCGCTGAGGGACTGGGCACCAAAGGCGCCGCAGTACCTGTCGCAAAGCTCGAATTCCCCTCTCGACACAGTGACTTCGAGTGAGAGTCGGCCGGTTGCAACCCTGACGGGCGTTTCTCCGACCGCGATCGCAAGCTTGGGGTCCACGACAGTCAGTACAAATGACAGCGACGCCACTGTTCTCGACGACAAAGCCTCATCATCCTCGTTCGCAATTGGCCCAGCCTCTGCCACACCCATAGTCCAGGATATATCTAAACCGGCTCTGAGCGTTGCGGCAATCATTGGCGTTGCAGTCGGTGGCGCGGTACTCCTCGCTCTCGTGATCGGTTTCGTTGCATTCGTCTTGCGCCACCGTAAACGCAAGCAGCTCTCAACATCAGTCTCACCACCGAGTTGTGAGGGTGTTGATACTAAAGAAGGGTACGATAAGCCGGAGCTGGACGGTCAGGTGCGGGCGTATCAGTATTCGAAGACTGATGTAGGTGCACCTGCGCGTATGCCAGTCGTGTATGCTGAGCTGGATGATGGTAGATCTGCGAGCACTGCAAGGGAGCTGCCTGATCGACCTTGAGACGGGGTATATCTGAAAAATATTATCTACACTGCATCTGCCGAATTCCTCCGTAAGGTCATCTTGGTGTCCATGGCTACTGAACACAGGGAGGGTGGTCATCTCCGCCTGGGAAGCTGGCGTCTCTATTATCCGGGTCGTGGCTTATGGTGCACGAAATCTCGTAGTTGTACGGGAGTGCTACCTTGCGCAGCTGCATATGAGGGAGTTGATACAACGATTGGCGCGTGTAAAAATTCTGTACCATGCCCTCGGGACATCGTGCACTGGGAGCTCTTGCGCTCTGAAAGATGTAAATATCAGCTACTAAGAATCTTGGTGTGCATAGCTTGTCAACGGGTGCAATGGCTCGTGCATAGTAGCTATGCGACATTAGTGTTGATTTCCGCTTCATCTGTGTGCGTCGAACTTGGTGTTACCTTCACCTACGTCCGTTACCACGCTCGCCGTTTGTCAAATGAGACTTCTTCGTGCGCCGCACGGACGGGGCGCAAACACTTTTGGTCCCACACTCGAATGAGCCTTCTTTATTCTATGATCTCGATTGAGGGTGTCTGCTCTGCACCTTTTCTCACCACACCCGTCGCTATGTTGTTCGCGGTAATGTTGCTTGCTGGTCTCGCCAATGCGGCGCGCTACTGCTTCGAGGTCAACGAACAGCTCCCCGAGAATCTTGTACTTCCAGAATGCACTGTAAGTGCCGGAGGCGTATGGGTGTGAACACGATTGACGAGTTCAGAAACCATGTCTGGGGACGGATACCTCTGTGCTCGACGGCGTCTGTGCAGATAACCTTAAAGACATCTGCGGGCTTGACGGAGGAGTGGCTTCCTACTTTCGGGTTTACACGGCGTGTCTGTCGAGAGAATGTTCTGCAATCGCGGATCGCAAGGGTAAGTGTCAGACAGGCTCAAGCGGCCAACTGATGCTAACATTCCGAAGAATTTGTGAAGATATTCCAGACACAGTGCGGATGGTACCCCGACATCACCGATACTCAGGCACGGTATTTCGGCGACTGGAAGATCTATCTCGTGGATGGACGGAGCACTCATTCTCAGGTCAGCAGCGCATGGATGCAGAACAGTGACCATGTGACCTGACTCAAACCACAGGCCTCGAGCACCGTTATACAGCGGATTACATCATTCGTCACCGTCACTTCTCCCAGCACCTCTGATGCAGAGTCGACGAGTACCAAAATCGAAAGTAACACTACTTCTACCTCGGAATTATTCTTGGAACCATCGTTCACTACGCAGACGGCCCCAGCCACAACGGCAGATACTTCGACGTCTATCCAGGACGACGAAAGCTCGCCAACCTTGCACACGAGTGCTTTCAGCGCTTCGAGCAGCTCCGCCTCTTCACTGCCTCTTGCTCAAGACGAGCCACAGTCAGCTCTTAGCACACCGGCCATAGCAGGCGTAGCTATAGGTGGCATACTAGCTTTTGCGCTCATCTGCGGTATTGTATTCTTTTTTATGCGTCGCTGCAAGCACGATTCACGCCCGTTGTCGCCACCCGTCTACGAGCCCAGTAATGGCAAGATGGCACGCGAGAAGGCAGGCCTAGATGAGCCGTACTCGAGCGTCGGCGTCGGCGGTCCAGTGGGATTTGCTGAGTTGGATGGTAGATCGCCAGCCAGTCCAGTGGTGGAGCCGGTGCATCTGAGCATGAGCAAGAGGAGGGTAACAGTTGCGCAAAACTTCTGAGGGCTCGCAGCTCCTGCATTAAAGCTTGTGGAAGGCTTCACGCCTCAGATGGAGTGGCCGTGAGAAGCAAAGGATACAAGAAGAAGTCACGACCCTATTACGTGTCAGAGTGATAGACCAGAGCCTCTAATTATGATGAAAGTCTGCGTTGACGAACCAAATCTGCTCTCCTCGCAGTTGTAGCGTGCATCAGGTTCGCGGGCATGTAGAATTTGATATCAACGGCCACAACGGCTACACGCGTACGCTTTGAGCCCGTCGATGATCGCGTTGACGTCGCTGTGGGTAGCTCGTATCTAGGCTCGGCGCCAACGCTTCCTGAATTGCGTTTGGAAAATTCCATGTTCACGGCAATCGGGCGGCTCTCCGGCAACCGGGTACCTGTCCATCGACCTAACCTACAGACGCGCCATTCTCAATTTAGTAAAGTGGCATACGATCCTTAATAACGTATCCTCGACGGTTTTCCTTTCGATGCGATTTGAATCGGATTTTGTGCGCTACGGATGGCCAGTCTGTGATTCAAACATGCATCCCATCGCACTTGCCGCGTTGACGTCACAGCGACGTCCACTCGAACGCCAAAAACATTGGCGTATCGCCCTTGGCTTAAACAACCTGAATACTGACATTGGCACGGAGACTCGCCTCGCCTTTGAATACGAGATCACCGGGAATTGATATACACATCGTGTCCGCCGTAAATTTTTTGCAATATCCTCCTCTTATTTCTTATCAGCTATCAGCTATCACCTTCCACCATGAGCTCGAGCGGTATCGTCCAGCCGCTCTTGGGAGGCATTCAGGCCACAGTCTCCGTCATCCTGACCATCACCTTCGGTGTAGCTTTCTCCCAATTTGGCCTTCTTGATGCGGATGCTGCCAGCAAAATCTCAAGGACATCAGTGAAGGTCTTGCTGCCATGTTTGCTCATCAACAACCTGGGCAGCCAGCTGAAACCTGAGACAGCGTACGAATACGTACCCATTATCAGTACGATATATGATCGAGACAACCTCCTGTGATAGTTGACTGATTGTGACACTAGTCTGGGCCATTTTCTACAATGTTCTCTCGATCTTCCTTGGTCGCGCGCTCTGCCGAGTATTCAACTTGCCTCGCTGGACGATCCCGGCCATCGCATTCAATAATACTACGAGTCTACCGCTCCTCCTTATCCAGTCATTAGAAACGACTGGCGTTCTTAGCCCATTGGTTGGCAAAGGCGAAGAGACCTCCGAAGCCGTGTCACGTGCACGTACCTACTTTTTGGTCTCAGCTGTTGTGTCACACGCACTTACTTTCGGCATTGGCGGCAGTGAGCTGAACGGTGACAACGAAGACGCCTCTGAAGATAGCAAGAAGCAGAGTGACGACAGCAACGGCGCGCAGGTTGATGGCACACCAAGACAGCGCTACCGTGACGACCCTGAGGCACAAGAAGACGCCGATGAAGATGATGAATCGTCTGACTCTGCTCCTGAGACTTCGCTCCTCCCACACGCAGTTCGTCACCGTGTATTCAGAGCCAACAAGCGTACCCAAAAGACTGTCAACGGACTCATGGAGAAGCTTCCTGTCTGGCTCCAGACCGCCATCATGGCAGTCTACAGTTTCATGACACCTCCCCTAGTCGGCGCCCTCATCGGTGGCGTTATCGGACTTACTCCTCCCCTGCACACGCTGTTTTTTGCCAACAGCAGCGATGGCGGCTACTTTAAAGCTTGGCTCACTCAGAGCATCAAGAACGTGGGCCAGCTGTTCGTCACTTTGCAAGTTGTCGTGGTAGGTGTAAAACTGGCACAGGCCCTCCGAAAGGAAAAGCGTGGCGAGGATACAGGAAAGCTCAACTGGTTCCCGGTCACCATTATCGCTGTTGTTAGGTATATCATCTGGCCTGCGTAAGTCTCCAAGTAACAGCACCGTGCTCAAGTTGCTGACAGGAAACAGTATCAGCATGGCTCTCATATACGTCATCGCAGCAAACACATCTTGGCTACCGAAAAACCCTATGCTGTGGTTCGTCATGATGTTGATGCCCACTGGACCCAGCGCCATGAAGGTCATGGTTCTCGCCGACGTCGCTGATGCAGAGCACAAGGATAAGATGATTATTGCGAAATTCTTGGCTGTAAGTACCACCCTGCTAACAAATGACCAATGTTGACTAACACGTTTCCAGATCATCTATGCAGCCTCCCCATTGATGACTCTGTCCGTTATCTCAGGATTGCAGGCGTGCAACGCCGCCATGTAGTGTGCGACATGGTATCAGTTCAGGACTGGGCTCAGTCAGACCATCAAAGTGCTCTTCTACAGGAGCTGTTCAAATACAGTTCAGTGTTTACATCAACGCTATGCACTCTATCCAATCGCCGCCTCCATATCCTGTCTAGATACCGGCGACTACGAAGCAAATTTCTCGTCAACCACGTGATCACTGCCGGGATCTGTCCACTGAAAGTAAGAAGCCCACAGCGGGGCACTTTTTTCTAGTTCAATCTTGCGTGTCACTCAATGCTCAAGTGACTACCGCACTTGCCTACGTAAGCTGTTGTTCGGCGTATGCCCATTGCGCAATCTCACTATTCATAGGCAACGAACCCGTGCCTTCCAAAAAGCTCCCGCTGAACCAACCGGTCTGTCTGCAGTCGTCAGGGTCTACTTCTCACACCAAAAGGTCATGTTGAGGCCGATTCATGGTGTTGTCACCATCGCAAGTCCAGATCGTGCCACCACATTCGCAATTTTCACATGCGTGTTGAGGAGGCTATCTTTGACTCTTGATCTCGCGGTCCTCCACCCGAACACGAGGCCAAGTGCTGGGATCCCCACAGTCCTCGTCTTGGAAAGCGTAGTGAAATGGTGGCATCGCGAGTCATGCTGTATGCGTCGATGAAAGAGAGGTGTTTAAGGAAAAGGCAACGGTGTGTATGCCGAGCTGAGAGGGGAGTGGCGTGCTGTCTGGGCTCTGGGTGCGTATGGGTTCGAAAGTGGGGTTTGCTTCTTGTGTCTGCTTGGAGACGACTGTGGCGAAGGATGCTGGACACCGTTGGCGCTTTTATGGTGTGCGCTGCTACTCTGGTGTCAGCGAAATGATGAGTGGTACATGGTGAACATGCAGCATCATGAGTGATTAGTCTTATTGATTACTCTCACTTTTCGGAACTTCCCCGTATGCATCTGCTGCTGCGAGCATACACTCTAGAAATGAGTCGCTGCTCGGCGATCTACCACCCATTTATCCAAAGCGCGGCCACTGCGCCATGCGAATTCCCGACAACCCAAGCCCCAGAGGCCACAAAAGCAAGCTTCCAGAGATATCGAACGTTACGCTCACGCCTCTCACAAACAAACGCTGGGCCCTCCTACGCCTTGACAGTGCTCTTCTTCATGCCCTTCTTGCTCTTCTTCTCGCGCTCCTTCTCGAGGAACTTGCGCTGCTCATCGGCGCTGAGGCGTCCGAGCTTGGCGTCACGCTGTTCCTTCTTAAGCTTGTCGGCGGCGATCTTGCGCTCCTCAGCCTTCTCCTCCTCATCGAGACGGCGGATCTTGCCAATCTGCTCTTCGCGTGTCTGCCGGATGCGGCGCAGGGCCTCGGGGCGGAAGTGCGCCGCAGATACAAGGAGGTCAGGGAGGCGAAGGAATTGCGTGAAGACGGGGAGTGTGGACTCGTAGGAGGATTGCAGCTTGAGAGACAAGTTGATGCGCTTGCGAGGCTTGGTGTCGTCGAGACTATACGATGTTAGCAGTATCAGAGACACGGTGGGCTAGGACGCACGTCTTGGGCTGATCCATGGGCTGGTCAGTGACGACGAGAGCCTCGAAGGCATCGCCAGCGTCCTGGATGGCCTTGATGAGCTCGGGGGTCAGGATGGTGTCGGTGACTTCGGCGCTCTCGCTCATGACAGTGGTCCAGACGGGGAGCTTGGCGTGGTCGCGGGTGGTTGTCAGGGACAAGTCGTAGCGGTCGTCACGCAGGCGCTTCATGATGTCCTTGTGCACAACAGCGAAGACGAAGCCGTCGAAGGAGCTGTTGGGGACCTTCTTGGCGTCCGTCTTGCCGTAGACCGGGGCGATCTTGGTCTCCTGGCCATCGAAGACGTACGCGGTAGCCTCAAGGCGCTCCTGCGGGGGCGGGAAGCTCTCGAGGAAGAGCGGCAGGATGCTCTCGCCGAAGCGCAGGAAGGGGTTGAAGCGCTTGGCGAGGGTCAGCTTGAGGTCGACGAAGGCGACGTTCTGGCGGCCCGTGGCGTAGGTGGTGTACTCGTCGGCCTTCTTCTCGCGCAGGACATTCTCGAGCCTGGAGGCCTCGGTCAGGGCGCCGGCGAGATCGTCCTCGCCCACGCCGCTCGCGCCCGCAGCGGGCCTGAGGTAGCCGACCTGGATGAACTCGTTCTGCAGCACGGGCACGTGCGCCTTGGCCCAGGCGCGGGCCTTGCTGCGGTTGCGCCGGGTGCCCCAGACGTGCAGGACAATGATGGCGAATAGGAAGGGCAGGATGTACATCTCCAGCTTGAAGTCCTCGGCCGTCGTGCGCTCCCACACGCGGTACCATTTTGTGTACGGGCGGCCGACAGCGTCTGTCGCAGCCGCAGGGATAGACGCGGTCGTGAGCGAGACGTGGTCTATCGGTGACGGGTCGGGCGCCGCAGCGTAGTCGGCGAAGTCTGCGCGGACATGTCAGTGCTGGGTCGCGTGGTGGTGAGGGGGTCGCGCAGTGCATGCGACGTCTACGCACCGCCATCGTCAGCGGGCGCCGCCACGGGCTTCTGGGCGCCGAAGAGTCCCTTGACAAAGTCGGCCATGGTGTCGAGATGCCTCAATGGATAGCGAGCGAGGATGGCGTGCGGTTGAGGCCAGCGAGAGCCCTGAAGCTTAGGAGAGCGACTCGGCTAGCGAACGCCGCTAGCTCCATGTGGGGTGCTGCTACCCCAGCTGTTCGCAGAGTAACTGTGTGACAGCTGCAGTCATCGTCTTGTGTATATCATGGCCTCGTTCGACTTGGCTTCACTTTTTCCTTGAAATGGACTGTGTCTGTCCGTGGTCACAGCATTGGCTACCTCCTGGCACCACCTGATCACGCAATGACGTCCACGGGCACAATCGAAGCAAGAGCATCTCGCAAGACGCTTGCACTATTCGAAGGCGGTCTCACGGCGAATTCATCCACAGCGTTGGCGACAAAGGAACTGGTATTGCAGGCTCTATTGTTCGTACATTGACTTGAGATGCCTCATGCGGCCCCCACCAACACCATCGTGCGCGTAGCTTAGTTCTTGCCGAACCAGGTCTTGTGTCCCTGTGCGCTGTCAGTCATAGAACGCGCCATGTCTTGGTTGGACGTACGAGAACAAGACGGCCCATCATGTACATGGAGGCACTCAAAGACGTGTAGAGGACGGCCTTGTAGGCGGGGATCATCCACTTGCCGCGGGCCTGGTAAATCGTCAGCATTTTGGCCTGTCCTTCGTGCATTTCCCAGCCGACGGCCTCGTAGTCGCTGCTCCTGCCTCAATGCGCCCAAATTCTAACTTTTCTGCGCCCAATCACGTCCATCTCTTTCCGGCTTATTCCACCACCTCAAGTCGAACGCACCTTCTCCCAGGTCCTGAGACCATCGTGCTTCTGGAAGTACGCCTGGTACTTGGGGACGTTGTTCTCGCGGTAAACCCAGCTGGATGCTGTTAGCAAAGAGTGTGACTGGGTGGGGGCAGCGCGCCAGCCCGGCGTCAATTGGCGCGGAGATCATGTCGCATAGCTGCAGGGAGGACGTACCCTGCCATTGTGAAGAGTGGAGAGGTGTGCGTGCGGTGGTGCGGGGGCAATGGGAAGTTTGGTACTGTGTCGGTCAAAGTGAGGTTGCGTCGAATGATCCGGCAGCGAGGAGCGATGCTTGGCAGCCACCCACCGCTAACCATGTTGGGCGTGCAACTTTTGGAGCGCAGGCGCGAGCAGCATCCACACTCGTTCCCCTCTCAATGGGTTCCGTCCACGCTCTTTCACCTCGAAGTTGATGCCACCGGCCTTGGACAGGCTCCTCGCCAGCCCCTCGGCCCTGCGACTGCTGCGATCCATCGTCACCGCCCCGGAGCTGCCTGTCTGCCACACGACTATCCAATGTTGCGCAGCTAAGAGCATTGCTGCGAAGAGGACGTACGCGAACAACCATGGACCCCCTACAAAGAGCAAATGGCAGCGCTGGAACGAGATGCAGGAGCGTCTCGTCCGTGAACGAGAGGATCGATTGAAGGAGCTGCTTGACGGCGATGGCAATGCCCCTGCAAAGGTTGCTCCTTCGAGAGCGCGACCGCCAGCAGGGTTCGACTTCCTAAAGGACAAAGAGGAAGATTTGGCAGAGGAAGTCTATGACGAGGATCTGGTCGAAATTCAGGACGAGGATCTGGTCGAAAGTCAAGACGAGAAATGGGCCGCTAAACTCGCCCATCACGACCGCCTCGATGGCCTGCGAGGCATATTCGCCGTCTGGCATGCCCGACGCAGGGAAGGCTACCGCCTGCCGATTGAGAATAGCTCTCATGCCCAGTTCCTATGGGCCACTTTTGCGCGACACCCAAAGCTCGTGAACTACCTCATCGAACACGCCGTCGAGCTGCAGCAGGAGAAGGGCGAGACCTACCCGCGCTTGTACTCTGTCATCATGGGCTACTGGCTCGTGCGCAAGCCTAAAGAAGCACTGGAGTACCACCACCAGATGTTGGTGAAGCTTGGACTGAGGCGACTTCCACTGCGAGAGCTGGCGCTGTCAATCAGGAATTATGGGCACACGGCACAGGAAGCCTTGCTGTACATATACCGCAACAGCAACGAGCGTGACCTGTACGACGAGGCTGTGCCGCGTCTCATCGAGAGTGGGAATATTCTGATGGCACGCCGTTGGCACAATCTTTGCACCTATCGAGATGACCTGCCCTCCGAGTCTTTCGCCGCCCATCCTGTCATCCAGCTCTTCACTGCCGAGTCCTCTACGATATCGAAGCCGAACGTTCGCTCCACGAAAGCCCAGCGCGACAATCCGAACCTTGACAAAAGCCTCATGCGGAAGCTTCTTGGGCGTGACACTGCCCCTGTTCGCTTCGACGACTCCTTCACAGCCCGAATGTTCGCCACCAGAACTGTACACATCGAGTCTATCATCAAGGGGCTGACTATGGTGGGTGTGAACGAGATAGGCCCACAGGCAGTCTCAGCTATGGCGTGGCGGACGCAGCCCATCACCGAACTTCCACGTCGGTTTGAGCAGCTTCGAGATGCGGGCATTGCGCTCCAGGGCTCTGTCTTTTCACTTGCCCTGGAGAAATTTGCCATGGAGCAGAAGTGGGATCTCGTGCGAAGCATGCTTGAGAGCGACCAGCATCCAGATGTCTACGGAGATGCACAAACGCAACGCGCATTGTTGACCTACTACTTGAAGCAGAGGGACATGCAGCAGGCTCAGCGTACACTCGCCGTCCTCACGCTCTTCCACAACGATGCCAGCCGAGAGTCTTGGAACATACTTTTGCAGCTGCGCATCGGCGAGTCTCGACCGCAAGACGCCTTCAACACCATGCTTGAGATGCGCAGTCACGGTATTACCCTTTCCAGCAAGACCATGGTACTTGTCAGAAATATCTTAGCACTGCGACGGCCCGGCCACCGTCCGACGTCTCGCCGCGGTTTCGACGACCTGCGTTACGTTACGCGCTTCCACATCACCGCCCTTGAAGCCGGCATGACACGCGTCCCACCTGAAGCTTGGTACGAGATCATCCGTCGGTTCGGCATGCTAGGGCGCTTCCGCGAGCTCAAACGCCTACTGCTCTGGCTACTGAGCTGGTATGCACCACGCGGTAGCCCCGAGTTCCCCGATCTCCCACGAAGTACTTACTTTGATGATGCTACAAACAAGTTGCGCCGCCTGTACCCTGTCAGCAGATATACTTCTTTACATTACTATAATTTCCCCGCCGACGTGCCTCAAGAGGCAGACGAGAATCATCCGATTCGTATCCTCTTTCCGCCGTCCCTCCAGCAAGGCCTCCTCGTCTGGGGTTTCCGCGCAAGTGCACTCAACTCCGCAATACTCGAACAGTCTCTCCTCAACTCTGTCGCGGCGAAACGGCACCATCGACCCAATCTCCTCCGCAACGGCATGCTAAAACGCTTGCACTGGAACGTCGGTCTCAAGCTGCTCGTGCAGCTACGAGACCTGAAAGTGCACGTCCATCCGCACACCGTGACGAAGACACTTCAAGCACAGATGATCAATCTCTTTGGCCACGGACGCTCGCGGATCATGGCCAATCGGAGGATGGAGCAGTCTAATACTACACCGTATGCAGATTACGTCAGGGAGATCAACCGCGTGTGGGGCGAGCCGCTGCTCACAGAGCCGCAGAAGCTCGGCGCTAGTATGCTCGACGGGCACAAGTGGCACCCCAGGCTGAGGCGCAGGGTCGACCGGAAGAAGGAAGTCAGCCTCAAACAGGCCTTGCGCGAGGATGCATGCAGAGAGGTTGCGAGTGAAGATGGCCATGCAGGTAGCACGGCACTGGACGAGTTGGCCAAGGTCAATGATGCGCACGCCAGAGGGAGGGAGTGATATGTACGATATGTGTTTTTAATGATACCCTTCGATCCACAAACTCTCTGATTGCGTTTGCCGTGGCGATGTACACCTGTGCCATACCAAACTCGTGCTCCTTGGTGTTTTCTCTTTCCGCATATGATGTCGCCTGCTTGAGCAGAGAACGGATCGCCTGATGCTTGACTGTCTCTGCACCTGGAGAGTTGGGATGGACGGCTTCAATCGGTGGACAAGTCACGGGCTGTGGGCGGTAGGTGTTGAGACCCTCGATGTCTACATGTCTCTAGGAAGACAATACTGTATAGCATATGCATAGCTGCGGTTACGTGGGTGTTGCGCTCTCGCCGTGCTGCTGTTCTCGCATCGCAGACCGCGCTTCTGCCCATGTTGGATATTGAGCGAATTTTCGTCATGCTTTGGCTGGCGCTTTGACTTGTACATGTTGGGCACTCCATCGTGTCCAAAGTTCCGCGTCCAGAATCCCGAATTGGTGCAGAGACTGTATGAGCGGAGGTGCATGGGACAGCGACGGAATTCAACACCTGTCTCCGCGTTGCGCGGAGTGGGATGTTATGCCCCAGATACAAGTATAAAGTGTCACGGTTAAGACGAACTTACTCAAGGGAGTAAAAGGTTGACCTTTTGCTCCGCGACATAAAGGTTCAACGCGGTGCAGATCCTTCTTTTCTCCGGTCTTCATTCCTGAAAAGAAACTCCAGATCGAGAAAAGGTAGAACACATGGTGTTTTCTCTGTCTTGCCTCTAAGAAAATGTCCAGGGGGACTGGTGACGTGCGAGCTAAGCCGAGAGCTCCAGGGTCGGATACTCTCTACCGTCCGGCTTTGTAAGTTTCAGAGAGGGGGCTGGGAGGTTTCATCACGTCGCGAGCGTGTATTTGATGATCATCTTAAGCTGGGGTGGTGAACACTGTGAAGACAGTTTTCACGCACGCCACTGAGCAGAGAAGGCAAGCGCACACGTGTGGACCATTTCTCAATGATATTCTATCATGTGAGAGGCGACCAGTATGTTTCTTCTGACTCACCACTACTTCCTAAGTGCGTCGAAATTCCCATCAAGCACGATTGTGTTGCTATCTTCATTATGGAAAACATAATCGCCTCACCAGACGTTCCGTAACCACCCTGCGGTCGATATAGCGGCTACACGATGTCATTGCCCCTCTTAGCTCTTAGAAGTCACCGACATAGCAAACGCATGTGCCAACTCTGCCCGCGGGAACGTTTTCCAAGTCCAGGCTGTGGATAGGAGATATCCTCCTCACTTCACCTTCTTTGCTCCATCAAGCTCAGGCATACACATGCAGATATTGCTATGCATGAGACATCATGGTTCCTGTGCTCTGTACTTCAAAGCATACTTGGACTTCTGTCATGTCCTGCCCCTTTACTCAGGGACGTCAAACGATAAATATGCTTGCGTTCTTTGAACGCTAAGAGTGCTTCTTCAATAATCACCTACGCCTCTTTGTGTATCCGAATGATTGCAATTTCAAATAGCGACAATACTACTCATCATTTCGTCCTTTCATTCTCATGGAACTTCTCAGTGACGGTCATTTGAGAGAATACGAAACTCCCCGCCTATGTTGATTCGTATGAGACCCACATGCACTGTCGAATTATTCAGCAGAAGACACCTAATGAGAAGGGGAGCGTCTCTGTCTCCGCATATAAATTTCTGCATGGTCAGACTGCAGACCGTGCCAATGAGACTCCATCTGATGAGGTCCGCTGATGCACCGCTTGTTTGAGTCTGAGTTGCTAAGCGCATCACACATAGCTGCAGGCTCTTTAGTCGAGGCAAGCACTGCTGTGCCTGCCTATTTTTCACATGCAAAAATTGCGCTATTTCCCTTCTGTTGCGTGTCAGGCACCCCTTGGAACGATGTGTTCGATTTGTAACACAAGAGTCTAGGCATCTTACTCTGCTGCACATATCGAGACCGCCATACTGAAGCTTTATTACATATTCATCAGTTTTAAAGTGACACGCTATGCTGCCTTTTGATCTGGAAGGGTGATCATGTGCGCGGATGGCAGAAATGCCAAGAGTATGAGTTACAGTACTGGAGGCAGGCACAGAAGTTACTAATATCAGAACAAATGCCATCTTGGATGCACATTCGAACTTCGTTTACAGGTAAGCTTGGTTCCCAAGGAGTGTAGGCACTATGATGTGACGGTTGCACGAGATGGTCAAACGTCAACACATGATTGCGACGTTTGACACTACCCAATACCTTGTGATTAGACCTGACGTAACCCGTGACTGCTACCACAGGCGTCAAGTATTTTTTGACTGCCCACCTCTTTAGATGCTGAAATGACAGTAGGTAATCCTCACCGCAAACTGGTAGCCGTGTTGTGTCGGTGAGGTATCGGTCTTGTACAACTCGGCAGTGGGGATCATGGTTTGCCAGCGCTGGCTTGTTGACCCAAGTCGAACCATCACAGCCTCTGTCGGGTGACGTAGTCGGTGAGAGCCTCACGGTACCTGCAGTATTCGTAGCGCCAGGAAGACTGACTGCCACGCAGACGGGATCGGCGAAGGATCAACAAGCTCGTGGAGACGTTAAGAAGATTCGCGTTCAGCATCGTGAGTCGTATAGAAGGGTATCGGAGGCATGACCTGACAGATCGTGATGAGCGAGCCCGACAGGTGGGGCTTAACTCTGTGGCTGGTAGACGCAGACCAGTAAAGAAGCGCGGTTCCAGGATTTCTGGCGTCTGGCAGCATTCAGTGGCTATCGCGTGAGCGGTGTGAGCCTCAGATGTTCGGCGTTGTTCAAGCAGATGCGTCGGGAAGGGACTGGGGACTCTGTCAGAAAACGCCGAACGGTGGAGTCCCGAGGAGGATCCAAGCGCGGTCAGCTCGTACTTGGTAACGACGTACAGACGTCAGAGCCCCACCGAGACGGGGGTTTGAAGAGTCGACTTTGGAAATCATCCTGAGGCTGTTGGGAGACCCTAGCTATCATTTTGTAAGCTAGTGGGCTGTAAGCGAGTATGTAGTCCGGTCGCGCATCTGATTCGTCAACGTGTGGAGTAGCGGTGTAAAGCGGTGAATTGAAGGACGGCGATACGAAGTGAGGATGCCCCGCGATTGCAACCTCGGACGGACTTACTTTGTGTCAAAGAATCTATGCGCGAATGTGGTTTCGAGACTGGTTGGAGAGCGGAGCAACAGACGCAGAAGACGGAGAGGCATGATGATGCTATGATTAGCAGCGAGTCTTTCCTCTTGGAGCACCAGTCCCTAAAGAGATGCAAGAAGGTAAGCTGAGCGTTCTAGCCTGGTCATGTTTTATTCGTCACTAGATTTGGAGCATGCAATGAGAAGCAGCACGGCAGACCTGCGCATGATGGTAAGTAGGAAGTTGGAGAGTTTAAGGTTCAGATCTCACTATCTCCACATCGGAAAGAAGGAGGTGGTACGATCTGGTCACAATGTCTGTCGGGAGTGCCGAACAGGGGGGTTTGTATCAGGCACGACGTGACACAGCCTTCGAGCAACAAGGTGCTGACTCAGGTGATGTGAGCCAGGATAGAACGTGCAAGTCTCAATACACCTCATCTTCTAGTGGTGTCGAAGAGAATAGGAAGTCGTAAGCTGCGTTTGGAGGCTGATGGCGTTCGCAGTCATGTGTCAGTTCACTCTGCCAGAAAATACATCCTACTGACACGATTCAGCCGCGCTAACATTCCGGTATTCTCGAACAGGTGGTCAGAAATAGCGTCTTTCCAATCTTAGTGGCTGGACTTTCCCGTTTCCGGACACAAATGGAGCGACTTGGCTGGCTGGTCAGTGGCAGGTGGCTGACGATTGGTGAGCAATTCTGCGACATCCGACCGATCATATGGTAATCTGCTAGGCAAGCGCCCCACACACCAGGACAAATAGTCGGCATACTTGTAATGATGTTGTAGCTTGCCGTGGACTGCAAATTGTTGTGGTGTACTGCGACCGCGTCATGGGAAGACTTCCAACCAGGTTTCTTGTATGTGTGACTGTTCAATAGTTCGTTCCAGTAAAAGTGACGGGATGTAGGTAGCTACCTTGGGCATCAGGCAGTAGAGTTGTTCACGCAAGCGAATTCGTAATCTTCCTGTAGGCTGGTCAGGAACGCCTTCGATGGACCTGTCAGCTTGTCCACAGCCACAAGCGAGCTGTGCGTGAGCGTTTTGGGATGAGGGCATTGGCAAACCGGGCGTAAGCGGAGGTGTGTGAGAATGAGGCTGGAAGTGAGGGTCCATGATCAGATGTCGCGATGTCGGTGTGCCCCGCACTTAGCGCTGGTGGACTAGCGTCGGTCCTTCTTCACGATCCCTTCCCTTCGCGTCCTCCAACTTTTTGGCATCTCGTTGCGCGACTCGCGCTGGCGCTTTTTGTGGGCCCTTTGATCGACATGACCTGCAGCAACGCTCAGTTCTCCGTGCTGCATTGTCTGGTGGCCAGTGCATTTGAGCACGCAGCCTGCAGGTGCAATATCCACTAGTCATCTGGCACCCAATGCTGAGCTCTCGCACCACACCCCTTCGGCCAAAATGCCCACTTGACCTGTCATTCCTCTTCCTGCGCCTTGGAATTCCTACCTCTTTCGTCGATAGTGAACCAAGCTTTCCGTGCTGATCCGCTACTGTACGGTATCCTGGCTACAGCTGCATGGGCGGTATCTTTGTTCAGCACTCCAATGTCTATATAGTCCTGCATGGATCCTCCAAAACCTCTCTTTCACATTCGGTGAGCTTGAGGAGGAAATTCTGGACACCAAGGGCTACCCAACTCACATCTCCACACTGTTGCCTCTCGACCTGTCCTCCATTAGGCACACACCACCACCACCCACCTGTCTCACCTCAAATACTGCGCCCTCTTGTGACTCGTACTCCGGAGTCACGTATATAAGTCTCTTTCAAACCGCTTCAACAGCTGGCGGGCCCCAAAATAGACTTCATCGCTACCTTACTGTTCGCGCTGAATCGCGATTGCTGACATCCTGCTGTGTTTGGCATTGACCGGCTGTGAGCCGGCAAAAAAGAAGGGGAAACCGTCACACAAAGTTGTTGTGAAGGTCGAGTCCAGTGTTACACCGTCACCGCCAGTCCGCTACTCCTCGGTCTTCCAAACCCTCAAAGATCTCATATCAGCAATGCCATCCTACATGCGAGCCTCTTCCCGGTCCTTCTCATTCCCTCCATGCATCGACAGCGTGGATATGGAGCCCGGGTATAACATGGGGCTTCCAGACATCGATGAAGAGCCCTTCGCTCACTTCCTTACGCCTTTAAGTGAAGAGGATGACCCCTACGACCCCTTGTCGTTGAGTGCAGGCATCATCGATGGTCCACGCACCAGCAAGGCCTCCAAGTTCAGATCTGATGTGTCCAATAAGTGGACGCGCTATGTCAAGCAAAATCACACGGAATTGCATACACGGTACCATGTTCCCACGATCCCCGAGGATGATGAAGAATCCTTCATGGGTCTCGATGACGACCGTCTCAACTACACGCCACAGACAATAGCGCACACATCACCACGGATCACCGTCACGGAGCCAACGCGTGGTCGTGCACAAGAGCTTGTGCAACGAAAGGAGCGCAATCGCCGACAGAGGACATCGCGCACACTTTCCGGTTACCGCCACTCCTGGCGCGAGCCAAGTCCGGAGCTCTTCACTGTGGACGAGTCAGAAGAGGACGAAGTGGTTGTGAGACGTGCAAAGACACGCAAGGCCAAGGATGGCGCAGAACGCCGGAGGTCGTCGACGAGGTCAAAGTCAAGAGCAAGGGCTGATGGGTCTGAACGAGCAAGACTGTAGGGGATTAATCATGCACCTGCATTGGGAGGCGCATTGGCGTTATTTGCTTTATGTCGATGCATTTACAGGCGGTCGATCGCATTGCATATCCAGCATTGGGCGGCGTTTTCGCATTACACTGGCTTGCCACGCAGCATTGCCAGATAGCATTGGGCGGCGTTAGGGCGTGCGCATTTACAACGTGACCGCATGAGATCGGGCGATGGAATAAAGCTAGTGTCCAACATCAAAATCTTCATGGGCTTACTTAGGAACTTCCTCTCGCCGTGGCTTCTCATCTGAATTTTTGCGCGAGTCAATCCTTCACTGACCCCCACACTTGCACTTCGCTAGTTATGCACACCATACTTAGCGTGAAGTACCGTGACCTCACCCCGCATTGTCACGGCGACTTCACGCCTCCTCTTTTGCATACGTAGCGCCGCGTTTACCGCTATATTCCGTTTTTCCGAGCAATCACTCTCAGCCTTTGATATCGCAGTAGCTGATGAAAGCGTTCTTGCTCAAGAGGAAGCCATCAAGCACACTCTTTCACGAATCATGCATCAGCTGTAATTCACAAGAATGCACTTCATGTCACCTGTGACTCCACAGGCAGGATGTCTCAGCCATCAACCGCGGCTTGCGCAGGGCTTCCACCACGGCCCCTCCCGCGGAAGTCTGAGACCCTCAAGATGATCCTGATGATCTTTACCCTCCATAGCACTTCCAAGAACGGTAGTGCGTGATGGTGTAAATGTGCGGACCATTGTTCGGCGCGACTCCGTTACGAGAAGGCGCAGGTGATAGGCGGTTCCAGGTGCGTATTGGGGTAGTCGGCCGGGTACTTCTCACATGCGACGTGGATATGGATACGTCTTGATCCTGGGATGGAGCTAAGTGGGCGTGAAGAGAGGTGGAGCGACGCAAGGCAGTTTGCATATGCCGGGTGCGCGGATGCTCGGCAGCGTGCGTATGGGCTCACGACTTGAAGGCATGTGGAATATGTCATCGTGCATTATGTCCAGGTAAGAACAGCGGAGGCAACTGTATAACAACACAATCGTTGTGAACATCTCGTATCAAGCCAAGCTGCGATACCAACCTGAGGCGCGGATGCGGACGCTTTGGGCGTAATGACTGCACCGTGACAAGCCTCAGCGCTGAACACCACGCAAGATAAGTACGTCAAGACTCTCCGTGAGGGCTGTGCCATCAGAAGCTCGTGTGGGTGAACGTCGACACTTGAACTATCGAACGAAGTGCAGGAGAGATGCGGCTGATCACGACTGTACTGCTGTCACACATTTGCCCTGCGCCGGCACGAGCGAGACTGCCGCTGTCCCTCCGCCTGTGACACCATCGTGCATGCCCATTGATCAAATAGTAGGGTTCGGGTACACGAGGCGCTGGATTTTGGAGCCCAAACGCACGACGTATCACCTCTGCAAAGTGCGCATCTCTGCTGAATCTACAACGTGTGCATCAGCCGCTATGCAGCCTACGGCATCTTTAGTCTCCGCAGCTTGCTAAATGTGGTCTGTTGATCGTACTCTAACTTGTACATCTTGAGCAAATTTTGACGCGCTGGCAGCAGCCTTGGTCCACATGCCTCTCACGGCCGTCATCTTCATGCCCAAACCCCATCCGCGTGTTACCCGCAGCCGTATATTTATTCGACCCTCGCTCATTTGTCCTCTCGGCCGTCCAGCCAGCTTGTACAGTTGACGCATCTCTTTGCCTTTTCGCTGATGTACTTTCTGCAGTACTTGCATTTCACCTGCCTCTTGACGATGTTATCTCCACTGGTATGGCTATAAGTCATTGCAATGATCCACAGAGTCAACGCAATGAGCAGAAATCTCAGGATCTTATCCAAGAAAGTACCCCAAGCCAACACTAGTGCTCCATCGTCCAGCGCTTGTTTGACAGTGTTGTAACCGGTACTGATGGTGCCATTGTAGTGAGGTCCTTTGTGGAGGACAGCGAACTTTTCTTCGAGATTGCGGCTGAGGAACGGTAGTAGAGAGATGATAGGGAGGATGATGTCGGATACGAGCGAGTTGGCGCAGGCGCTGAATGCAGCCGCGAGTCTATGTAACATTAGCATCGCTCTGAGGAGTTCCAATTCATGATTGATCGAATGGAGAGTAAGAAGACGATAACCCTGTAGATATGGAGAAGCTCTTACATAAGGCCTACTGCAACTTCAAGCACATTATCGCGTAAAGCGAAGTTGCTGAAGCTATCCCAAGCTCTCAAAGTACTTGTGCGAGCACCATGCTCCAGCTCGTGAAGCTGAAGCCCAGTATTATCGTTCAAACGAGGCATCTCAATGCAGACTTGAATGATGCAAAGTAAGGAATAAGAGTGTTGATGGGGGAAGCTGGAAGACGTGTGTGACGCGTCGACGTCATCGGCACTAGCGTGAGCCAGAGCTGAACATCGCCCTGGTGCATCTGGACTGATTTCGATGACTCCAACCTTACAACGATATCCAAGACGTACCAACATGCAGTGCAATTTCCTTGACGAGCGGGTCTTGATATGACTGGGGAGCGCAGTCCCGTACGGCTTCTGGAACACAAGCATCGGTCTTTGGCCTCATCCAGCTTCGCAGAGCCCAAGTGAACACGCTGGTCAACGAGAGCACACTTAGTATGACGATCACTCGAAAGGCCTTGAGAGGACTACGATTACAGAATTGGATCCGTTTGCAATACCGCGCACCGAATCGTAGCCTTTCTCCATCTTATCGTACCGCCAATCCGTTACCATCGGCCCGCAACATTGATACCATAAGCCCCCACTGCCGACGCAAAGGAGCAAAGCCTTCACATGCCAGACGGAACAAACGGCGCTTCTTTCTACAAAATAACACTCATTGTTCGATACTAATCGCCAGGCCAATAATCTCAATATTTGTGGGTAGAGGCGATATCGATGATCCCGACTCGCAGACGACACAATCTACACATTGGACATGACCAGCAGGGATGCTTGATGCTCCCCGTATCGCGCTCGTGCACCGAACTGTTTAGGCTGCACACTATCTGCATGTTATTGGTACAGATTGCATCGTGCATCAGATGATCAAGCTGCCACTCAACCACGCTATTGAGCTAATATGCCCAACTTTTCAGTGGATCTCCTCGAAGCAAAGCGCATCTTACACAACTGAGCTGTCATTGAAATAAGACAAATGCGTGTGGTGCAAGGAAGGCACGGTGACATTACTCAAGGGAACAGACAGAACAGTGGGTGAAGGTCAAGACTTCGATGAAGCAGCGTGTCGTCTGACAATTGGAGAATCGTAATCAGATGTACTCAAGCCTTCTGGCATTGAGACCACTTTCTCCATTGAACCCCAGGAACCGTACCGTTGCCGACTATCGCAATTGTGGAGACCAATGGTGAATCTGGGACGCACCTTTCCCTTCTTGGCGTATTTACCCTATCAGGTCCGTCGTTAAATGATAACCATGGGTCTGTACCATTTATCTGCGGAGAATTTTGGACAGCAGCACTGCATCGAAAACGAAGCTACTACCTGTCAGGACGCTTGCGCCGAATGAGATGGATATGCAAAAGCCCAACGTGGATGACCCCCGTCTGTAGTGGCATCCATCGCGTTTACGGAGAACGTGCGCCACTGGACTTCGAACTACCTACCTAGTCCAACGCCTGAAGAGAAGAGCCGAGGAGCCAAGCGCTCAGGTATAAGTAAGCGACGCCCTAGAAGTCTTGTTAAATGCTTGTTGATCGCCCACGGCTTGTTTCTTCCCGCAACGGCATCTCCACTACGAGCTGCAATTATGGGTAAGCTCGCATTCATGACAGGAATTCTCAAGTCTAACACGTTGCAGCCGCCAATCCCAATCTTGTGGAAAAGGACATTGAGTCTGCATCTGAGTCCTCACGCCATGCACCATGTGCTGAAGGGTACACTGCGCCCACGGCCGAGGATGAAGCAACCCTGAGGAAGGTCGCTGGGGGCATCCCACCTATTGCGTACCTTATTTGTGTTGTCGAACTTGCGGAGCGTGCATCCTATTACGGAGCGAAGGGGGTTTTCAACAATTTCATGCAGTTCCCTCTGCCGAAAGGGGGCGATGGAACAGGTGCTGTACCGAAGGCCAACCCCAATGGCCACGCCGGTGCACTGTAAGCTGAATTTACAAGTCCGAGGAGTGCATTACTTACATAGAGCAGGAACCAGGGTCTCCAGTTAGCTTCAGCTATGACCATCCTCTTTACCTTCCTCTCCTACACGGTTCCAATCTTCGGCGCTTGGCTTGCAGATGCCAAAATCGGTCGTTTCAAGGGCATCGTCGCGGGTGTGCTCATCGGTGGTGTCGCCCACGTCATCATGATAGGTGGTGCTGCTCCAGCTTTACTGAAGGCTGGGAAGGGCGTTGCGCCTTTCCTGATCAGCTTTATTTTGCTCGCTATCGGTGCGGGTATCTTCAAGCCACTCGTTGCGCCCACCTTATTGGACCAATATGAACACCAGAAGCCTTACACGACGACGCTCAAAAGCGGAGAGAGGGTCATAATTGACCCTGAAACCACCATTCAGCGTATTTTGCTCATCTTCTACGGCTTCATCAACGTGGGTGCCTTTTTCGCTATCGCAACAACGTACGCCGAGAAGTACCTCGGCTTCTGGATCGCTTTCCTTCTTCCTGGTATCGTCTACTTCTTGTTACCCATCCTCTTGTTCTTCATGAACAAACGTTTGGTCAAAAAGCCTGCGGTAGGGTCAGAGCTTACACAGTTCTTTAAGATCATCGGTGCTGCTGTCAAGGGCAACAAGGGCAAGCTATGGGGCAAGGGTTACTGGGACGCTGCCCGGCCTGCGACACTCGCTGCTAAGGGGCGCACCGTCACTTGGACCGACAAATCTGTCGCGGATGTTTACCGTACGCTCGAAGCCTGCCAAATATTTTTATATTTTCCCCTCTGGTTTCTGAACGATGGAGGTGTTGGCGCAGTTCAGTCCAACCAGGGCGCCGCCATGACCACCAAGGGTGTACCCAACGATCTGCTCAGCAACTTCAACCCTCTGACAATCATTGTCTTCACGCCTATCCTCAGTCACGGATTTTATCCACTACTCAGACGCTACAACATCAAATTTGGTCGTATTAACCGTATTACCACTGGTTTCATTATTGCAGCCATCTCTGGTTGTGTTGGGGCGATAGTCCAATGGCGCGTCTACAAGACGTCACCCTGCGGTTACCAGGCGTCAAACTGTGATGGCGTTTCGCCCATCACCATCTGGTGGCAGCTGCCCAATGTCATGTTGGGCTCCATCTCGGAAGTCTTCGTCAACATCACCGGATATGAACTGGCCTACGCTCGTGCTCCACCGAACATGAAATCGATCGTCATGGCACTGTTCTTATTCAACACTGCGCTCTCACAAGCGCTCGCTGAGCTTCTAGTACCCGCAATCAAAGACCCTCACCTCATCGTAAGTCGTCTCGAATATAAGATATTTTATATGTGCATGCTGACCCTTTCTCCAGTGGGTGTGGGCTGGCCCTGCTATCGCTCTGGCTGTGCAAACCATCATCTTTGTATGGCGACATCGTCATATGAACGATGATGACTTCATGGTGTATGAAGACGAGGATGCTGCGGAGATTGTTCGGGCGGTTGACACAGACAAGAAATAGATGCAGGACATTGGCGAACATGGTGCGATAGAGGTGATCGGTTGCTCACTATCAGTAGTGAACCCAAAGCACATGCTTGGCTACCCACTCCAGCCCAGTGTAGGTAAGACAAGAAGCTGCGTTTAGCTTAAATGGAACGAGTGCTGCCATAGCATTCAGACGTCCCCGTGATGAAATCGTGGCTCTCACGAACAAGATAGATAAGCTCATGAACGCCATCGCCAATCTTGAAAGACGCAAAGGCTGTCTTGGTCCTGACGAAGTGCAGATTCTGGTAGAAATGGAGCATGAGTGGAAGCGACATCAAAGATGGTCGATGAAGATTATTGTGCCATGTAGGAGTCGGAACCTAAAATTTGCGGACTTTGTACAGGCGCGGCCAACTCGCGAGTTCCGAGCCGTGATTGATGCATGCCTGTGGACGGGTGAAGCTATGCGGATGGGTGCCATTACTGCCAAGTACTCAAATAGTGTCGATTACTCCGCCTTGATGGCCTATCGCAGTCTATATCGACGCTGTCACTTTGTCGACAAGGACTACATGCGTTCTATGACAGCTTACAGCGATGCATAAGACCTTGCCCCTCTTCGCCGATTCCCTGACCGTAAGATTAGAAGATCTGCCATACATATGCGGCGATCCATTCAATGTTGGTCACAGCGCTACATCTGCCCTCCGTCGGCTCAAGGTCGTTTGCAAAACCGACCGCTACAGAACAAGAAACAAGTGCATGGCACGATCGTCTTGCACACGTACAGCGTCCGAAAGGGCTTACACTCATCTAGAAAGCAGCCGTTACGAGCTCGTACCTCTACCGGAGGTGGCAATAAAGAGAGGCTTTCAGTTTGAACTCCACTTTGTTTGGCAATGTCCGCGTGGGTATTCCCTACGACGTATTGGAAATATTCTCGGACGCCCATTGGGTCTTTGTGAAAGCGGGCGCTCATGTAAAAGCAACATGACATTGTGCGGACAAGGCGTTTGGATATCCTCTCGTTCGGGGGCCCGGTGGGATATTGACAAGGGAAAAATGTGTTGGATGTAGGAGCACAGGGCAGATACAAATGAGGCAGAAGGTTGTTGTATTGAGGGAGCTACAGCGAGCAATTATATACACAACCAGATAAGTAAGCAGGTGACTAACACAGTCACGTGAGGTGCAGTTCACAGTGTACCGTATGAACTGAGGTGCCAGGCTGACAAAATGCAATCTTGCGGGTGATATCATCCATTCTTCGAGATGGATCGCAGTGCTTGGAGAGCTGAGACGATCCTGGATCTTCAGGAAGTGAGTGATCCCAATGATTAGTAGAGATGCTGGTGCTAACGTCAATCAGAGTGCCAGGTTGATAAATATAAATCACGCGAGGTTTTTGCATAAACAGCGGCAATATATCTCGAGCAGACGATACGTCCATAAGACGTCGGATGAACCCGAGAATTAAGAGACAACCGATGGTGAGCAGGGGGATACCGACGTAAGAAATCTTGGGCGCTTTTTGAGTCAAGTTGTGATGAGGTGATGGATGCATGAGCTGCAGGAGTATTGTATACTTGTAGTGGAGGTCTGTGGAGTCATGATTCATTTTTAGATCTTCAAGTCGTAATAAAAAACTGGCCCCTGGGCCTTTTATGTCATGCGGCATTTCCAATGACCCGTCAACCAAAACGCCATCGCCATGCATAAAGCAGGATGTAAACGACCAGATCTCACATACCAAACCCAACAGCAACAACAACTGCGACGACCACCGCCAAGAGATTTCCCTGCGACCTCGCTACACCGCTTTCACTGGCCTCAGTCAATGCATCAGTGCTCAGGTTCCTGCGCCCTGAGATCGACCCCGAAACACCGTTCGCAGCATCCACACTCGCAATTGCCGGTCCAACATTGAAGAAGTCAACAAGCACAGCCCATGGCGCCTTGCCGTAAACAGTCGTGCAGTTGCTGACACTGACACCCAAGCTACCGTATCCAGTCTGACCATTCGTTGTAGACGCATAGCTTGCGTTGGGCGACTGGATACCGAACAACTGGTTCTCGTACAAGAAGTGGTTCATCAGGAACAATCGGCCGCCAGTGGAGCTTGTAGTCAGGCCGGTAGGGCGGCTGGGCGTACAAGAGTAGTTGCTAGGGTTGATGTTGTTGTAGTCGTTCTCGTACACGTATGTGAACTCGTCCATCAGGAAGGGGTACTGGGTGGATGCTTCGCTGAGGGAGGCAACAAAGGTCATCAGGCGGGTGTTGTTGCCAATGAGGTTATCAAGTGTCGGCCACGTCGTGGGTGCGCTGGTCGAAGAAGGTGTGTATGCGTATTCGGAGATGCCAGAGGAGTTGAATTGCTCGCCCAACTCGGAGGCGGTCGCGGAGTTGGAGTTGACAAGGACGATTGTGACCACGTCGTTTGTGTTTTTATCCATCCATGTCTTGATTGTCGAGAGCCAGGACTTGAGTGTTCCGGCATCGAGGAGATCGCAGGAGCTATGGCAGAGATGCCATGCGTCTGCGCCACTGCCGTTGCCGTTCTTGTGTACCTGCGCAGACAACAATCGTACACCGGCGTCGAGCTGTGTTGTTGTGTCGTAGTAGTGGTTCCCTGACGTGGAAAAAGATGTGTTCTTGTTGCGCAAGAAAGGTGAGTCGTGCGCTCCAAGCTGTGTGATGTTGTTGTACGCCCTCGAACATAATGATGGCGAGTTGTTGCAGGCTGTCTGTGCGGTGGCGGCCGAGAAGAGAAGGGCGGATGCCGCTACTAAATTCTTGAAAAACATCTTGTGAGACTGATCGGACGCTCTGAAGATCAGAAGGTGGGTATATCAGTCGACGGAAGATTGCACGTCAAACAAAGAAGTCGTCAATCCCAAACGCAGTCCAGAAGCGACAGTGATGGCGTTCGTATATCGTAAACCTTACAAAGAGCGGATTACATCAAAAAGCGTCAAACGTCAGGGTTGCGGCGATATTATAGACGATGCGCATCTTAGTCTTCTGTAAGCGGCACTGTCGTCAGCGTGGCTGTTCCATGCGTATCGCAGTCTAATAGTGGAGCCAGTCGTCTTGCACACAACACATGCACAGCCCCAGAGCCGCGAAGAAGTTTCAGGCGTCGTCAGCATGACAGCCGAGTGCGCCGCGACACGTCCGAAACACAAAGCGTTAGGTATGCGCTCGCACAAGGCGAGTGGCCGGATGACAACACCCGAACGTCCCAGCAACGGCGCGTTGGCATTCCGGAAGGTTGGGGTGTGGGTGCAGTGTGGTTGGAGCGATGAGCGAATCCTAAGGCGAGTGGGTCTGTTTTTAGAGTGGCTGCATTCGCGTGGGCTTAGCGCCGATCAGCCCTGCACCACGCTGCTGCGGAGGCGTTCGAGGCGCCTTGTTGCTTGTGCACATCAAACATAGAAACAGCAATAAAGCAAAGCCTCGTTCAAGTCGCGTTGTCGCGTTGTGCGACCAGTTTGCTCTATACAAGACTTTTCTAGGTGCACATCGAGCAAGAGCAGATTTTAAGCGATCAACTTACCCAGCCTCCAAGCAAGCCTCGTCTCCACTTCTCCACGTCAGCGCTCCAGCGGCCGCGTACACTGTCACGATGAGATTCTTTGACGATATCTGGACGGCCTTTACTGATCCATTGAATCTGCATTCACTGCTGGCTCTTGGCAAGGATCCCATCATCGGCACCTAGCAAAACACAGCGCTTCGTTGACAATTGGCCTGACTGTAACTTGAGCGTTCTTGGCATCTCATCAATATCCAACAACAGCGCAAACAGCACGGAGCTAACGGGTGATCTTTGCAGATGGCAGGATCCATGAGCGCGGCCGCTCGTTTCTTCGCCAACCTGCCTAGTTTCTTTAATGCACCCCTCAGCACCTTCGAATCAGAGGCGAGGATTTCTTTGTGCCCGTTGACCGCAACCCGCCTCCCATGCTCGAGGAAGACGAAGGTCTCCACTTCACATTCTTGCAACAGCGCCGTATCTCGGCATTGAGACGAACGCGGCTGACCTTCCTAAATGCGAGGATTTTCGGTCTACTAAAGTCGACTGCAAATTCGTGTACAGCGGAGAAAGTGTCTCCTAAGCGACTGCGTTGTATCTTGTCGTGATCGTCATACAAGTCGACTACTACGTACGTAGTGCTGGCGAGCAGGGCACTTATTTCTTTGGTCGACGCGGGACGATGTACCTTGTGTCGATCCACATCGTCCAACGCTTCCTTGACGTGGCCTGTGAGGAGTGTCGAGCGTCACTGCTCTGCTTTAGAGACCGGTGAATTGGTACCCGGGATAGGGTCGGACCGTTGCTTAGATATTCCTTCAACACCTTGCTGGTGACGCTCAAGCCTACACCGTGGTGGCAAGTTCATTCTCATCAGGGTTTTTACCTCTCAGTGCTCGTGTATCGCCATCGCCAGCTTCGTACGTGTAAAGCCTACAGAATATCTTCGATGATCGTGTTCACGGTGAAGTAATTGTCCGTGCCTGTACGCGTCAGTACTGGAGAATCTTCGAATTGAATTGTCGTTCACCGTAGTCGGAGATCGCTCCAGCCAGGCTCCGCGTAAGAGTCTGGCTCATGGCAAGCAGTTGTACGTCGTGGTAGAGCTGGGACAGTTTGGGCATTGTGGAGTCGTTCATGGGAGATTCCGAGTACGTGAATCCGTCTGGAGTTGGCGTAGCTGTCAAAACTTCTCCGAACAACCCGACCTGCTCAAGTGCTGAAGCGTTGAGCGGCTTTCCTTTAGTGACGTTCACGATCACGCATTGGGTCCAGTCTCGGTATTCGACAAGTGTAGTATAAGTTGCGCGGTGCAGTTTATGTTACGCAGGCCAACACCTTTTTACTCTTGGAAACTGATGTCGAACTTGAACTGCTCGTCAAATACATTTGGACTTACCATGTATTGGATGTGCACCGGGTTCTACACTTTGCTCGTTCGACAAAGTTTCGTTCCCGTAGCGGGTCAGAGTCGTTTTCTCAAGACCGATGTTCGTCAAATCGTAGGCACAATTCGACACAATGCTGAAGTGCACCACTTCGCACTTCCGACTGCAAGCGATGTCGATCTAAGCCCATTGCAAAGCTGCGCAGCGTCAAGCTCTTCAACAGCCTATGAGTCTGCCATTCAGCCGCGTGAGTCGTATACGAGCCAAGCGCCGAGATACTATGTATGATGTTCGGTGTCTGCGCCAGCTCGCATGTCCTTCAGCTGCGGCTGAAAGTGGGCCCACGTTATCAGGTGCGGGCCGACGCGGAGTCCCCGCACTTCTCTCGTCTTTCGCGACGAGTGCGAGCATGCCTAGCGCGTGATTCCTGGGGCCGGCTTTTGTGAGCCGAGGGTCATGAGAAGGTGCAGAGGGAGGGGAAGGATCGTCTCTCGAGTCGCCACGAATGAAGGAGGAGCATGTTGGCTCGGAGCAGTGCATGGAAGCAGTGCGAATACCCTTGTTGATAACAAGCACACGCCACGTGAACCAGGGTGGTGCAGCAGCCTGACTGGCAGCCACAATTTGACCATGATTCATTTGCAAAACACTGTAGCTGCAGTCTCTGAACTCACAGGTCTTGTGAAAATCGGTACTAAAGACATCCTGCTTAGAGCTTACATCCAGTCTCCTCCCCAACATTCAAGCGTACTCCTGGTTCCTTCTCAGGCGCTAAGATCTGCTCAGTTCTAAAATATACGCATGCAGTACATAACATCCACGCAAACACCCCGTATCGATACCCGGCACATCAACATTCCGGCGCGTCACAACGTCACACGCGTCCGTCGATAGCCTCACACACAAAACCTTACAGACACAACACAGCATACGTAGCAGGCAATCCACCCGTCCAGCTTCCCCAATCCATCTCATCTCAGCTGCCACACAGCATCAACCCAGCACCCCATCCACCAGACCACACCATCTTCTCCGCCACCTTACGCCCAGCAGAGCCACTTATTCGAAACCCCGCCGTGGCCGCGTCGGACCGGCACGCAATGACACCCGCCTTGCCCATAACGCTACGACACCCCTCTTCTGCCCCCAGCGCGGCAGGCACAAAGACCATAACCCCCCCAACGCTCTCGTGGCTACAAGGCGCATGGCTCGTAACCCACTCCTCGCTCCCCCTATGGCGAAAAGCGCGAAACGTGAGAATAACATACACACCAATCCCGCAGAGCGGCAGCGCAGGCGGGCGGGGCCACGCGGGGGGCACGCACCTACTCGACGAAGTGACGTACGAGTCTCTATCCAGCAGCGGGACGGGGAAGCCCAGCACAGTGCGGGGCGTGGACAAGCCATTCGCAACCGCCGACGCGCCAGCGACGCTCGGGCTGGTGGCGCACGCGGACACGGCGCCGCCCGCTGCCACGGACGCAGGGGAGGAGCTCGCGGCGCTGGGGTACACGTGGCGCGGCAAAGGGTGGCTGATGATTGCGACGAGCAAGTGGGAGATTTTGGGCTGGGGGGAGGAGGAGGAGGGGGATAGCTGGGTGGTGACGTATTTTGCCAAGACGCTGTTTACGCCTGCGGGTGTGGATTTCTATTCGCGGCGGGGGCGGCTGGGGACGGCTACGGTCGAGGGCATCAAGGCTGCCATTCGGGAGTTGGGGGGTGATGTCGCGAAGTTGGGGGGCGAGGTGTTTGAGGTTGCGTGTGATGGGGAGAGGGATGGGAAGGCGTGAAGTGGGAGGCGGGTGCGAGCATCTGAGTATACGGGTGAGAGTGGTGGTGGTTTGTAATGTGTAATGGGCGTGGGGTGGATTGATATCAGAGACTGTATGTGTCTCATAAGCATGCGCACTCTACATGTGACTGCTCTGTTTAAGCGGTACGGCCTTTTCCTTTGCGAAAGCTTCAGCGATGCTTGCTCTTCCGGCACCACCACCCCTTCGTTTAGTCAAGTAGGCTCCACTGCGAGCCTCCATGACTCGTCTTCCCCGATCCGGCAGCACTTGCATACGACGTCCTCGCCGGCTGCGGTGGGTGAGCTTCGTAGGTACTGTTAATATCGAGATCCACCAACAAACTGGCGCTGCCAGAGACGGACGGTGCAGGTTTCCGAGGTGAAGTCTCGATGAGCTTGCTCGGACTCGCAGCTGCATCTGTGGCCGCTGTGACAGGTGGTCGAGGTGTGCTGTTGCGGCGCTGCTCTTCCCAAGCCACGTCTCCTTCCCAAGCCACGTCTCCTTCCCAAGCCAGGTCTCCTTCCCAAGCCAGGTCTCCTTCCCAAGCCACGTCTCCTTCCCAAGCCACGTCTCCTTCCCAAGCCACGTCTCCTTCCCAAGCCATGTCCCCTTCCCTTCGCTTCTGTAGCATGCGTGCGTCATCCGCTTCTGCACCACCGTTGACGTAGGCTCGCCACCTGCCACGCGATCCAGACTGCGGAGGTGGGTTTGGTCGTGTCTGGAAGCCGGAGTCGAGAGAAACACCGCGCGACTGCGAAGGAGGAGCGCGAGACCACATGGCCGCATTCGGGGCGGGCTTCAGCATAGACCTTCGGCCGTCGGGGCGTTGGTCGCATTTCCGGCACTTGCACGTATCGGAGCACACCTCTGCAGCCCTGTTAGTGTAATCTAGCAGGAAGACTGACTTTGTACACATACCCATGCAGCGGTGACGGCAGTTGAGAGTGGCTGAGCACTGCATGACGCAGTTAACCTGGTCGTGCTCGAATCTGCCTCTGGTCAGCGCACGCTCAAATCTGCATGCATCATAGACCCACGGATGACACTTGTACGGGCACGGATGACCGCACGACAAGACGCCCTTGCACCTTTCGTCGCATCCACCGTGAATCTGCTCCCAATCATCAGTGTACTCTATCCACACCTTGCGCCGATGCTGGGTGCACTGCAGTGGAAGACAGTAGCCGATACGTCGCTCCTGACCATCCTCCGATCTAGCTTTTGAAACCTTGGTCTTGAACATGATGTTGGCAATCTGGCCCCACGTCCAGGACTCGCAGGCCAGTAGCTCGGCGTTGCCGAAAAGGTAGAAGCCACGCTTTGCACGGGACAGCGCAACGCACGCACGATTCTCATTGGAAAGGAAGCCGATGGAGTGGTGCTTGTTTGAGCGGACGAGGGACAGAAGAACAATGTCGTTTCTGGAATGAGCGGTCAGTGAGCAGATGCAAATCGAACACTCGGGCCCATTGCTTACTCTTCTCCTTGATACGAGTCCACAGTGACGACTTTGAACATGATGGAGCGAAGATTTGGGTGTGCCCGGAGCAGTTGCAAGATGCGCTTTCGTTGTCCGTTGTAGAATGTGAGGATCGTGATGCCAGCTGGCGCTTCGCCATTCAGCACCAGATAGTCGACAAACCCCACCAGGAACTTGGCTTCTGGTTCGTTGAAGCAAGACGAGTATGCGTCTCTCCCCTCATCCCAGGTGTGGGTGAAGTAGTAGGAGTTGACGCCGCCCATGCCCAGGATAGGCGGTCGATTGTCTGGGTCCTCGACACTTGCATGGTCCTTGAGCGTGTCGTTGTAAATGGGTCTGAGGAGGCGACGAATCTCAGGGATCATGCGCCGCTGTCGCGTAAGCTGGTCATACTCGACCTCGTTCATGACCAGTCGCTCGAACATGGACAGGTTGAGATGGAACGGAGCACCCTCCAACTTCTTGACCTGCGTGTGGGGCCTCAACTGCTGGTGGTCTCCAACGAGGATAAGGTGCTCGACAGTTGGCAAGCAAGCAGCGGCGACGGGTGCCTCCATAGTCTCAGCGGCCTCTTCGACGAGGACAACCCTCGGGCGCAGCGCAGCAATCAGAGCCCGGTATTTGGATAGACCTGTCGTGGTCACCCCGATGATGCGCTGCTTGCTGAGGAGGTTGACATCTTCCTCCCACAGCCCAACGCGACGCTGCTGAACGGCGTCGTGGTAGTTCCTTGCAACGTCGCGCACATCTCTCAGCAACAGCTTCTTCACCTGGCGCAACAGGTAGTTGTAGATGGGGCCACGGCTGGCAAATTCAATCGTTGTAAGGTCTGCTGTGTCTTCGAGGATATCCTTGATCTCCTCTTCGTTGAGGCTTCTGCTCCCCTTGCCCCTGTAGTTGTCGCTCATCAACAGCACTTCGCCTTTGAGGGCCTCAATATCGTCGTCGTCGTGCGCTGTGGCTTCCGCCTCAAGCTCTTGGAGCTGCTCGACTTCGAGATCCTCTTCTTCCCACTCCCAGCCAAAGTCGTCAGGCCCCGCGGGACGGCGGCATTCTGTCAGCGCTTTTCCGAGCCACTGATGCATCAGATCGCCGGGGGACTCGTTGGAGGTGTCGAGAAAGGAGTCGGTGTCCATTTCCAAGGAGTCGGCCTGGTCTTGGGTCAAAAGACCGAGCCGCCTCAACACGCGGTGGTCCAGAGGCCCTTTGCCCATTTCGAGAGGAGCAAGAAGACGCTGAATAGCCGCCTGAGCCTTTCGCATCGCGGCTTGCGCCTCCGTCTTCTGGCGATGAGGCCGCTTTGCTGGTGGCTGGGCAGAGCGCACCTCGAACAAAGTGCGCTTCCTGATCTCTGCGTCCTTGCTGCGGCCACCCAGTCGGACGTAATTTGGCTCAAAGGCGCTGGTATGGCGTAGGATCTGGTCGACGGCGTGATTTGTTTGCGCGGTGATGATGATGGGCGCGTCGTCTTTGCGCATGTTGTCGCCGAGGACCTGCACGGCCTTGACGGAGACGAACGTTTTGCCTGTGCCGGGTGGACCTTGTACAAGAGCGAGCTTCTTGGCGAGCATGCGCTTCAGGGCCCGTGATTGGGAGTTGTCGAGCGAGGTTGCATCGTTAGCCGGCCACTCCTCGAGCACATTGACGTTCTGGAAGCTGGACGCCTCTTCCATGCTGACCAAGGAACTGAGGTCAACGTAAGGATTGTTCTGGATGTACGCAGGAGCCTCGACGTCTCTCTTCATGTCGACGAGATGCTCTGCGAGTGGAAACGGCTCCCTCATCATGTGCTGGAGGGCCAGCAAGGTATGTCTGCTGGCCTCGAAGAAGCTGGAACGGCACTCCACCATGATCCACGACTGCATGGGGTCGATGGGTTGGTGGTAGTGAGGGAAGAAGAGGTCGACTTCCGGTGGGTTCGGCTGCAAGGCTGACAAGGGTCGAGCGGCGACGACCGCCAGTATGCAGGTGGTCTGAAATGCGTCATGGCATGGCGACAGAGCAACCAGGGTGCCGGCGATCAGCCGCTTGGACTGCTCCCAGCTGCTCGGGTTAGTAAGAGCCGACGTCTGCCAAGTGTAGCGTACCGAATGAGCTTCTTTACGCGCGACATGGAGAAGGCCACACGCGTTGCGAGTCCTCGCGTGCTGAAGACGAGCGACGTAATGTACACGGGCTCGTAGATGCCAACGCTCTTCTCATACTGTGCCTCGTCCTTCCAAGCAGCTTTGCGGACTTGGGCAACCGCCTCACACAGGGGCCGGAGCGCGTCCTCGCGGAGGAGCTCGTACTCGGTGCGCAGATAGTCTTCTGTGCTGTCATATGCGCCATTGATCTTTTTCGGTCGGGGTTCCTCGACCGTGGTGATCAAGGCCTCGATGGTGCCCGAGGCAGGCTCTTGTCGCAGCATCTCGCGGGGATGCGGAATCTCGGGCATTTCGAGCCACGGCCCAGCGCCTGCGACGGGCTTGCAGGCAAGCTCATAGTACTTGCGGACGTCGTCGTTTGCCTTTGTGGGGACAGACTCGGGTATGCTGTCGTCGGGAACCTGTGGGTTGCGTCCCTGCTGTGGCACCGCGTTGCCGAAGCGTTTGGCCAGGTGGGCGTTGCACTCGCCGACTACTCTGTGTTTAGTGCGGCGCATGACTGGACAGTGAGGGGGGAGAGATGGAAGATGGAAGATGAAAGATGGAAGACGGAAGATGGAAGATGGAAGATGGAAGATGAAAGATGAAAGATGAAAGATGGAAGATGAAAAGGCAATACAAAAGACATGTACTGCTTGCTCCTCGCATGTAGAGGAGCACTCACCATTGCCAGGCCCGCCATCGAGGTTTGCGTACATGTTGTTTGATTGCGCCCGAGACGGGCTTAGCCCATGGCTGTGCGCGCCACGTCTGTCATCTCGACGCGTTGGGTTGTTGCGTCGCTTTCTCGCCATACTGCATCGTGGGAAGCTGGAGCGCGACGGGAGAACGGGTGAAGTGCAGTGATGAAAAGAGCGACAGGAAGAATGTGGGACAGTTTGAGACTAATTTGCGCAAAACGAGAGTTGGAGGTGAAGCCCGGTTGTGCGTTTGCCGTTTGCTCGTGGCCAAGAAGGGAAGCATGCTCTGACCCGCTAGTCTGGGCGTGTCAGTGCATGCAGCGCAGCATCGTCTGCGACCGCCAAGGGCGACATGTCGTGGATGAAGGGGATGAAGTGGACGAAGGGGACGAAGGGGACGAAGTGGATGAAGGGGATGACGTGGATGAAGGGGATGAAGGGGATGTGAGTGAGAGAGCACTGGCCAGACTTGCACTCGAGACAGAGAGCGAGCTGCGCTGACAGTGTGGACTGCGGGACGTGCTACGGACGAGTAACTACAAGACATGAGTCCAGTCAGACGGCGCTTCATTTGTGCGCGAGGAGACGTGCATGCTGGCAAGCCACACGTGCAGGCAGCAGAGCAGCGCCTGCAGGTGCATGGAGGTGCTCGGGGTGCCGTCCCACCACGATCGGTGCGGGGGTGGAATGAGAGCGGACGGCACGCAGACGGAATGAGAGGGGACGGCACGCAGATGGAATGAGAGCGGACGACACGCAGACGGAATGAGAGGGGACGACACGCAGACGGAATGAGAGCGGACGACACGCAGACGGAATGAGAGGGGCTCCTCAAAGTCGCTGCAACGTCTTTACCCATTCCAGACACTCACGTGATGGCATGGTGCTGCGGAGGGAGAGCAAGCCAGCAGGGCGCGACTCAGGGTCCGCTCGAAGCGACTAGCGTCGGTTGCACCCGCTCAGCCCTATGACGCGGATGCGAACGTCGGCGCATCAGAGCGTCCCGAGCGATTGACAGCCGACGGCAGCAGATGCGCGCAGGACTCCCGGGGCAGCATGAACGAGGACGACTACGATGACAACGGCGCGAGTACGTGTTTGCGGCGCACGGCGACGGGAGCGTAGGCTAATTGCGCAGGCTCCGCGGAAGAGGACGACGAGCAGGAGGAGAACGATGCGATGGACGTGGACGAGGACGGGGACGATGGCGGGGACGGAGACGGGGACGACGGCGGGGACGACGATGACGACGGGGACAATGACGACGACGATGCAGAAGGCGACAACGACAACGACGACGACGACGACGAAGACCACGACCCCGACCCCGACGAGACCGGCAGTCCCTCGCAGCAACGCAGGCTCCCAAACGGCGGCGCCCCCGGGCCTGCGGACGCGACCAACCCGCGGGTGACGCGCACCTCGGCGAGCCCGCAGGCGGCGGCGGCGGCGGCGGCGGGCGTGCTGGGCAACCTGCCCTTCCGGCCGGCGGTGCGCCCCGAAGCGCTCAGCGCGGCCGCGTACGACATGATCCCGACCATGGCGGCGCCGCACAGCACGTCGATCAACGCGGTGGCGGCGACGCCCGACATGCGGTGGGTGTTCAGCGGCGGGGCCGACGGCTACATCCGCAAGTTCAACTGGGTCGACACGGCCAACGGCAAGCTGGCGCTGACGGTCGCCCAGCGACACCCGTTTGTCGACTCGGTGACCAAGGCGGGCGTGCTGCTGTCGTACTGGGAAAACGGCGACGGCGGCGGCTCCGACGCGCCCTCGCCCGTCTACTCGCTCGCCGTGCACCACCAGTCGCTGTGGCTGCTGTCGGGCACCGAGTCGGGCGCCATCAACCTGCAGAGCGTGCGCCACAGCGAGGGCCACCGCATCCACACGCTCAAGGGGCACTCGTCGGCCGTGTCGGTGCTGACGCTGGCCGCGGACGAGACGTCGGTGCTGAGCGGCAGCTGGGACAAGACCATGCACGACTGGGACCTGCACACGGGCCAGGTGCGCCGCAGCTTCGCGACCAGCGGCGGCCAGATCAGCGCCATCGAGCAGCGGCCCACGTCGGCCCTGCCTGTGCCGCGTCACTCGGAGCCGGAGCCGGCGGCGAGCGGCACCTTTGCCTCGACCAACGCCGCCCGTCCGCGCGCCAACGGCAGCAGCCACGTCGAGGCGGTCGTCGGCTCGCCCGATGACTCGCTGTTCGGCGACGGCGGCGACAAGGACTCGCTGTTTGGCGACCGCGCCGACAACACTGACGACCGTGCCGACAGCAACATTGACGACCGCCCCGACAACATTGACGACCGCGCCGACAACATCGACAACCGCGCCGACAACAACAACATCGACAACCACGCCGACAACAACATCGACAACCACGCCGACAACAACAACATCGACAACCACGCCGACAACAGCCCCGACAACCGCCCCGACAACCCCTCGGCCGCGCTGCCCGACGACGACGACGACGACGACTTCTCGCGCGCCATCGCAAACGGCATCCACGCCGCCGAGCACGACACCAGCGCCGACCTGGACATGCTGGACATGGGCGGGCCCGTGCAAGCCCCGGACGCTGAGCCCGCAAGAGACGCGCAGGCCACACGGGAAAACGACGCGCAGGCCACACGGGAAGAATACACGCACGCCACACGGGAAGAAGCGGCCAGGTCGCCCCCGGCAGCGCGCGACGCTGCACCGCTGGCCAACGGGCTGCCCCACGCCGAGCACCTGCCCGCGGCCGCGCCACACTCGCCGACGCTCCCGCCGAGCTCCGAGTCGACGTTCCTCTCCTCCACCATCGACGGCACGCTCGCCATATGGGACCGGCGCCAGGCCTCGCCCATTGCGCGCCTGCTGCCCCCGCGCGGCACCCCGCCGTGGTGCATGAACGCCTGCTGGAGCCCGGACGGGAACTACATTTACGCGGGGCGGTATGTCTCCCACCCCGTCACGCTTGGCCGTCGGCGCTGACACGCTTGGCCGCCGACGCTGACACGCTTGGCCGACGACGCTGACACGCACAGACGCAACGGCACCGTCGACGAGTACAGCCTGCACAAATCCCTCTCCGCGCCCGCGCGCACATTCAAGTTCCCCGGCGTCAGCGGCAGCGTGAGCGCCGTGCGCGCCATGCCCAACGGCCGCACGCTGATATGGTACGTCCTCCTGTCGTGACGCCCACTGACTCGTGTCGTGACGCCCGCGGACTCTTGTCGTGACGCCCACTGACTCCCCCCAGCGCATCCTACGACATCCTCCGCCAGTACGACCTCTCGCACACCACCGCCTCGACAACCGGCACCTCGGCTTCGACAAACACAGCAGCGACCCCCTTCCTCATCGTCCCCGGTCACCGCACCGGCGTCATTTCGCAGCTCTACCTCGACCCCACGTGCAGCTTCATGATCTCCACGGGCGGCAACAGGGGCTGGGAGGGCGCTACGACGGAGGTTTTGTTGGGCTACGAGATTAGCTACGTGGCGTAGACGGAGACGGTGTGGGGAGTGTGGTGCTGGATTATACCCTGGTTTGGCGTTTGGGATTGTTTGTTGTGTGTTGGTGGGGGAAGTGAAGCGGGCGAGTTGGTGTGGGACGTGAAACGGGCGAGTAGGTGTGGGACGTGAAGCGGGCGAGTAGGTGTGGGACGTGAAGCGGGCGAGTTGGTGTGGGACGTGAAATGGACGAGTTGGTGGTGTGTAAGGTCTAGGGCTTCTGAATAGATGGTAATACAGACATGATGCTGCACAAACGCACCCTAAGCCACTGCAGGTCTGTCTTGCTAGCTACTACTATACTCGTATAGGCCTTGACCCTGAGTAGTAGGCAGTAGGCAAGGTCTCTAGCTTCTTCACGGACAGCAAAAAGACATTACGCCACACACAGCAAAAAGACATTACGCCGCACAAAACGCACCCTAAGCCGCCGCAAGTCTTCCAACGTCACAAAGTCTTCCAACGTCACCAAGTCTTCCAACGTCACAAAGTCTCCCAACGTCACAAAGTCTCCCAACGTCACAAAGTCTTCCAACGTCACCAAGTCTCCCAACGTCACAAAGTCTCCCAACGTCACCAAGTCTTCCAACGTCACAAAGTCTTGCAACGTCACAAAGTCTCCCAACGTCAAAGTCTTCCAACGTCACAAAGTCTTGCAACGTCACAAAGTCTCCCAACGTCAAAGTCTTCCAACGTCACAAAGTCTTCCAACGTCACAAAGTCTTCCAACGTCGTCGCCAGCCACAACCGTCTCCACACCCCACCCTCACAACACCACATGCCCCGGACTAGGCGGCACCCCCCCCGTCTCCCAAACCACCGGCTCACTCCCAAGCACAAACTCAATCTCCCCCCCCTCCTTCATAACATGCCCGTGCTCGACCCAATTCCTCCCCCACGGCCGTCCATTAACCCTCACGCCCTGGACAAAGTAGCTGTCCTCGCCCAGCCCCTGCGCGGTGATCCGCAGCGTCGCATTGCCGTTGATCGTCATGTTTATCTCGCTGAACCACGGGCTGGACAGGAGGTACACGGGTGTTGTTGCGATGGGGTAGAGACCCAGCATCTGCCATATGAGCCAGGAGTTGAGCGCGCCTGCGTCCGAGTTGCCCGGCATCCCAGTGGGCGTGTTGCGGAAGCTGAACAGTGTCAGGTGGGAGACGCCGTGGCGAGAAAAAGGTGGGAGACGCCGCGGCGAGAAGAAGGCGGGAGACGCCGTGGCGAGAAGAAAGTAGACTTACTACTGTCTGCTCTGGGCGCGCGATTGCTTCACGCTCTTCCATTGCTTGTTGAGGTAGTTGTACAGGTAGGGCGTTGCGAAGTCGGGTTCATTCCTGCCGTTGCGTCAGACTCACGTGGCGCGTTTGGACAAACTCAGCTCTCACCCAATGTTCATGATTGTGTTGATGCCCGCGCCGTTGGGGCCGAGGTCGGCTTGGCTCGTGTAAGGGACGAAGATGTAGTCGAGGCGTTCCTCGAACCTGTCCCGACCGCCCATGGCCTCGATCAGGGACTGCATGTCGTGCGGGATCGTAAAGGAATACTCAAACGGGGTGCCCTCGTATGTGAGGGACGGCCAGGAACACGCGCCGCAGGTCGCGGGGTTGTAGGCTGTCTGGTTAAAAGTCCCGTTTCGATCGCGTGGCGTTAGGAAACCAGTGAATGCCGGGGTCGTGTTGACGCTGGGAGTGGTGGCGTCCCAGAGCAACTGCCAGCCAGCAGATCGCCTCAGATACTTGTCAGCGTCCTCGGGCTTCTCGCCTCGGGCAACCTGGCTCAATGCGAAGTCTGCAACGGTCAGCCTGGGCAGCCTCGCGCCATCTTGCCAACCTACCGTTGAGCGAGTACTCGACGGTTCTGCTAATGCTCCGCGGCATCGCCTGGCTAACGTAGCCGTACTGCAGCCAGTCCGCGCCTGCGCCTCGACCTTCCTTGTTGCTCCCGTTTGTCGGCACCTCGGCGTTCTTCACCATTGCCGCATAGCCCTCGGACCAGTTGATCGCGCCTCTCAGGCCCTTTACGTAGGCATCAGCGAGCACGTTGTCCGAGTTGCTTCCGCCCTGGACCATGCCATTGTCGTTGCCAGAACGGCCCTGTAGTTCCGTCAGCACGGTGTCGGGCGCGAGGCAGACTGCGGCGTCTCTTACGTCTGGCATGTAGCCTTGATGTCTCCAGACATCTATCAGCGACCGGATCTGGGACTCGTGTGCCTCGGGCTGGATCAGATGGGAAAGACTGACGGTGTTGCGGAACGTGTCCCCTCGCAAAGTGTTAGCTAGATGCACCGCACCTTAACAAAGACTCAGCTCACACAAAGTGTAGAAATCATCCCAGTACGGCTCTTCGCTCTCCCATAGCGGGTTCTCGCCCGTCCGATCGGAGGGGATGAGATGCATAAAGTACAGCGAAGAGTACAGCATGGCCAAGTGATCCTTGTTGGCATCCGCGCCCGTGTCTACTCGTATCTTGCTGAACACGTCGCGGTTCCATTGCTCGACTGCTGCGTCGACTGTTGCTCGTATATCCCACGACGTGATTTCCTCATCCTTGAACCTGCACGCCTTCTCTTCGGATATGAATGAAATGCCCACCTTGGACCGCACAGTAGTCGTGTTGCCAGCCCAGGTGAACACGGCACCGACACGACTGCCCTGCGGGGTGGTCATGTTCTCAGAGGCAAAAGAAGGCCACGGCAGGGGCTCCGGGTTCATCGAGTTGAAGCCAGGGAACTGGTTGCGACCGGAGAAAGTCTCCGTCTCGTCGGGTGCGCTTTCAAACTCTCCGCAAAAGTAGACCGTGTATGGCGCCCCTTCATTGAAGCCACCAGCGTAGGTGCCGTGGCCTCGATAGCTCTTCTTGTCCTCCGAGGTGCTGATCTCGCCTTCTCGGTACGTTTGCGTGCAATACCCACCCACGACGTTCGGCAGGTAGTGCGATACATCCACCAGCACGTGTTTCTTCTCTTCGGCCGGGAAGTCGTACTGGTAAAATCCCGCGTGGTGGGTTGCGCTCAGCTCAATCGTGACACCACTTTCAAGCTTCGTCTTGAAGTACCCAACACTCGCCTCGTCCTCGCCGACGCGCTCTTGCCAATACGTCCGGTTGTCCAGAAGATTCACGGGGGCCTCGATGCTCGTGAGCGGCATCTGGGAGATGACGCCGTATTTGGAGCATCCTCCGGTGCCTGACTCGTGCATCATGGAGAACCCGGTGATCAGGCCGTTTGGGGTGTAGCCCCCCTGCAGGGCGGCGATGCTGGTGTTCTTGACGAACGTGTCCATTGTGAGTTTGACGACGCCAAAGGGCACTGCGGCCCCAACGAAGACTGCTCCGCCGCCGAAAGTGTAGTTGGGAATTGGTCCCACGGTGCCCCAGAATGGATTCACATGTTGAGAGTAGTCGATCTGGGCCCCTGCGAACTGCAAGTAGGTCAACAGTGTGGCGATGAGCGACCACATTGATGGCATGTGGCGAGGTGTATGGGGAGAGGTGAGTTCATGACCCCGTGTTGCGGTCGGCTCTGCAATCTATAAACCCGTAGACATGGCCGTGAATATGACGTCGCCGACGATACACGAGACAGCTCGGGAGAGCTTTGCCGCGAAATGTTGCAATCTGGTAAGTGTAGGATGCGAGTTCGGTTTTCCCCGCACTTGAGATTCCCCGCAACTCCCGAGTGTTTTTGAGGAAAAAAAATAGTCTTCTTGACTCTACGACGAACAGGGTGAGCAGACTGTCAAGGTACTTTCCTCAATCATCGGACCGCCTTCCAGAATCCTCATCGTCCTCAAATCGTTCTCAATTTGTGAAGTCGGGCTACCATATTCGGCGAAGAAATTCCACAACGTCCAGCTCGTGCGGGTTCGTTCTTGAAATGCACATGGCGATAGTTCAGTCAATCCTTGTTTTGACGATAATCAGTCCTTCACCAATACGCAGAACGTAATCCCATGGGACTCACCTGGCGCGTGAAGTCAAACAAGTCCGTGTCTTTTCGACGTACTATCTGATTTCGCCGCAGTATGGGAGCGTTGCGGTCGTGGTGCTGCAGGACCATCACAAGTCCACATCAACTACTCCCTCACTGGAAGCCTGAAGAACATTGGCAAATGCGCCCAGCCCTTCCTCAAGCACTTCTACACGGACATCACGCTGTCGAAACGTAACGTGTAATGGGACTTTTCCTGCGTCGATGACACTCAAACTGAGTCTTGCGCTTGTCTCCGTCGATTTATTTCCCGTGTCCACGGTCCTGAGCGCAGTTTTGGGTCTTTTGTACCGAGCTCGACCGACACGGGACTTGTTGATGCCACATGACAGTCTGATCTCGTGGAGTACGGGACAAATGCCCACACTCAAAGCCTCACCAGGCATCGAATGTTCGAGGTTGTGGTCTTTTGTTTAGAGTCGATGCGTTCATACGGAACCTGGAAATTTCCGTACGCGGTTTCGACGATCTCGGCACCTGTAAGGCGTCCCACAAACCTCTTGTCAGGGTAACGGGGCAGATGATGATGGTCGAAGTCTGCGGACACAGCTGTGTCCGCGGTTGCAATACGGTAGAGGCCAGCTTCGTGCAAGATTTCAAGTCCTGACCTTCAATTAGCTACTGGTACATCATTTCTGGACTGCGGAATTAAGGCCAGGCTTTGCTAGCCAGTAGTATTAAACCCTCGTACGCGCTTCCGAGATCAAGTCCAGCGATGCGTTGTCTCTCTTGCTCGAACCTCGCGGCTTTATTGTGAGGCTTGTCTTCTCTGCGTCGCCTAATCAGCGCGCCATGTTCGCGGATATCAGGCGCTGCCCTTACAAATCATTGAGTTGAGTAACAGTGCGCCTTGCACTCCACCAGAAAGTGTTATACGGCAAAGATAACATCTAGGTCTCGAGCTTTGCCAGTACGATCACTGCAGGATCGCGACTCTCATGACGCGAGGCGATGGGTGGTAGTGGGCCTCCCTGTCCTCCATGGAGTCAATGTGAAGCTCAAAGCCGAAGTTTTCTCCGTACCCGCGAAACTTCACAAAGCTTGGTCAGGGTTAAATCAACTTCTTGGTTTCGATGAGCGGGGAGTCGGTCGATACAGATCGGCTGGTAGGCTTACAGTACCGGTACATACGCTAACCGCATTTGTCTCTGCGGCAATCGCAAATCTGACACGTCGCTTACATGCTTCTTGTAGAACATCATTTCACCGTCTCTGAGTTCCAGGTCACTGACATGACATCTACTTACTCAGTCCGAAGATCAGATTTCGAGCGCTCCCTTCTATGATCTGCGACCGCGACCATTCCCACTCCATGTAAGTGATCAGCGTGATCCAAACTTACTACGCCCACCGGAGTCCAGCCCATTGGAGCCCACTGGAGTAATTATCAGCCGCCTAGTAAGCACGTCACCCCTCAACCTCGCGGTTCGCAATAGGTAGGTACCGTACGGATCTGTTCGCTCTTATTGCAGTGTTCGTATCGGGTCAAGGTCCGGGTCATGCACTACCTATATGTAGGGTCGTACACGCCTTGTATGAATGGTACCTGATAGTCTTTGCGCAGCCGTTGCCGTCAGTACGAAGTAGAAGGGATACCCCACGGGGAGTCCCCGAGATTCTGCGGGGCAATTGCTCGATCGCTGCAATGCTAATGACAATCCTCGCTCGGTCGACACGCCGACGGGGGGTGTATCCTTTACGAATACGGAACAACGCTGCAATTTTAGGGTCAAAACCTCTAGCGCAGTAAATCTCCTTGGGTATCATTGCCGTTTGCATGGCAAGGGCGTCCAGGTAGATGAAAATGTCGATGACGGAATGATGGAGGGTAAAAGGATGATGGACCCCAACTTTGGCCATCATCAAGTCACCTCATTCTTTCGTTCTCCAACATCCACTCTTACACGAGGATGAGACGTAACAGCATCTCAGCCTTAGTGCTGCTGCCTCTGGTCTCGCAAGTCCACGCAGCCCTTAACGGTGATGCTCTGGCAAAGCAATACTTTGGCAACGACGCGCCCTGGTACCGCAACCGTATCCCATTCTTCGAGAGCAGCGACAGGGAGATCACTGATGTCTATTACTACCGTTGGAATATCTTTCGTGCCCACCAGCGTGATCTCGGCGCCAATGGATTCATCTCGACCGAGTTCCTTAACGATGTGGGCTGGCAAACCAGACCGTGGGCGTCTTTGAACGATGCCACAGCCTTTCATCTGCTTGAAGGCCGCTGGTGTCGTGACAGGCGGTTCAAGGAGGACTATGCAACTTTCATCTTGGGTCCGAACAGCAACACCCGCCAATTCTCGGAGAGCATGGCGGCGGCGGTCTACAAAGGCTTCCTGGTGGATGGCGTCTCGGCTGATGCCACGGCACGTCTTGACCAGATGACATCCGTCTACAACGCATGGCAAGATGCACTCGATACATCGAAGGGACTCTACTACGTGGAGCCGATCCGCGACGCCACAGAGTACACCATCTCCAGTATCGATGCTAGTGGCGGCCAGGACGGTTTCTTTGGAGGCAACTCTTTCCGACCCAGTATCAACGCGTACCAGTACGACAACGCGGTCTCCATTGCGAAGCTAGCTCAGCTGAAGGGTAATTCGGGTAATACTGTTACCACCTACAACCGACGAGCGGCAGACATCAAGACTCGTGTGCAAGACGACCTTTGGAATTCGACATTTGGGCACTTCACCGACCGCTACCAGGTCAACAATCAGTATGTGAAATACTGGGACTTCATCCGTGGCCGTGAACTTGTTGGCTTCGTTCCGTGGGCCCATGATCTGCCAGATGACACCTCCAAATTTGCTGAAGCTTGGAAGCACGCTCTTGACACGAAGGAGTTTGCTGGCCCTCGCGGTCTGCGTACTGTGGGTCCAAGCTATCAGTACTACATGCGTCAGTACCGTTATGTGGAGGAGAACGGCAGGCAGCCCGAGTGCCAGTGGAACGGTCCTATATGGCCTTTCCAGACTACCCAGGTGCTCACGGGTCTTGCCAACTTCCTTGACCATTACCCCAAGGGAGCTGCAACTGGTGTCATCGGCAAGAGCGACTACACCAAGATCTTGCAGCAGTATGCTAAGCTCCACTACAATCCTGAACGTGGTGGCATCTTGGATCTTGAGGAGGACTACTACCCCGACACTGGCTTCCCGATTGTTGGCCTCAAGCGCTCGCCTCATTACTTCCACTCCGGCTTCGTCGACTCCGTTCTCTCTGGCTTCGTTGGTATTCGCCCCAGCGCCGATGACGTCCTCGAAGTCAGCCCTGCCGCCGAAGCCTCCGCTATCTCCTACTTCCGCGCCGACTCGATCATCTACCACGGCCATGAGATTGCCGTCCAGTGGGACGCCAACGGTTCGCGCTATGGCTCAGCCGGTCTCAAGGTCGAAGTCGACGGTAAGGTGGTCGCTTCTTCGCCGACACTCGCGCGCCTCAAGGTCAACCTCAGCCGCACTGTGCCTCCCGCCATCACTCGCAAGATTGCGAAATCCATCAAGCTCAGCACAGACACCGCCTTCCCCGCCGGAAGTGCCTCCGTCCCTGGTGTCGACGCAGCCTCCTTGTACGGCACGATTGATGGTCGCATCTGGTTCTTCCCTGAGACTGATGTCGCCAATGGCTGGAGCACACCCAAGGGCAATGGCACTGAGATCTGGTTCCAGGTCGACTTTGGGACAACCACTGCTGTCAGTAGCGCCGAAATTGCGTTCTTCACCGATGCCAAGCAGGGTTTTGATATACCTTCGAGTTACCGCATCCAGGCTGCGAAGGGTGACACGTGGGTCAATGTTTCGGGGTGGGAGTATGCCAAGCCGGTTGGCAACGGTATCACTGTAGCCTCGTGGTCTGCGGCCAATAGCCAGAAGGTCAGGATCGTGTTCACGCCGAAAGAAGGACAGAAAGTCCGGCTTGTTGAGTTCAAACTCTTCTAGGCCGTCGATGCTCGCTAGCATGCACCCTTTAGATACAAAACCTTTTGCTACGTTTGTCGTGGACCTCATTGCTGATCATGTGCTATCCAGGCATATCGGTTCTATTGTGGGATCACGAGCTCAGGATTGAGTGGGAGATAGATCATCGCATTGTGTCTGCTAGTTTGAGAGTGCGCCGTTTATACGCTCAGCCTCTAGCAGGAGTACCGGAATCGGTATTCCCGTGCTCCGTGACAGGGCATCACAATCGCTTGGTATGAAGCTGTAGAACTCGTATTGTGGTTCTGCAACACTTTCTCCTTTCGGCAGCTGCCATCATTATTGTCATGCATTACTAAAACGACATCATTTATCTTCAGCTTCTTCCTCGTCTCACCCCAGATCCCAAACAGCTTGGGTCTTTGAAGTGGTTCACTGCACCCCTCCAGCCATACTTCTGAGGTGTGCAGATGTATCTTTTCAAGCCGCCGACACTACCACAGGTGGTCATACCTATACAAGTTTCAAGCAGATGCCAAGGTCTGTGCTATAGGAGAGCAAAACGGCTCTGGAATCTCAAGCCGAGGCGGTAAGTAGACCATCCCCCGGGTCACTGTTTCACGCACGTCAGTGCGGTATTGAAGACACAACAGGGAATCTTTTTCTGCACAAGCTGAGTGAACGCCGAACAGGACTTCACTGCAGCTAGAAATCTAATGAACTCTATAGAGCCGACGGACAGTCTGCTTCGTCAATATTGTGGTCTGACTTGGCGTATTCAATGACTTGAGAAATTCTGGATGTTGTTGCGACTCCCGAAACTCTCTCCAAGGGGGTGTCGCAAGCTCATGACCTTACCATGCATCTGTATATCTTTCCAGCAGGATCTGGTAAGTCGATATGGATACGACAATTCAATAATCCAGATGACTCTACATTCGACGACGATAGCGTCCTGAAAGAATGATTGCATTGGTCCTTAGAATTTTCGGCACAAAGAAAAAAGTAAGCACTGAGCCTCCCATCAGCTTAACTAGGATGACTCCGACAGATTGCAACCTATGGCAGATGTATCTGTGTCCAGATACTCGAGGTATTGGGCTTCAGTCCTTTTTTGTTCAAGATTTTGATCGTTGTACCTTGAACGTTGAAGGTTTGCGAGACCAGCGACTTGGTGGAGGCCGGTAGGTAATACTGACCCTACTTGGAGTGTCAGAGGCTCTTCGCTCATGTGCCCCCATTTTCAATCACCGATGCTATTATTGAGCCCACGATGAGGGCAGCGCACCTACAACAGCGATTTCTGTAAGACCGATAGGTTTTGCGGAATCGCTACTACTGGTACATACTCAAACACTTAACATTTCAAATGTTTTGCGTGGAGTCGTGACCTGACGAGGACCTGGACGGTACGGGTAGGGCAGCCAGGTCCAAACTGATTTCATGCAGTTCGTTGGTCCATTGTCCTGCCACTCTATCTCTGGGTATGGTTCGATCCAAGGCACCTGTCGTGCAACTTCTATTTGCTCTAAGATTGTGTGCAGAAAGCAGGAAGTATGATGAGGTTGAGTACTTTTACTGTTTTGATACAGGGGTGGAATTCGCGGCGAGTCATAGACAATCCACTGACCAACTTTTCGAAGACAGCGGCAGTAAATGGCAGAAGTGCTTCGGCCTTTGTGGCGAAGGTGAGACCCTACAATCCGTCAGACTGTTTCAGTGAGCTCTTGCATGCTTTGTTTCGAAGGCAGGGAGAGAAGTGTGACTTAGCTGCTCTCCAGCCAGGTCGTATTTTCTGGCCGGGATTCAGAAACGAACGGTTTGTTGTGCTCGGGAAGATGAGCATGAAGAAGCGAGTGGGAAATAGCCGACTGATTCCATGCATGATGGTGACGGATGCCATTGCACTTCTCAATCAAACCTGTTAACAATAGTTATCAGGTGGGCTATCGTAAGGCCTCCAAGAATTGGGACAGGTACCACACAGGCAGCGGCGGTGAGCAAGTGCCATTGACGAAGCTGCTTGCAAAGCCAAGACAGCTGGCCCCACTGCCAAGAAGCTTTTTCAAAAGCTTGCGACGACTTGACAGGGCGTCCGCAAGGCTGTGAAGGAGGCTAAGCCAGTGAAGTCTCGACAATTACCCAGCCGGTGTTCGCCCGACGCTAAAACTGCCGATACACCCTCGGTATGTGGCCTAACCTCTTTACTACCATGACCGCTTTGTTTCAACAGCCTCAGGCGTACGTGTGCATTAGAACAACTTGTAGGGCTGCACAAGCCATCAACACTAATATGCCTGGTCGGATAGGTTGAACAGGGTGGATGCAACCCAGACGCTTATAGCGGGTCGCAAGCTATGAGCTGCGGGTCTTTACACGCGTCCCCGGCGAACAGGCTCGGAATGTTGGTTTCCAGCTTCCTAGAATCTAGATGCGAAAGGCATCGATACCGTGTCGTGAACCGTGACGATGCTGCGCAGCAGGAGCAACATCATAGTGGAGCCTTCCCATGAGACTGGAGTATAAGACAGTTCGACTGCAGACCTCAATCATCATCCAGCGCATCCAGCTTCAGACCTTCTTCATCTTTCAATACCAGCAACCACCATGGTCAACTTTGCTTCTATTCTCAGCGGCGCCGTTGCGGCGTCCTCGCTCATTGGCGGTGCGGTCGCTCATCCAGGCGAGAAGCACGACATGGCACACGTCAAGCGCCAGATCGATGCCCGTCAGCTCCGCGCCGCAGCTGCCAAGCGCTCGCTCGAGAACTGCCAGGACTCGCTTCAGCACCGCTCGCTGATGCAGCGATCTCACACCAGGCGCTCGGAGGCTCTCAACGCCCTTCGCCAGAAGCGCAGCATCAATGGTAAATCGAAGAAGTTCCGCCGTGATCTTGCTCTCCTCCAGGAGTTCGAGGCCATCAACCACAATCAGACTGGAGTCTTGGACTACAGCCCCAACACTGATGTTTCGACGATCTTCGCAGCGAACACTTCGTGCATCCTGGCCCCGGAGGTAACTGACGGACCGTATTACGTCAACGGCGAACTCATCCGGAAGGACGTCAAGGAGGGCGAGCCCGGCATCGATCTGTACCTCGAGGTCCAGTATGTCGATGTCACCACTTGCCAGCCTGTACCTGAGCTGTTCGTCGATGTCTGGAACTGTAATGCGACTGGTGTCTACAGCGGTGTCGAGTCAGGTCAGGCTGGACTGAACACCACCTTCCTTCGCGGTATCCAGGAGACCGACAAGGACGGTGTTGTGGCTTTCGAGACTATCTTCCCCGGTCACTACGATGGCCGTGCCATCCACACTCATCTCCTTACCAAGTCCAATGTCACAGTCCGTGAGAACCAGACTACCCAAGACGGCGCTGTCACCCACATTGGTCAGCTCTTCTGGCCCGAGGAGCTCAGGTCTGAAGTCGAAGCCACCCCTCCTTACAACGAGAACACCCAGGCGGTCGTCTCCAACGACGATGACATGTGGAGCATTGTTCAGACCGCAAACGACTACGACCCGTTCCCGCAGTTCGTCTACGTTGGTGACGACATCACCGATGGCCTCTTTGCTTGGATCCAGATCGGTGTGAATGCTTCTGCCGACTACACTGATGACGATTACTACAACATTGCTGCTACCTACCAGGCTGGCGGTGGTGTCGCAAATGCTGACTCCGGCGTTGGCGGTGCCGGCGGTAACGGTACGATGCCGAGCGGCTCGCCTCCTTCCAGCGCTAGTCCCTCATCGACCGCCTCCGCCTAAGATGGGCCTGTGGCGTTGTGATTCGTCTATCAGTATGTGCATCGTGCAAAGATGGGTTTTCCTTTGTTAGCTTTAGAGAAGATCGCAATGAAAACATTGACACATTCGTGCACGCTATGTAATTCTTGAGCTAACCATACCGGTAACCATATTGAGCCTAGTGGCGACACGTCAAAAACACAATCTCTCCTACAATGACCAACGGATCGCATTCGACGTAGAAGGACGCGTTTACGCCCGCACAAGACGACACTGAATAGCACTTCGCCGCTTTGTAATTATTTCCTTGCCAGTATCATGAATCTCTCCGCTCTACTCCCCAGTCTCAAACTCGAGGTTCTCAATGCGCTGAATCCAGGCTCTGCCGTTGACTTCCCACCCACCTGCAAAGATCACCTTGAGCTCTGCCAGAGCATACTCGAGGAACCTGTAAGGTTGGCTTCTCAGTCGCCTGTTATCACTACTGTGCGCAGTGGCCCAGGGGTTCGCGAACTACTCGAGAACGTACTGCAAGGTCCTCGAAGGGGCTGGCATGTGAAGAACTGACAGAGTTTTTTTGAGGAAGACAATGATCCTTTAAGAGCAGCAGCAATGGACCTTGTGCCCTCGTATTGTTATGAGCCAAGAAACTCCTCACTGGCAAACCCGACACACGGACAAGTCTCGAGGAAGCTTTCGCTGACAGCATTGTGAATGGCTCGGACGATGCTATGATCGCGATTCTGCTCCATACACTTCCGCGTATTGAGACATAAAGTTCGACACTGATAATGGAGAGCATACATGCCTCAACCAGGTGATGCGCATCATTGCCGATTACGATGGCTACCAAGATACCACAAAAGCGCCACGATTACCTCTACAACGCCTCAAGACCCTAGCAATGAGCCATATTGACACTGGGGGGTGTCTCAATGTAGATTGAGCATGCTATTTTTTGTGCGTCCCATTTACGCGAACGGTCGCCGCCTGGGCAACGAGGAGCGGAGCCGTTACCAGGAACAGCGAGGACCATCTATGAGCTATCACAGCACCAGTATTAAATATCGAGGAGCTTCTCTTCTCCAGATGTCAGTTCGGCACCGCAAGTTTGGACACCATCTTGCCGCTCATCAGATTTGAAAAGATTTACGTACGCGGTGGGGGGCGCGACTCTTGCTTACTCCTACTGCGAGTCTCATGAAGTGATCAAAGCCCTGGCAAGGTATGCTGGGCACTCGCTAGAGGAGCTTGAGCTCGAAGGCGAGGAAACTGGCTACACTGCGCGTCACTTAGATTCGACACCACGTGGCAACGGCGCTGACAGCGAGATGATAGGAAGATGGAGAGGACACCTCAATCGTCTGACCGCGAGACTTTCGCAAGCTGAAGATTCTGAACAGCGAACTGAGATATTTGTTGCGCTCGCCCGATGCTGATTCGGACATTGATCAAGCTCTTTCATAGGGCTTTTTAAGCCAAGTCTCTGAGCAGTGCCTAGTGTCTGGTTTAAGAGACCGCCTGACTGATTCTTTGGAGGAACTGTGTCTTTACGGCGTTTTCGATCAAAACAATTGGAAGCAATTGAGTTGAACCTTTGAAAGCTCGATTCCAGCTACGCCAAAGCTAACCTTAGACAGTGTCTGCATCAGGAATTTGTCGGGAACCTCAGATGATGGTGGCATTCAGGCACATATCGGAACTGCAAAAGAGGCCCTGGAGATGTTCTTACGCCCACTTGTGAAGTTTCTGCGACCGTGATTGTGAGTGCAACTGCGCTGCGGCAATCTTCTATGTTACTCATGAACTGTCAGCAAGAGGAATAGAAAGGGCAGGGTAGCGATGACTCTCGAACGACTTGACAAGAATGTTGCCCTTGGAGCGCTGCAAAGTTGTTGAAGACTATTTCCTCCTCTCTTGCTGTGCCACCAAAGGTAACACGTGTAGCTGCCGCGGTACCATATGGTGACCACCTGTGTTTTACCTGAAGAACTAACGCGATGCTGAGCAGCTGCGCTACGATAACCGCGTCGGCTAACTTGGTGGCGACGCAGCCCCGCACGATAGGGCACAGCGCACGGCAGCACTAAAAATCCAGGCGACCCGTTTGTGTGAGACACAAGCTCAGAAACACAAATGCAGACTCAGGACATTGGTCTTGTGCGACTCCGATACACATAGCAGGGATTTAGCGGCCCCGACTTCGGTCCCATCTCACTTAATTGGTCTACTTGCTCGTCCTCTCATGTGCAGCATACCCTGCTACCATCAATGGCGGCTGCATGGCGATCAATGAAGGGCTTCTCGAATCCGGACTCTACACCGCAGCCTTCCGTCTCCAAATGGCAATATTGCCTGACACGCTTACTCGCTTGGCTGACGACGTCCTTGTTGCCCCTTGAACGCACTGCGTCTTCTCGATAGTGCTTACATGCTATACATTTATGCAACTTTTTCAATGGAGGCCTGACCAAGGCCAGCAAGAAAGTCTTTCGCCGCAGACTCAGGAACATTTAGCCTGCCGTGGATGATTTCTTGCAGTACTCTATGTGAGTCTGAGCCTCCTGCGATTAAGCATGCGCTTTGCGATTAAGAAGTCATCTGCAGGTCATGGTTCTGGCATTTCTAGCATCCGTCTTTTGTTTGCTGTGTCTGTTGGCTTTTCTCTTGTACTCTAAAGACTTTCGACGCTGGCTGCCCACCTATTCAGAACAGCAACACAGTTCAGCAAACCTTTCAACACCCCGCATCAGCAGAGATCCAGCTCTGATCCGTCCAGACTATGATGTTGTCATTATCGGGTCAGGTTATGGAGGCGGAGTGGCAGCATCACGGCTGGCAAGATCCGGAAAGAGGGTATGCGTGCTCGAAAGAGGTGCTGAGGCGTAGGCTGGTCAATTCCCACATACATTGAAGGCAGCTCTGCGAGAGTCTCGCGTGAACGACATATGCCCTGGGAGGCAACGTACCTTGGGCAAAGCATCTGGCTTGTACCATAAATACAAAGGCAAGGGGCAGGACGTGTTCTCTGGATGTGGATTGGGTGGTTCCAGTCTGATCAATGCCGGAGTCTTCCTCAGAGCAGAAAATAGGATATTCGAAGGTCCAGAGTGGCCAGTCGAGATTCGAGAGAACAGTGATGGCTTGAAGCAGTGTAAGAGACCGATATTCATCGTAGCAAATGTCACATCGCGATGGCTCGTTGGACTGATCGCATACAGACTACCAGAGAGGCGAGCAAATGTTTCGGCCATCTCCATACCCCGAGAGTTTACCGAAACAACAGAAGTTGACTGTCTTCGAGTGTCAATCAAAGGATCTTGTTCTCCACGATCGCCTCTATCTACCACCGCTGACCACAAGCTTCGACAATTGCATTAACAGCGCTGGAGTGACGGTGTGCCAGTCGACAGGCTCTGGGAACGAATGTGCCGGTGTGAACGATGGATCGAAGAACTCTGTCTTAGTGACTTACCTAGCCGACACCTGGACTTGGGGAGCTGAGATATTTTGTGGCGTTGATGTGAAGCACGTCCGTAAACTTGATCACGAAGTGGGTTACCTGGTGTACTATAGCAGCCACCAAGACTCGAAGCGCACGATATGGGTTCGCGCAATACGTTCAAAATTGCGCAACTACTGAAAACGTCTTATATTGACCTATGCTACAGAAAGAACTCGTAATCCTTGGAGCAGGTGCTGTGGGCACAACAGAGATTCTTCTGCGTTCTCGCTCTTACGGTCTCCCTGCGTCGCCTCTTCTCGACCAGAGGTTATCCGGCAATGGGGACTTACTGGCGTTCGCATATAATTGCAAGCAAAGTTTAAATGCCATCGGTGGAGAGACATCCTCAATATCACATCATGAACGCTGCGGTCCCACGATTACAGCGTGCATAGACATGAGGGGAACCGGAGAAGCACCAAACGTGAGAGATGGCTTTGTGATACAGGATGAAGCGATCCCAGGAGCTCTCGGACCAGTGATTTAGTCAATGCTCAAAGCCGGAATCCCCATGACGTATTCATACAAGAGACAAACTCTCATGAAAGCCATCGCGAGTATGAAGATTTGGATACTAGGCCCCTACTACGCCGGAGGGAGCGTAAATCGCACTGCGGTCTATTTGGTCATGTCATATGATGAGAACGAGGGGACTATGGAAATATCAGACGTGAAAACAAACTTACAGTGGTCGGGAATCGGCGCTGAATCGAGAAACGATCATATCAAAAATCTGCCCGCAGGCGCATCGGCGAGTATTGGAGCAACATACGTCCCGGTGCCATCTGTGTGAGCACAAATCGTTTAGATATCAGCAAACTGATTATTGCAGGCATAAACCCCTGTGGAACAATCACAGCCCTTGCCGAGCGATGTTGCGACTTGCTCGTCCGCGAACGGGGCCGGATCGTACATGAACGCCCGAATGAGCAGCTCGATTTCAGGAAGCAACCATTCAAGTCATCACCGTTGCCGCCAAACTCGCTGATCCGGCAGAAACAGCTAAAGCTGCATGAAGAGCACGGTGGCCTAAAATTTGATGAAGCACTGCAAGGATTTCTACAAGTCACAAATGATAGTTGCAGCTTCGAGGGGGCTGCTTATTTCGCAAAAGCATCGTCCAACTCTGCACATGCGGCCATGACAGTCAGGTTCTATCACACAGAACAGGGTTCTTACAAAGGATTCGCAACCGGGACATTCTCCTTTAGTGACTTCTCCAAAGACCCATTGTTGATTACACAAGGCTCTGTCGACTTTTTCACTGTTGACGAGAATGTCTCTGACGCTGTCAACCTGGTTTACAACCTCGAACTACTGAGTACCGAAGGCAAGGAATAACTCTTACACGGTTATAAGACGATTGATTCGCGCGTGGCTCTCTCGCCAGTCAGAACTTGGACCGCAATGACGACTTTGTACACCACGATATCCCAGAATGACAGCACTCCGGTAGCCAAAGGCATCCTACGGTTGTCACTACTGGACTCCGTTTCGGAACTTCATTCCCTGCGATGCAGTTCCAGCACTAGTTATGTGCAGCGAACTAGCGCGAAGATCGCATTCCTAGGCTTCTTCGCCCACAATGTACTCTCATACGTACTCAGTCCTCTTAGACCCCTGAAGTACAGTGGACCAACGCACGTCCATCTTGGAGATTGGAAGAAAACTAGGCCAATCGAGATTCGCATTCGATCCTCCGACAGTATTGAGTTCCGCATGAAGAGGTGGGAGCCATTGCCGCACGTGACACCAAAGAAGACTCCCATTGTCTTGATACCCGGCGCTTCCGTGGACGATCAAATTTTCTCGCTCCCAACCATACCCACGGACACGATCAATTACTTCATCTCCCAAGGATATCGCTGCTATGTACATGTTCTTCGCTTCGGCATTGGTGACGAGGCGAAGACTGGATGGATAGTATTTGACGCCCGACTTGACGTCAAAGCTGCTCTGGAGTATGTGAGAGCAGGAGAAGACAATCGAAAAATATACACCATCGTTCACTGTCTAGGCATTATTGCTACAGCCACTGCGCTGTTGCATGGTGATATCGGCGCCGACTGGTTGCGTGGCATAACTTGTAGTCAGGTCTTCACGGATTTGATCTACAGCAAAGACAACGAGTTCAGAGCCAGGCACCAGGCTCTTACCAAAGCGTACTATGTAAACCAATCCTCGGTAATTGCCAAGACTTTTACTGACTGGACCATCATAGATACTTGCTGGGAATTGGTTTTCATGTCGCGCATCTTCAACAGCGCCATTCATCCAACGGGTACTCGATCAACTACTGCATCTCTACCCGACGGGTAGCAGGAAAGAATTGTGCAATTCGGCGACTTGTCATCGCTGCCATGTTCCTTTGGCCGCTGCTGGAGCCATGCCAACCTCAATCACGCGACACACGCCAGGCTTGACGGGTTTTTCAGCGGTGTTCACATGGATTTCCTCACCCATCTCTCTAGAATGGGCGCTACACCTCCGTACCATGTCCGAAGTAACTTGCCAGACTTTGCGGACCTCGTAATATAGGACGATCTTCAACGACTCAGAGGATTTAAGATATGTTTTCTGAGCGGTGGAGACAATGCGGTCTGGGAGCCCAGCGCTACCAAGAAGAGCCTGGACATATTCAAACAAACATTTCCTGACGGAAGATATGAGCGAGTCATCGTACATGGATATGGCCATCTTGATTGTTGGATGGCCAAAGACGCGTATCGCGATGTGTACCCGAGGGTCATGCACCACACCATATCCTGCGATTCCGAACTAGCGCCAGACATGTGTGATGAGAGTGGCAAGTCGGTCGCAGACGATGGTTTCATAAATGTTGTAAGGTAGATGTTATCGGGTCAGTTCCGTTCCTCAACGTCGGCGCGAGTCACCAAGCTATTAATTCCCATCGCAACGCTCTTTGCACCTTTCGCACGGGACTCCATCACGACCGCCATCTCGTTTGTGCTGGCATCCTGAACAGAATGTGCAGACGCAATATAGACCCGAATCGTCCTGTGTGTCTCTTGTAATGCCTTTAGCCTTGAGTATTTTGCGCCGTCGGCGCAAGCACCAGAGTGAGACGACAAGAAACAGGATCAGTGTAAGGCCAGTGCCAGCGCTGAGACCATACGCGAGAGCGAGTTGATCTTTCCGTTTGTCGAGGTGCGACGACATGGCCCGTCCTGTGTGCAGGCTGAATTGAAGGCAGCAGTAGAGAGATGGACAGTTCGGGAGAAAGATGGATAAGATGGCCTGCTTGGTTTCGGGATTCAAAATCGCATTCAGCGTGCCATAATCCGCAATTAATTGCGTTGCGAAAGAGGAATAGTGTTGCGGTATCAAGGGTAAATGTATAAATAAGTGTATTATGTTGTTCTGTGTTCTTGTTCTGCTTGTATCTTTTCTCTCCAAGGCTTGCTGCGGGGTCTGTTTTGATGACGTGTTTGTGATGCAGCTGAGGTAAGAGGTGCTCAACAACATGAGGAAGCAGCACCAGACCACCGCCAACAACACGTGATCTGCTTCTTCTCTCAACCGTTACAAATAGACTGCGGATCCGGTTTGACCTCTCGTGTAAAGGAGCTGCTTTGGTGGCTCACCGATTTTCTACTGTACAACTTCACTCGTAAACTGATCCCAACTCGGTATCAATTGGTCGCCATCGTGCACTCGTCTCCGTTGTTGATGGCTGAGTTTGCAGTCGTCCCATATATCTTTTCAATTAGGTTGGCGACATTAAAATACCTTGACGTCACGCAGTTCCGAGCAGAGCAAAGCTGAGGGCGATATGTACGGTATCTCGTTGGTCAATTGCACGCTACTGTTGCGTGCTATGTAGGCTATAGGCATCCCATCAAGAGAAGCCTCAGCGCAACCAGGCCACTTTATTGTGCGAGAATCAAAAACTTTACGTGTCCGCGCTGTTACGCAAGCGGTTTCCACGCCAGGGTGCAGCGTAAGGTGAATTGAGTTAGCGCAGGTCATTTTAGCACCAAAAATCTTCTTTGTTGGTGCCGAAAGAACACGAACAACGCCGAGCAAGATCCATTCCTTAGTAAAGAACTGTCAGACGTCGCTTCGTTAGCAATATTTGATCGTGGTCTTGTAGATACGATACCACCAGAGAACATGCACACGTCAAGTTCATATACAGCTTGCCAGGGTCCACCGAGGACGTGTTCGCCTCTCCTCGAGATGCCGCTCAGCCCTACGATCTGTGTAATGTGTATGATGGAGTCGCGCGATGGTCCAGGCTCGCGTTCTGGAAATGACGTGCTCTTGTTGGTGATGAAGAGACTTCTCCGATCAACAGAACTATTCGCGCATGCTCTGAATAAAGAGAGCTTCGGATAGCTAGAAAGTCACCATCGCCTGCGCCTACGCTTTGTCACGCTCACATCTCCATTCGCGGAGCAAGATGTCGAAGTACAATCAAGACATCGAGTATGCGGCCCAATCCGACCCGTATGATCCGGACAACAAACCTATCCTCCAGCCGCAACTCAATGTTGGAGGCCATGGTGCTACGCAGCGCCGACTGAAGGACTACCATGTTACTATGATCGGCTTCTGCTCTGGCATCGGGACAGGTCTTTTCATCGGAACCGGTTCTGCGTACGCAAATGCTGGACCAGCAGGCCTCTTACTTGCCTACATTATTGTTGGTAGCGTCCTGTGGTGTGTTATGCAAAGTGTTGCTGAGCTGGCCACCGTGGTAGGTAGACCCTCTCTGCTGAATGACGTTGCTTACGACCCATAGATTCCTACGGCTGGTTCCTTCCCTCACTTTGCGACACGTTTTATCGATCCCGCAGTCGGTTTCTCCTTGGCTATCAGTTACGGTTATTGTTACACCATATCTATTGCAGCCGAGGCTTCAGCATCAGCTATTCTTGTAAGTTACTGGACCGATATGACTCCTGCAGTCGTCATCACGATTAGTCTTGTCCTCATCCTTGCCGTCAACCTACTGAGCGTACGCTGGTTTGGCGAGTCCGAAGTCATAGCTGGAACCATCAAAGTCGCCTGCTTCCTCGGCCTTGTCATCGTTTCCATCGTCATCACATCTGGCGGCGCACCGAATGGACAAACTACTGGATTCCGCTACTGGCATAATCCTGGTGCATGGGTCGACTATAACGGCATTACCGGATCCACTGGCCACTTCCTGGGCTTCCTGGCTGCGTTTGTCAATGCTTCCTTCTCGTTCATTGGCGTTGAGGTCGTGGTCATCACAGCAGCTGAGAGTATAAACCCTCACAAGGCCATCCCACGATCTGCTACCAACGTCACCTATCGCATTGCACTATTCTACGTCCTGGGAGCTCTGCTTATCGGTTTGATTGTCAACCCCACCAATCCCCACCTCGTCTCTGGCACCGGAAACGCCAACTCATCGCCCTGGGTCATCGCTATCAATGAAGCTGGTATTGTCGCGCTCCCCTCCATCGTCAACGCCTGCATCCTTGTTTCAGCATGGTCTGCAGGCAACTCATACTGCTGGGTTGGATCTCGCATGGTCGTAGCCATGACTACGGACGGCCAGTTGCCGCAGTTCTTCGGTCGCACCTGGAAGAATGGCGTCCCTTATGTCGCAGTCGTTGCTGCTTGGCTTTTCGGACCTCTGGCATACTTGAGTCTTGGCACCGGTGGCGCCTCACAAGCTTTCAGCTGGCTGATGAATCTGAGTACTGTTGCCGGGCTAATCGCATGGGCGACATTGTGCTTCTGCTACATTCGTTTCTATGCTGCAATGAAGAAACAGAAAGTCAGCCGCGAGACATTGCCGTGGAAGAGCCCCTTCCAGCCGTTCACCGCGTGGTATGGATTCATCGGCGCCACAATCATCACCTTGATCACTGGGTTCCCCGTGTTCCTGAAAAGTAACTGGAGTACGGCAGACTTCATCGCATCGTATGTCGGCATTCCCATCTTCATCGTCCCTATCATCATTTGGAAGCTGGTGTACAAAACGAAGGTAAGGTCTCCTCTGCTACAAAGCCTGAAATGTGCTGACTTTTTGTAGTTTGCTCGTGCAAAGACCATTGATTTGTACTCTGGACGCCTTCAACAAGCTTAAATCGCCAAATTGACTGGACGCATTCTAAACTTCGAGAGACCATTCACACTACACAAGCCTCGAAGTGGAACAGATAGTACTAGATCAGCTCCAAAGCTCCCTTGAACTCCTTGTTGTTGTCACCATGGCGAAAGATGCGCCGGGACCGGAGACGGCCGGATCGTTAATATTCAAACTTACCTGAATGTCGCAACCCTGTGGACAAGGACACGAGGCGCCGAAGTGGCACTATATGCGACTGTAACGAAAGCTTCGAGTCAGCACTGCTGCAACATCAGCAGATTCAGAGTACTGGCGAAGGAACGAGCCCGTGTGAGGCGTCCAAAGAGAGCCTACGGAATGCAAGCCGGGATCAGCGGTGATTCCCCACCGGCCTTCGTGGTTGGCCGCTTTCAATACAAGGCTTCCCGCGTCACTGCAGTTTTGGGCCCGAGACTCAACACCACAGCATCTCGCGCCCGAAATTTACAACGGAAGCAGTTAAGGAGCTGAAACGTGGTAGCTCGTGTTAAAAGCCATAGAGACCTCTCATAGAAGCATATGGATAAATATGATACAGGTTGCTGCGAATGTACAGCATTCACCATATCCAACTTCGTCCTCGGTATTGTGCGTATTCAAAGACACCTACAATACATCCAGCCAGGCGGTCAAGTCAGACTAGCTGCCTGGTATTGCCAAGCCTGATCATCAATCTGCCCCAGATTCATCATCAGAGTATCCGTCGATGAGAAGAGTGGCATTTATCATATGGTCCATCTACATTAACTTACCATGTTCTTGATCGCACTCGTAAGTCATCTTCAAAGTTCCGTAGTCTCATAGACATTCAACACCACACATCAGGACAAGCCCATCCTCGCACCCGCGGTTCCAGTCATCACAAACCACTCCGACTCTCTCAGCGACATGGCCTGGTTCGGATCGGCATTGTACTGTGCGCTTTCCAGCTTTTCTGGGCCCGACTTTACACACTGTCATTCACATACTGCCTACCAAAGCCCTTCGACTCGCCGAAATGGATTCTCTTCTCGGCTCTTACAGTCTTCGAGGTCGTGTCTGCGATTTGCGGTGCAGCGGCCAGCTCATCAATGTTCATCGTTGGTCGCGCTATCGCTGGGCTTGACAGCGCAGGCATGATGAACGGTACGATCGTTGTCATGCGCGCGGTCGTTCCGCGCAAGAATAACCCTCTACTCCAGAGGCTTATTGGCGCTGTCTTTGGGGTTGTGGATGTGGTCGGGCCATTGCTTGGCGGACTACATGTTGACCGAGAAAGCCTCATGGCGATAGTGCTTCTACATTGATCTCCCTCTTCGTACCGTTGTCGCGGCAATTCTACTCATGGTCCTTCATCTGCCCGAGAGGGAGCTTGATCAGGCCGCGACAGTCGAAAATAAGTCCATACCTGGGATTCTTTCGAGCCTGGATCCCATCAGCCTTGCAACGTTTATGCCATGCATCATCTACTTCTTGCTGGCCCAGCAGTGGCTTTCTGGTTACGCAGATCCTGCGCCTCAAGACTGCGACCTCACCTATGCGTATCCTTACGCAACGTAGCATCGCACTATCTTTCCTCTACACCTTCTCGAGCCAAGCTACCATGCCAGTCGGCACACACTACATCCCGCTCTTTTTTCAGGCCGTCAAGTCATGTTCCCCTCTCGCTTCTGGACTCGCTACACTGCCGTTCCTGTTGTCTCTCGTTATCGGCTCAATCATTAGCGGTGGGCTCGTTCAACTTATTGGATATCCAGTACCATTTATGATTGCTTCCGCCATCCTCGGCAGCATCAGTGCAGGCTTGATCTCTACTTGGCACGTCAACATCCACAAGTCAATGTTTTCAGGGTTCCAGGTGCTCTTCGGCTTTGGCACTGGCATAGGCACACAGCAGCTCAGCATGATGGCGCAAATCGTGTTGCCGAAAGCGGATCAGCCTACTGGCGTGGCGCTGATGTTCTTCAGGAAGAACTTGGGCGGAATAACCTTTGTCGGCGTTACTCAGAATGTCTTCGCAAATGATTTGGCCAGCAAGCTAAGCAGCATCCCTGGACTGAGGCTGGACAAGGTGGTGATTGTGCAGATGGGCGCAACAAGCATCAAAGACATGGTGGCGCAGCAGTATTTGGGTCCGGTTGAGGAGAGCAATCGCGATGCTCTTCGCAGCGCAGTTGATCGGTACTTGGCTTGTTACTTTGAGCATGGTTGGTGCTACGTTGGTGGAGTGGAGAAGTACAATAGGGAATTCTACCGAGGATACGTAGCAGTATGTGGAGAAGGCTTCAGAGTCCGTCTGGAATGTCAATGGTTTGTTTAGATAGCTGGGAATTGTTTTTGATTACATTTAATTATTCTGTTCCGTTCTGCGGGTGGTATTCATTTGACGTAATCTTGACGAATAGGTACCTCTATCATTGTTGGGAGATGGCACTGAGCGATGAGAAAGGTGCATTATCTCAAGCTGACAACGCGTCGCGTCGACGCAATTGCATCGATGCTCGACGATACCCCATCAACCTCTGCCACTGCCATTGTTAGAGATCACAACTGATCAGAGCACCGTGATCTATTTGGCAACGATTAAGGCTCATGGAAGGCGCGCTTTCACACCGAGTTTCATCCTGAAATCAAGCTGAAGTGGGCATTCGTGTCGTGAAGTCCGGTCATGGGGAAGCGTCAGTCTTTTATTTTCATGGATTTGAAGCCTGTATACATGAGATCCCGATGAACTCTTCGACACAAACTTAGTGTAAACCTGGATGCAATGGGTAAAGAAACACTGTATGAACGGGCGCAAAGCCAGTCAAGTGTACTCCGTGAGCAACTGAACCACAATCTGTTTGCCCTGAATCACAAAGAAGGATACCCATATGTCAGACACGATTATGCGTCCGAGCAATAAGACGTCCACTTCACACCCTCATCCCACCCCTCCGCATACTCCCCTCCTCTGTCCCGCCACTCTCCTCCCACCCTCCAGCTTCTCTCCTCCCCAACGCGCGTCTCAGAATCCACTCTTTCGCTGAAACCTGCTCGTCCTCCTGCTCACCACCCTCAACCAGGCTCCTAAGTATTACATCATCCTCCGGCCGACAGAAGTACACCAGACTGTACCTCGTGCTCTCACCTTGCCGTCCGGGCGGTGCAACAACTCGATGAATGTTACTCCTCAATTTCCCGCTCGAGAACTTGACAAGTGCATCGCCGAGGTTGACGATGCAGTGCCCTGGAAGCGGTTGGACGTAGCACCACCCTTCTTCACAGAGGCTTTTCTCTGTGTCGCTTGCACCGTCTCGTGTCGCAGGGACGGCAGACATGTGCTCTGGCAGCCGGACCTGCAGACCGCCGAGGCGATTAAAGAGGACGGTTACGGAACCGAAATCCGTGTGTTCGCCGAGCGCAATGCCCTTTGTGGTGAAATCTTGTGGCGGCGCGTGGACGAAGCGGATTTGGTCGCTACTTGTTGCGTTCAATCTGTGTAGCGCCTCGAGTCCACCATCCTGTCGCGCGGGTTGCGTGAGCGGAAGGCGAGTCGAGAGCAAGGTGATAATGGAAGCGCAGATAGTGTGGCTACGCTCGATATAGCTTTTGAACAAGCCCCTCTGCTCCTCACCATTCAGGACACCAGGACAGGGAAGCCGCTCGCTCAAGCCAAGGATATCATCCTTGCTAACATTGTAAAACTCATTCCTATCTCGTGTACCCTTTGCATTGATAATGCCCTCGCCATAGCCTTTGTAGCCGTAGTAGCTGCCCTTGCTTTTGAAATCGTACTTGACTTTCTCTTCGACAGGCATATCGTAGAAAGACTTCATGAGGGAGAAGAGTCGGTCTGCGTCGGCGAGCAGATCTTCGCTGCCGTCGCCACCTAGATCGAGATAGAAGAAGCCGAGCTCTTGACAGGCTTGCCAGCATCGTTCCTGTTCGTCTGCATCCTGGGCCAGCAACTTGACTAAGGATATGCGGAGGAGTGGTGCCGTGGGCACGTTGTCTGGGAAGGGAGCAAGGTCTCTAAAGGTCCTTGAGGGTTGAGAGGTTGCATGATCTGAGTGTGGCATTTTGACAATAGTGGTAGGCCCACGGAGTTGAAAGGGCAGACGCCTTCAGTAAGCACCTCAAATGGACCGAGGTGGACAAAGGCCGCGGGTGCGGGAAAGCTATGGAAAACGCGGGGTAGCTCAGATGGGGACCAGTGACAACACAACACAGCAACAACAGAGCAAGCTTGAGGAGACACACATTTCTTTAACTATCCACAGATGTCGCCAAAGATTCCGCGTTCATACTCAATCCAAGCAGCACTTGCTTAGGCATAAGAATGAACCCTGCCCAAGGTAGTACGCCAGCCAAGCAATGAACACCAAGTTATAAACACAACTCAAGACCGGAACGAACTCCCAATGCCTTCATTATACATGTTGACCTATAGGTAGTTAGTACGGGTGTGATGGACAGGACAGGCAGCAATACTAACCATCAACGGCGCGAAGCACGCTTACAGCCTGGAGCCGTGGACCACCTTGTAGTCGACAGCCATCTCAAGGCCATCGTCGTTGATGACGAGGATGCGGACGGAGCCACGGCCGTTGTCGAAGGACTCGGCAAGGCGCGAACCAAGACCGCTCTGGTCAAGGACGGGAAGACCCTGCTTGACGTCACCAGACTCGGTCATGGCAACAACGCGGCCGTCTTCGCGGATGTCGAGAACGCGGTACTGCTTGAAGACAGGGCCAAGCATATTCTGGACAACAACCGAGGGAGCGGGGTTGGAGATGAAGGAGGACTCCTCGTGGAGCTGCTTGGTGAAGAGGTCAACACCGAGGTAACGGTGCTGGCCAGTCTGCGACGAGGTGGTGATGCGGATGACCTGACAAGGGCGGCCCTGGAGGATCAGGAGATCGCCAATGCGGATGTGGTGGCATGGGATAGTGATGGTGCTGGCGGAAGCCATCTTACGTGCTGTCGCGGGAGCGGCGGGAACGTAAGGTGTAGGAATGTAAGGGGTGGCTGAAGCACGAGACCTCTGGACAGGAGCTCCGTACGAGACGGGGCGGCTGGGAAGAGGAGCGGGGGCGGCAGAGACGTGGGAGGCTGCTACACGCGAGGGAGCGGGAGCAGGGATAGAGGAGACGTGGGAAGGAGCAGCACTGGTGGTGATCTTCTCCTTTACGACGATCTCTTCCTTGACGTCGGAGTACTTTCCGGCGGCGTGGGATTCGGAGTGGTGGTGGTGGTGACGGTGGGGATGGATGGGGTGGGCTACACGCTCAGCGACCTTGTGGGCGACCTTGTGTGCGGCGTTGTGGGCGGCGTCACGGAACGAGTGGTATTGACCTTCGTTGTCGTAATATCCCATGGACAGGCGGTGGTGCTTGGAGGGCTCGGCGGTGGAACGAGCAGAAGTCTCTACTCGAACCTCAGGGTAACGCTGGTCGACGTTGTCCTGGTGCTTGGCAGTGAAGGTCTCGCGGGTGTAACCTGAGCGAGAGTCCTCGACGATGGGGCTGGTGCGCTCACGGAATTGACGCTCGGAAACGTCAATCTGAGTAGGTGCGTAGTCGGTGGCAGGGCCGTGGACAGTGTTGAAGTGACTGTCGTAGGTGCGGTCCTTGATGTCGATGTGGGTGTGGGAGTGAGAAGGTTGGGGCGGGAAGCTGATGGAAGAAGGGCAGGTCAGCTATGGGCAGGGAAGAGGAGGTGAGGGAAAAGTGGGGACATGCGTGTCGCTCTGACAACAACAAAGCAATTAGGTTTAGCGGCGGCCCGTGGCTGCTAGTGGCCAAGCTCAGGGGCTGGGGTGGTTGGGCATGGATGGCGGACCGTGCTGAATGCGCTGGCAGAGCAAAACAAAGCTGGGATGAGGCAAAACAGTCGAAACTCTCGGACTTACCGGTCAAATTGGCGAGACTCGTGCTGGGACTGGCGCTCGAAATGAGATTGAGATTGCGTGCGCTCGGGCTGGCGGTAGCGAGTCTCCTCGTGGATGTGGACTTCTTCGCGGACAGGCGGCTGCTGGGGGCGGTAGCGAGTCTCCTCGTGGACGTGGACTTCTTCGCGAACGGGCTGCTGCTGAGGGCGGCGGCGCTCTTCCTCGTAGATGCGGACCTCTTCCTTGACGTGAGTCTCGCGAACGGGCTGCTGCTGCTGCTGCTGGTGGACGGTGGCAGAGAAGGATTCGTGCGTCTCTTCGTGACCTTCCCGTCCGTGTGCTTGAGGCTCAGGTAGCTTGACTTCGCCTTCTACCTTAGTGCTGGTGGTCTCCTGGCTGGCCGCGTTCCGATACGCAGACGGGAAGACACTAAAGGGGATCGGAACCTGCGCTGTCAGCGAGCTGTCATGTCTGGGGTTGACTTGACCTCATACTCGTGCTTCGTAATCCAGTGTGCCGGAGTCGGTGCGTTATTCTCAAAACCCTTCGAACCGTTCGAAAACAATTCGAAAGGAATCAAGAACAACTTCTTGGCTCCTTTGGAGGGTTGCGATGAGCGTGCTGGTAATGTGCAGCGACGTGATGGTGCAGTAGCGGGGCGAGGTGGAGGAGAGACGGAGCAGGGAGGCGAGGAGGGGGGGTCAAGTAGATTGGCGGACAGGTGCCGTCAGCTGGGTCGTGTTGTGAGCGACGGTTTCACAGGGCAGCCCGGCGTTGCTGGGAAGGAGCGATGGAGAGCTGTCCTGATGTAGCCTAGCTTTGTTGTGCCTGGATTTTAGCGCGACGCAGCCACCCCTTTTCTCAGTTCGCTGACACTCTCCACAACGCCCCTATTCACAGCCGAGGCATTTGCAAGAACGCAATTCCAGCAGCTGAACTCTGCGCGGCTGTTGCCCGGACGATCTGCGCACAGTTGGCGGCGCAATGGCAGCAAATTGACTTTCGACTCCACAGAGCTGCCGGGAGCTTTCCCACCCTTGCATCCGAGCTCAATCGCCAGAGCTCCAGCGCCAGCAGTGGATCCCTCACACACGCGTGGAGCGTCTCGATTGGTGCATACAGCACACTTTATGCGGCCACCGATATGGTTCGCGCGCAGGAGGCAGTTTCCAAACACACTCCGCTGAGCCCGCCCGTGTTGCGTGTTCATGCAGCTCGGTCTCCCAGCCCATCCCAGCCACTCATTTTCTGGCGCGCCATGGTTGGCTAGAGCTGTCGAGAAGGCTGCGGGAGGCCGGGGTAGCTGGTCCGTCGATCGCGGCTACCCGGTCCAAGCTTCACCCTTGGACGGCCGATGCCAGGTGTCTGTTGGGTTGCGATCTGGCCGATTGTCGCACCTTTCGAATCCGAGATGAACTTGCCTCGAGCCCATGCCCGTTGTTTTGGCTCGATGGAGCATTGCCTCGCATATTGTGGACCATGGTTTGTCGGTGCTACTAGACGTCATTGATGCCGCACCAAACCCAGCGACGACACTTCTCTGGACCGAACCCTCCGCGTCAAACAGAATATCCATGCTCTTGGGCAGCTTTCGATTCATCTGCGTCATGGCTCACGACGTCGACCTCTAGGGACTGGATACTGTGGAGCCAGTCCTCTGGGCAACCAGCGACATCCTTGGACGAGCCTAACATCTTTGTGTCTCCTGAGCTCACATTATTTATTGCGTCCAAGGGCCTTCGCCGTGTTTTCTTGAGCCTTGAACACGCATCAAAGAGATGTCTGCTACTTTGAAGTTTGATACACAGTCATCGCTATGCAGACACGCTCACAGCAAGAAGCAAGCTCATTGTACCCATCCGATATTGCATCGATTGCCGGGAACTGCAAAACATGCGTGAGAACACCTTTGTATTCGACTCTGCACAGTCTATGTCGTCTCCATGGAGGGTTAGGGAAGCATGAAGACGGTGTGACATGATGACTGGTGTGAGCACGTCTCTTTCTTTCCTCTTCAAACCCTCTCCGTTCTGAGTCGACGATCCCTTGTGTTGGACTATGGAGCGTGATATGAGAGAGCCGTAGGTTTTTGACGTAGTTGGAGGTGCCTAACTCGAGATAGTACTTAGTGCATCCCTTTCGACAGTATCGAAATACAGCAAACGACTTTCAGCCACAGGTTGCAATCTCTAGGTGCCCGTCAATGGCACCCAAATGACCGATTCGCCATTCTGTACAATTCGTGGCCAGTCGAGGTAATCAGGGCGTCCAGATGACAAACTTCATGTCGTGCAGCTTCTGCGTGTGGTGCAAAGGTACCCAAAACGGTCGTGGTGACTCAACCTGCGCCTACCCATCGATCCACCGTATAGACTGCGCTCGGCTCCTTTCCGGTTTGCGTGTCACTTCGGACGGATGCAAACGAGGTTTTGGCTTGGTTTCTGCAGAGCACCTTTTTCACCTACCCAAGTACCTGTCACGAGATTTCCAACGTCTCGCGCTTCCGATCCAAGATGCTTGTGATGCTCCGCTCTTGTACTCTGTGCTGCCGGATGCTAGCACACTAACATGGGGTAGGGTGACGCAGTACCGTTCTTTGACGTTGACAAGCGAGCCAACGCTCACCGACTCGATCACCGTCTTGCGCACCATGGTGGCAAAATTGTCCAGATTTTCTGAAAATGCTCTCACAAGCTCCACTGACCAGGCTATGGCTGCTCTAAGTACCAGTTCCCGCAATCATGTCACCAGGTTGCCTGTCTAGGAGTGATGCATTCCAAGCCATGGATGCACGAAAGCAATCTACGAGCATTCCAATACCCCACCGACTTCACCTCCACGCGCAAATGACAGCTGTCAGCTGTTTGATGTCTCGCACCGTACTGCTCAATTGAAAGGGCATAGAGCTACAACATCCCAATTCAGATTGAAGTTCGCAAAAAGAGTCAAGTCGTCAGACTGTATTGGGGGTAGAGACGTCAAATCGCAAACTCACCTCCAATACCCCTGCCCATTCCTGTCTTGTCCAGACCCGTTACGTTACCCGGTAACATCCAGCGCTTTATTGGGGAAAGCAAGGCACTGAATAGTCCCTAGTTCCCTTGTGCTCAAGCGATGAAGCGATCTTCACTGGGGAAACGGGAGATGTGATCAGGCGTCTCGCAGGCATCCGCATAAGTAAATCCTGGTCCCTGATGTATGCAGCTCACCGTGTTTGCTCTGCAGGTCGGACGCTATTGAAGTCAATCAGATCCTCATGGTCAGTCGCAGTACACTACAAAAGAGACTGTTCCCTCATCCACGACATTTTACCAGACGATCAGACTTGTCAGACTTCAGCACAACATGCGTTTTACAGCGTCATGGGCACTGCCCGCACTGCTTAGTTCGACAAGTGCACGCTTTGTGATGTACGCAGACGAGTAAGCTTGTGCCACTCGAACACTTCATCGCCTCTACTGACCATGCAAAGATGGCACCCAACTCGTCCAACCAACGCCCAAGATCGTGCTGGCATTGATCACGTCGTTCTTGCCTTTGGTACGCACGCATGTGCTCTCGTGCTCCTATTTTACTCTACTAACATTATTCAGCCAACGCCAACAACACCGCAGGCTACTCGCCCAAGGTCCCAATCTCTACGATCCGCTCGGAGTTCCCTAATGCAAAGGTTATGATTGGTAAGAGTTTGGTGCAATTCTTCAGACCCGGGTAACTAATAAATACCAGCTGTTGGTGGATGGGGTGATGACACAGGTTTCCAAACAGTCTCCAGCTCCGACAGCAGCATCCAGAGGTTTGCCAATGATGTCAATACCATGCTCACAAATACTGGCGCCGACGGCGTTGAGTGAGTTTCGACTATTCACTCTTAATTATCACTCCACTGACTTTGCCATCACAGCATCGACTGGGAGTACCCTGGCGGCAATGGTGCTGACTATAAGCAAGTCTCCAACTCAGCCAAGTCGTATCAGATGGAGGCTTACCCCAAGCTTCTTGCTGCGACTCGCACTGCCATTGGTCCCCACAAGCTTCTTTCAATTGCTGTGCCTGGCAAAAAAGGTAGGAACCTGATTAAGATTTGAACTGCCGGTACTGACAATACCAGGCGACATGATAGCCTACACCTCGGAGATAGGTTCCCAGATTTGGCCGTTAGTCGATTATATCAACGTCATGTCCTACGACCTGATGAACCGCCGCGATAATGTGACACAACATCATACGTCCGTCGCCGGATCCGAGGAGACGATTAAAAACTACCTCGATATCGGCGCGCCAGCACCTAAGATTAACCTTGGATTCGCATACTACGCCAAGTACTTCACCACCGCAGGCGACTGCTCTGCCTCCCCTCTCGACTGCCCTATCAAGCCTGCCGAGAACCCTATCACAGGCAAGGATCTGCTCACTAGCGGCGCCTGGACATTTGAAAGACAGCACATGGCGCCTGTAGACGCAGGCAGTCTGACAGTGAGTACTGACGGCACATGCGGTCCAGAAAAGGGAACGAAGTGTGCATCCGGCTGCTGCAGTCAATACGGCAACTGCGGCACGTCTCTCGAGCACTGCTCCGGCGCTTGCCAGCACGCATTTGGGACTGGATGCACTGATGCTGACGTCGCCGGCTCATGGCAGAACGCCGCAAAGAACGGCGTCACTGACGAGCAAGCCGGCGGACAATACTACTACGACCCTGTCAACAGTCTCTTCTGGACATGGGACACACCAGATCTCATTACCCGCAAGTTCAACGACATCGTGCGGAAGTACAACCTTGGTGGTGTGATGGCGTGGAGTCTGGGCGAAGATAGCAATGACTGGACCCATGTCAAGCGCATGGCCGACGAACTCACAAAGACTTCGAGCAAGCCGCAGTCGAGTTACAGACCAAGGCCTACGAGTAAGACGTCGAAGCCGAAGCCGGAGCCAGAGCCCACCTACAAGCCCCAGCCTCCGTCAAAGACTTACAAGCCTTCCCTTCTTACGCCGACGTACCCTACCGCTGACAGCTACCGCAATCTCCCCTGCAACCCGACGCTAGAGTCCGATCCCAATCTGCCCTATGATGTAGTTTGGGTCGACGGCACATCTGACGGTCCAGCAGGCGAGTACGTGACCAAGCCAGGCTCGCCAGACGACTACACAATCGTCTGGGTTGACGAAAACGGAAACCCTGAGGAGACTGTGAGCCCGAAGCCGCGGGAACAGTCTGAAGCTGCTGCAGCACTTGCACCAGCTCCTCCTACTCCTGCATCGCCAGCTCCACAGTACGATGACGGGAGCTGGAGTCCGGGCAAGTACGATAGGCAAGAGGAAGGTGCGAGGGTGCCGGGGACTACAGAGCAGGTGGCTCACTACCAGGATGCGCCTGCCCCTGTATCTGATTATGGGCAAGAAGAGAAGGAAGAGCCACAATATGAACAAGTGTGCACGTTGCGGAGGGTGAAGAAGAGAAGTGCGCGGGGCAAGAGGGCGGCGGCAAGGGTGATGTAAGTTGCTAGCAAATCCAATATCGCGCCTGAATAGGTGATTAGGTAGATCTTACAACCTTGTAATGATGCATGATCGAGTATTGGCCATATAGCTCATTATGATGTATCCTGTGAGGTGTGGATCAGTGCATTACTTCACCTCGTCCGTTTCAGTTTGCACGATCCCTACTGCAGGGCTCCTGCAGTGGTCACTCTGTTCAGTATCTATGGTAGTATGCGGAGTAGTACTGCTCGCTGTCCCGCATAGTCTCTTTCCTGACTGTGTATTTGAAGACTAAATGTGTTTAGCCTCTCCATAAGATAAGGGCGTAGACAGGCTGACAAAATACGCTATGCGAGGTCTTGGATTGATCTGTAGAAACGCATCTTCTAAACACTCCAAGAGCTGCTATCAACCCTACACTACAGGCCTCTAGGCTTAGCGATGCATCGCAGTATCTGCTTACCGGCTCAGGTCGCTGATAGGTGCGACCCTCCCAAGTCAGGCACCAGCCTTGATGCTTTGAGTGCAAGGCGCGACTGAGGATATGTTCGCCCGCTCACCTCTTATTACGTGGACGCTCACAACTGATCAGCCAAGCGCTCAAGTGAACCCTTCCATAAATGCATGTCGCCACCGCTTGCGATGCTGTGATTTCGATCTGTTGAAGATGGGCTTATGTTACTTCTCGAGTTGGGCGTTTCTTAGAAACAAAAAGCCTTCCTCGAAGCTACGAACCACGATACTCGAGGGTACCATGTCACTGACTCTTGCTCGACCACACGACGCGAAGAGTCTACAGATTGCACCTCCGCGATTCGAGAAATGTGGTCGCTGCTCTCCACTGACACAGGCGCCCAAGAAGAGGCACGGGATAAGGTTCAAGATCACTGAACTGCTGGAGAAGCTGAGCACTGCCCGATGTCAGTTCTGCCAGTTATTCGCAAAAACTATTGTCGAAGAAGCACGTCTGAACCATATGAGGCCAGCTCGGATGGAGTCTCGATAACATCTTCTGATTCATACTATGACCTATGTTATCAAAAAATGGATACATGAGAGCAAAGCTTCTGATCGATCCAGCATCGCCACCGGTGGCCTTTCCGGTGGCCTTTCCGTTGGCCTTGAGGTCATCGACTGCAAAAAGGAGCCTCCCAAAATCGTGGAAGCACCAAACACGTTTCGTTATGTTGCTCTTTCCTACGTGTGGGCAGACTCTACAGAGTCCCTTTCGTTACGAAATCGGAAAGGTGGATAAACTGCACAGCAAGATACCCAAAAACAACCGGGGACAGCATCGAGGCTACTCGTAGTCTTGAACTCCAATACCGTGGGATGACAGATATGTATGTAGAAATATTCCACAGGGGCTCAACCACACTACCTGTCCTTACCTATGTATGGTACACTGCTAGAGCCCCTAACCTACAAACCGACGATCAATGCTAGTCTCCGGCCGAATACGCCCACACATTGATCCGTATCTGCCATGGGAAGGAGCCGTATACAAACTCTGGGCAGTGATTTCATTCTATAAGGCATATGTGAATGACTACGAGGCTCAGTCATAGACCAACGACTGCGTGGTATAGTTGGAAGCTCAAGGTTGAGTGAGTAACCGCTCATTCAAAATCCCGGTAGACGGACCCGGGGTACCATTTCTAAGCCAACTTCGCGCACTGCCATGACTCGTCTGAAGTCAGGCTTCGGCATGGGCTATCGCAAAGCACCGCAAGCTAACAAGTCTGTTATTCTAGCTATCCACGGTCACGCCCTCTAGCCTGCTGTTCGAACAAAGGGACTGCGCGATCAGGTTCTCGCCGTCAGTCATAGTATTATCGCAAAGTGTTCGAATAGATTAGTATTCTGAAGCGCACGCATGGACTCGTAAAGGAGCTGTAACAGGTATAATACAAGAACGTATATCCTGGCGCGCATATTAATGCCTGAGGCTTTCCATGTGCTCTTCTGCTCTCTTTGTCTGCATCCATTCATCATAACTCGTCCGAGACCGCTGCTAAGAGAATCACAATTGCTCGGCATGTGCCAGCGCGCATGAAATTTCACCATTATGTATTCGTATCTTACAACTCATACTTCATCACTGCGTCACAGCTCTCAAAGCCTGCAGCGTCAAACCAAATATCACACCCCGCGCCACCCTAGGCTCCTGCAGACAATCGAAGACCTTGCCTAGAGCTTCGCCCGACGCCGCCTGCCCCATGACACTAGTCAGCGCACTCGGCATACCCCGCTCAACAAGCAACTTCCTGGCCTTGGCCCGCAATATCTCCTTCTCCTCATCGCCGGCCTCCTTGGGCCACTTTTTCAGCTCGGCCTCCGTGGGCAGCGCGTTCTCCCTCATCTTGCGCAGCTGGCGCGCAAGCCCTTCATCGGAAGTGCTGGAATCAAGAGTCGTCTGAAAAAGCGAGGTTATGGACGCTAATTGCGGGTTGCCGGGGCGTAGGAGGAAGGTCTTCGCTGCGTTGAGCAGAGTGCGGCGCAGTGTCCAAGCAGAGCTGAGGGTGTAGAGCTCGTTGATTACGGCAAAGAAGAGCTCGATTAGCACGGTGGTCTCTTGCTCCGAGAGGGGGATGTGGGTCTTGGGCTGTTTCGCGGGCTTCGAAGGGGATGTTGTTGTAGAGGGGGCGATCGAGGTTGCGGATGGGCGGCGCGGTAGCGGGGGTACGGGCGGGATAGAATCGTTGTTCGAAGGCGTTAGGGAGCTCAATGATGTGCGGGAAGCGTTGCGAGCGTGTAATGGGTCTAGCGATGTGCGGGAAGGGGCGGTGTTATAGTCGTCTTCGATCTCGCTGGGCATCGGGGGTAGGTTCATGAATTGGTCGCCACCAAGAGCAGGGCTGAGATCCATACTTCTCCTGGGACTTGGAGCGCGGCTGTTAGCCCTGGAACCGTATCGAGAGGAGCGGCCAGAGCGCTTGCCATCGCCGTCAGGGTTGTATGATGGCCGACGCTCCATTTGAGCTTCCCGTTGTGGTTGCTGATCGATGATCGGCGAGTTGGGATTGCGGATCGACTCCATTGATGTGCGTTTAGAGGCTAATGATAGCGTGCTCTCCGAGCGAATATGTGTCGGCAGCTCAGGCACGATGGACTCTGCTCGGCTATGGCGAGTCTTAGGGGCCTCGCTGGTGTTTGTAGATGCCCGAGACAGAGTCGCGGTACTGTTGCTGGCACCTATTGCATTTGGATTTGTCCCGTTAGTGACTAACTCGCGGTTCTTCTTCGCTCCAAAGGGTGCAACGCTTCCCAGAACGCCTGTGACGCCACCAAAGAGTGCTTTGCCTCCTCCAGCGACTTCCTTGGGCGCTTTCGATAGCACATCGAACGTAGAGCCGATGCCTTTGCCCATTGTATCGAAGGTTTGGCCGGCCCATCCGATTCCTGGGAAGCCGCTTCCTGGCGTCTTACCAGTGCCCAGCTCCTTCTCGAGGAAACGTTTCATGCCTTCGCTCTCAGCTAGCGGCTTGAACTTGACTGCATCGTTGAGATACCGCTCAAGTTCGCCTCGGAGTGACGGCTTGGTGTGGCCTTTCCAGGCCGGCAACTCAGGGTGCGCATCGGTGAATCCAGTCGTGCCTGTGATGGCTGCGATGCGGCGAATAACTTCGTGCAACGTCTCAAACTCGGTATACTTGCGGGCGGTCATCCATCCAGAGTGGTGGTGAGACGAGGGTTCGATCTGGATCAAGTACTCCACATTTGGCTTAGCCCTTATTATTATCTTCTCTCCGGGCATGCTGTCATCAAAGATGGACATCGTGCTGTTGTAGAGAGTGAGGGGCGGCGGTCTCGCTGGCCGTTCTTCGTCCTCGTAAAGCGCAGTCGGTGGGTTATTGCCCAATAATTGGTCAAAACTCGTGAATGCCTTCTTTGCCTCCTCGGCGACCCTCGGTGGCGGAGAAGGTACAGCTTGAGGGGGCGCTTGGACAGGAGCGGCAGAAAGACCTAGGCCTGCTGCTTCACCCTCAGCAGTGTCCTCGCTTTGTGATGATGTTGGTGTAACGATTCCTTGCGTGGTGCTCGCCGACTGGTCGTCAGTAAGAGAAGAGGTCGACTCGTCCAGGCTCTTCAAACGCTTGGCGTCTTCTTCAGCGATTAGTCGGCTAAGTCGCTTCGCTTCTTGCATGGCTTCATCCATGGCCTCCTGAGCTTTGCTAACGCGGCGTCGATGCTCCCTGCGCTCTGGTGACATGACCTCGCCTGTTGTCTTTTCGATGTTATTCCTAACATTCTGTAGTTGCCCTGATGACTCCTCCACGCCGGCGTCAATGGCGTTCATGAGCTCAGGCTCGCCATCCTCCAGAAGGTACACAATCCAGCCGTTGATGAACTCGGGCTTTGAGCAGCTTACAACGATCATTTCCAGGACGACCTTAGCCAGAATTTGGTGCAAGAACGCCCGTGCTGGCATGCAGTTGTACGTTTTGTGCTCCAGGTAATTTTGCAGGATGTCTTCAGCGGCAATACTGAACTGCTGTGCCTGATATTCGGGATCGAGGATGTTCGCGAGCGTGCTATCTCGCTTCATCTTGAGATAGATGTCGACTGCCTCGCTCGGTGCGTCGCCAGGTGAAGCCATAACAGCGGCTGACAACTCTTGCAGGAGGATAATCATGAACGAGGACGAGCGTGTCACGAAATCGACGAAGTTATCGGCAGGTCGTTTGCGAGAAAGGTGTGCTGAGACAGAGAGTGTGAAGGCAGTAAGGGTTTGGCGGCACGAGTTGGGGAAAGCTTCTTCGGCAGGCAGAATGGGTGAATACCACCATCTGTACTACATTAGACAGGTTTCTAGGTAGTATACCGAGGACATACTTGACATAGTCCCGAATGACGGCGTCCGTTAGCTCGGTCAAGGCTGCAGCTGTCTCTGGCTTGAACTCAGAGTAGTCGAGATTCTTACCCGAGTAAAGTTTCAAGCTCAAATTCGAGTCGTCTGTATGCCCGTCTTGCTTGTCCTTCTTGTCCCGCCAGTCTAAGATCCTGGTTGCGACGTGCGCGCCTAACTCTCGTTTCCTGGTTTCACTGCTCTTGCCCTTTTCAGCATCCTCACCACCATGCAGCTGTCCCTCCCATGTTGCATGTAGCACAACTCCACCAACAACGCCAATGAGTACCAGGCCGACTCGGCCGAGGATCAAGTACGTGCCTGCCCCGAGGCCCACCAAGCACGCTCCGAGCGTCTCGTTGCTGGCCGTGGCCAAGAATTGGAGGGCGCGGTCTGTGAGGGTCTTGACGTCGAAGGACAGCCCTTGGTCTGCTGCGGCTTTCTGGGGCGCGTTTCCTGCTGCGACACCATCCACTACATCATTCAGCGGCGTATCGGCGGTCGAGACTGGCGCATTCGCATTCGCAGTCGCTGTAACGGGGTCGCTCATGGTGGCTGCGTGAGCGCATGCATGGGGCTGTAAAACACAAGCCACTCCGGCAGAATGTAAGAACAGCTGTCCGTCAGCAAGGGAAGAGCACAAGTGGCGTCTGCATTCGCTCGGAGACCTCTGGGGTACTGGTCGTTTCACGGGTGTCAAACGGAGCTAGGAGCGGCGACACCCCACTCCGATTGGTGAGTTGATAGATCTGCGACTCTGCAATTACGAAGCCTTCTCGAGCTTCAAATTCTTCAACACCCTCCTGCATCATGGCTTCCACTCAGGCGCCCAACAACCCCGAGACCCTTGCCCACGTCCAGAAGTTCTGGGAGGCCAGGAAGCCAAATAGTCCCATCTACCAGTTCCTGCTTGACGACATCAAGCTGACCTATGCCTCAAAAGGTGTCGTGCGAGCGCGACTGCATTTGAGCCAGAACCATGTCAACACTCACGGAGGCATTCATGGCTCGGTGTCTGCTACCCTCATTGACTGGGTTGGTGGCATTGCGATCGCAGCGTGGGACAACCGCGAGAAGGCTGGCGTGTCCACAGATATTCACATCTCATACGTGAGCTCAGCAAAGGCCGGCGACTGGGTCGAGATTGAGGGCAAGTGCGACAAGGTCGGAGGTACACTGGCATTTACTACTGCCACAATATGGAAGGTGGTCGATGACCAGCCAGGGCCTGTTGTTGCTACAGGAAGCCATACAAAGTATGTCAAGGTTTAGGCGAGGGATCACGCTGTCTTCTTTGAGGTCTCGTCCGCGCCCCATGGATGATCGAACTCCACTCGGATTGCGAAGATTGACGGTGCTTGAACTGGACGCCTCTGCGACAGCCGTCAGGCTCTGGGGTTTGAACGGTGATAGCGCCTACATTACAGGGTACAAATAGAATCAATGAAGGTTACCGACACCACGCACCCAAACATATGTCCACTCTGATTCGTCCACATTGCTGAGTATGATGGAGGCACGCGAACGTGTTGAAGGTATCGTTTTGTCAGGCGATACTGCGAAAGAAATGGACACACGATTCAGCTTGCGTACAGGCGCACACAGCAACAGTGTGTGTGGTGTCGATACTATGTTCACCTCCAGGCGTTGCGGTTAACCAAAAAGCCAGGTAGTCTTGCTGCGATTGCAGTTCCTGATCTCCGCCTTGTGCACAGCATGGACGCACCTTGCATTGTCGCTGTGATGGTCAAGAGTCGACTTGCACTACCGAGGTTTTTGGCATTCCGCAGAGCTGATGGACTGTCAGATCTACTCAATGGCTGAGCGATCGCTCGTAAGAACAACGACTGCACGTTATACGACCGATTGTCTGGGTGCCCAGTAAATGGCGGGGGTCAAGCTCGTGGCGCACCTTCTGGGCAATGCAGTCCGGGGAGCCGCGCGCTGAGCCCTTGCTAGCTTCAGCCCAGCTTCCCTCTGACGTCTTGCCGCCGCACCGATTTCTTGAAACCACATTGCTCGTTCATGTCTCTCCCCACGACAGCTCTTCAAACTTGCTGTACACGCTGGGCACAGAGCGTATAACAGTCCCATACTAAACCTACGCCAGGGTCCACCAGTAAGTAGCATTCCGCGCAAGTCCGGCAGCCCTACACCGATCCACAGATCTCCATGTCATCTCTAAGGCTCCGCTGCTTCCGCTGTTACACACCATTGCAGCGTTCCTTGCACTTTCTGCCAGCTTTGGTGGGGCCATCGCTGTCGACCATAGGACTGGGTGACGTCAATCTTCCGCACGCTTCCTCAGCCGATGGTCACGCAGCAGATTCGATGGGCCTTCGGAGATTGACAGCCTTCTCTGCACTTTCATCGACGCCGGTAACTCCGGCATACGGCGCTCACTGGTCGACTTGCTTGTTCGAGTCGTAATACACTATGCTAACTGCACAGTGCCTTACTTGCAGAATGGCGGCGCGCAAGTCCCGCTCCGGGAGCACCTGCCGTCATGGCTCCCTGCACCATCTATATCTCCCGTTGACGTCCTTGTATATCCCTCGATCGCGGTCTACCCTTCGACGACTCCGACTGCTGTGTCAAACCCTGCGCCGGATGCCCTCTATATACACGACCTGCCTACCATCGACATTCCTACCGGCCATCCCCCGAATGAGCATACGTCTGGGCAAGTTCCCACGTCTATCGCTAGTACTGAGGACTCGTCAGAGCCATTGGACGATCAGATGAGGGGACGGAAGCCGGCCATTGCCGCCGCTGGGACATTTTTTGGCCTCTTCTCGTTCTCACAGTTATATCAGAATGTGCTCTTTGACAAGATCACACCATGGTCGGAGCGGGTGGAGGAGAAGGCATGGGTTGCCTCGTCAGAGTCATGGATAGAAAGGAAGACATGCTCATGGTTTGGCATGTGCGGGATTACACATCTGAATAGGTCACGGTGGACCAGTAAGGGCAAGAAGCAATTACCGCTGGACGGTGAAGCTTCCGACAAATTAGATTTGAGCAGGTTCAAGCAGGATGCCAGGATATTACCTGCTGGCTACGACGAGAGCGAAGTGGTTAAGATCCCACAGTATGTCTTGGACCATGCTCCATTGATCCATCTCTTCTCTGGCGAGAACTTCTGGCCATGCGATATGACAGACCACCTGATACATACAACGCCTCATCTCAACTACACGCCGCTCCAAGCCGCCGACAATCACCCAGACGTTCGCTATTTGGATGGGCTAAACAAGTGGGGTCGATTTGTCTACTTGCAAAGCGACGATAACGTTGAGGATCGTCCAAAATGGCTAGGAGGGGGCACCAATATCCCCGAGGTCCCAAGTGATGGTGATGATGGCTCTCATTGGCATAAACATGATGAAGAGGGGCCCCATGGTGGAAGCGGTAGAGACTACAGAAAGGAACCGTGGTGGCATGCAGGCGTTGGCGACACCAAGGATCGAGGAGGCATTCGCCCAGACATTACGTCTTCGGGACGTCTTGTGCCCACTAGCACCCCGGACGCCGACAACCTTATAGAGCCCGAAAACATTTGGCAACCAGAGCTTATGAAGGATCGCCGCCGTTTTGAAGGAAAGAAAGTGGTTGGTGGCCGAAGCGATGCACCTGCAGTACTCGTCGTGGTGCCCAAGGGCGATGGTGTCGTGGACGCCTTCTGGTTCTTCTTCTACAGCTACAACCTCGGAAACACGGTCTTCAATGTGCGCTTCGGCAACCACGTCGGCGACTGGGAACACACCACTGTGCGTTTCCACAATGGCGTCCCTAAAGCAGTGTTCTTTAGTGAGCATGCATTTGGTGAAGCATACACCTGGGACGCCGTAGAGAAGATCGGCAAGAGGGTAGGCTACGAGCCTACACATGCATAGGAACAATACTAACGCTGCACAGCCTGTCGGTTTTTCTGCGACTGGCACTCATGCCATGTATGCTACAGCAGGCGTTCACCCCTACGTTCTTCCTGGCGGCATACTGCACGACGTTACCGATCGCGGTCCGCTCTGGGATCCCAGCATGAACATGTATTCGTACACGTACGATTACCAACGCGACCACCTCGCAACCTCGAACATTACCCCAGAAGCCCCCATCGGCTTCTTCTACTTCGCCGGGCATTGGGGTGACAAGTTCTACCCACTCAGTGACCCTCGCCAGTACCGCTTCCTGGGCCAATATCACTACGTCAACGGACCTTTGGGACCACGATTCAAGAATCTAGGTCGACAGCAAATCTGCCAGGGCAATGGGGATTGCATATTGAAGAATACTCTGGATAGCAAACGACAAAGGAAGATGAAGAGATATCCACAGGTTGGTGAGGGAGAGCAAATGACGGAAGACGACGCAAAGAAGGTCTTTGGATCCGAGTATGACTCTGCATCTTAGGCGTTACACGACACGATATCCATGATTCCCACGCTCATTTTAGATTGTTCGGCGTTGGCGGTTGCTTTTCCCGGCTGTAGGTTACACATGCTTCGAGATACCTACATACAAGCATGAGCGCATTAGATTGCTCAGGACTGATATCGTCCACTGTCTGACTCAAACGGTGAAGCCTCGACCTGTCTGTGCCCACCTGGCAAGTGGGAAAGAAATTTCGAGAAGAGTTTGGTCAAAACACCACGGTGATGCCGCGGGTAGGTTAGGCGGGCGAGCTTAGCCGCAAGAGTGATATAATCTTCGCTGACGTCGATGACACGTCGAGCGTCATTGCGTAATCGCAGACGCTCAATGCGATGAGCTTGTCGCTTGATGAAGACAGCAGAGGATACACCAGGCGGTTGACAGATGATGCATGAGGATTACACGGCATGATCTGTCAACCAGCCGGCCCGTTGTGCCCGAGCGGCAGCATCGAATGCTGTGTCAGCAGCATGCCAGATATCAGCCGTTTGGGCGTCTCACGGCGAACTCTGTCCCGTGACCCCTTCATATTGAGTTCTCTGTGGTGCGCGCCGGTGCAGACGCAGGCTCAAGCAGTCGTACAAGTGACGTCTCAACCGACTTTAGACCGAGAACAAGCCTAAAGTGTCCGAACCTCAGTCGCCGTTGCAGGGCCAAGCAAACAAGGTGTCGTGGCTCGGTGGTAATTATGGGCCCATCTCGCTATCATGACCAGAGATCACGTCGTAGGTAATACTAGGTATGTATGCAGGTCATCCCGGCACAAATGGTGTCCCCACCCGCGATAGGCCTTATCAGCCACGCCCCAACACCTGGTCAACTACACGTATCATTACTGCCCAGCGTCCCTACGTGACTTGTTGGGTCTCTCTTGCTTTAAGCCAACACAGAGCAGCAGCGTATCCCTCTCTCCCTTTGACAGTCTGCGCCTTTGTCGTACCGCCTGACCATTTGTCCCCGCTGAAACCAGTAGCTTAGTCTACTCTAGCGCGTCGTGGTCGCATCATTACCGTTTACACCAGGTATCCCCTCAATCCACCGCTCGACGAGTTCCGAATGTCGCAGCGAGGAATGAAGTACTCGCGACGATAACAAAAGACACTGTTTGCTCCTAGGGGCGTGCATCCGCCGTCTCGACCCGATAGCTCACCCTCTCCCTTCATCCTCCCCGCACCTGCCCGATCTACCTCGTGCCTTGCTTCTTCTCACACGTCAGGAGCACGCTCCGGATATCGCCACAACCACCTTTGTCGCCCATACTTCGTACCCCTCATAGTACCAAATCATGGCATTTGCCCAGCAACAGCGCCCTCAGACCGCCCGTCAACTATCATTCCATGCACCTGAGCCCGCTGCGGCGGTCGCAACCAGCTCGCAGCAGCTAAAGCGCCGTCTCGAAGAGTCGGAAGAGTGGGTCCTCTTCTCGCCGACTGCCCCCTCCACGACCGCTCGCACACACACGACCTCGACTGAACGCACACCACGGACAGCTGGCCTGTCACGCTTCAGCGAGTTTGGCTCGCTCGACACCGCCGCCCGCTCAGACCAGGATGACGACAACGGCACGTTCCTCGGAACTGAGGAGGAGCTAGACAGCCTCGACGACGGGCTCCACGCCTTCCACGAGCCCTCCGAGCACGCCCTGCCCACCAGCAGGCTGCAGGAGAGCGGCGACACGGTGCTGCCCAACCACGATGGCCTGGGCTCCTTCCACCCAGACGCCACCATGCAGGAGCACATGTGGCAGTTTGAACGCTCTCCACGGAGACGTACTGCGCGGCGGCGGTCGAGCGTGCAGCGCCACCTCACTACCCTGGATGATACGGATGAGGTCACGCAAGAGCAGGAGCGACGGCAGCGCATCGAGAGGTGGAGACTCGAGCAGAGCAGGGCCGTGCTGGAAGAGATCGAGCGGGAAACAAGAAGAAGGCGGCGAATGAGCATGGCCGCGTCGACGCAAAGCCAGCGAGACACGATACGGCAGGACCTAAGAAGCTCGGTGAGCTCAGTGGCCCGGACCGTTACGAGTGAACAGAGTGATGGCACTGATGGGTCAGATGAGGGCACAGAGAACATGTCCTTCTGGCAGCGACTTACTACACGCGTCATTAGAGACCTGATCGGTCTTGACAACGATACGCTGTCGGTCATCTTTGGCGAGAGTCTGCCTGAGGAAGCCATGAGGCCCAAAGCGGGATCTCCATCGACCTCACCAGCAGACCGCGTGTTGCGAAATGCTGTCGCAGACGCACACACATACCCCGAGGAAGACTGGCAGACACGAGTCCTCGAGCGTGTGGCACAAGAACTTGGAGTGCTGGTCCACCAACTTTCTGAGCACCCAGGTGCATTCTCTACATATCAACGCACCCAGACAGCGCCTGAGTACGCAGGCCTCACTCCAGCCGTTGCTACCGATCTCGCATCCTCAGGCCCGACTAGCTCCCAGCCCTCCGCCCCCTCGCCCGCCTCGGTGCAATTCGCGGCCACATTCCCAACACAACAGACGTCACACACTTACAGCGAAGCATCATTATGGGGAATCGAGGAAGAGCCCGAATTGGCTGGTGTAATGGAAACTTCGCATCCAGACCCTGCTGCTACTGCACGGGCTGCCGCTGAAGACGCGGCACATGAGCGAGAATACTGGGAGCGCGATCTTGACGTCAAGATGATCTTCAACTTCCTCGTGAGGCGCTTCACTTCCCGCCGCTCCAGCACGCCAACGCCCACAAGACGGCCTTCGGCGTCCACGTATGCGAGCGATGAGGGCGCGTCTGCGCGTCGCGCGGCCATGATCCGCCAGAACCACCCTTTGGTCAGCCGGACGACGGATAGAGGGCTCCCGACGTCGTCTTCGGCACAACCCAGGGAGGTGAGGCGACGTGACGTGGGCGCGACGTATCGCACGCACTACAACCCGCAAGCCAGCTTGAGACAGAAGACGCTAAGGAGTAGTTCTAGCTGCGCGAGCCAGAGCACGAAGAAGAGCAAGCGGAGCAGCAGTAGTCAGAGGAACTACTGGGACCTGGGAGGCAGCGTGGGCAGTGGCAGTGTACTCGCTGGAGAGATTTAGGGGGGATGCTTTAGACGATTTACGACGATTTCACGACCTACGGGCATTTTGGCGCATAGATTGGTCATGTTCACATGCATGAGACTTGGAGCACGCAGGTTGCGGAAGAGGGATGCTGGATATCTTTGATTTACACACGTTGCTAATGGCATTGTAAACTAGGGATTTTGAGTATGAGGGGATGTGGGTTGGGCTTTTGTATTATATCTCTCCTCTTCGTGGTCCGCGCCCGATCGAATCTATCACGGTGTTGGAGTCTCATGCCAGATGCCCAACAGCGGCTCAGACATGCTTGCCGGTGCGGCACTGTATCCTTTCTCAATGTTACGTTCGCCTTGTCTATGATGGACAAGAGATATAAGGTGCGTCCCTAAGTGGAGAGACACACCATGTCCCGAGACAGTCTGGCAGTCCAGACCTTCGGCGTCTTCATTGTGCCACGCCATAGGGCTGTCGTTCGTACGGGGCGTTTATCGACTATTGTTCCTCCAGGTCAACTAGCTCCGACCAGGATCTCTTGAATGCTGGTCGTGCTGTCGATCGTTTCGTCGACGGCTTCGAATGTCCCTTCTGCAATACCCCCTGTCTACTTGCAATATTGTCAATCCCTCTGGATATCGGAGGTCTTAGAATGAAGAGCAGTTTATGGAAAGTATGTTCTCATGCTCTACAACCCACCTGAAAGTGGAAGTGAGCTTGCCGGAAACCCCGAAGAGTGGAGAGGAGAGCCCCGCAGGAAGACTCGAATGAGCGGGTCATGTTAACAAAGCTTGGCCTGCATTACCGCATCTGCATGGCGCTTGTATTTTACTGTAATTAAATCAGCTCCATGCCTATCCTATGTAAGTTAATTATACATGTTACTGGACACAGTTTGTGGTGGGGTTGTCGCTCCGTTGCGTGACGGCCCATGGCGGACAGCGACCAGAAGCCAGCGTGTTCTCGCGCAGCCAGCACGCTACACAGACGTCCCTGGTTATGTTAATTGCAACCCAAGCCTATAACTTGCATTTCTGCGCTGTCGCATTGCGCCCTTACGTGAAACCTGTCTTTCTGCTTGCGCTTATGGCTGTCGGGCGATCATGTGTCGTCAGCCTTGGCTGGCCAGGCTCACGTCGTGGCACAGGTAGGATGCGCTTCCCACTCTAGGTGTTTGAACCGCAGCCTTCCTGCTTCCTTGACCTCTGATTCAGCAGCCCACCGTATAGCACTCACAACGAAGGCGACGCATACATCGCATTAGGTCGACGGATACATCGTACGATCTTCACGCCTGCGCGAGTGAAGCGCGGTACGCTATCGACTCCTCCGGCCTGCTTCGAAGCCCCCAGACCCTCTTCTATCGCTCGCGCAGACAGACCGAACCTCGACTCCATGCGAGACAGAAGGTATATGACAACGACAACAATTGGGTGGCAGCAAGCACGGCAGTGAGCCCGAAACTAGGTGCAGTCCTTTGAAGTGGAAAACGCAGGCGGGCATACAAGAATGCGATCCTACGTTACAATTCCAGGATCGCAAACTTCGTTGCAATAGCACTTGCCTGGAGTGGACGATCAACCCACTGAACCAAGCGCTTGTTGGATACGGCCCTTATCTTCCTGTCGTCGGATGATCCATGCCCCTATACAGGTGTCCCACATCGTAATGCGGCTTTTACATTTTACGGACGATGAGGAGCTGAGCCTGACGGCAGATATGTTCAACGACAGCAACATTCCGCGTTATGCCATCCTTTCTCATACATGGGGAGATGAGGAAGTCCATTATGATGATATCGGTAACGTAAGAGGAATGATCAAGGCAGGATATGCAAAGATACTGTTTTGTGCACGACGAGCCGCAGCAGACGGACTGCAATACTGCTGGGTGGATAGTTGTTGCATCAACAAGTCAAATAGCTCGGAGCACTCGGAAGCGATCAATTCTATGTTCCGCTGGTATCAGAATGCTGAGCGATGTTATGTCTACCTTGTAGATGTTTCTAGCGATAGTCGAGATGAAACAAGCGACTCGACTGGAGGCTGGGAGCTCGCCATGAGGAGAAGCAGATGGTTCACCCGAGGCTGGACTCTCCAGGAACTCATTGCCCCAAGTTATATTGAGTTTTTTTCTAAGGAGATGGACCGCTTAGGGGATAGGAAATCCCTTGAAGAGATGCTTCATGAGATCACTGGGATACCAATCGAGGTCCTTCGTACGCGTTCGTTGATAAATTTCGGGATAGAGCAACGATTCTCATGGGCGGCGAAGCGTCAAACGACATATGAAGAAGACATGGCATATTGCCTCCTTGGTATGTTCGACATCCACATGCCGCTTTTGTATGGCGAAGGGAAGGAGACAGCGATGAAGCGGCTTGGAAGGATGGCTGAAAGTGCTACAGCAGGACCTACAGGTGTTCCACTCCAACAGAAATTGTCTGGACTGAGACAGTGGCTATCGGTCCCTAACCCTGCGACACAACCCCAGAGAGTGCTTCGAAGCCGCGGTCAAGGAACTTGTGACTGGGTACTTGACAGCCGCAAGTATGTTAGATGGAAGACGTCACCTGCGTCGATCCTGTGGCTGTACGGTGTACCAGGATCTGGTAAAACCATGATCAGTACCACGGTCCTCGAGGACGTTCTGCAGTCCTGCAGTCAACGCTCCGCTGGAGTGTCTGCGCACTTCTACTTCGACTTTAACGACGCGCAGACACAAGGTCCGGATACGATGTTGCGCTCTCTGATATGTCAACTGTCACAGAACTGTGCTCGAATGCCACCAAGTCTTGACACACTCTTCGCCATGCGTGACAGCAGACAAGACCTGCCGTCTCTTCAAACTCTCCTGGAAGCGCTCAAGCAGATGATGCTGGAATTTCCGCAAGTTTTCATACTCATCGAAGCGCTCGATGAGTGCACACAACGCCGAGAACTGATGGATGTGCTTGACATAGTGGCTTGGTGGCAGCTTGACAACGTGCATCTGCTCATGACCAGCCGGAAAGAGCGGGATATCGAGAGCTCTTTAGAAAGCTATGTCAAGGAGGAGAACACTATCTGTCTCCAGAGCGCAGTGGACAAGGACATACAGCGCTACGTTCAACAAAGACTGGGTGACGACAAGGGCTTGGCAAAATGGAACAAGGACGCTGCTGTGAGGCAAGAGATCGAGGCTGCACTGATGCGCGGAGCCCACGGAATGTCCGTGTATTCACCCAGCCACCCACAGAGCTAAGCTAAAGATTGCATAGGTTCCGATGGGCTGTGTGTCAGCTTGACACGTTAGCAAAGTGTCGCAATCGAGCGATGCTGCGTAAGTCGCTTGCCACTTTGCCGCAAATGCTGGACCAGACGTATGACCGCATTCTCACTGCTATCAGCGAAGAAGACTGCGATTACGCGATGCGCATTCTGCAGTGGCTGACGTTCTCTGCGCGGCCGCTGTTAGTCGAAGAGATCGCCGAAGTCGTCGCTATCGACGTGGCGCGCGACCCAGCGTTCGACCGTGATGAGATGCTAGAAGATCCGCTAGAAGCGCTGGACATCTGCTCAAATCTGGTCACTATCATACCAAATTCTACCCAGCGTATCATTGCTCTAGCACACTATTCTATCCAGGAGTATCTTGTATCAGACAGGATCAAGCAAGGGCAGGCAAAGCAGTACAGTATGCAAGAGGCCAAATGCCACAGCGCGATATTAAAAAGCTGTTTAGTGTACCTGCTCCAATTACAGCAACCATTGTCAGAGGAAACGCTGAAGGCATCCGCATTGGCAAGGTACGCAGCAGAATTTTGGAGCAGCCATCTTCAAAATGTAGGAGAAGAGGCGGATGAAGTGACACCAGTCGTGATGAGTTTCATGTCAATGGACAATCCGGCATATCTCACCTGGATTCAGTTGTGTGATCCGGACCATCCTTATAGAAAACCAGATCTAGGTAAAAGCCTGGAATGCGTAGCTACACCGCTGTATTATGCCGCATTACTGGGCTTGAGCACGATCACCAGACTGCTGCTATATCAAGGCGCCGATGTCAACGCGCAGGGTGGAGAGTATGGCAACGCACTGTACGCAGCTTCAGTCGAAGGCCACGAGCAGGTAGTCAAGATGCTGCTCGACAAAGGCGCCGACGTCAACGCGCAGGGTGGAGAGTACGGCAACGCACTGTACGCAGCTTCAGTCGAAGGCCATGAGAAGGTAGTCAGGATGCTGCGTGATGCAGGTGCTCATCAACCCGAGGAAGACGGTACTGTGGCACGGCTCAAATAGTTAGCATTGTCTAGGCACCTAGTAAGCATCTTGAGTTAGCGCAGCAAGCGACCCGAAGCCGTCAGCGTGCGCCACTTCTTAAAGCTGCTTCAGATAGGCATAGAGCTGAATTTAGTATAAAAGAATACAGATGACCTTTCGACGCACTAATGCAGGTTTGTGGGTACAATGAGGCGCTAGCACGACCCGATGTCTTGGGCCCGTACGCAGGGATCACCTCCCCCATACTTCGAAGATCTCGGCATGCACACGCCTGCGTTGGAGCGATCTCTAAACATTAGGGAAATGACCTTCCTTGAACGCGCTTCATCCTTAGCCCTCCGATGTCTGAACAGCCTCCTCAAATGGCGAGTAGACAGGGAGGTATTACCGAAGAGTTGTTTGATGGCGTTGACTGGATGATCGACGGCATGGCTAACACTGCAGAGATTTCAGTCGGAGCCTGCTGGCACAGAGGAGAAATACTTTCACAGACATCTCATCACGACGAAAGCTCAGCAGACTTGCAAATGGAAGGCGCCGAAGGTCCGAACTGCCAATCTGTCTCGGGACATGGTGTCTCTCCACTTAGGGACGCACCTTACACCCACCAGCGTATGTTCTCGATGCTCTGTATCCATCATGTGGCGGCCTGATGGGTTGAACCGTAAGCGTGATCTGTGTCGAATCGCCTCGACCCATCTCGATATCTTACACACAACACGCAGAGAAGTCGCCTTCTCTAAACGATCTTGTGAGTAGCCATTCAGACGGACTGTCAATCTGAACAGTCGCTTTTGATGGCGAGATGTTCTGACACCTGATCGTCCCGCGGTTCCCGACGCTCTTCGCTCTGTGGCAATGTCGCGATTTGGCTTGCGGGTTTTATCCGTTCTGTACCGGGTCGGCGCGTTCCATTCGTGTCTTACTAGCACAGTTACACTGATGGCGACTGTCTGCCGCGCCTCGTGATATAGCGTCCGTAGCGGCGGTTTCGAGGCCATGTGCACCGATGTCGTAGTCGCATGTGTTGGGCAAGGTAAGGATTCGACAGCTCAAGTAGAAGAGCAGATCCGAATCACGTGGCGTCACTAGCGCGGTGGTGGTTGGCGAGGGTGGAAGTGGACGAGTAATTCGGCTGGGCCTCGCATGGCAGCCTGCTGTGGGAGCGCTGGACGAAAGAGACCGGCGTTGGTATGAGAGCAGTGTGAATGTTCATTAGGGTGTCAAAAGCTCATAGCTATTCTTGTCCAGCGCGGCGGCATTGCAGAATATCTGAACTATTCTTACTGCAAGAATGGCAATACGATAAAAGGCGTTCACAGCCTTGTTATGCAAGACTTCAGTCGAAAGCCCAGCCTCGACGTACTCAGAGTACTGGCATCACAGATGTATGGTTTGCTGCACTCCAGAGCTGCTCGGCAAGCAGCAATCAATGGCTGGGTGTTATACAAGTACCTACTCCCATGCAGCATCATAATCTATCCTCACCCACTCTCCCCCTCCACGAACCGCACCTTCACTTCATGTGCCGGCTGCAGCACGATATCAGCATGGAGCCCGGGGTGCTCGCCGCCCATCAAGTTCTCAATTCCGCTGAACCGCTGCAACAACCGCACGAGCGTGTATCCCATCTCTGTAAGCGCAAACTGCTGGCCGATGCAGATGCGCGGGCCGCCGTTGAACGGAATGTACGTCCATGACTTAGGTGTCCACGAGTCCCAACGTCTGTCAAGTCAGTATGTGTACCATCTCGGGAGAAGGGTGGGGCTTACTCGGGCACAAAATGCGTTGGGTCCGCAAACCCCGTGGACTCGGCAGGATAGAGATCTGCTCTCCTTTGCATGACAAGCGTCGAGTACCCGATTGGGGTGCCGGCCAAAATACCAATTGGCTGGTCGCGGTTCGGGCCGCCTCCAGTGGGCAGCGTGGTATCCTTCAGCGCCACGCGGACATTGTACGGCACCACGGGATATAGGCGTAGTGTCTCATTCAGCACGTGCTGCAGGTACTTCATGCCCTTCAAGTGCTGATACGTTGGCTTCTCAGTGAGACCAACGGTTTCGATAATTTCCTGCCTCAGCTTCGCGGTCATGCTCGGTGACAGCGAGAGGTGGTATATTGCCCATGACAAAGTGCAGGCCGTCGTGTCACGGCCAGCGAGTAACACGGATACGAGTTGATCGCGCAGCATCTGCCTGTCCCGTGTATACCCTGCGATGGCGTGGAGGAACGTGTAGCCGGAGTCGTGGTTACTCTTCTCGTCAAGCTCCTCGGTGGACAGAGCAAGAGCGCGGTCGATGTACATGCTCACGAACTCGTCGATGGTTTTGATGCTGTCGTAGAAACCCATCCGCTTGCGAGGTACTGCCCAGTTCAGTGGTCCCATACGTTCAATGATGGACTGCACACGCTGAGCGTTGTAGAAGGCGTCCGCGAACTTTGTCTGCGGGTGATTGAGGGAGTCTACGCTGGCACCAAGGAGGAAATGTGTTGCTGCATCGAGCGTGTAACGGAACATCATGTCCATTGTATCGATGGGTTGTCCACCGGCGAGCTTAGAGAGAAGTACTTGCGTGTGTGTCTCGAAGATGTCGATATCCGAGAGGCGATCCTTAATGAATTGAGGCCGGATGAGTTGGCGTGAGTTATGCCACAGCGTGGTATCTGTTGTGAAGATACCGTTCCCCAGGAAAGCATGCCAGTTCTTCCGGAACTGCTCTCCCTTACCGTAGTCTTTAAACTGGGTCGCGAGGATGGCCTTGATGTTCTCGGGTTCGGCAGTCAGGATCACTCTTTGCCCTACACCAGCTTCGATGGTATAGCGTCCTGGACCAGCCCATTTGTCGAACATCTGGATCCACATCTCGTAGCTCTTGTCCTTGAGTGAATAGCTGATGGCTTCGTAGGCTATATCCAGGCCTAGAGGCACATATGATTTTCGAACGGGCGCTCGGGCGCCAAGTTTGCGAATCCTGGCATTGATGCGTACTGCAGAGGCGATCCTATACCCAATGTACAACACGAAAAGGCCTCCAAGTAGATATGGTGTCGACGGGTATGGCGGTATGATGTTGGCCATGATAGGCTTGTTCAAAGTTCGTCTGAACCCTCGATCGTGAACAGTCTGACGCAGTCGATTTCTCTAGAGGCCCAGACGATATTGAGGCCAAGACAGGGTTTATGTAGACACCCTCCTCGTGCCGCACTAGTCTGTTCAATTCTAGCGGCCCGTTCACGTTTCCGTCACATAGTTCCAATTACTCAGTATCGCCAAGCCTTGCATGCCGCGGCGCCCAATCAACAAATTCGCAGACACGACTCATTTGTTCAAAGTTCGTTGTACGCTTACACAGGTGGTCTTTTGGGCCTTCCAGGGCTTCAAATGCGCACCTCGGTATCACGGACGGCTCGCAAGCTGCGCTGCTTGCGACACAGTTGCCAAATGACAAATGCAATGCATTTGCCTGTGCAAGTGTGGCGGCCGTTTCCAAAAGCGGGGAAGGAGCGGAGCAGGTTCTTGGACGGACCAGCGAGGTGCTAGCGGACGTCTTGGGGATCCCTGGACCGAGAGCCAATCATTCGTCGACCATGAGCGGAAGTCGGGCAGGATCTGTCTCTCCATTTGGAAATTTGCACGACCATTTGATGGAGATCGATGGCTGTAGCTTTGCGTGCTCATGCGCAGTGTCGAGAAGTCCTTGTTGCAGCCGCGAAGGATGGCGTCATGAAACGCGCCTGCAGAATCGGAGCCTTTTAAACTTCCTCAAAATACAGCGCGTGCTCCGTCACCTCAAATGTGCTCTGCACTCACAGGGTACAGTATGAGTCCAGCACCGTCGCACTCGATGCTGTCGCTTGATTGAAAGCTCGGAAGTGGCCCCACGTTGACCCCGCAACATCAACCCTCGAGCTTCCCACCACGATGGTTCGACCACCTTCAAGCCGTTCCAGGGTATCAAAGCTGAGGCTGCTGACTGATACACAAACGAAAAAGAACTGAGTATCAACAAGTCAAGTTTCCGGGTCTCCACCTCCTTGCGCCAGCTTCATTCCGGTTATCTCATCCCATGTTCATTCCAGATCCCGTCTCCGGCATAACGCGTAATCATATCTAACGATCATATATCGTATCTGACAGCTCTTGTTCTCTCGTTCTCTCTGTCCTAGTCCACCGTCAGCATGAAGCTCCGATTTCTCGTGCTGCCATGTCTCATGAGCACTTCCCTAGCCTTATGGCCCATCCCAAAGTCATATAAGCATGGCGACACCGTGCTCTGGATATCCAAGAACGTAACATTTTGCTGGTACGAAGCTGGCGCTGAAAATGTAGACTACCACCCCGAGCAAGCACCTTTCCTCTTTGCATCCACTTCTAACACAGGCACTGTGCCACAGAACCAGACTGGAGATCATCTCAGCCTCCGCGGACGTTACACGGCGCCGTTCGAGAGCCACAAAAACGCGAGAGACACGACGGGGGTCTCGGGCGACGACATAATCGACTACGCCATTAGATCGACGTGGGATACTGTCTTCAAGGAGGGCTTCTACCCATGGAAACTCCACACTCGGAACTGGGCGGAGCCATCTCAGGGCAGGAGAGCAAAATACGTGGATCATGTCGACATCTGTCTGCTTGCACCGGATTCGACGAACGTTGCAAAATCTTTGGCAGGAGATGTGGATGAATCATACACACTCAAATTGACAGAGGACGGCGTAGCAACAGTCGCGGCGAACAGCAGCGTCGGCATTGCCCGAGGTTTGACAACCTTTACACAATTGTTCTTCCAGACCTCAAACAACGAGCAGTTCTACACCCCTGAAGCACCCGTTACGATCGAAGATGCACCAAATTTCTCACACCGAGGCATCAACCTCGACGTCTCGCGAAACTATATCCCCATCCCAGACATCAAGCGCCAGATCGATGCTGCCGCGTACACCAAGATGAACCGTCTGCATCTGCATGCGACAGACTCGCAGTCCTGGCCCCTGGAGATACCTTCTTTGCCCGACCTCGCGCGTAAAGGCGCATACCGCCCAGATCTAATCTATACCGCCGCCGACTTCGCAGACCTGCAGCGCCACGCCGCGCTCCAAGGTATCCAGCTCATCACCGAAATCGACATGCCAGGCCACACATCCAGCATTTGGTACTCGGCGCCCGAGCTGATCACCGCATACAACCAGCAACCAAACTGGGACACGTATGCCGCGGAACCGCCGTCCGGGACCTTGAAGCTGAACTCCACCGCCGTGGGGAAGTTTCTGGATACGCTGTTCGCAGACCTCATGCCGCGCCTGGAGCCGTACACGGGCTACTTCCATACCGGCGGCGACGAAGTGAATCCCAACGCGTACACGCTGGACAACACAGTGGACTCGAGCGATCCCGCAGTCCTGCAGCCGCTAATGCAAGCCTTCGTGTCCGCGAACCACGAGCGCGTCCGCCAGCGCGGTCTAACACCCATCGTCTGGGAAGAAATGCTGTTGACCTGGAACCTCACTCTCGGCCCCGACGTCGTCGTGCAGAGCTGGCAGAGCGACGAAGCCGTCCTCCAAATCGTGCAATCAGGACATAAAGCGCTAGTCGGGAACTACAAGTACTGGTACCTCGACTGTGGAAAGGGGCAGTGGCTTGATTTCGCGCCGGGCGAGGCGAGTGCAGACGCATGGCCGTATCAGGACTATTGTGCGCCGTTTCATAACTGGAGACTAATCTACTCGAAGGATCCCTATGAGGGTGTGCCGGAGGATCTGAGGCATTTGGTCATTGGTGGTGAGGCGCATATGTGGGGTGAGCAGACGGATGCAATTAATCTGGATCCGATGCTGTGGCCGCGCGCGGCGGCGGCGGCGGAGGTGCTATGGAGTGGAGCGAAGGATGCGCAAGGTCAGAATAGGAGTCAGATTGAAGCCAGTCCTAGGCTGAGTGATCTGAGGGAGCGATTGGTGGCGAAGGGCGTGCGTGCTGAGCCGGTGCGCATGCCGTACTGCGAGATGGAGTCAGACGGGAACAGAAGCCCACAATGTCAGTTGGGAATGACATAAACAGATGGAGAGATCGATGAGTGTTGGAGAATTGTTGGAATTTGGGTATCGTAGCTCCGTGCCGCCTCATTGTAATCAACGCGCTGTTCAATGCTGCCAAAATGTCAATGTCGTAACGCCGCCCATGCAGATGCTTCTTTTGGTCACTCTCTTACTCCTCCACATTCATCTCCTTAGGCTCCTTCGGTTCCTGTGCTTCATTGAACTGGATTGCGTCATCGATGTAGCTCAGCACGGCGCCCAAGCTGTCCTCGTCCTGCACATCCAACTTAAGATATGAGACCATGCTGAAGTCATCAATCAGCTGCGCAACAGCCTTGTTGAGCTTGTGGAAAGCCGAGCCACTCATCAAGCTCTCTGTTGTCGCAGGATCCCGGTACTTCCTGTTGTCTTCCTCATCTGTTGTTCTGCGTGACGGATCGTCTTCGATGAGATCAGCGTCGACCTGGACGAAGCGCTTGAGCTCGCGCTTCGCTACCTGCCCCTTGACCAGATCCATCTTGCTTAGGATATTGATATGTGGCATCTCGAGCATGAGCATAGCGCTCATGGCTGATAGTGTGCCAGAGAAGAACTTGGGGCGGTCGACGACGAAGGTTGCCTCGAGCAGGTATGCGGCGCACATGCGGATGTTGAGACTGCCGTGCATGAGCGTCTTTACGAGGTCTGGCAGGATTGGTACGTGGGTGTAAAGTTCGATTTGCCCGGGCATATCGAAGACGATGAGATAGTCCTCGGTGACCTCCTCGAGCGGGTCTGTCAGGAAGTCGAGGTTCTCCATCAGGAACTCGAAACAGTAGATCAAACCGCCGTTGGGGCCAAGGCTCATCTCTTCCATGACATCTTCAAGACTGATCAGGTCCTTGATGTCGAGATCTGGCTCGAACGCGAAGTCTTCAGCGGCGGGGTCGAGGTTAACGTAGAAGCAAGGGCGCTTGTTGTTCTGGAGGTATTGGATGAGGCCGCTGCAGAAGGTTGATTTACCGGCGCCAGCTGGTCCCATCACCAGTGTCCCGAATTTGCTCATGGCTGCGGTTGTAGGACAGACTCAGCGCTGCGACACCGGTTCAAACCGTCGCTATTTGCGGAGGGCGGCAGAACAGAAAAGTAGCCAAGGGCGGTGTAGCATGTGGATGGCTGGTTGGTGGGGAACCTCGTCTTTCTGCGATTTTGCCAGTCTCAGGCCGACCAGGGCGGTCATCTCCATGGTTTGAATAAACGTGATTCGCTCCCCGTTGGGTCGAGACAATGGTGTGCTTCACTAGTGCGAGCTCGGAGCGCGGGCGGCTTGGTTGGAGAACGCACGTTTTTTCTTCGGCTCATTGGAAACGACTTCAAACCATAAAGTCGCGCAGGCCCCTCCTTCCCTCCTCCTAAACATCCTCTCGCCCTCTCGCACATTTCACGCGGTCGCAAGTCCTAGACTATCTTGCTGCTACCCCTCCTTCCTTCACAATGACTGTTCCCAACGGCACTAACGGCACTGCGCCCAGCAAGGTACGGCTCCCAATTTCCCGCAAAAGCCCCGCGTCGTTCTTACCCATTGTTCCAGGGCAGCACCTTCCTATTCACCTCCGAGTCTGTTGGTGAGGGCCACCCCGACAAGATCTGGTATGTCACCGTCCCGCACTTTCCTATACACAGTGGTATCTAGACATACATGACGTGCTGTATTTCTCGACCCGCCCCACCAGAACTTCACCACGAAAAGGACACGATACTAACAAGTTCACAGCGACCAGGTATCCGATGCCATCCTCGATGCCTGCCTCAAGGAAGACCCGCTCTCCAAGGTTGCCTGCGAGACTGCTACTAAGACCGGTATGATCATGGTCTTCGGTGAGATCACCACCAAGGCCCACCTCGACTACCAGAAGATTATCCGTGGCGCCATCAAGGATATCGGCTACGACTCATCCGACAAGGGCTTCGACTACAAGACCTGCAACGTCCTCGTTGCCATCGAACAGCAGTCGCCCGACATCGCTCAGGGTCTCCACTACGATGAGGCTCTCGAGAAGCTTGGTGCTGGTGACCAGGGTATCATGTTCGGATATGCTACCGACGAGACCCCTGAGCTGCTGCCCTTGACCCTCATCCTCGCCCACAAGCTCAACTCTGCCATGGCCGAGGCCCGCCGTGACGGCTCCCTCCCCTGGCTGCGACCTGACACCAAGACCCAGGTCACCGTTGAGTACGCTCACGATGGCGGTGCTGTCATCCCTCTCCGTGTCGACACTGTCGTCGTCTCTGCTCAGCACAGCGAGGATATTACCACTGAGAAGCTCCGTGAGGAGATCAAGGAGAAGATCGTCAAGAAGGTCATCCCCGCCAAGTACCTTGACGACAACGTCAAGTACCACATCCAGCCCTCTGGTCTGTTCATCATCGGTGGACCTCAGGGTGACGCCGGTCTTACCGGCCGTAAGATCATTGTCGATACCTACGGTGGCTGGGGTGCCCACGGTGGTGGTGCTTTCTCCGGAAAGGACTACTCCAAGGTCGACCGCTCCGCTGCCTACCTTGCCCGCTGGATCGCCAAGTCACTCGTCAACGCCAAATTGGCTCGCCGTGCGTTGGTCCAGCTTTCTTACGCTATCGGTGTTTCTGAGCCGCTGTCCCTCTTCGTTGAGACGTACGGCACCTCAGACAAGAACTCCGAGGAGCTTGTTGAGATCATCCACAAGAACTTTGACCTCCGCCCTGGTGTCATTGTCAAGGAGCTGAACCTCACCAACCCCATCTACAACACAACCGCCAAGAACGGTCACTTCACCAACCAGTCTTTCACCTGGGAGAAGCCCAAGGAGCTTAAGCTCTAAATGTACAAATTTAATGTTTGCACATGAGTGGTTTGAATCAACTTCAACCACAAGGTCAAGAAGTAACGATTTTGCGATATCATGCATATCTTGAAGAAGGCGGCAATTCTTCTTTCAACAAGTTTCGGCGTCGGGAAGGGCATATACCCCTGTGATCAGCAGCCCTCTTCAAAAGTTTCTTTGCATGTCAGTTTCATTACCAGAGGTTTTTATCGAGTAAACACGATAGAAGGTGCACCCAGTGCGGGCCATGCACGGCGTTAGAGTTGGGGGCTTCAACAATGGGGCCTGAGTGCGTTGTCAACGCGCACATTGAGGCTTGAGCGCAGTTTGCGCCGTGGAAGATAACAGGAGCAATCGAAAGTTGGTTATCTCGTTGGGATAATTGACATGAACAACATCATAATCGAATCGCACCCATCGTGAGTCACTTAGCTGGCAGACCTGACGCTCACAGTAATCTAGATGGAACATTGACCTATGCCACCAACATCAACTATGACGACCGCCGAGTGTTGACAGCATTGTGCTTGTGTAACACTACTTCACAATCGCGCTATTTCGCGCCTCGAGTCTCTTGTCTTGCGTCGATCTTCAAGCATAGCTGTAACCACACCGCTCCGGGATGACGAATGAAAGAGCGCGCGCCGAACAGTCTAGCCTTGCCAGGCACACCACAGCATCTCAGCTGCCCAACTAGTCACAGCTGTTTCTGACCCATGTGATCATCATTCACAGGTCACCTGTTTATAGGTGTTGTTGTGAGACACGTCTCGCTTGAGAGGTGAATTGGTAGTCGAGTATGATCCCCCTCCTTCCCGTCGCAATCTCTCTTCCCCCCTTATCATTAACAACACGTCAGCTTCCCTTCTGTCGCATTCTCCTCCCCCGCTTCCCAGCGTTGGGCAAATACCTGGAAGTAAGTCGCGCACCCTTCTCTCATCTGGTGCAAGCATATCTTCCCGCGATCTACGCGTCTTCCCTGGTTTTTTGGGCAGCAACCGTGGGTACTGTTACAGTCTCTTATGCGCGTCAGTTCGCGAGAAAGTTCACGCTCATCCCCAGCGCTTGGATTCCGTTCCGGCTTTCTTATTGTCTTCTTTGCGTCTTCGTTTTCTGTCACGGTCCGAACTTGTTAGCGTTGTTTTTACCGTCGAGCCGCCAGACGCGCCTGACCCAGTGACCTGTAGCTCCACAACAGGACGCGCCACACAAACTCAACATGCCAGCCTCAACACGCGCCAGCACCGGCAACAGCAAGCCGCGCATCGTGCAGCAGATCGAGAACGCTGTTACACCAAAGAAGCGCACAACCACCACAGCCAACACTTCGAAGCCTCGCACGACTGGGGGCCGCGTCGCAAAGCCCAAGGTCACGGCTACCACCACTCGACCAAAGACTAAGGTCGTGAAGAAGAGGCGCACACCAACTGAAAAGGCCAAGGATAAGGTTGTGGGCACTGTGGAGAAGCTTGTGGGTGAGGTTGAGGGGAAGCCAGGCAAGAAGGCTGCGGGGACGAGGAAGGCCAACGGCACGGGTGCTGGTGCGACGAGGAGACGTGTGTAGAGCGGTGGTAAAGCTGATGTGATATATGGTCGAGTGAGATCACAGGCCCTGGCTATGCTTTTTTTGCTGCAATGTGACTGCTTTTCTGCTTGCAGCATCTTCCTTCTCGCCCGCAAGTCATTCGAAAGGCCTCAGCTGCTGACACGGATGCAGAGAAGCACAGTTTGCAGCTCGTTCCTAGAAATCTTCCAATTCGGGTGGTCTGTGTCTTCCTCGTAACGTTAAAGAGTTAGCCCAGGCCTGCCACGCTGCCATTGCGAGGATTGTGTCGCTATGCAGCCTTCAGGCATTGCCAGGGATGTCCATAACCGCACCACACAGCTGAGAAGGATTCTTTGGAGTATCAGACTGTAGTTCGGAAAGAAGAACTTCCGGCTGGCATTCTTGACGCAAGTAGCCTGACGCGCAAGCCGGGCACCCGTTATCTTGCAATCAATTGACTCTGCATCATTCAAGATCGCTCAGAAGATCAGATTCACGAGTCGGCGAACATGGCGGACATCTACCAGAACGCACGGGTGACTCTCTCCCCAGCACGAGCGTCGTCCTGCATTAAGGGATTCTTAGAGGCCCAGATTGGGCGAGGGCTATCTACTAAAGTTTTCTACCTGCCAGTCGTGTGTGCAGACGGATCCGAAGGCTTGACCTCATTGCACAAGACCCTATTGCTCAATAGGGCTATGGTTTTTGCAAGGGGGACAGTTTGTAACATTTACAATGAAAACGCCGGTCGGTATACCAACAACGCTTACAAGTTGATACATTGTCCAGGCTCCATGGTTTCGAAACAAGTACTCGACATTCAGATAACTTTTTTCCTGCCACAGCTCGGCCGCGACATTACAGTCGCAGTTTCCATAAGCGGCCTCTTTGATATAATCACGTGATCTCCACCAAAGCTAAGAGTCCACATGTTCCTATTGCTACCGACTGCAAAATCGTTACAATTGCCATATTGGACTCCTGACACCCCTCTCAAGATCACACCTGGCGGTCCAGCTCCCAGCAAACCTCGCCCTCTGCATTGATCCTGTCTCTGCTTTTACAAATCCCACGATGCAATTATGTCACCAATATCTCCCTCGGCTCCTGACCGGCCATCTCCTCGATCTCCTCCAAGATGTCGTCAAACTTTCGGGCCCGCGTGCCCGGATGCGACCACTCACTCACAGCCTCGAGCTTTTGACGGTGTCTGTCAAACCCCCGGCCGGTGAAGTGCTGCCACCCGGGGTCGGTGCGACGCTGTGGCATTGGTGAAGGACCCAGAAGCCCGGAAGTGTGGTTTTCGTCTGCGTAGGTCTGGGAGTGCAAGAAGCCTGGTATGCCATGACCTACTCGCTGGTGAGGAACTGGATGATAGAAGGGCGATTGTGAGGAGCTAGACGTGTACGCAAACTCCTGCCTCGGCGGCGAAGGCGGCGAGTTCATTGCCCTTGTCTGCGGTAGAGGGGGTAAGGTGAAAGCCAACAGGCCCAGCGTTCCATTCCCCCCCTCCTCGCAAGGCTCAAACGAATCCCGAGGCGTGACGGGCTCCGCAACTCCCTGTATCTCCTCCTTCGGCGTCCCCGGGGGCGACTCATGCAGGAAGACCGTGTTCCCCTCCTCATTGAACATCATCACCTCCTCCATCTCATTTCCTTCATGCTCCCCTCTTCCACCTGCGACGCAATCCTTGATCCGCCGCCATACTTCCCCCCAAGCGGCCTCGATGCCCGTATCGACTGCATCAGAAACATGGTCCAGAATTACGACGCCCATCACGATCCCACCCGCACAGACAAGGCCAATGAGCCCGTTACCGAGCTCAGTGAGCTGTGGAAGACAGGTAGAATCCTCGATGGCGGTGGCGAGACCGAGCATGCATGTAAGAACGGCGATGGATAGGCCGGCGTACGCTCTGAGCATAGTCGTTAGTTTCGGCCGTGTTTGGTGTTGGATAGATGGAGTATTGAATGGAGCCTCGTGCCTTGGCACGTCAGATGCTGTTGGGATGAAGGTGCGGTGAAGAATTTCATTCGTGATGACAGGTGTGGAGGGAGTTGGAAGTGCAGGAACGAAATCCGGGAATGGATCGTGCACTGACATCGTCTTTTCGTGCGGTTGAATATGATAAGTATTCGGCTGAATGTTGAGAAAGCGCGGTCGAGGTGTTATGGAAAGGGCGAACGGCTTGTGGGAGTTGGTGAAGGGAAGGGAGGGGAATGACAGCGTATGGTGACTTTCACTAAGTGGTCGCAAGCATTAGGGGACGAAAATCACGAGAAGGATCAAGCACGGTAAGCACGAAGGTCATGGAAAAGTGCAGCAAGTGGAAACTGTCAGTGACAGTGTATTTGTTGCTAAGCTGTGTCCCTGGGATGCATACTGCAGCCAGAATAGATAACAAAAGGAATGTCAAAGAGTCGTCCGCTTTGCAATGCAAACTCTTTCTAGAAGCAAACCCAGACTAAGAACGCCGTCATCGCTACAGAAAAACTGTGCGGACCCTATTACGAGATGTCAAGAACATATTCAATCTTAATCTTGAACAGATGCACATGCAGTCCTTGCTGCGAAAGCGTAGAAACGAAGCCGCTCAAATCCAAAATGCACCAGCAAAAGCTTTCCCTGAGATTGCAAGAACACCAGTCGTTACGTTCGTGAATCCCAATATATCATACAGCCTCCCCAAATGTCTGATGTCGCTAAGATTATACGGTAGTGAAGTCGAGGAAGTCGTACGAGCTATTGTCCGCCGCTGTAAAATCGCTCATGGCCCTCATCTCGAGGTCGAATTGCGAAAGCGAGGGCTCCGGTCGAATGTCGAAAAGTTCATCCAACTCATCCTTTCGCTCGATTGGAGATGTCGGCGGTGTTGTGAACTGCTGTGACTGGACAGATGTCCGCGATGGCGAATCTGTGACTTTCAATGGGCTCGGCTGGTTTGGCTTGTATGACTGTCTTCGCTCGGGCACTGCTTCGCGCGATCGTGAGCGGAGGCCTGGTGAAAGAGGAGGTGTCTGCGCTGGTTCATCGGACAACTCGCGCAGGAGGTTCATCGACGCAACTTCACTGGTATAAGATGTGGTAAGCGCGAAGTCATCCTCGTGGTCTTCCTCGTGGTACGGGCTGGATTGGGGCTCGAAACTGCGGAAGGTTAGCGTAAGTCAAAGAGATGACATAAGAGAACTACGTACCTGAATGGATCTGTTGACGCGTTTATGGGCTCATTGAAGTTCTGTGTATGTGCAGAATCAAACGACTCGTATGGCGATCGAGCATCCGAATCAGGTGAGCTAGCGGAAACAGATGAGGCCGCAGAGGCGAGGGCACGTCGAGTCCTGCTTGCCTTCTCTACACGCTCTTCCATCTCAGGACGGTGCTTCTTTGGCCTGCCACGCTTTGCCTGTCGTCGTACGGCATCAGCGAATCCACCAACGCACATGCCGCGTTGACGATGTCTTGTAAGAGCGTCTTGTCGAGCAAAGCCAGCACCACAGGGGCACTTATAAGGCTTGTTGCCTGTGTGGATCTTCGCGTGACGCTTGAGGTCGTGCTGTCGCACAAAGCACTTGCCGCATCCGTTGCACCTGTATTGCCTGTCACCAAGATGTGTCTGGACATGCGACCGAATATTCTCCCTCCTGCCAAAGACCTTTTTGCAGTCTTGATACATGCAGGTCCACTTGTTCGTCTTGGGATCCTGCTCACTGATGTAGCGCTGGACCTCATCGGGAGAGATGCCGGTGAATTCGAGGCTGGCGTCAATTTCGAGATCGGTATACATTGGAACCTCTTCGTAAGGGCTTGCGGCAAGCGGCAGACCGTTCGGGTCACCGTGAATCGGGCTATGGGGCTCTAGTGCGGGAAGGAGTGTCGGTGCGTGCGAGAAGGGTGTCTCTTGGTCCTCTGAGATGCCCTGGAGGAAGGGCTGCGACATCCTCATGCGTGGCGAAGCTTGCGGCGACGGCGACACGTCTGATGTGTAGTACCCGGATGACTCGTATCCGTTGTCTTGCTCTGTGTTCTCGAAGTCGAATGTCATCGCACGTGATCTTGGCTGAAGGTTGATATCCGCAACGTCGTTGAAGTTTGTAGGGTGAGGTGCCATGCCAAAGGACTGATGGCTGGGCAGCTGTACAGGCTTCTCGGGGATGACGGCTTGTGGTGCTGCCGCAACCGTCGGTGTGGGGAGGATGTTGATGAAGACTTGTCCACATGAGCCATACACGGACTGTATGTGCTCGTGGAGGTCCTTCAATTGTTGCTCGGTAGGAGCCTTGCTAGGTGATTGGGGGCGGCTCTGGGGAGAGTGTGGCCGCGACGAATAGATGGGCGACCGTAATGGCGACCGCGGTGATCTGCATCTGGGAGATAACTGTACTGGGGAGTGTAGGAAGGCCTCCTGGGGACCCGGCTGGGGCATGCTGTGCGATTGCGCTACTTGCATAGTTTGCTGTGATGGTTGTCCTAGATGGTTAGTGAAGCTCACCGTACTGTGCTCCTGCTGGTAGGGACCGGGGCTGGGTGCATGGATCGACTCGAGGTTGAGGCCTCGAAGATCCAGGCTCATGCCTGACCGATTGTGTCGTGGCCGTTGTGGGCTAGCAGGGCTCTGTCGTACGCTGGGCATCTCGAATGCATTTGGTGTCGAGAGTTGGCGTCTGTGTTGCATTCGTCGGCGCGAGATGCCCTGGGGTGAATTTGTGGACAGCATTCTGATGCTCGTCGAGTCCGGTGTTGTTGTCCGAGGACGGGTGTCCTTTTTTGTCCGATACTGATGTCAAGTGAGCCAATGTCCGGTGTTTCGATGGGACCCCTCTGCTGGGAATGGATTGGACGTACCTCACGCAAATACAAGCGGCGCTCCGCCGGGCGGTTGATCTCCTTACGGAATCCTCAGTACAGTGCAGTCTCCCAGAGCCTGCCTCAAGTAAGTATCACTGGCCGAAGCCTACGCGGATGGATTTAGATGGCGGTAGGACAGGCGCTTCGCCGTCTGAAAGCAAACAATAGATGCGCTAGGGTCTGTGGGGATGAGCTGCGAGGGGTGTGGATTCTCGAGGTTTGATGTATTAACGCGGCGAGGTGGAGATGATGATGTCTAGTACCTCTTCCGGCCATCCATCAACACAAACACCCGGTCGCGGTTACCCAGCAACGCGGGCGCCACCGGCAGCACGGGCCCGTGGCGCCTTCCAAGTTTTGCCGCCGCACCAGCCACGCTCGGCTCTCTGACTAAGCGGCCCACAAAGCTAATTGCCTTCCCATCACTGATTTTCCCCTCCAGCAGTTCTGCACGACTGAGGAAGACAACCATTGTCTAGGTAAGCCAGCTCTCCGCCCTACAGAAGCTTCTGTCGCGCGCGCCTTCCTCTTCTTATAGGGATTGGCAGGCGCTTTCCACAGCGAAAGCGTGTTTCAGCGCTGCTGCTGTGGAATTCTCGAAGCGCGCGGCTTCGCTGCGATACGCCTGTACTTCAACGCTTCACCGATGCTAATCAACGATCCAGGCCGCCATGCAGATTTTCGTCAAGACCCTCACGGGCAAGACCATCACCCTTGAGGTGGAGTCCTCGGACACCATCGACAATGTGAAGTCCAAGATCCAGGGTACGTTGCGCACACGGCCGCCAGCACCGCGCAGCTTCTAACGATCGCACAGACAAGGAGGGCATTCCCCCAGACCAGCAGCGTCTTATCTTCGCCGGCAAGCAGCTCGAGGACGGCCGCACCCTCTCCGACTATAACATCCAGAAAGAGTCGACCCTCCACTTGGTGCTCCGCCTGCGTGGTGGTGGCAAGAAGAGGAAGAAGAAGGTCTACACCACCCCCAAGAAGATCAAGCACAAGCGCAAGAAGACCAAGCTCGCTGTGCTCAAGTACTACAAGGTTGACGGCGACGGCAAGATCGAACGTCTTCGCCGTGAGTGCCCCCAGCCCGAGTGCGGCGCTGGTGTCTTCATGGCCGCCATGCACAACCGCCAGTACTGCGGTCGCTGCCACTTGACCTACGTCTTCGACGAGGCCAAATAGGTGCGTCGCCCACCACGATCGATACGAGTTACGACATTAAGGCAATCATGGAGGACTGAAAGGCACCACCATCTGTCTGAAAAGGCACACTACATGTCGGGCAAATAGAATCAATCAAGGATCAAGACTCACAAATTACCACACCCTCGTTCGTGTCATCCTGCTTCCGTGACGATCCGTTTTTTTGAGACTATCAGCCCGCCACCACAACCTGCAGACTCGACTGAATAACACTAATGCGAACTACGCGTCGGCTCCGCAGTGTTCCCACAACAATTGCCATGACCCCGCGCAAGGGCATGGGGTTTTAGCTGCGACAAGCCATGTTGACACGCAGGTAAGATGGTCGACTTGACAACTTGTAGGGCATGCATGCGTGTTGATATCTAGGTCGTGGTAGCCGCAAACACTGCTAGAGATGCCTGGACGCCTCGTCGACCACCCTTGCGACCAGAACGAGACGGGGCCATCAAAGAGAGGGCACGCGAGGTAAAGTCTTGTCGTGCGTGGAATCGCACACATGTATGAAGTGTATCCTTTCATTCACCTGAATTCATAGCGCACGCTGTAAATATGCTGAACGCCTCTATGCTAACGCCATCTACGCAATCAGAAAATCCACTTCAATCACCACTCTCTCTCTCTTGACAACCTCTACGCTTTGGTCGTCCTCGGTTCCAGAAGCGTCTTTCCACTCGGCCCGCTCTTCTGGAAGCCTGCCTCCCTCGAGAACACCCTCTGACCTCGGAGGAACGTCTCCTTAACAATGCCCTTGAGCATCTTGTTCTCGTACGGCGAGACCTTGTTACGGAACAGCATTGTGCTCGGCTCAACCTGTATCAATTAGCACACATCGAATTGCCCGTCGAAATACAGATCGACTCACCAGAAACTCCGCCGTCTCATCGAAAACAACAATATCCGCATCAAAGCCCACTCCCAGATCGCCCTTGCACTGCTCTAGCCCAACCTGCTTAGCAGTATTCTTGCAGCACCACCTGACGATCTCCTCAACGCTGAAGTTCGCATCGCGCTTCAGGCCCTCCGTCCACAGAATCGGCAACCCAAGACCCACGGACGAAATGCCACCCCACGCACCGAAGAAATCACCCTTCTCCTCAGGACCCTGCATAGGCGTCTCAGGCCCATCGTCACTACTCTCGCAGTCCTCGTCATGGTTGAGGGTCTTGGTGGTGTGTTTCTTTGGCGCGAGGTGCGGGGGGAGTAACTTGATTTCCGGCGTGCAAGGGGAATGATCAGAGACGACGGTCTGGATGACGCCGTCACCCTGGTCCTGCAGTAGCTCCGTCCACAATGCGTCTTGGTTGGACTGCGAGCGGATTGGCGGACAGCACTTGTGCCGTGTGTCGCCTTCTTCGATGCGCTCCGCGGCCAGCGCGAGGTAGTGGAAACACGTCTCGGCTGTGATCTTGATGCCGGCTGCGCGCGCTTCGCGCAGCATGGGGATTGCTTCCATGGCCGAGAGGTGCACGATGTGGAGTTGCAGTTCGGGGGCGAGGTGGGCGAGCGAGAGGATCTCGGCTACGGCGTAGGTCTCGAAGGCAGGTGGGCGTGAGGCGAGGAAGGTAGAGTATGCGTTGAGAGGGCCCTGGGGTACGAGAGGCGGGTTTGCGCGCTGGACATCGTCACCGACAGAGTCTGCGACCGGGGGGATCATCTCGGCGTGGAACAACAGTGTTGTTGCTGAGTCCTTTAGCTCGAGAAGTGCCTTCTCGATGTCGACAGAGGAGACAGCTGGGAACTCCTCAACCTATGAGCTAGTCAGTAGCTGGATTCTATGGGCTGAACATGGGATATACGTACACCACTGTCACAGAGGAAGCCCTTGAAGCCTCGTACACCTGCATCGACAAGTCCCTTCAGATCCTTATCGTTGCCTGGGATAATACCGCCATAGAAACCGACGTCGACCCAGCACTTGCCCTGTGAAGCAGAAACCTTGGTGTTAAGGTTCTCTACAGTGGTCGTTGGTGGGATGGCGTTCAGTGGCATATCGACGACCGTAGTGACACCGCCGAAAGCAGCAGCCCGAGTTCCCGTCCAGAAACCCTCCCATTCTGTCCTCCCAGGCTCATTGAGATGTACGTGTGCGTCGACGAGACCGGGAAGGAGGATGTAAGGTGAATAGTCGGTGTATGGTGTGTCATCAGGAAAGTCCGACTTGGGTAGAACCGAGTGGAAGATCGCGACAATCTTTCCAGAAGTCTGAGAGATTATGATGGTCGCTTCAGTGAGTCGGCCGGCAACTACTGCTCGCGAAGATGCAATCACCTTGATTGGCTGAGATGGCTGGCTGTGTTCCAGCGGTGCTGGCGAGGTTGCGTGAGGGGCCATATCGAGCGATGCAGGATAATGAAGGGTATGTTCCGAATGAAATACAGCTAATCTTCGAGGCTACAGAACTGAGAACGAAGCTATAATTATAGGTACTCAGCCTCGGCAAACGCGGGGAAGACAAGGTGGGATGTGGGATGCTCGTATGAGGCACCGATAAGCAGTGATAAGATGCGTGCGTGGTGTTGACTCTGGCAGTAGGAAGAGCAATAAGCTTCCGTGTGATCTTGGGTTTTACAGAAACACGAGGAAGCGTAGCAGACCAAAGAAGCTATGCGACAATACTACGGAAACGCCCAAATCTGGGGTGCAGGTCTCTTATCTATGCACCAAGGGTATTCGAGATCGATGGTCAAACCCCGGAAAAGACACGGCGCCAGGGGCCGTAGTCTGGCGGCGACAGACCGCCTCGTTTTACTCGATCAAATTTAGTATTCGGGTAGATATGTAAGGTTATCAACACCCTAGGCGTTGTATCTCGAACTCGCTCCCGCTGCTCGGCGCAAGCGCAGCCAGCACGGTCTTAGCCGTGGCTTCGTGCGAAATTGTCGAATTTGCATTGCAAACCTCGATTCGAAGTCGCCATTTGAGTCCTATCGCCAATATTGAAACATCCCCTTTGATTGAACTCTGCAACAGTACTTTTTCTGGTCAGGGAGAGTACTTTGCGAGGTTCCTTTGTTAGGCGGAGGCGGCCGTGTAGCTGATAAGGCGTAGAGTCGTATCGTTCCGGATCCAGGGCTTAATCGGCGCTGATGGAGGGGAGCTAGCGCAGGGTCAACGGTATGTTCTTAATAAAGCCATAAGCCCCTTGCAATGGGTAGCAAAGGTTGTAGAGATTGTAGAGGTGATTTTGATCCTGTGCGTATATCTTTCTCCGCTGCTCGATACTGACATCTATTGCGCAGAAATGGGTCGTTGCCAGTTCGATGAGCTCATCGGAGCCAGCACCGAGGTTGCCGAAGAGGCTAGCACGCCATCGCTCGCGTACCTCTGCATCAGCGTTTCCTGTTACTCGATGAGATCCTTGTCTATCGAGTAAGAGAAACCACATATAGACTCAGAACAGCGTACCGGATGGCTCAGGCGTCAAACGCCAGCTGAAGCACTGTCGGACCTGCCCGAAGGCTCTTTTATTGCCTAGGGTCACAAATGCCCCTGCCCTGCCCGGGTTTCTGCTTGCGCAGGCCGGAAGTTCCCCGATTGCGCAACTACCTCGACAGGGCATACGTCCGCGATGCGCATAGCAAAAGGACGACATTGGAGATTGCGCCCACGACGATATTCGGCCATGCCCGTTGTCAGTCGTCACCCACCAGCGCTTGCTGTGAGGCGGTTCGCGTCATCGGCGACATACGGCTGAACCCTGTTACTATCGAGTAATGGTTTGCAAATTCCACGTTTCCGGAGGTGGTTTCTCCCAGTAGTGCGACCGTGTTACGCAGTGGAATCGACGATAGCGCTCTTCAGCCCGGCTTTGCGTGGTTTGCAGCGGTGTTCTAGATGCCGGCGTGGGCACATTGGTCGAATCTGCCAGCAGACCTTTCATAGCGCCATTGCAGACTCTGCTTTGCAATGCGACGTCGGAAAAGCATCTTCGATCCGCGGCAGATGTTGAGCAACAGACTTCTGAGTACTGCGCATCTGCTCAGCATGGTGCGCGCTGCCCCTCCATCCGCCTGTAGCATTCTGCGCGCATGATTGAGGTAGCTACGAGTCTGTTTTCGGCTTGTGAGCCCTTGAGTGATGTGACATGAGCTCATTAGTGCCTGGCCTCTCTTTGGCCTTTTATGACCGTGTAGATGAATGCTTGGTCTGAGAGTGCCAGAATTAATGGTCAGGTTCTGGTGTCTAGGCCGTACCAAGTGTAAAAGGTGAACGATGATGCCCAAACTCAATGCGCGGTCAAAATATGTAATTTGATGAGATACTGGAAGTGACAGTACAGAGCTTCCGAAAGACCTTGAAGAAATCGCATTGCCTGCATTATATCGTAGAGCGCACATCGGGCGCCGGCGAATGCGTCACAATGATGCCCGCCCTTGCTGCGTGAGGGACGTATCATGTCTGGTAGAAGTTCTGAAGTATCCGACACTCCTGCTGTGATGCGGTGTTCTGAGATGCAGACAGTTCAGCAGTTCGAGCTGCGGCCAGCATTCTCGAGCTGTTGTGCATACTTGCTTGTAGCCCATATTTGTCAGCAGTCGCTGAGTAAAGGTCCAGATGCGTGAAAGCATCAGCCTTGTAGTAGATGTTTCGCCCATGACTGAGAAGGTCCAGGTTCTCAAGCTCCTTGAGTACGCGGAGTACATCGTCCTCGTCTCTGAAGTCTTTGGTATAGATACAGACTGGTGCAGGTCAGCGGGAAGTAGAGTTGCGGACGACCACCGCTCAAACTTACTCAGTCGTTCGTCTTTGCCGTCATCAGGAGCGACCTTTGCCATCGGTCCGAGGCGGTCGGTAATAGTGGCTTCCACGACAGTTTTCCAGCTTCGATTGACACTCTGTTCTTTCGGAAACAGCATCCACTGCATCAGCTCGTCAGCCTGCGTCGAATCGTCTAAACAAAAACCCTTGAGCTCACCTTCCCCGACAAGACACCCATCTCGACCGCAAGTTTGGTCAGACTCTGCTGCAAAGCTTTGGCCTCCTGATTCCAAGCTCGTGTGACAGTGCTCCGTGGGCCCAGTCGACCCTTAACCTGGATTTCATCCCGCTTCGCCAACGACTCTGTAAGCAGCTTCGCACCACGGTCTCTAAATGCGGCAATGCGGGGAGCTGCAGACTTATCGCGAGGATCACGGTACGGATTCACTGCCCAGATCCACTCGCAGGTCAAGGCTGATGTGCTGAGAGGAGGGACGCGTTTGACGAATGCGTCAGCAGTCTCGCCTAGCTGCCAGCAAAATGGCTGACCTTGCATCGGGTTGAAGAGTTCGCGACGTAGTGTTGGTTCTGGCGAGATGTCGCGTTTGCGCTTGCCTTTGCATGGACGGGCGAGACGTTCTTCTTCCATGGTCTTCCTGTCGAGACCAGAGAAACCGGGGAGTTTGTTAGCACGTGTTGAGGTAGTGAGCGGCATGGGCTTCTTGGTGGGCGTGGCGTCGAAATCAGAGGTAATTTTCTTTACAGCCTGGAGCTTTGTGGGTGATACAATAGCATTCAAGTCCTTACTGTGGGATAACCAGAAAGCCTTTGGGGTGTTTTGGTTGCTGAGCGACTCCTGGTACTCTTGTTCATTCTCATCACCTGTCGCACGGTCAGCATCACGTATCACTGCAACCGTATTGGCCGGTAATCAATAAGCAGTGTGAGTAGTGATAGGTCGTGATGGTCGCACCAGTTGGAGTGTGCCAGCCTGCTACTGCCGATTTGACGATGAATGACGTGATGTGTGCTTTAAGATGCATTCGTGCTCACCATAGAAGCTCGAATCGTCAGAGATCCATCCAGCGCCGGCAACCGTATCCTCTGTCGCCGCCATGTTGCCAGAATGGGACGCTACAGTGATTGGAAGGGTTTGGGTGGGGATGACGGGGCCAGGCGCTACCAGTAGCTGCCGAATGGGAAGCAACGATTCAATTTACGCGTGAAGTCGCGCTAGTGCCTGGACGCGTCTGGCAGCCACGACCCAGCAGCAAGTCACTGCAACAACAGCACACATAGCCGATGCTCACAGACCAAATGCCACACTCCGTATCGCCAGAATTGACGCCAGCGGGCGAGTCATCACGAGAAATGTCGCAGGCGGATGAGATCAAGCCAGAGCCAGAAACACAAGATACCACAATGGAGGATGCGCCGAGTGCACCTGCGCCAGCAGAGAAGTCGAAGGTTAACCTGGAAGAAATATTCGATGACGATAATTCAGATGGCGAGTTTGCATCGAGCGCGCCTGTCAAGTCCGAGGAAGAGTCCTCGCAACCAGCACCGGTGTATGTTGTGATCATCATCAAGTAGTCTCGCCCACTGACACAAGCACAGAAAGATCTCGAGTCGATCCCACTTCTCGGATCCTGAAATTATGCGCGCCTTCTACCAACGCCTCTTTCCGTTCCGATATGTCTTCCAATGGCTGAACCACAGTCCGACCCCTCAGAACGACTTCGCCCACCGAGAGTTTGCGTTCACTCTGCCCAACGATGCCTACCTGCGATATCAGTCATTCCCCACGGCTGATGTCCTTCGCAAACAATGTATACAAATGCTGCCATCTCGTTTCGAGATTGGTCCCATGTACAGCACAAATCCACGCGATCGCAAAACGCTCCGCAAAGCCAGCGCTTTCCGCCCGCTCATGAAGGAGCTAGTCTTCGATATCGATATGACAGACTACGACGACATTCGCACATGTTGTACCGGTGCGTCTATCTGCCACAGGTGTTGGGCATTCATCACAATGGCCATTAAGGTGGTGGATGTTGCGCTGCGTGAAGACTTCGGCTTCTCCCACATCATGTGGGTCTACTCCGGACGTCGTGGAGCTCACGCCTGGGTATGCGACAAGCGCGCCCGCCTCATGGACGATCAGAAGCGCCGTGCGATAGCCGGATATCTCGAGCTGCTCAAGGGCGGCGACCAAGGCGGCAAGAAGGTCAACGTTCGAAGGCCTCTCCACCCACACCTCGAACGTAGTCTCGACATTCTGAAAGAGCACTTCGCAACAAGCATCCTAGCTGAGCAGGATCCATGGGCCTCTGCCGAAAAGTCAGCACACCTTCTGAACCTCCTCCCTGACCCTACACTACGCGCTGCGCTGCAGAAGAAATGGGATTCAGCGCCGAATCGCGCCAGCGCAAGCAAGTGGGCAGACATAGACACATTGGCCAAGTCTGGGGCGCTATCAAAGACAAGCAAAGAGTTGCTCGAAGCAAAGCAAGACATCGTACTCGAATACACATACCCCCGCCTCGATGCTGAAGTCTCCAAGAAGCTCAATCATTTGCTCAAGAGTCCATTCGTCATTCATCCCGGCACTGGGCGTGTATGTGTGCCCATAGATACAAGGAAGGTCGAAGAGTTCGACCCACTGTCTGCGCCAACAGTCACACAACTGCTGCAAGAGATCGACGAATGGAAGGGCGAAGGCGAAGAAAGCGACAATAAGGTACAGGATTGGGAGAAGACAAGCCTCAAGCCCTATATCGACTACTTCCGGAAGTTCGTGGCAGGATTACTGGAAGAGGAGAAGCCAGCGCTGAAGAGGGAGCGACAAGAGGGCGTTGATGCTATGGAGTTCTAGTGAACGAATCGTGATGGCACAGGAGGCGCGTTGCATGACTTCGACGTCGGTGTTTGGCGTTCACTGCATGTTTAGGCTATGGGGGAGCGTCATGATAAGTTTTGCATGTTTCAATTGGGCCACTCTATGTGTATGCAATGCTAACAGCACATCTCCAGTAGTGTCCTGACAAGCGACCTATCTCTCTCCGAAGCCGTGATGTTCGCAACCGCCAAACACCTCGCCATACGCTCCCGCTTCTTCCCGTCGCGATGAGACGCAAAATGAATGAGGAGACTCCTGCTTCTCGCTACCGCCGGACTCGCAGCATGCTTAGCACTTGAGGGCGGGGTCAAGTCATCGAGACATCGGGCAAGCCCCTTCATCTTGTCGTAGTTTCATATGCTCTCAAGGGTCCACTTTGGTGTGGTCATCTTTTCGGCAGTTCAGGGCAGAGCGAAGAAAAGAAAGCACAGGGATGAGCGTTCGAGTTGAGCAATTCTCTATGGCTTGAGACATATCGAATAACGAAGATGAACTTTTGAGTTGATCGAGATTAGGGCCGGCAGAAGCAAAGTACACGCGAGCCTAAAGAGGGAGATCTCTTCCGGCGTCACTCGCAAATGCAAAGGGAAAGGTGATGTTCGTGGCTTGATTTTCACTCAGCACTCGTCAAGATCAGCCCCACATCCACACTCCGCACACTTTCTCCTCCGCGCCGCATAAAACTCACACAAAGACGCAAAAAAGAATAATTCGCGTGATCCCAATGCATTGGGCACGGAAGCTAGTGTCGCTTCTGTGGATCGAACACAGTACCTCCAGATTCAATGACTGAGTACTTCAGTCTGGCGCTCTCCCAAGTGAGCTAAAGCGACTGAAAGAAAATTGCTTCATAGGGCGATTGTTGAACGCTATTAGAATCGCAGTATTATTATTGTAAGCTAATCTCTGCTTTACCTCAAGAGCCGACTTTGTCGCTGATTCTATTGCAAAATGAGAGATTCGGGTTTTTCGTCGGATTTCGGGAAGGGCCCACTTGGTGTCGTGAATGGGTCGAGAGCTACAGGAGCAGAAAAGACACAACGAGGAAAGCAACAACAACACGTTATTTGATCGGTGCGAAACTTGGCTAGTACATAGTTGGAGAGGCTATTGGTCGAGTGACGACGCTTGAGGTAATTCTATGTACGGTTGTGGTTGCAACGATTTTCTATTTGATCTGGTGCATGGCATCAGGACGAAAACACTGAAGGATGCTACATATGCAAAAGTCAAAGACAGAACGTTGCAGCAGCTTCATGTGCATAAGCCACATCGTACAGTAATAAAGTTAAGCCCAGTGCCGTCTGCGTCTACAACGAGGTCATCTTAACAAGTGACAAGAGGGCCGTGAAGCCACCATTGAATCTCGTTGCTCCACAGCTAAGCCTGTACAAAAGAATGCACGTTGAGTAAGAATTGCAACAGGTGGTCTTTCAGCGTACGAAATGCCAGAAGACGTATAAAGCTTACGCATTAAGCATAACAACATAGCTACGTTGGTAATCGAATGCGTTACTCTATTGAATAAGTACCTGAAGTCTTACACAGGACACGCTAAAGTAGACAACTACTACTCGTGTGAGGCCTTCTTTTGTGTAAATAAACATGTACCAACCACAATAACTAGAGCACTAGACTACTTAATGCAAAAGGTGTTCGCAAAGCTAGTATCAAGGGAGTTGTTTGGCCCGACAGTCTGGCTTACATCGTCACCGCCCACCCCCACATTCAGATCCGACCCTGGCGTCGGCAAAAAAAAAGAGCTGGAGCTCATAATCTCAATATTGCCAGGCTGGATCTGCAAACTTCGTCAGCAAGTGTCAAAAGGCCAAAAAGTAGCGTGCGACAAGAGCTAGAGAACAGCCTTGAGGCCAACAGCCCTACTAAACGAGAACATGTATGCATTTGCTAATGCTGTTGTAGTCTTCAGAAGTGATGGTGTTGGTTGGGGGGGGGAGGGGGCACTGTCGCTAAGTAGCGCGATCTCGGACCTTCCATGCCAACACATCGGCAAAAGGGCAAAAAAAGATATCCTGGAGTGCTCGAAATGTTTCGAACGAATGTTGATGAGGACGGGACTCGAACCCGCGCCACTTTCGTGACCAGGAAGCTGATTGCTCAGCAGTGCTAAGGAGAATAGACCTTAACCTGGCGCCATAACCAACTCGGCCACCTCACCATAAATTTTATAATATGTCAGATAATTATAAAATATATATCATTAAAAGACGTCAGCGGGGCCACACTTTTGTACTACGCCCCCGCCAGAACTCTTATCCATGAAGAGCACGAGCTAATCCTGTGACTCAGCAAGGCATTATATGGTCGCTGATCGCGTTTGCTCGTGGCCGGGTTTGCGACATACGGCAGGACTATTAACACGGTTCGCTGCATTCAAGCCTCACATACACAGCTGAATGTGGACCGCCTGGCATGAGCTAAAGACGTGCGACCGCCTCGACAACAGCATTTTTGATCGCTGACCACCGCCGCAGATCGTCTCGGGTCGCATTCGCGCTCTGCTCCAATTCCAATGCACCATCCCTCTCGAGCAACTTCCTCATCATCGGCTGAGAAAATATCTCTTTCCTCAAGAGCGCTGGTTCGTCGACCGAATGCCTAAAGTGCGTCAGATCCCAAACGATGCGCGGTCCTTCGCCAGGTAGTTGTGCGTGGATCCATGCCAGCGTCAACATCTGACCGTTGTAGAACGATGCCTCATTGGGCCATCTAGCCCGCCCACCAAGCAGACACATTCTCTCGGGCATCCTCTCGAACGAGATGAGGACAGACTTGAGGCTCGGAAGTTCAGTGCAAATACGTCGCAGTGAAGAAGTATCGAGCCGAGCAGGATGGTACGAGTTGATGGGCGACGCCGCGTCCTCTGGGATGATACGGATTTCTAGCCGTGTTATTTTCGATCTGGCTTCGTAACTCATTCTCATAACGCGTGCGACATATTCGATTACAGTGGCCTCTGTGAAATAGGCCTGAACCCAGATGCCCCGTCTCAGATCTGGGTAGGCCTCGATAAAGAGAGACGAATTGTTGAGAAAGTGGTCGACAGTCTCTTTGTGCAAGGCTTTACTGACGCGCATGATATCCAGCCGTACCGGCGGTCTATTCTCTGGATCGTCTTGGATTTTCGAAAATATGCGCAAGGGAGTCTGGGCTGGAAAGAGGTAATCAAATATCTCAAGTCGTAGCTCGGTCGGTAGCTGCATGAGAGCAAAAGGCTTCACTGTTTTGTGATCAGATCCTAGAGCCAATCAAAGGGCATGAGTATGTAGGCTGACCTTGAGATTCTGCTTGCTGGAAGAAGTCGTTGAGTTTGGTGTTACAGAGCATGTCGAGGTCTGGAAGCACCAGCCGTATGGTCGAGAATGTCGCAGCAGATTTGGCAGATACCGAAGTCAATTGGCCTGGCGTCCACCACCTTTCAGTCTTAAAGATATAGCTGTTCGTAAACGGGCGTCCCTGCAACACCTCAAGATAGGCGTTGATGAAGGCCTCGGGGATCTTGCTCGGCCACGAGAGGTTTTTGACTGTGAAGTATACTTCTTCTGAGCCATCGACGTACGTGCGAGACGAGACGCTTTCGAAGATTGCATCGAAATGGAGTTCACTGTGTTGGTTGAGAGGGGTGCGCACGAGCAAGTTGTTCAATGCTTGCAGCTTCAACTTGAGGTCCCCAGCGTTGGCCACCATGAACATAGACCCATCATCTTTGACCTTCTCATTGTGGCAGGGTCCATCCTTTGGGTTAGCCGTGCCACGGTAGTCATCAATAGTGACTATCATCGAGGATTGTAAGGATCGCGGTGCATGAATCGCAGAGGTTCCGCGCGGAGAGAATGAACGAAGGTAAATAAGTCAGATGGAGGGCGTAAAGGATGTGCGCAGTCGGTAAGTGCTGCCTCGCAAGTGAGTCACCTGATCAAAGCATGCCAGACGAACAAGTAACGCTCGCAAACATGAAAGACATGACTGTTGGCTGGGCTGAGCGTACAGTTCACTGCGGTCGCGGTGTGAATCACGAGCGGCCATTGATGTTGCTTCGGAGCAGCTGCCCCAAGCGTTAACTGGCAGGTGCAGCCCCTCGGTGATGTCAAGCTTGGATCGTCTCCGAGCGATGATCGTCTCCGAGCTCATGCAATGTCCGAGCCTGAGGAACCACATTGTTTGAAACACGCGCTCCACCGGCAAAGAGTGTGCAGCTGACCGCTGTTCAGCTTTCGTACATAGAACACGCAATCCAGCCCTTTGTTCTACCGCCCACCACGTTTCTCCCTCGTGTTCCGCTCCGCGTTGTTTACCGACCGCCATCGCTCCTGCCCCAGCTCCGTGCAGCTCTACAGCGACACAAGAGCTGGCTCAGTCTCCTACCCAAAGGCGGTGTCGCCTCACAGGTTGACAGGATGTCAGGTCCTGCAGAGGGCAAGCAGGGCTTCCTCGCCGGCCTCTCGCCGTGGGGTTCGCGTGCAGCTACGCCGAAGCCTCCGCCAACACCAACGACCGTCGAGACAGACAGGACAAAAGGAAAGGAGAAGGAGCAAGAAACCAGCACCGGTGCACCTGGTACACAACGGGGTGGAGATCATGTCGTAGATCGAAGGCACCGCCTGAGCCTGAAACGGTACCCCCGAGACTGCCCTTCGCTTGCGGTGAGGTGGTTTCACGCTGTGGATGTGAGTACACAATGCGCGCGCCTTCCCGTTCCAGATCTGACGCAAACAAGCTCCCTAAAAGGAAACCATTTTCAGAGCATGCCATCACGCCCGACAAGCCCCTTCCAAAGCCCAAGAAATGGATTCCCTTCAGCAAAAGCGACTCTCGCGCCATCGAGACGGCCTTCCAGAAGACATTCGACGAAGTTGGGGCTATGGAACAGAGGAAAGATGTTCTCAGTCCCGTGACGCCGGTGCAGGCGTCCAAAGAACCTCCGAAAACCACAAAGGTCCCCGTAAACGAAGACTATCTCTTCGATGTTGAGATCGAGACCCGCGAGTTGGCACCCTCTTACTGGCTGGGTCCGGTCTATGATGTCAAACGAGGGACTTGGTTCACCACCAGTGGCGAGCCTGTTGACGAAGGCCTTGCCATGCAGCTTGAGGAGGGCTACCTCAAATGTAAGCCATGGCGACTTGCCAAATCGGAGGAGAAGAGGCCTGCCTCTCAGCCTCGTGCACGACCTGTGTCGCTCGGTGCAGGCGTCAGTGACGACTATCGGAAGGAGCTCGGCCGACTCAACCGCGATTCGACCTCAAACCCCGTCACTCCGAGAGGATCTTTCGACAATCTCCGTGGTGAAGTGGCTAAACAACAAGATGACTTGAGCTCTGGCGAGAAAGCAGTAACGCCAAATGCATCTGCTGAGACCCCACGAACGCACAGACTCTTCGGCGCTCATATGAACTCGACGGTGACTTTCCAGGATGAGGCAACTGCATGGCTACTGACTGACGATATGTGGGCACGCATGGGAAGTACTCTCTATCAGCGCTTCGCTGGTGGAGCCCACTATGCCGGCTACAAATACGTTCGTGGTTATACAGATCCGGACGAGAAGAAGAAGTCGGCGGCTGCTGCCAAGGATCCTAAAGGCAAGAAAGAGGGAGAGCGACCCTCCACGCCATCACAGCATCTGGCCTATGGGTCTGATAACGAGAAGCCCACTAACACTGGCTCTGGAGGCGGCTCTGACGCCGAGACCACGGATAACGAGGGAGTAGAGTCGCCACAGGAGTCAAGACGACGTACCCTGGAGAGGCAGGTCTCGTCTTTAATGACTTCATCTCAGCCTGATTACCAGGAGAAGCAAGAAGAGGAGGCGCGCAAGCGAGAGGAGAAGGAGATGCGTGAAGATTACAAAACACAAGACAAGCAAGAACAAGGCCGCGAGATCGAACATCTACTGCTGGTAACGCATGGTATAGGGCAACGTCTGGGTATGCGCATGGAGTCTATCAACTTCATCCATGATGTCAACACCATGCGAAAATCGTTCAAATCTGTGTATGCTAATTCACCGGATTTGCAGGCACTTAATTCAGAGGTAGACTCCGAAACGAAGAATAGTCGCATTCAGGTTGTTCCCATTGTCTGGCGTCACCTTCTTGACTTTCCCAAGCAGAGTCTCAGGCACAACCGCAAGGAGCACGACTTGGGTGATCTTGACCACGAAGACCACGAGTTCCCAAGCCTTGAGGATATCACAGTCGACGGTGTACCTGCGGTGCGAAACTTCTTGACGGACCTTGCTCTGGATATCCTGCTGTACCAGAGTCCAGCGTACAAGGGCCACATCTCTCGCATCGTGGTGGCGGAGCTCAATCGTATCTACCGTCTGTTCAAGGACCGTAACCCCTCATTCAAGGGCAGGGTTAGCTTAGTTGGCCACTCATTGGGTTCGGCTATCATGTTTGACATTCTCTGCATCCAGCGTGATGCTGCCAAAACCCGGACCGGAAAACAACGTCGCCTCACCGAGGAAGGACTGAAGCTCGATTTTGAAGTTGAGGACTTCTACGCCCTGGGCTCACCAATTGGACTCTTCCAGATGCTGAAGGGTCGGACAATCGCTGCTCGACCGGCCTCGGCATTTGTTCCCCCAGAGACACCTGCGACCCCTCTAGACGACCCCTTCTCTCGCACGGCAGCCGAGCGCGACCATACATTCGATATCACAACCTCAGCTCCACTTTGCAAACAGACTTTCAACATATTCCACCCTTCCGATCCAATCAGCTACCGTATCGAGCCATTGATTTCACCCGCCATGGCCGGGTTGAAAGCGCAACCACTTCCCTACACTAAGAAGGGGATCTTTGGCGCTCCAGCTTCACAAGGACTCACCGGAATCGGCGCGCGTGTAGGACAAGGTGTCACGGATTTCTGGTCAAGCATCGGCTCAGGTATCGCGTCTGGACTGCTAAACCGCAGTCTCGGCATCAGTGGTACGGAACTTGGAGATGGCGGTTCAGGTCAGCGCTCTTCGCGACCTCTCTCCGCTGCCCCAAGCACTGCGACCGTCCCAGGAACCAATGAGCCAGTGTCTGCATTCATATCTGAGGAGCGCAGGCGACGTCTCGGAAATGAACAGATCACCACAGGCGAAGATGGCGAACACCCTCCTACGCTTATTGAATCTGAGATCGAGACCTTGTATTCTGGTTTCGAGAAGGGACGCCAGAGCAGCAGAGCCGAAGACATAGATAAGGTGGAGAAAGATCTCGAGTGGCAGGAGCTGGAAGAGCGAAGCAGAAAATTGAAAAAAGAGGAGCAGAAAGTAAGGGCGCTCAACAGCAACGGAAGAGTGGATTATAGCATTCAGGAGGGCGTAAGTCTAGCCAGAATTTGTGATGAGGAACGATTATTGACCATCGCAACAGGCCTTCGACATCTCTCTTCTCGCTAGCATTGCAAGCCATCTTGCATACTGGGCCGATGAGGACGTTTCTCACTTCATGATCTCACAGCTTCTAGCAAGACACCGCGTCTTCAAAGAGAAGCACGCCAGCGGGCAATAGAGCTGATACTATTTGACACAATATGGCATGGCGCGGCGTTCTGAAGTTTGATAGATACTATACCCTGACAGATTATCAATATAGACATTTCTGCTCTTCCGATCATTATCGTTTGGCGGCGATCAGCAATCCTGTCTCCCGCGCTGCAGGAAAAGTCAGCCACAATACAAAGGACTGTGACCCAAAGCTTTTGTCTAGTGGCAGATGATGCACAGATAGTCCCTGATTACCTCCTGTCTTGTCCGAAAATATTGTCATACTTACAGCCGACACTTTTGGCAACACGAGACCCTATTTCCTTATTTTCATCGAAGTTCGGCAGCTTGATCTCTACCGAACACTCTCACACCAACACAGGCGTCGTCATTGCTGACGCTACCAAACTAGCTTCCCCAGTTCACAGCGTTGCCAATCCAGCTACCAACGTCATCCGCCCGCATGCGCCACAAATCCGCGCCACAATATCTGTCTCCCGACCAATGATCGCCTATCCGTCTTTCCGCTCCGCCAGAGCCAAGCACGCTAGACGAGCCGACTATCCATGCACTGTCCCTGAGCAAGAGGTTCTGGAAGCATGCCTTGTATGTTTGCAAACTGGTGGTTCTTGGATCCATGTTTGGCACATGTCATGCTTGGTGTGACGTCGAACCATTATGATGACGATTTCAATCGAGTGAAGACATTATATAAGGTCAAGTTCCCAGGTCAAAATGTTAGCATATCAGTTCAAAATAAATCAACAGCAACAGCTACACAGATACAACTATCTTCTGTGTCTCCAATCAGCCACGAAAACTCCTTACAGACCGCAACCCTGTGTCTCTCACTCCTCCTCAAACTCTCGCGATCCCCAAGGGCCCATCGCAATTCAGCTGCAGCCCAAGTCGACGCAAACCAACGTAGACAAAACCGGCAAACAGTGAAAATCACACCTGCAACAGCCGGCTTTCCCCTCCAAGCCAAACACTAGACACCCACCACGTGTCTGAAGACTCTCCTACTATTGCTGTGCTGCTGCTAGTCCTCATCATCGGGCAACCCAGCACGAGAACATAGAGAGACTCGTATCGACGGCAGTATCGATACGACCCGCAAGCCAGCTAGTTGAGCATCGACGCACTCAAGGACCTCACGATCCCCGAACATATACACGGCGATAACATGGGCTGTGGACCGTCTCGCATGTCCCGCCGTGGCGGCGCTCATGGTTCCGGTATGCCGATGAGCGGAGGCAGCCGCTTTGGCCGCGGTGGAGGAACGACGCACGTTGTGCACCACACTAGTGGTGGTATGGGTGGCTCGGGGATGGGTGGAGGAGGTATGATGGGTGGTGGAGGACGCAGGAGAATGGGAGGTGGTGGGATGATGGGCGGGAGCGGGATGATGGGTGGGAGAAGAGGGAGGCGGTGTTGATGAGCGGACGCGGGTGAGAAGAAACAAGAGAGGAAGGCTCTGAATGGTGACTGAGTAGAGCCCGTAATGACATAGCATTTGTTTTGTATTTTTATCTAGCGACATGATATTCGAGTTCTAGCTTTGCTATCTGCAGCACAATTTTTCTCTTCAGCATCAAACGATGGTGATCTGTTTGCGTTCGAAATTGTTAAGAACGAAGCCAGCAAACTAAGGGTAAGATTTGGAAGCTTCTTCCGAGCAGCTTTGCCCCAGGGATGTCTGAATACTCGAATTATTTTGTATATCGGAGGAGCAGCTGCGGTCTGTTCGAGGACAAGGCCCACAATCTGTGTCTATTTGCCTTTGGCATCGGTGTAGTGCTTTGAGTCGCCAGTTTCCATGGGAAGAACGAGAGATCCTTCGGTAGATAGGTTTTAGTCCTCGTCGTATGAGCTATTGTTATCGTAGGACTCATGAGCGAGGTAGTCCTGGGAGCCGAATTCGTGAATTTGGCGTGCAGTGGCCATGCATAGGTGACCGGAGATCAGGATATGGCCTCTTGCAACAGCACCCGTCAGATCGTCGCCTGCTATGGTGGTGCAGACTTTGAGGATGTCAGCGAGAGACTGACTGTAATCTCTACCCAGGACTAAGCATCAGTGGACCCGATTGCCAACTGATGCCCATGGCCACCTTGGAGCTGTGGTAGCATGAGTTATCTAGTGTGGTGTCACGCAGAGTTGACCTTACCCAAGTACTGGGATGACTGCAAGCCAGGCGTAACGTTTTGTTCTGGATCTTGCCATACTGTAGTCCAGAATAATTCTCTTGGCTGATCAATTCTTCAGATCCCGGCTATGTTAGATATCAGTCAGTTGTGTGTTGAACGCCGTTCGGCAACCTCGTCTTGCAGCATCCTGGATCTATTCAACACGAGTTTCGACTCCAGTTTCAGATGATACGGTAACTGGACGATTAAGGAGGCTCTGATAAGCCTCGCATAATTGCGAGTTGTCAACCAACCACGGATCTGGACCTGAATTTGACATGTCAAGTAAACACCAATGTAAGCAAAAGCTTGTGGGCCAGTGGGAGGTTCATCACATTTAGGAATCATCATCGTTGTCTTCTGAAGTGCTGTCTGTTGCCGTGGAACTATCTTCCCACGCGGACTCACGGTGTCACTGTTGGACGGTGTACCAATGCTATGCGCGTGCACAAAGCACTCTAAGGACGATCATCTCTGGCTGTGAGCACAAAGGAGGACTTAATACTCACCAAGTGCAAGACACTGAGATAGGCGGCTGTTCGAAGTCGTCGACAAGGGGTGGCTGTTGAGTTGCGGCTCCTGCCAACTGGGGCTCAGCCGTGGGCGCGAAGGAGCGCTCAGGTGAGTATGTTCTCTGTCATCAACGTCGCGCAGATTCCTTCTTCAAGGTCCACAGCACTGCAGTCAGCACCCCGCTCCACTCCGCATGCATATGACATCGCCCTTGTTGAGACATGCACTTGTCGTTGAACTAAACCTTGCAAATTGCAGATCCTCAACGCCCGCTCAGCTCGCTTAGGCACTCAGTTCAAACGGCGCATACCTAGTTTGGAACAGGCCCAGCGCCTCTCACAAGCGTGGTGTAACCCTGTGGCTGCGTGCACCTGGGAGCAGACATTGCTTGTGCGTGCGCCGCTCCATGAGGTCGAAGAGCTTTGCCAGGCCGAGGTAGCTTTGTGCTCGGCAGCATCTGATAATATCATCAGGTGCTTGACCCTGTTTTCAATGACCGAGAGCCGGAGATGATCTATATTCGGTGGCCAAGCATCCTTTCAGAGCCGCAGCGCCATCTCATGAGGTCAATTGTTGTAGGTGAGCAGAATTGTAAGGAAGCCTGATTCATAGCGGCCGACGGCTGCTACCCGAGTGCCGACATCATCAACGTGGGACGCCTCTTTCACATGTTCCACCGCATCGTATCAAGCTCTAGGCGCCTCAACAACGACCGTTGGGGCATTGCACCGACGATGCATTACACTCCCGTGTGGACGCGCTTGCTGGGTTTGGCGAACCGCCTCGAGGCATCAGCGAATGCTCAATTCCTCCCTGATAAGACGTATGGCGAACCAATTGGACCTGACATCGCGTCACGGCGCGTGCATGGAGATGAGCGCTACGCGTCTGCTCATTCGTTCCAAGGTTCTACAACGGATATTCGTAGTCTGGAGATGGCCGTGGAGCCACTCACATCCAAGGGCCGCTGCTCCGGACGTAAGATCACGGCAAGCCGGATGCTGCACACAGACGACAGTGATTGGAATGGCATGAACAGCCGTTGCGAGCGGTACATGACTACCTATCAACATTGGACGAGGCCTTACGAGCAGCTTCGCGGCTCACAGGGAGCGCTGCTAGCTTAATATGCGCGCTTCCATCAATGGCAATCGCCTCGTCACATCATCTCTTGCGACACCGAAACGAGCGAACTTGTGCATCTGGCCGTGCAGGAAGACTGGGCCCTTCACTCAACCATCGACAGACGACGCGGTTCTACCAACGGGACGACGCGCCAGTGGAGCCGGCGGAGAGCTTATCGGTCGCAAAACTCTCTTTCACATGCCAGGTGGTCCCGTTGGTTCGTCAATGTAGCACCCAATGTCACGACATTCCTGGGCTGATAGCAGATTGCACGCGCAATGAACGATGGAAATGTCTTCTTTAAACCTCTGTCGTCACACTGATATAGCTGCAAATAAACACCTCTTGTGCCAGTCCTTCGAATTAAGAAGAAAGAGCGAGCCAGGTAAGGCTGAATCTTTCCTTATCGATAGTAGAAGCAGCAAGCAGCAGCCCGCTTTCACATGTCAGTCCAACAATTTAACTGACACCAAGCGCCGCTTTCAGCGCATAGGCACAGACATCATCGCGCTTCCACGAGCAGCCCGCATATAAACAGGTACGTTGGGACGAATCGAAACTTCTCCCCTGACACCACTTTGTTTTCACGGTAGTCCAATTCCTTCCTGACAGCTCCGCAGCATTTATCCCACTTTTCACAACACCACCACACAAAACATCACAAGACTTCATGTCACCACACGCTCAGGAGCACACCACAAACGGAGACATGAGCAACGACAGCGCCCCCTTAACTAACGGCGAGACACCGCAGTCAAGAGTTCTCTCGGTACGTACTACCCCGCGAGTCCTGCACAGCTTACACGAGAACGGTTCTGCGCCGTCCGCCGTCCACAGTCCAATCAGTGTGCCTGAGTATCATCAAAAGTGTAAAATCGTTGTTGTCAGACGCCAACTGACAGCCACAGCATCTGCACTCGTACCCCGTCGTCCACGACTCGGTCGAGTTCTACAAGTCCAACCCCTACGGCGCCAAGTCGCTCGCCCTCTTCAACAACACCTACAACTCCTTCGTCGCACCCTTCCACCCCTACCTCAAGACACCATACTCGTACATCTCGCCGTACCTGACGCGCGCCGACGAGCTGGGCGACTCGTCACTCTCAAAGTTGGAGCAGCGTGTCCCCATAGTCAAGGAAGACACCAACAAGCTCAAGGAGCTGGCATTCTCGCCCGTCGTCTATGTTGTCGGCACGTACCAGGACGAATACAAGAAGACGCAGGGCCCGGAGGGACTCGTCAAGACGTTCAAGGCGGGCATCAGCACCGAGCTGAAGGTCGTGCATGATGCGTTCAACTTTGCAGTCGAATACTGGAACAAGGGGAAACAGCAGGCCAGTAAGAAGGCTGATGAGATCAAACAGTAGAGTTGCAAACATGAACACTGCTTTTGGAAATAGGGGAAGAAAGTGGTGATTGATAAGAAGGCTATGGTGCATATTTTTGATAAGAATGCGCCGCCCAACCGAGGGCTGACTGAGGCAGAGGGTGCACCAGTGACTTGATGATGGTGATGGAGGATGATTTGACTTTCAGTTCAGTGTTGAAGATTGTGAGCTTTGAGATACCTTTCGTTATTCATTCGTACGGTTGAGTAGGTTAGATCGTTTTATGACGACGGGTCGCTTCAATCACAGCCTTTTAGCAGTCGATTTCCTACCGCTGTCCCTGAATTGCATCCGTCACCTGCTTTCATGCACAATCAGGTTTGATCAAAGAGCATTGTGTAATTCAATCCTAATGAAGGTCAGCTGTGTTTTTGTAAAGGCTGATGGTGTGTCGAAAGTGAGAGGAGATTGCGTTTCAGCAGGAACAATTGGAATATTGATTTAGCCCACACGGTTGTTAAGGGGTACAAGGTATCTTCATTGCAGTCTTGAGGAAAGAAGGAGGGGTTCGCGTACCTTTGCTGAATAGTGCGCACGCACTTTCTCTGTGCCCATGACTGGCAGAGAAACCTCGTGCAACACATGACGGAATGGCGAATTTTGAGATGTTCATTGACTCTTCTCGTGCTGGTAGCGGCTTGCATCGAGTGTTGGCGGGTGTGACGAGGCAGGCATGAGCATACCAAGGTGGTTGGCTCTTTATTCCGTAGTCAGGTAGCGTATGTCGTTCGTCCTGAATGCATCTGTCCTGTCAGCATCTCACCGAAAAGCAGTCGACCGAACCAGTGAAAGAGCGACATCAATTCATGAGCTCGTGAACAACCCCGATGCCGGATTTTCATGCTTTGATTATCAAGCCGAAGTACACGCCGGGATGGCAGGCTTTTTGCACCTGATCCATCCTATGATATCTCCTGACACGCTCATGCAGGATCTACCGTGTCAAATCATGCCCCTTCTGCGCCCAGCCGTAACCGAAGGAAAACTTAGAACTGCAGCGGTGTGAAGAACCACCTGTTCTTGCCGGACTGATAGCGCTCCTCAAAGGCCTTCTTGACGGTCTTCTTGGCGTCCTCCCTTTGCGAGACCTCCTTGAATGTGTCCTGGGTGAGGGTGCCCTTGAGGTTCTCGAGCTCGATGGTGTAGCGGGTGGGCATGATGTGGGTGTCTGCGGCTATCAGCGCGGTCCTTGAGGTCGTTCTTCTTGCTGTGCTTCACGTACAGTTGACCTGCTTAACAAAAGGCTTGACCTTGCTCTTCTTGGCCTGCTTGTTCTTCGACATGCGGCGGGTGACCTTCTGAGGGTAGCGCTCGACACCGGCGACGAGGGCGTGGGGGAAAGGGTGCGACTTGGTGCCGTTGTCGAGGGGCGAGATGATCACGCACTTCTTGCCGGCATAGCGACCGCGGGTGATGATCTAACCGAGCTGTGAGCAATTACGACGGTGGGCTGTTCGAGCGGGTTCAACGTACGACAACGCGTCCGACCTTGAGGCTAGAGAGAAAATGTCAGCAGCTGTTCTGTCGCGATCTGAGGTCGTGCAGCCATGGTGCGTTCGTTGAAACAATGCAGTCTTGCAATCCTCTCCCGCCGCGCCAGAGGCCTTCGCATAATTCAATCCACCATCCACGTCTTCGTCGTCGGGCTCGGGGTGCACTCACAACTTCATCTTGCTGGTGGGTTAGTTGTACGTTGCGCGTACTTAGAGAGCAAAAGGTTCGCACGGCATTCAAAGCTGAATTCGCCAAAGGCGCTAAGACTGTGTGTCGAACCGGAGCCACGTTCGCCCGACACCGAGCAGCAGCAGGCGCGACCCACCCCCCTGCCCTGATTGGTTCCCTCACCTCGACCCTGCCAAAAAAGTTCGAGGTCGAGCTGCTGATGTTCGCCGCTGCGAGATTTGCAGCAACACACCGAGAATGAAGATCAAAGCCCTCAGCCGGTCGACGTCGTCGGCACAGGCCCCCGGATCGAATGTCGCAAAGATCACGCGCAACCTCGACCCCAACCAGCATCCGTTCGAACGCGCCCGCGAGTACACACGAGCGCTCAATGCAACCAAGATCGAGCGCATGTTCGCGCAGCCCTTCTTGGGAGACTTCGAGCCCGGTCACGTAGATGGTGTCTACTCCTTCGCCAAGGACCCCAATTCCCTCGAGCACTTTGCCAGTGGCAGTGGTGACGGTGTTGTAAAAGTATGGGACTTCACGAGCAGGCAGGAGAAATGGCAGGCGCAGGCGCACGAGAACATGGTCAAGGGCATGTGCTGGACGTGCGATAAGCGTCTCATCACTTGCGGTGCGGACAAGCAGATCCAGATGTTTGAGCCATACGCGCAAGCCTCCAAGTCGCCGCCGAAAGCTACATGGCACGGAAACGCCGCCTTCACATCTGTCACGCATCACCGTTCCCTGCCCTCCTTCGCTGCTGCTTCGAACGTTGTCTCAATATATGACACTGCTCGCACATCAGGCGCTCCAGTACAGAACCTTGTGTGGCCCTCAGCCATCGACACCATTAACTACGTCAGCTTCAACCAGGTTGAGACGTCAATCCTGGCATCTTGCGCTACTGACCGTGCTATCGTCCTGTACGACATGCGCACGAGCTCTCCTCTCCACCGAACGGTCCTCAACTTTGCCTCAAATTGCATCTCCTGGAATCCCATGGAGGCGTACAACTTCGCTGTCGCCAACGAAGATCACAACTGCTACGTAGGTTCTGCCATCACATGTACAACTACTGAAGCTGACACGATACAGATATTCGACATGCGCAACATGAAGCGAGCCCTGCAAGTCCTGAAGGGTCATGTCGCCGCCGTCATGAGCGTCGAATTCAGCCCGACCGGAGAAGAGCTCGTCTCTGGCTCCTACGACCGATCAGTCCGCCTATGGGAGCGCCAGAAGGGTCACGCCCGCGACGTCTACCACACCAAACGCATGCAGCGAGTCTTCTCCGTTGCTTGGTCGCCAGACAACAACTATGTCCTCAGCGGTTCGGACGATGGCAACGTGCGCCTATGGCGAGCAAAGGCTTCTGCCAGACAAGGCGTCAAGTCTTTTGCTCTGCAACAGAAGTTGCAGTACGACGAGGCGCTCAAGGAGCGCTACAAGCATATGCCTGAGATTGCAAGGATCAACAGGCACAGACACATTCCCAAGGCAGTCAAAAAGGCCGGCGAGATCAAGAGTGAAGAGCTCAAGGCCATCAAGAGGAAAGAAGAGAACGAGAGGAGGCACACTAAGAAGGGCAAAGTCAGGCGGAAGGCTGAACGCGAGAAGATGGTCTTGGTGAAGGAGTCGTAGGGCGTGGGCGTGCGTGTGTTGTCAAGGGCATAGCGATGGCGTTCTGGGTCAAAAGGTTGCATTTGCAAGCACGAAGTGGAAGTGGGTAGGATTAGTCCAATGGGATTCTTTCACGGTGTCTCCGATCTCGTATACCCAATTCAGACTTCTAGGCATAGCTTCTCGCGGCATACTGCTTCGTTTGATCTTGAAGGTTGTGTTCTACTTAGAGTTGCCGACTGCGGGGTACGTCGTTGATAATGACAAATGCTACAGCCGAACTACATCCATCACGAACCACGAGACACCGTTTCAATACAGTACCTACGCACAATCAAGAGCTAGCAATTGGTACACAGGACGTCTTCAAAATGGCCACCACATCAGCACATAAGACACAAGACGAGAAGTTCAGCAGCCTCGGCTTCTCGAAAGCGATTGTCAACAAAGAGCAGGTATGCTCTTACAGTCGCGCCTTAGGCACTGTCAGCGAGAAGAACCCGATCCTGGTCTTGATCCATGGCTATCCGCAGAGCTCGTACATGTAAGTCAAGACTTGTCAACCAATCTCGACGACACCGAACCTTTAATCTCCCCTCGTCCACTGCTAGATAAGCATTGGATCCTGAATCAACTCCTCCCTTACAATTCAAGGTGGCGCCACTTTATTCCTCTTCTCCCAGAAAACGCGCCCATCTTCACGCCAGATCTGCCAGGCTACGGTGCTAGTGCTGCTATTGAAAAGCACGATAAGCTAACCGTTGGAAACGCCATCCTCTCCAGCCTGAGAACCGAGGTAAAGCGGACCTCCTCCAACCCGCCAACAGGCGACATCCCCATTGTGCTAATTGGCCATGACCGCGGTGCCCGAGTGTCGCATCGGCTTGCTGTCAGCGGTGCAGAAGGCTTCGATATCAAGGGCGTGTGTCTGATTGACATTGTAAGGCTGACTCAATCTCTCGCACTCAGTACATCACAGGAGCTAAATAGTGCTAGGTCCCCACGTCCACTCAATGGCAAAACCTATCCTCGCCCTCCGTAGCCGCAAAAAACATCACCGGCTACTTCCATTGGCCGCTCCTGGCACACGTCGACCTTGCAACACGCATGATCAAAGCCTTCGGACCCGCCGAATTTCTTGAGGAGATGCTGAAGGGCTGGTCCGGCACCAATGCTACCGGGCAACAGGTCTTCAGAGCTGATGATGCGCCGAAAGTGTACAGTGAGTTCTTTGCGCAGGATCATGTGCTCAAGGCGAGTTGTGAGGACTATCAGCATGGGGCGACGACGGATATCGAAGTGCAGGAGAAGGATCAGGAGGATGGGAGGAAGATCGGTGTCCCGTTGTTTCTACTGTATAGTGCGGGTTATATTGGGAGTCGGTATCAGTTCCCGGATGTGTGGAGGGATTGGGTGAGCGAGGGTGTTGATATCCAGCATTACGGATTGGGTGACAACATTGGGCACTTCGGAGCGGAAGAGGCGCCTGAGGAGAGTGCAAGGGTCGTTGGCAAGTGGCTGGAGGGTTTGAAGGCCTAAATGTAGACTTAGATCCTGTTGCCGCTCGTCTTCGAGATGTACTGACCGCCTTCACAACAGTGAATGAGAAGCAACGAGGAACATAACGAAAGCACCTTATATTGGTAATACATTTGCCTTACCGCTTGTGAAAGTGCTGGACAGAACCAAAATCTATACCAACGCCCACAATAACACCGAAGCAACTCGACTTCATAACTCATACACAGAAGTGATACGTCGTCGCCAGGCTCAAGCTGCCTCGCTCGGACGATCCATCCTGAACACCAGCGTGTCTCTCCAGCCCAGTATGGGATTCTCGAAGTCCTTATCTCTCTTTTCGTGCAAGTTGAATCCAACTTTACGTAGGACATTCTGGCTGCTCTCCAGCTCGGGGTCTGTTTGGGCCTCGGCGTACGCGTAGTCGTTATGCTTCCAGAAGAGAGACATGAAAGCTCTCATAGCCTCTGTCGCGTATCCCCTGCCCCAGTAGTCGGCGTTCAGCATATACCCAACCTCGGGTGCTCGTACAGCACCGATGAGGCCTATGACGCGTGGCGCTGTCCGCTCGCATGACGGTTCGATGGATCGAGGGCTCATTTCGGTGTCATAGTGCTCGACCACTGAGTCTGCTTTGCTGATTGCGAGCATTTCGATGACGAAGTTCCAGCAGTTGTCCCTATCGTGACAGCCTGAATCAGTCAGCGATTGTCATATAGATGCTTGTATTAGCTATCCTGCATACCTTGTATCCATTGCGTTGTCTTCTCGATGTCGTTACTCGGGAGAATGGAGCTGTGTGTGGTCAAAAATGTATGTCGTCATCGGATCAATACAGTTCTTACGTGTGCTTCATCACCTCCGGATGTTTGCGCATCAGAAGGACATCTTCTGCATCTTTCAGCTCCAGAGGCCGCAATAGCAGCCTTTCAGTCTTCGCAATGATTCGAGGATCGACGACCACCATTCTCGACAGCAATGGCACAGAGAGAGGCGTGAATCATCATGTTGCGGTGTGCCTTGCTGAAGTAGAGTCAGGTTGTGTTTGATGCTCGTGCTTCGGGGAGCATGGGAACGTTTCCATCCATGAGCAGGTAGGGAAATCCGCTAGCCGTTTTGGACACCGTCTCTTCTCATCTCCAACCACCAGTCCTGTCAAGTACGACTACATGACTCCGATCCCCAATCAGCATGTTGTCGTAAGCAGTTCATGAGCTTAATTCGAACCCTGTCCCAGTTTCCGCGCAACGGTTTCCCCAGCCATGTCCCAGTCGATCTTGTCAGCATCCGCGAAAGGGGCCACATTTCTCATCCTACTGCAGGTGGCTTCTCGAGCCCTCACGTTCGTTGTCAACCAGGTACTGCTCAGATTCCTCAGTCCGGAGCTGCTTGGCGTCTCTGCTCAGCTGGAGCTGTTCTCCATCTCCGTGCTTTACTTTGCGCGTGAGAGTCTCCGCGTTGCTCTTCAGCGCCAGGCACATGGAACACAAGCCGTCATCAACCTTTCCTACCTTGCAGTCATTACAGGGCTTCCCTTGACATATGCGCTCGCGCATTTTTGGCTTCGATCGGACACGCCTAAGGTCCCTTACTTCGCCGAAGCTCTAGGCTTGTACTGCGTTGCTACGATCATTGAGCTTTTGACTGAGCCTTTCTTCTCAGCCGTACAGCAGAAGCTCCTGTACAAAGTTCGCGCTTCTGCCGAAAGCAGTGCCACTCTTCTACGATGCTTTGGAACTTGCGGCTCCGCCATTTTGGCGAGTCGTGTCGGCGTGGACATCGGCGTCACGCCCTTCGCGTTTGGTCAATTGGCTTATGCTCTGGGACTGCTGTTCGTGTATTTCAACAACATGAGATCAGCCGCACGCACTGAACAGTTTGCACTTCTGCCAAAGCAGATCTCGAACATCGAAAATTCAGCCGTCACCTTGAAGTACTTCTCGACACCTCTTCTTCGGCTCACAGGATCTCTGACCTTGCAGTCGGCACTCAAATACATCCTGACCCAGGGCGACTCACTTCTTATCACAACATATACATCTCTCGCTGATCAGGGTGCCTATGCGCTCGCATCGAATTATGGCGGTCTGATCGCCCGCATGCTGTTCCAGCCCATCGAAGAGAGCAGCCGTAACATGTTTGCGAAGCTGTGTGCGAGCCCTGAATCAGCACCGGACGCGAAGCAAACAGATGAAGGCCAACAGTCGCAGGAGCAAAAGCGCAATCTGGCTCAAGCGGCGAAGGTCCTAAATATCATCCTGCGCCTATACTCCATCATCTCGTTGTTTGCCGTCACTCTGGGTCCCACACTGGCACCACTCCTACTCTCTGTTGTCGCAGGCAGAAAGTGGTCCGCAACAAATGCCTCGAACGTCCTCGCAACCTATTGCTACTACATACCCTTCTTGGCGATCAACGGTGTTACAGAAGGTTTCGTCACTGCTGTGGCCACCAACAAGGAGCTTTCTGTACAGTCTGTTTCCATGGGCTTCTTCTTTGCCGCTTTCGCTGGTAGCGCTTGGTTTTTTCTGGAACAACTGCAGCTTGGCGGTAGTGGTGTAGTACTCGCAAACACGGTCAACATGGCATTGCGCATCATCTGGAATACGTGGTTCATCAACAGGTTCTTCGGCCAGAGTAAAACATCTTTCAGGTTGCTGGACGCTCTTCCATCGATCACGTCGCTTGCGCCAGCGGCCGTCGTTCCTACCTTGATGCAGCTGAGACCTGGAATCAAGTACCTTGCAAGATTTGGTGTGTTGGGCGAGCTTGTCAGTATGGGCGCGGTCGCTGGACTCTATGCTGTACACGTTATCTTCTTCGAGCGCCAGTTTCTTATCGAGTGTTACCGGATGCTCAGGCCGGCGCGGGCTGCTCAGGTTACAAATATGCAGTAGAATTTGTTCTCCGTTTTGTACACCCAAGCACATCTACTGTTAATGCTCAGAGCAACGGACCAAGTCTCCAACGATGTCAGGATGTCTTGCAGAGAAATTTTCAAGTGATCAAATAGAGGTATCTCTCAAGTTCGCACCCCGCATCAAGCCGACCCCAGTCGGGTGTAGCCCTCGACTAGCGGCAGAATTTTCCACCTGCAGAAACAGAGGCCAAATCAAACGTCATCCCAGACACGTTTTTCAACATCAAATATTGGCGCGTCACCAGACACACTCCGAGGCCGCCATTTATGTAAAAAGGGGGTAACGGAAACTGCCCGGAAACGCGAGCATTCAAGTCGAGATCCTTTTGGGGTCATAGCGCATTCTCTATTCTTGTTTGGATATTACGCGGGGGTAATAGAAACGTCGTCCGACTTGGCTACGACCAGGGTCCCGAAACGCGCCATTGCACGCCGTTCTATGCACCGGTCGCCCTAACTAGCGTATTCCGGCACGGGTACGCTGCAAATCTGGAGAATCCGGGGTTCGATCGCACGCCATGGCACAGAGACATGCGGAGAGGTCGCAGTTCTACCATGGCCTGGTGGATATGGGAAGCAACGGCATTCGGTTCTCGATCACGGATCTTTCGCCGGCTACTCAGCGCATCTTACCGACTGTGTATCTTGATCGTGCAGCCATCTCGCTATACGATGCGCAGTATGAGGACGGCAAGGCTGTACCCATTCCCGATCATGCGATCAAGCAGGTTGTGAAGTCACTTCTCCGCTTTAAGTCAACATGCCATGACTTCGGCGTTCCTAATAGCCAAGTTCGCATAGTTGCAACAGAAGCAACACGCAAAGCAATCAACTCTGAAGCATACCGCGTTGCGATCAAAGAAGCTACGGGGTGGACCGTGGAGCTCTTGCCCAAAGAGATGGAAGGCAAGATTGGCGCCTTGGGCGTAGCAAGCTCGTATGAAAATGTGCGAGGTCTGATGATGGATCTTGGGGGTGGGAGCACGCAGCTTACATGGATCATCACCAGGGATGGCGACATCAGGATGAGCCCAGCGGGCAGCGTCAGTCTACCATATGGTGCTGCGGCCCTCATGCAGCGACTTGAGGAAGCAGGCAAAAAGAAGAGCAAGGAGTATCAGGCTTTCGCAAAAGAGGTCATCAGTGATCTGAAGGCCGCTGTCCAGAGTGTCGACATACCTCAAGAACTTCTTCAGTCTCGCGATGGTCTTCACCTTTACCTCTCAGGAGGAGGCTTCCGCGGCTGGGGGTTTGTTCTGATGTCAGAGCATGCCATCAAGCCATACCCAATACCTATCATCAACGGGTTCCGCACCTCAACAGACACTTTTCTGGATACCATGTCCGTGAAAGCCGCTGTAACACAAGATGACACCCCAGAGATCTTTCGAGTATCAGCACGACGAGCAAGTCAAGTACCCGCAGTCGCGTTCCTCGTCGAATGTCTCGCTCAAGCTTTACCTACTTTGACAAATGTGTACTTTTGTCAGGGTGGAGTGCGAGAAGGTATGCACTTTGCAGAGATGTCGCCCGAATGCCGCGCGGAGAGCCCTTTGGTCATCGCAACTGGGCCCTATGCGCCGCCATCGATGGAAGATCTGATCGAACTCTTGTTTTCCGCCGTCCCTGCTACATCACCAGGCCAGAAACCTGTCTTCGGCACCCCCCTCGTCAAAGCTTTCACTCAAGGTGTGTTTGCGCATATGGCGCAAGTCAAAGACCTCCGCGGTGGTTCTGCACTACGCAGCACAACGACGGGCATCTTCTCCACCGCACACGGTGCAAGTCACGAAGACCGCGCTCTCCTGGCAATCTTGCTTTGTGAGCGCTATGGCGGCTATGGCTCCATCAGTCCTACCGAACAGGACTTCTATAAGCGCATGGTGCGGCTGTTACCGGAGGGTATGGAGTGGTGGTGCATGTACTTTGGCCGCGTGGCTGCTGTGATTGCTGCTGTGTATCCTGCGGGTGCAATCAGAGACCAGCGTGTGGCTATAAGGACGCATTGGGCTACTACGAAGAAGGGCAATGAAAAGTTGTGCATAGATATTGATTTCAGGAAAGACATTGACGAGCTAGACGAGGGACTCGACGCAGCGCTGAGAAAAGTCGGAAAGGCAGGGAAGAAGAAGCACTGGGTGCATGGAGAAGGCCACAAAGTGTTGCTGACTGTCAATGGGCGCGAGTATGGTGGCGATGAGAATTAGATGGATTCACAACGACCGGTCTGCTGACTGTATGCACTGTTCTCACACTGGTTCATCGAAGCGTGGCGAGCATCGTGAGGTCCTACCAGCGCCAAAGTACCATCGTGACTTGCAAGCGGTGAGTCGCCACTCCTTGAAGTAAGTCACAAAGGTCACGATACTTGAGCGCGGACCAGCTCCCGTAGGGCGGAGGCAGACGGCGACATTCCAGCCGCAACAAGTCCGTGGCTTCCGAAGCATCGTGACTTTGCGATGACTGATGAGACGGTACGTGGCCTCTTTGCACTGGCCGTGCGCCTGCACGTGGACGAGTGCCCAAATTTCCAAGGGGTAATCGAATGTGCTGCGAGGCTTAGGGAACATTCGATTACCCCCTCGAAACTCCAGCAGCCAAGCATCGTGAGTTGCGGCGTGAACTCGGGCGTGAACTGCGGAGCCGCGCTCATGCACGCTCCCCAGGTTGGCGGTACTCACGTCGCGATGCATGGGCTCGGGTGATATTGGCGTCTCCACTGCCCACACGCAGGCTTTCAGAGTTTTCATTTACATGCCCAGTTTGTGACATCGCGCAATTCACAGGGCGTCTGGAAGCTGCGAGTGAGGCATATTACCTAAAGACCCCTGTCCTTCACGACCAGTTGCGTCCGTGGGTGGCGCTAGAGCGGCACTGGCAAATTCTGGGGAAGCGCTAGACGTACCTGAACGTCACCCGGCTGAGCCGCTCTTGAGCCGAGTACCACAGCTCGGAAGAGGCCTGCTGATGGTGAGAAGCTGCCAGAGTACATAAGATGGATGGCCGCCACGAGCAAGAGGGCACGGCTCCGGCTACCTACCCATCATTCCCCTGCTCCTCGTCACCCACCATCTGCCTCTCTTATCTTCTCGAAGACCCCTGGAATTCGGTGCCAGTGTCACCCTTGAAGATTGTAGTGTCGCACCGCGACATCATCTACGGCGCGAGACCCAAGTGCTGCGAGCTGAAATACGCGCGATCAGCACCTCTGAAGCAAAAAGCGGTAAACAGCAGCCAATTGCAGCTGCACTCGCTATCTGCCTTCACTGGTGCATCCAAGCTCCTGCCCAACTCCGCTGCCAAACTCGCGGCCTGCCTTCCTCTGCTCGGCTAGCAAAGGCCTCACTGTGGATCTGCGGCTCTTCAGGTACCCAGGTAAGTAGGCTAGTCCTGCGTCATGCTGCGCCCAAAAATAGTGGCGCCAGCGGCCCTCAGTCGCTCAGCGTGCATGCAGAGTTTAAAGGAGCATGGGCAGCCATTGCGGCCCTGAATTGCAGGTGCATGACTAACAAGCACCGGCAGCAAACCTCACACATTTGACGTTCGCCCCTGCTCGCCGCGAACTTGAAGCTGCGGCCCCTCTCCCACGAAACCCCACATACACTCGCCCAGACTTCAAACTCTCTGGCACCACCGCCAAGTGCAGCATTTCTAGCCAAGCAGTTTCAAGCACGCCATTCGTTGCGTGTCTGAGCCTTTCGACGACCTGAAGCTACATATTTGAGCTTCCCACCGCATTCGTACAGCACGTTATACTCCACACACACATACCTGCATCATGGCGTCGACACCAATCAACGGCAACGGCGCGCAGGCCGTTGCCCAGAAGCTCCTGAACGCCGACCAGAAGCCCGGGTCGAGACCGACGCATCTCAGCATGGGCTCCGGGCTCTCAGGCTCTGGCAGCAACACACCACGCATAATACCGCAAGAGGGCACAAGCGGCTCCGGCTATGTTGCTCCTACATTCGATGGCAAGGAGCAGCAGATGGAGGCTGTCATGGACGGCGTCGAGGACAAGGGTTTCATTCCCCCGGAGCTCGTCGAGTCCGAGGTCAAGTGGTTCTACATGCAACTCGGCATCGACGACATGTACTTCGCTACTGAGTCGGCCGAGGCCATCATCACCCACATCCACTCGCTCTACGCCGCCAAGGTGGCTGCGTACGCCCGCGACGACAAGCGTCTCGAGATCAGGCTCGACAAGGAGCACGAGGACCACGCCGTGTACATCGACACCAGCAAGCCTGGTGTCTCCATTCTCGACGGACCGCGCTACGAACAGCGCATCGACACAAAGTACCTGAATCCCTCGAAGGGTAGCTCCGGATACCGTGTCGAGAGCTTCCGCTCGGCGAGCCCACTGCCCGGCAGCGACGACCAGCAGCTGCGATGCTACTTCGTCTACCAGTGCGATTTCGAGCAGGCCACCCCTAGCCCGACCGAGACCAACGTCGAGAAGGTCGGTGACAAGCGCTTCCTGCAGAAGGCTACGGCCAATACCAAGGCCATCTACCAGGAGGTACTCGAGGTCGCTGTTCAGCGAACTGGTCCTGTCATCGAGTGGTTCGACATCGAGGGTTCGCGGGACAAGCGTCTCGTCATTGCCTATAAGCAGGGCTCTGCTCTCGGCATGTTCAGTGCGTTGAGTGACTTGTACCACTACTACGGGCTGACTACTTCACGAAAGTACGTCGAGCAATTCTCGAACGGCTACACAGTCATGTCGCTGTACCTCAGCCCGCTCCCCGGAGTTGCTGGTGCCAAGCACCCTCCTATCGAGGCCTCGATCCATCAGATTATCAAGGAGATCTCTCTGCTGTACTGCATTCCCCAGAACAAGTTCCAGACTTTGTTTGCTACGGGCAGGCTGAGTCTACAGGAGAGCATCTACGCTCACTGCGTCTGGGTCTTCATCACTCACTTCCTCAACCGTCTTGGAAACGAGTACACTGCGCTCTCGGCCATCTTAAACCCTGAGAACAGCGCCCACGCTGAGCTGCTGTCCAAACTGAAGCGCAGATTGCGTGCCGAGACTTTCACCGCAGACTACATCTTCGAGATCATCAACGAATATCCCGATCTGGTTCACACCCTGTACCTATCATTCGCCAACACCCACTACGTCCAGACACGAGGCCAACAAGATGACTTCTTGCCCACATTGAGTTATCTGCGTCTCCAGGTCGACAAGGTCCAGACCAACGAGGAGTTGACCGACACCATCAACAGGGCTGTCGTCAATGACCACCACGAGATGGTCATGAACTCGTTCCGCATCTTCAACAATTCCGTATTGAAGACCAACTTCTACACCCTCACCAAGGTCGCTATCAGCTTCCGTCTGAACCCCGGCTTCCTCCCGCTCTCAGAATACCCTCAGCCTCTGTTCGGCATGTTCCTCGTCATTGGATCTGAGTTCCGCGGTTTCCACCTCCGCTTCCGCGACATCGCTCGTGGTGGTATCCGTATTGTGAAGTCGAGGAGTCAGGAAGCGTACTCGATCAACGCACGTTCGATGTTTGACGAGAACTACAATCTTGCGAATACACAACAGCGCAAGAACAAGGATATCCCCGAGGGCGGTTCCAAGGGTGTCGTTCTGCTTGACTTCAAGCACCAGGACAAGGCTGCTGGCGCATTTGAGAAGTACATTGACAGTATTCTCGACCTCCTGCTGCCTCCTAACAGCCCTGGAATCAAGGACCCAATTGTCGACTTGCACGGCAAGCAGGAGATTCTGTTTATGGGTCCTGATGAGAACACTGCTGATCTTGTTGACTGGGCAACTGAGCATGCTAGGGCTCGAGGCGCGCCATGGTGGAAGTCTTTCTTTACTGGCAAGAGCCCTAAGCTCGGTGGTATTCCTCACGACCGATACGGCATGACAACTTTGTCTGTCCGCGAGTATGTCCTTGGTATCTACCGCAAACTGAACCTAGACCCCAGCAAGGTCCGCAAACTGCAGACTGGTGGTCCCGACGGCGATCTTGGCTCCAACGAGATCTTGCTTGCAAACGAGAAGTATGTCTCCATCGTTGATGGCTCCGGTGTGCTTGTCGACCCCAACGGTCTTGATCACAGCGAGCTTCTCCGCCTCGCCAAGAACCGCCAGATGATCAACAACTTCGACATCACCAAGCTGTCGAAGGACGGATACCGTGTTCTCGTCGATGACACGAATGTCCGCCTGCCGTCTGGCGATCTGGTCTACAATGGCACCACCTTCCGCAACACCTTCCACCTGCGCAGCGACATCCAGTACGAAACTTTTGTTCCCTGCGGTGGCCGCCCCGAGTCTATCGATCTCTCCTCCGCCAACAAGCTCATCGTCGATGGAAAGTGCATAATTCCCTACCTCGTGGAAGGCGCCAACCTCTTCATTACACAAGACGCGAAGTTGCGCCTCGAGAAGGCCGGCTGCATCCTGTACAAGGACGCCTCAGCCAACAAAGGCGGTGTGACCTCGTCATCCCTCGAAGTCCTCGCCTCGCTCTCTTTCGACGACGAGTCCTTCGTCAAGCACATGTGTGTCGATGCCAACGGCGTCGCGCCCGACTTCTACAACCAGTATGTCGCCGGCGTGCAGAAGATCATCCAGAACAACGCCCGTCTCGAATTCGAGGCCATCTGGCGCGAACATCAGGAAACCGGGCAGCCGCGATCGATCCTGTCCGACACACTATCAAACGCCATCACGAAGCTCGACGAAGAGCTGCAGAACACCGATCTCTGGCACAACGTCGCGTTCCGCCACTCGGTGCTGTCCGAGGCCTTGCCGCCGCTGCTGCTGCAGCAAATCGGTCTCGAGAAGATTATTGAGCGCGTAAGTCCCCTTCCCGACCCTCCGCGACGAGATCAATGAGTGCTAATGCAGACAGGTTCCCGACAACTACCTCCGCGCGATTTTCGGCTCCTACCTCGCCAGCCGCTTCGTTTACGAGTTCGGCGCCAGCGCGTCGCAGTTTGCCTTTTTCGATTTCATGAGCAAGCGCGTCGCCAAGGCGAATTCGCAGTCGAACGACACGGTTACTTTGTAAGATAGCATGCATAGTATGTTGTTTTTTTTGGATATTGGGATACAAAAGTCATAGTCATAGTCACACAGGGCCGGCGAGTCACTGCGATAGCATGTTCGTGAGAGCGAATCGATTTATTAGTTCTTTACCTGTGTTCTTGACGTGTCCTTGCACTGCAATCTCTGGTGCGGAAGAGCAGCCTTGCGGTTTCTTCGTCACCGAGAGCATCATGTGATCTTACGTCGCTGCCTTGAGGGGGGCGGAACTCACCCATTGCACATCAGGTAGAAAGTGGATGGATACGTGCGGTAACGATTGTATTACGCGGAACTAAACGACCTCGTACTCCACCTCTAACAAAGCAGACCCAATCCCATTACCCAAATACTCCAAACCCCTTCCAAATCAGCAACGCCGGGGAACCATGTACGTACAAGAACAGCGAGTGTCCAATCCTCATTACAACTCTGCCCGTGCCCTTCAGCAGACGAAGCGGACTTTTCGCCGTCGGCCACTTGTGCAGCAATACCAACTCGAGCCCTCCATTACTTGAATCCAAATCTCAAACTATGCAGCGAGCCATGTTCCCAAGCGACCAAAGAGCGAGTCGAGGTCTTGCAAGCCAGCAAGTCGAAAGAGCGACATATGCATACCGTCCGTCCACCATTCAGCCCATGGAGCGGATCATTGAAACATCATCAGATCACATACGCAAGTCTCAACCCACGGTACTCCCCATAACGCTCTCCTCCTCAGCCGCGCGGCGGAAATAATCAGCATCAACCAGCGTGCCGTGGTCCAGCGCAGCGGTAGGCGGTTCGGTGCCCAGACCAGAGTCAGTCGGGACAAAGTTCTTGGGGTTCTCCTTCATCTCCTCTGCGACGGCGGCTACGGCGCGATCGATGGCTGACTCGGTGGGCATGGGCATTTCCGAAACCTCCGAGGCTGTGACATCAGACACCTCGGATCCTGTGACGCCAGAGATCTCAGAGGCATTGAGCTTCGCGGTGCCCTCGTCGTCGTCTTCAGACTCCGACTCGGACTCGGAGGCACCTTCGATAGCGCTCTCGGTAGGGACAATTGAGCGGGCGATTGTCGATCCATACGAAGTTCGGCGATCGAGATCGCTACCCGTCATGTACGAGCCAGACCCGTAGGTGTACTCGCTGCCGTAGTTGGAGCGACCATCGTCTCCTGGCATTTCACCAGCAGCGTGGCTCTCTGTGTACTGAGAATCACTAGCGACACTGTAGCGGCGCTCAGTGCCCGCCTCACTCTGCACATCCTCGGCAACGATAGAAGGAGCAACAGATCCGGGCGCCTGATTCTCGGCATCTGGCTCGGCCTCTTCAATCAATGGGGCGTTCTCCTTGTTAGCAACAACAGCGCTGGGGCGGCCGCTCCAAGATGACTTGCGAGGGTTGGTCTTGACAGAGTGAGCACGCTTGAGGCCGCTGTTGCTGCTTGCCGGAATAGGGGCCAGGTGAGGCTTTGCTGCAGGAGCTGCGTTACCGCTAATCTGACTCAGAGAGAAGATACGGCGGTCAGCAGTGCTGTTGGGCGCGCCGCGACGGATAGCAGGACGAGACTTGAGGGCCATGTTGACAGCCTTCGCGGTCGCATTTGGTGGCAATGCGCGCTCCGCCTCGCCCTCAACACTCATGCGCTTCTTGAGCTTGCTGGGGCTCGTCGAACCCTTGGCAATCATCAAGGCGCGAGAGTGGTCCATGATGCCGTTCAGGATGCGACGCTCGAGTGCGTCCGCCTTGGCGTCCATCATGTGCAACTCTTCGCGACGGATCTCGAGCGCAGTGTGGAGAGAAGACACCTCCCCAGTCAGACGAACCCTCTGGTTGGCAAGGTTTTCGCGCTCAGCCTGTAGAGAGGCAACAATAGCGAGCAATGAATCCTTCTCCTCTTTGAGCTCCTGCATGGTGCGATCCTTCTCTTCCTTCAGCTCAGCCATGACGCGTGCTTTCTCCTCCTTCAATTCTTGCAGAACATGCTCCTTCTCAGCCCTCAAGTCTTCGAGCTCGGCGTGAAGCTGCTCCCTGTATGCACCCTTCTCGGTCTTGAGATTCTCAAGGTCGGCCTCAAGCTGCTCTTTCTGCGCAGAACGGCGCTCGACAAGAAGAGCAAGCTCTTCGGCTTCACGCTCCTTTGACTCGTTGCCCTCAAGAGTGAGCTGAGTCTGCTTGGCAACGAAGTCGCTGACCTCGACAGCTGTCATCTTGACCTGAGCGTGGATCTCGTCCAAGCGCTCAAGCTGACCAGCTGCCTTACTTGCATCGTCGGCGTGGCCGATGAGCTTGTTGAGCTTCTCCTGGACAATGGCATCGTCGTACGTCGCCGTGGGTTCGATAGCGAGCAGCTTGTCGAGCTTTTCCTGAATGGGAGCATCGTCATACTTCTCAGGCTCAGGAGCGGGAGCAGGAAGAAGCTTGGGAAGGTTGGCGAAATGGTTCTGGATCTCTTCGGAACGTGCCTTGGCCTCTTCATTGATCGCGCGAGTGTGCTCGTCAGCTTCCTCCTTCGACTTCTGCGCGTGATCGTAGTGCGCCTTGACAAGAGCTTCGATTTCACGGAGTGCCATCATGAACTTGGGATTGTGTTCAGTGATCTCGTCTTGGAGACCAACGAAAATCTTCTCGATGTTCTTCAGCTCGTCGCGCGTGTGCGAGTGCTCCGACTTGTCTTCACCCTTTAGCTCCTCGAACTTGGCCACGGCACCATCGATCTTCTCCAATGAACCGTCGAGCTTCTCAAAGGCAGTTGCCGAATCGGTGCCCATCTTAGTCTGATGCTCCTCGAATCGCTCGTTCATGCCAGCAATGGTGGCACCCAGTGTATCAATGGTCAAGCGCAACTCGTCAGCCATGGTTTTTGTCGTCTCGAGAATCTTTTCCTGCTCTTCAGCCTTCTCCTTCATGACTCGGGCCTGTTCATCAGCCAGAAGCTGTGCGTCGTCGTACTTGGCCATCAAGGTGTTGAACTTGTCCTCGAGCTTTTCGGTGAAGTCGGCTACAATCGCGCCCTTTATCTCGTCGTGCTTTTCAAGGTGAAGTGCAGACTTCTCAGCATGGTCATTCTGAAGGCCCTCGATGGAGCCGTGAGCACGCTCGAATTCGCGAGTGAGTGTCTCCATCAGCTCTTTGACATCGGCGGTGACATTGTTGGCGCCGATGGTTGCCTCGAGGGTCGTGAGCGATGTCTTCAAGCCTTGGATGGATCCGCCCTCGTTGAAGTTGGTCAGAATCTCTCCCTTCATGGTGTCCAGGGCGGTCTTGACTTCGGTGATTGTCTCAACGACGTTCTCAGCCTCCTTGCGGCGGTCGTCGAAGTTGTTTGCAGTCTTGAGGATATCCTCTTCGTACGTATCCTTCATCTTCTCGTGGCTGTCGCGGAACTCGTGAATGAGACCAGTCAGCTGCTCCATGTCCGCCTTGGAAGGGATCTCTTCGGGGTCGGGGATCTTCAGATCGTCGAGCTTAGCCTTGAGATCGTCGACCAGCAGAGAGACAGCGTCGACGTCAGCCTTTGTGGCCTTTGGGTTCTCCTCGTCGTCGGGCTTCGCGGCTTTCATCTCATCAAGAGCTGTCTTGATGTCATCAGCAATGACCTGCACGACGGTAACATCAGTCTTCGTTGCGCCCTCCTCCTCAAACTTCTTAGCCAGTGCGCCCAGAGCTTCAGAAGTGGTTCGCACAACGAGTTCGACGTCTTCCAAGTTCTCCTTGGTGACAGCAGTGGCGGGATCAGGGAAGACGAGCTCCTCAATCTTGGCCTTGGTGTTGGCAACCAGCGTCTCGATGGCGTCCGTGTCCTCCTTCTTAGCAATGCCTTCGAGCACCGGCGCGGGAGCGTCGCGCTCTTGCAGAATGAGGACTGCCGCCTGCAGGTCCTTCAGCATGCCTTCAACCGAGACGAGGTCATCCTTCATGACAACGCCGGGGACCGCAGCTGCTTCAGCCGCTGGAGCGGGCTTCTGGATGTTGGCGTCCATAGCCTCAACCTTTGCATGGATCTGGGACAGGATGAACTCCATCTTATCGACATCGTTGCGCTGAGTCGAGTCGGGAACAATCTCGCGGCTTGTCGTCTCCTCCACCTTCTCCGTCATCTTGGCGATTGCGGGCTCATCGACAATCTCCCGATCTCCGGCTGGTCCATCGCTGGGCGCTTCGGCAAGCACCATTTCGTTGCCAGTGGGAATAGCTTCAACCTCGACTTCAACCTCGACTTCTCGCGCGGTCGCAGGTGCCGCTGCATTGCCCTTGAGAAGAGCAACGTCCTCGCGGAGAGCAGCGATGCCGTCTTTGAGAGTGTCCAGGATCTCATAGGACACGGTCATGTCGACAGGCTTGCTGTTCAGCTTAGTGAGGTCTGCGCGCAGGCCTTCGAGCCCGTCATGGAGGGCATCGACGATTTCGCCGGATGAGGAGCCATCTTGGGGGCCGTCGAGCTTCTTCTCGAGGTGCGAGCGAAGGTCGTCGAGTCCGAGGCGTACGGCTTCGAGAACTTCTTCAGTATCGGCTCGGCCGTGTTGTCGAGTGAGGCCATCGGACTGGCGAATCTGCTCCAGTTCTCCTCGGAAGGCCTCGAGGAGCTCCTCGTTGACGCCGGCGCTTTTCGAACAAGTCTTCATCTCCTCAAGCGTGACTTTGAGGGCGTCTAGGATCTCTGCCTTGCTGTTGTCACTGGCAGGGACCAGGGCGCCGCTGAGCGACTCCTTGAGAGCTTCAAGATCGGCCTGAAGAATGGTCACGCCCTCTTTGGAAGTTGTGTCGCTGGCTGCGCGTAGACCATCCATGAGCTCACGAACAGCATCGACAATGTCGTCCTTGTCGGCGCCACCAGACTTGACGATGGAAGCACCAAGCGTCTCGCGGAGGTGTTCAAACTCGTCCTTGATGACAGCAAGGACATCGTCACTGGGTGCCGAGGTAGAGGTAGCTTCGCGCAGGCCGACTTGAAGTCCGTCAAAGCCGGCTTCGAGCTTCTCGAGGATGTCGTTTTTATGGCCTGCAGTATCGCCAAGGAGGACTTCCTTGAGCTGGTCGAACTCGTGCTTCAAGGCCTCGTTGATGTCTTCGTTTGAATCGGCGTCTTCGCCGCGCAGAGCGACTTGCGAGTTCATCTCATCGAATCCAGCCTGGAGTGCAGCGAGCAGCTCCGCTTTGTCGCCGCCAGAGGCAGGGATCAGCTTCGCGCTCAAGCCTTCGTGGAGATTCTCGAGCTCGGTCTTGATGAAGGTGACCATGTCGCCGCGGCTCCATTCTTGATCTCCACGGGGGCCTTCAGCAACGTATCCTTGCACGTCCTCGCGCAGCTTGTCGAGCTCAGCCCGGAAGCCGTCAATGATGGCATCATGCTGGGTCGCGTCGGGCGCCTTGTCGAAATGACCCTGCAGCTCGGCACCCAGCTTGTCGAGGCCATCGCGCAATGCGTCCAAGACCTGCTCGGTGTCGCGTCCGTTGGCTGCCGAGTAGGCTTTGAATTCCGAGTGCATGCTCTCCACAAGTGCCTGGATGCGCTGCACAACCACCTCGTTGTTGGCATCAACGTCCGGCTGAGATGCCTCCAGCCCAGCCTTGACGGCGTCGAACAAAGCCTCCTGAGGAATCTCTACTTCCTGTGGCCCAAACTCGTGCGTCGAGAGGGCCTCCTTGATGGCGTCTAGCAGGACGTCGCGGGTCAGACCATCCGTCCGAGGCTGCTGAGGCGCGAGAGACGGCTTCAACTCCTCGAGCGAGTCACGGACAGCCATGAGGATCTCTTCGCGCATCTCGTTGGCTTCGTTGACTGGAGGAGGCAGGCGCAGTTGCTGCAGAGATTCCTGGACAATGTCGCTAATCTCCTCTCTCGATACAGCACCAGAGCCGCTGTAGTCCTGCAGTCCTTGGCGGAGGCACTGCAGAATCTCGTCACGCTCCAGACCGAATTGTTGGATTTCAACGTTGGGCTTCATCTCGACGCTGTCGTAGGCTTCGCGGACGGCAGCCACGATAGCTTCCTTGTCGAGAGGGGCGCCCTGCGCAGAGTAGTCATCGAGACCTCGCTCCGCCAGCGCGTGCTTGACCACGTCGTACACCTCGTTGTTATCGACGGTGCCGCGAGTGACGACCGACGACATGGACTGCCGTCTTCGTTCTCGCATGACCTTGTCCATGTGCTCCTTCAGGTCATCGAGACCTTCCTGGATGATGGCGTTGATCTCCTGTGTGGCTTGCTCTGGCTGGCCCGCCTTGGCGTGTTCAGCCTCTTCGATCTTGCGTGCCAGCTCTCGGCCCATGCCGAGGACCTCTCCGCGCAGCTCTTGGACCAGCGTCTTGGCCGCCATGGTCACGCAGCCATTCTCGGCGGCGCTGTCCTTGATCTTACGAAGGTACTTGAGCATCTCATCGCTGACAAAGTCGGCGGCCTTGGGGCTACTGAGGTTCTGTGAGTAACCCTCTGACAGCGTGCGCGTAAGCGCGCCCGAGCCGGGAGAGGCCTGGAACGAGGCAGAGCCTGGCGGCGCGAGATTGCTGGCCGCCGAGCCGGACTTGACAAACTCGACCAGCTCAGAGACCTTCTTCGCCGTGTCGCCGTTGGCCTTGTCGACAATGACCTGGAGGTTCGCAATCAGGCGCTCCTGGCCATCTTTGGTGACCATCTCACGGATAATCTTCTCCAGCATGGCGACACTGGCGGCGCCCTCGACAGAGTACGGGTTGGGGCTGCCCATCCTCTCGTCGGCCCAGGCGCCTGGCGACGACATGCGCGGAAATGTAAACTGCTTGGTAGGCGTCATGTGAGGGTCGTGAAGGTTGAGCGGCGCAGAGCGGGCTTCCTCCATGGCAGCGGCAGCAGCAGCCGCCGCCTTTTGCTTCTCGCCCATGGTGCTCAGCAGATCCTTGAGTGACTGGCGAATGTCCTCGTCGCGGCTGTTGGTGGCCTCCTTCAAGCTGATGAGGTCCGTGGCGTTGTCCTTGCTCCGGCGACTGAGCTGGGACATGTCCTTTTGCAGGCTCGAGACAATGTTTGTGATGCTGAGCAGCTGGGTGGAGATGGAGTCGAGAGGCTGGGCGGCCGCCGCCGCCGAAATGGGCGTGGGGGTGGACGAGTTGGTGATGTTCTGGAGGGGCGGGTCAAGAATATGCGGAGGAATGGTCATGGTCTGCAGCGCCTTCATCGTGGCCGACGGCGGCGTGTTCTCGCCCAGAATCGCCCTGTGCGTGGGCCGCGTGGTGGGCGTGTGTGTCAGGTCGTAGGCCGACGAAGGCGACGGCGTGCCAAAGTGGCCGAACCTGGCGTCTCCGTCCCTGGCGAAGTAGTCCTTCTCCAGCTCGCGGCCGCGGGAGCCATCACGTGTCCGGGGCCGCTCGGGCGAGCGGTCGGGCGACTTGTGTGTGTCGAGGTAGCTGCGCAGGTCGCGGACGCTGCCGGGCTGCAGCGACTGCATGCGCTTGTGCTGGTTGCCCTTGACGAGCGACCGCTCGGGCGACCGCCCGGGCATGGGGTTCACTGTGTAGGAGCTGGTGGGCAGGCTCTCGCGGGCCTTCTCTTCCAGTGCCTTGGCTGCGCGCATTATCGCGGCCGAGGTGTTGGGACGAGTGGTGAGTGTAGGCGAGCCGGGGTTCATGGGCAGCGGCGGCGGCGCTCGGTCTGGGTCCGCGCTGTCCCACCTGCGTGTCGGGTCAGTTGCGCGCGCGGCGTCGTCGAGGTGCAGTGAACGTACATGGGAATCGTCCGATCCAGCGACGAGAAAGACGACCCGTGGTGGCGGACCAGCTCGCGGTCCTGCGAGTGCTCGCGCTCCATGGCCGACATTGCGTCTGGACGCGACTAAGATCAATGGCTAGTACTGGAATGTAGGGCGGTGCCGACGAATTCAATTGGCACAGGGCGCGCCGCGGCCGTAAATCAGGCAATGATGCAGGCGAGCGGCGGCGAGCGGCAAGCAGTTCGGCGGTCCAGCGCGGGGGTATAATGCGTGTAATGCGTGCAATGCGTGTAATGCATGTACTGCGTAATGCGTGTACTGCGTACTGCGAGTACTGCGTAATGCGTGTACTGCGTAATGCGTGTACTGCGTAATGCGTACTGCGTAATGCGTATAGTGTGTATAAGTACGGAGTCGTGAAATCGTGAGTGTGGATCGAAGTCTTGTGCGTCGCAGTCGACGCGGGCGGCAGCAGTCGCTATGTACTGCTGCACGGAGCACGGTTGTTTACAAACACGACGGCCACGGGCCAGGGAACGCACGTCATTCGCTCAGCCAGCACAGCGCCTGCCAGCACAGCGCCCTCACCGACCACCGACCACGACGCGGGCAGCGTGTCGCCCGCGTCTAAAATCAGCGCGAGAGTCTGCGGTGCCCGCTGGCCCGCTGCGGTTCACGCACAACAGCTGTCGACGATGCGCCGGGCTGCTGGAGGTCGGCGCCGCACACAGCGTGAGGTTCGCGAACCGCTCGGATCGTTGCCATGGGGCAGCGCTGGACGCGAGCGAGCCCAGGCCGCTTCGGCGACAGCGCGGGAGGTGGGGCGCGCCAAGACTGCCTTCCGCCGCATCTTGGTCGTGTACTTGGTAGAGGCCTCCACGCGAGCTTGTCTCTGTCCAACCCGCCTCACCAGCTAGCTATCCAGCCCGCCACATCGCCGCCCATCCCCCTCGCCGCCCATTCCCCTCGCAACCCGCCCGCGCTGCGCGAAAGCCCCCGCACATTGCCCACACATTGCCTGCACATTGCCTGCACATTGCCTGCACATTGCCCACACATTGCCCACACATCGTCCACACATCGCCTGCACATCGCCTGCCCATCGCGTCTCCACCATGGCCGTCGCAGACACGGGCAAGCGGATAGAGGAGGCGCAGAAGCTGGCCCCGACGGAGCCCGCAAAGGCAGAGCGGCTGTACCAGGAGGTGCTCTCGCAGGACCCGGGCAGCAACGAGGCGGCCATCAAGCACTACGAGACGGCGCTGGTCTCGCTCGGCGAGCTGTACCGCGACCAGAGCAAGGTGGACGCCCTCGCCGCGCTGGTCACGCAGGCGCGCTCCGTGCTGTCGTCGTTTGCAAAGGCGAAGACATCCAAGCTGGGCACGCAACCCTGCACCGGTCCCTGCAACTCCAGCTAACACGTCTGCAGTCCGCCAACTCCTCGACCTCTTCACGGCCATTCCCAACACCACCGACACCCACATCGCCGTCACACAGTCATGCATAGAGTGGGCCGTCTCGGAGCGGAGAGGCTTCCTGCGTCAGAACCTCGAGACCCGTCTCGTGTCGCTGTACATGGCCAAGCAGTCGTACTACGAGGCGCTGGCGCTCATCAATAGCCTGCTCAAGGAGCTCAAGCGTCTGGATGACAAGCTGGTGCTGGTCGAGGTGCAGCTGCTGGAGTCGCGAGTCTACCACGCCCTCGGCAACATCCCCAAGGGCCGCGCCGCCCTCACATCTGCACGGACCTCGGCCGCATCCGTCTACACGCCGCCGCTGCTGCAGGCCGGCCTGGACATGCAGAGCGGCATGCTGCACGCAGAGGACGGCGACTTCAACACGTCCTTTTCGTACTTCATCGAGGCCATGGAGGGCTACCACTCGCAGGACGACGAGCAGAAGGCGACGTCTGCGCTCCAGTACATGTTGCTCTGCAAGATCATGCTGAACCTCGGCGACGACGTCAACACGCTCATGGCCTCGAAGCACGCCGTCAAGTACGCCGGAAAGCGCCTGGACGCAATGAAGGCCGTGGCCCGTGCACACACAAACCGCAGTCTGGACGAGTACGAGACGGCCCTGACCGAGTACCGCCAGGAGCTGGGCAGCGACCGCTTCATCACGAGCCATCTCCGCCGCCTCTACGACAACATGCTGGAGCAGAACCTGATCAAGGTCATCGAGCCCTACAGCCGCGTCGAGATCCACCACGTCGCCAAGGTCGTCGGCCTCGACACCGTCCAGGTCGAGCGCAAGCTCTCGCAGATGATCCTCGACAAGGTCATCATCGGCGTCCTCGACCAGGGCGCCGGCTGTCTGATTGTCTACGACGAGTCCGTCCGCGACAAGGGCTACGACGCCGCCCTGAGCACCATTGAGAAGCTCAACAGCGTCGTCGAGGTCCTGTATGCGAACCAGGCCGCCTCGCTGGACTGAGCGGTGCTGTGAGCGGTGCTGGAAAACACTATGTAATATAGAAGCATAGACGGTTGACTCGCGCGCAGCCGGTGTAATGAATATCATGACAATGGTACCTGATGTCGTGCAGACTAACCTCACCTGACACATCTCACAACAACTCGCCCTCCTCCTCCATCCCCCTCCTCCATCCCCCTCCTCCATCCCCCCTCCTCACAAACTCACCTCACCCCACACCTAACACACCTCACCCCACACCTAACACACCTCACCCCACACCTAACACACACCACACCTAACACACACCACACCTAACACACACCACACCTAACACACACCACACCTAACACACACCACACCTAACACAC